TCTTGAAACCCCAGACATACTGTAAGTCATATTTACTGTACACTTAAATATTTAGCTTCCGATTACCAACTTCCTCCAAGTTGCAACTCTTAATCATATTGCAGTTGTTTTGTTTTTGAAGCTTCCTAGTGAATACTTAAATTTTGTGAATGACTAAAAGTAGTCTATGTTCATTGGGTTTTAGGATGGGATGAAAATGAGTGCAAGATTGTGCTTGATGTATTCATAATTAATAGCTTCATTATCAAAGTTAATCCAGTTAATCATTCACTTTGTAATGTTTGAAATTTCAAATTTATCCTTTCTTCAGAGAAATTTATATTGAAACAAGATTATGAAATTTTCTGAGTAAGTGAAGTCAGAGAATTCTCTACAACATTCCAGTTTGCAGTTTGTTCATGATTCTAAAAATTGTTGTCATTATAATATAAATCATTTTGGTAGATCTTGTGTAAATAGATTTTGTTTAAAGTCAAAAATTTTGATTGTCTTTCTTGTTTTCATTAGCTATCATTTCTTTTTAAGAGAAAGGATTTTGTAATAAAATAACACACAGGGCACAGGTGTTTGACTCTCAGCTACAGCTAATTTACCTAATATCTAGTACTGTGTTATGATACAGGAAACCGATTTTGGAGATATTTGATCATAACTCATATGACTTATATTTCAAATACATAAATTGCAATAACTTATTAAGCAAGGTGTTGATCTGTTACATTCTGAAGTTCCAGTACTAAGTTTGTAATATAATTGCACATTTTTTGGCTTTTCTAGAACTGTCTGTAAAACCCTTTGTCTTGGACTCTTGAAATTTTATTTAATAGTTGTAAAATAACATTTCCAGTAACTCTTGAGCTAAGATGTCCCTCGTCTGCACAAGAAATAAATCAGATTTCCCTAAAATTTGTCAGTATCATCAAAAGCTCTGCATTCGCAACTTTAAATGTCTAAGCAATGTTTTTTTGTTTTTTTTTAAAAGAACATTTAATATCTTGATGATGATCAGAAATCTAATCATGAAATAATCATTCTGGTGTAAAATCGTGTAATAGTTAAATTTATGAAGACTGAAAAACTGTAAATAAAGGAAGGGGGGGGGGTAAGAAATGAAGGGATTCATTCTATGTAATCAACTGTAATAGAAAGGGAAATAAATAATGAAGAGTCTACTATTTAACCCATTACTTCATGAGCATTTTGTGAAAAATGGCTGTTTTCATTGAAAAGTGTCCCGTTACAAGTTCAAATTGCTATAATACTATAAAAACTGCCTCAACACTAATCAAACTTGGCACAAATGTTGACTGGACCATTGCCCTTGCAACAACATGCTCAGGCTTAAATTTTCTGTTACCATGGCAACGAGGGGACATCTCAAAATTGCCAAAAATCACTATTTTGCGTTGATTTTTTCCATCAAAATTGATTTCAAAGTGCTGCAATTTCTCAATGGATTGAGATAGAGTCAAATGCTTTTCAGCGTTGGTTACACGTTACCTTATGATCAATCTGGGGTCATTTACAGCCTCTCACAAGTCCAAAATTTTCTTGGCGATGAGGGGGACTCTGCCCCCCTTCAAACCCCCCCAAACAGAAGGGGGCACATCCCCCTTCTGGCAACCCCTTGATGTATCTTTTGGTTGGGGGGCCGCGCCGAAAAAGAGGTCACTTTTTTAACAACATTTCTCAAACAAAAACAAGTGTTTGGGGCCTAAATAAGGCATTTTTTCATCATTTGAGACAACAAAAAGGGGGGGGGGGTAAAAAAGGCGTTAAAAGGCGTGTATATGAAGTAATGGGTTAACAGATTATGATGAAAATACTTGAAATTACCCTAAATCGCAATTTTTCATGTTTAAACATGGCCTGTCATATAAATTTGATGAAAAATTGTTGTTTTGTAGATTTTTTTATTTTTTTCATTAACCCATTACTTCATGAGCATTTTGTGAAAAATGGCTGTTTTCATTGAAAAGTGTCCCGTTACAAGTTCAAATTGCTATAATACTATAAAAACTGCCTCAACACTAATCAAACTTGGCACAAATGTTGACTGGACCATTGCCCTTGCAACAACATGCTCAGGCTTAAATTTTCTGTTACCATGGCAACGAGGGGACATCTCAAAATTGCCAAAAATCACTATTTTGCGTTGATTTTTTCCATCAAAATTGATTTCAAAGTGCTGCAATTTCTCAATGGATTGAGATAGAGTCAAATGCTTTTCAGCGTTGGTTACACATTACCTTATGATCAATCTGGGGTCATTTACAGCCTCTCACAAGTCCAAAATTTTCTTGGCGATGAGGGGGACTCTGCCCCCCTTCAAACCCCCCCCAAACAGAAGGGGGCACATCCCCCTTCTGGCAACCCCCTGATGTATCTTTTGGTTGGGGGGCCGCGCCGAAAAAGAGGTCACTTTTTTTAACAACATTTCTCAAACAAAAACAAGTGTTTGGGGCCTAAATAAGGCATTTTTTCATCATTTGAGACAACAAAAAGGGGGGGGGGGTAAAAAAGGCGTTAAAAGGCGTGTATATGAAGTAATGGGTTAAAAGATTTACATTGTAAATAGGAATAAAATGGGAGATAATCATGAAAAAGATATTGAAAGCATTAATATCCAGTAAATTAAAGGGAGGTAAAAAAATGAAAGCTTAAACTGAACTGGTACAGTGGTAGGGGAGATAATAATGATAAGGATAAAGAGATTTTGAAGACTTTAACTGAAACAGAAAGGGAGATAATAATGAAAGAGGTTTTGAAGTTTTTAAATGCTATGAGAAAAAGAGGGGAAAAAATGTGGTAAGAGATTTGTTTCACCCATTATTCCTTTCATGTATGAAATAGCAAACAGATTTTCATCAGAAACCAGTCAACCTGTATAACACCTTTCAAGGAATAAGTAGATCTTGTATAATATTGATCAACATTTGAACGCCTATCCCTAAACCAATCCAACCCATTTACAAATGCAAAAAGCACGCAAAAGATATAATATACCAAAAATGCACAAGATATACCTAGATGATAGTAGATCTATATACCTATTTGTGAAAGATAACTTATATCATAAACATTATAGGTCCATTAGACACATGTCAAGAATTCATGCCATTGTTTCCTCTCCCAGTATATGTGTAAATTGTTTAATTTTGAGAGTATAAGTATTGAATAAAGATCAAATGATTGCTTTCATGCAGATTTCTAAATTATTTATTAGGAACAGATTGTTTAAAGATGGCATGTTATCAGCTATGATTTGAAATTGTGTAAATGTGAAGGAATTCAGTGTTTCAAGCCTCTTGAAATGAGCCTCTTGAAACCCAGATGTTCATACATTTATATTTGTTGTAGGCTTGCAAACATTTCTGAAATACTTGTAGAAAGCTGTTGAAATATACACATGATGAATAAATCACCAAAGATTCAGAATCATATAATTGTATTTGGAACTCAATGGCTCAATTGTTTAGAAAAAAATGCAGATTTTGAATAAATTGCCTATCACTGCAGCTAGGGACCTAGTGGACTTTTTAATGTATGGAAGCTATCGAGCTTCGCTTAAAAAAAAATTTAAAAAATGATGGTGCATATCCGTTTTGTTGCCGTTTAACTTTTTATCACACTTCTGTACTATTTCTCATAACAACTGCTTTTGTCTATTTAGATTGTTTGAACAATTGACTGGGGTTTTCGGTTGATTGGATCAAGGTCATTTGGGCTGAAAATAGATTTTCGTACTTTGCCTCATAGAATGGCAATATTTTAAGCTTTCTCAAAACTACATCCGGAAGCATCCATTGATGGGGCAGATAATATAAACTTAACTGTATCAAAAAACAAATACTATGTACTGAATGTCTCCAATGAATATTATTTAAATATAACCATGTGTCTTGTAGACAAACAGAACATTTACCACTATTTACAATGAAATTATTTGCTTGATTTTCAAATCATCTTAGATCTGATGTATGCAAAAAATTAGAAAATATTCCTATGTGATTGTTAAAAAATTTCTAACCATTTCACAAAAAGTCCATTACAATTGAAAATTCTTGCTGGATTTTCTATCGGCCTCATGGGTATACAAATAGAAAATATTATTGTGTGATTTGTAAAATTTTTATTCATAAAATAATATTAGTTGACAAAGCATGTGTACATATTACTCATTAGCCTCCCTGTTCCATGCATTAATTCCTTTACATACATGTATAACCTACATTAGACTATATATCCACATTGATGCACACTTTAAAACCATCGCTGCAGGTTGCTTATTTTTCTTGTAATAATGAGAATTTATTGCACAGTCACTTGTTACTTGACTATGTAACTCATATAATAGTATAAATTTAGAGGGTATAACATAATAACAGATGAAATATTTTTTCTATTAAAGAGTCCTTAACAGTAAAATTTTGTTATTTTCATAATCTTGTCTTCAATTCTCAAAATAGTTATAACATATAATATCTCTGTTATTTAACAAACATGAATATTGTATGTAAACAGAATAAATTGTTTTGAAACAAAATATTATGTTGATATTTTTAGTAACTAGGATTTTAAGCATTTAGCAATCATTTTGTGCATGCACCATTGGCTCTTAATGAAATATACAAACATTTTTCTTACATATTTTTGGAAGATTCAAACAATAATTTTGTAAACTGCAAATAGCAGATATATAGCTGTATATTCTTCAATATCATATCATAAAATTTAGACCCAAATAAGAAATTGGCATCTACACAAATGTGTAGAAAAAAAAAATTAAGCAGTTGTGGATTAATAGAAGTGTATATTGGGATATGTTACCACTTCATTTGATCTAAAACTGATGCATGTATATGTAAATACTAAATAAACTGGTAAATCTCTGAACTAATCAATCTTACATATTTGTGTAAGAAACAAGAGACATTTTTGCTGGTTGTTTTCTGGCTTTTTTCAACCCATTACTACATCTATTTATTTTTATTTTTCAGGTATTTTATGATTTAATGAGAGAAATTCGATCACGGAAGATGAAAGCTAGCCAGCAAAATAATGGACAGAAAAAGAAAAAGAGCAGCAAGAGGAAGTGTGTCATCCTGTAATGATTATTCTTGTCTAGGGATTGTTTACTGTGTCTTTTTTTTTCGTTCTCAAAAAGTAGACCTTACTCGAGGACCATTCTAGACTTTTATACATTTTTAAACTGTATCTGACCAATCAGATGCGAGCTTATGAAAATGAGTGTCAGAACAATAATTTTTAACCAATAGAAATGCAGCATGTGTATGTAGTGAACTTTAATCAAGTAAAGTGGCTTCGAAAGAAACAAGGGAGGTAAATGGAGCTGCAGCTGATGAATTTTCTCTCTTATTTTTATCTGTTTGCAGTATTTTCGTAAGCAGTCTTTCGTTTTTTGTTTTCTTGTGACAATCGCAATTTAGAGAAGATGGATTTAATAAATTTCCATACAAACTGATAACAGATATTCATCTTATCTACCTTTTGACATCTCTTCACTTTCATCATTATGACATCATCATTGTGACATCTTAATCATCATCATTATCATCATTATTATTTTGTTAAGTGCAATGAAAAACGATGAGCAGGGATTCTTCATAGGTATATAGGGACAGGACCAAGTATGAAGTGTAGCAAACCACTATGTTATGACTATTAGCTTCAAAGGGAGGTAATAAGCTATTACATTTTGTAACATTGTGTAAAAGAGTTGTTTCCCTGTGATCATAATTGTTTCTTTTTTATTGCTTCATTTTACATTTTTTAATTAAATTTTTTTCTCTTCTTTTTTTGTATGTGTGTCAGTGCTAAAACTTCAAACATATTGACCTCGACTTGCATGTTTAAATATGTGTTAAAGAAGTTCATATAGATAGATTCATTAGATTATTGTATCCATAGAAAATACTGTTAAAATGAAATAATACGCAATGAATTTGATTGTGTTTGTATCAACATATTGAATGAGAATAAATGTGCATTACATTAATGCTGTGTCAAAGATGTCTAAAATTATTTCTATTATAAGATTTTTATATACGTAGAATATTCTTACATACCTACTTACACTTGTAACCCTTACAACACTGTAGTTATTATCCATTACAGCCGGTATAGTTTATCAGCCAGGCCAAACTAAACAGTGGTGCCGTCTGGCTGGCTTAATAATATTGTATGTATATCAATATTTAAATCTTTTATTGCCAGCCAGTTAGCTCAGTTGGTAGAGCGTTGGACTGTGAATCAGGAGACCCGAGTTCGATTCTCGGACAATGATTGTCATTTTCAGTGTTATTGATCATAAAATCCTTTCTATGGTCATTCACACTATACCTCTGTTCTTGTGTGTATAGAAGTTCCTTACAAAAGTGAATGCAACTAGTACTGGTAAACTGCTTGACAGTCTGCCTAGGAACAATGTGATGGCACAACTGTGCTCTGGTTAATTCAATGCGACTAATACTGCCGTGATCAGCAGTGAAAACTACCAACACCACCACCACATTGTAATCCTTTAAACTTGAAAATAAATACAAAGCATGGTGAATCCATTACATAGTCAGTAGGGTAAGGGTTAAATTTGAAAACAAATTACAGTCTACAGTAGTTTTAGTATTTGAAGTATTCAACAGCAGACTGAATTTGATATCAGTTAATTTAGATATTAGAACATCTGTTTGGGCGCACTTTGTACATAAAAATTCATTTGTTCATTAAATAGACTGTAGAATCCATTTGATAAGAAGGAAAAAACTTTTTGATAACAATTTTTAAACATCACGTAACTGTAACTTTAAAAATCATGAACAATGACAGGTTTATATTTCTGTAACTACAGCCCTTTTTTGTGTGGCAATCTTTTCTCATCTTTGGATTAGTAAAATATATGTTGTTGTTTTTTTTTTGGCAAGTAACATGTGATATTTTGCATGCTCAAAGTGGCTACTTTTTATCTCTCTGATATACCTACTGTATTTATATATGTTAGAATATGTGTAAAATGTATGCATCAATGTATTCACTACAGTAGATCTGACTGCTTTGTATCTTCCTTTTTTCTAATCTTACTTTTGTCTCTGGGCATTTTAAATTAAAATAAAAAAGAATATGCATTGTTTAAGATTACTTCTGTCAAAATATAACTTTACTATTGCCTCATATTTTGTATCGTTAAATCATGAGCCCAGTAAGCCTGTTGTATCAGTAAGGGAGGCTACAAGGTAATGACTCAATGATTTTATTAAGTAATTACTTCCCTTTTAATGACAAAAGATGAACTTGTTTACAGATTATCTTAAGTATTTTAGAGTTTCTAAATACCTCTATTAGAAACTTAAGGATAAAGATATTTGATTAATCATTTACCCTGCTAAAAGCCTATGTCACCAGTATAGAGCCAGGCCAGCCTGCACTGTGGTGTATGCAGCCTGCCCAGGCTATATAATGTTGGTTGACTTAACTTTGATATCTGGCTAATGTGGGGATTGGGATTTTTTTAGCACTGTTTTTGTAATAATTATTAGGAATTAGTTTTTAGTCTAAAAATAGCTACCATGATTTGTATATAAAATATTTGTTCAAAGCAAAAGGCATACATGGCACAGCTGGTTTTTTGGTTAGCTTTTTTTCCATGGACATTTTTTTTGTCAAACAATTTGTTAAAAAATGATGTTTTAAAGTATAATATATGACCAAACTAAGATTGTGTATTGTGTATTATTTTACTTACAGTATCATTTTTTAGAGAAATTGCTCATTTTATTTGCTTGAATGTATTGAGTTTTTACTGTGACTGAGTCTGTATGTTGTTCAATGCCTTACTATGTAATTCTTAGAATAGAATAGCTTCTTAATGAAATCACCATTATACAAAATTATCTAACCAAGGGAAGTATTCAAGCTTTTTTCACAGTTTTTTATAGCTTGATAGAAAAGGCCAGTTGATACCTCGGTACATCTGAACTAAGATGGTAAAAATTGTCATATTTTAGTATACAGCATTGCCTATTTGATATAGTATTTATGTATATTTTATTAATAAGTTCACAGTCATACTCTAGCTAAACCACAGCAAGTTGTATTCTGTACATGTCAGTAAAAATGTGGTGTACATGTGGTTAATTAACATAATACATGTATATACATTGTATTTCTGTTTTTTATTCACTTTACAAACATCATATTGCATAGGACATATAGCCTTAAGTTCTATTTTTAGAATATCATCATCATTGTTAAGATATTTAGAAGGTGAAAATTCAATTTGCAAGAATAGTTTAATCACAGATATTTGATTCATTTGATATTGTTTTCTTTAAATTGGTCTCTAAGATGAGGCACGTAAGAGTTTTTTTTAATTGTTCAAAGTAAAACACTTTGAGTATATGAAAGAGGTAGTGGTTTGTCATAGAAACAAGGAAATGAAACAGGTTCATTTATAAAATAATAATGCAAATGTGAAAAATAAAATTACCATTAAGATAGTTGTAACAGGAGAAAAAACAACAATGATTTTTTTTAAGATTTTTATTTTTTTTATTTTTAGTACTTGAGCATGAAAATATTTGGGGAATTCTTGGTTGAATGTTGAAAAATTGATCAATAAAAGTCCAATATTGTAAGCCAATTTTGATAAACATTGACTCAAGTTTGCTATAAATAGCATGTTTGCATTTTTGCAATTTAGTGACTTATAATAAGAACTTAAATTTTACTAAATATCAGAAACCATTTTTGATATAATAAGGAAGACATATTATTATTCAGGGATTATATTTACATTTACTAAAATCAGACACTTTTTTCTTAAAACTCAATTCAGATATGACTATAGAAGGGATCTAAATATTTTGATAGTAAAGTGTTTTATTATTATTTTTTTTTTTTTAATATTTGACAGAATTTTAATTTTTCTATTAACAGTGTATATCTGTTTTAAAATTTGTTCATTCATTAAAGTAGATGAAGATATATAATATTAAATATATGTGTAAGAGTTGTTCACCATGTAGTTATTGTAATGTTCAAACTTCATTTTATTTCATGTAAATTAGCCAATGTAAAACTGTGATGTCTTCCTTATGCAAATATTTGTATGTATTTATTGTCATAAAATTTGCTTTACCACATACCCTTCTCAAATCAGACAGTGATAATAAGCCTTTAACACCAGTATGGAGCCAGGCTGGTCTGCCGATATGGAGCCAGGTCAGTCGCCGGTGCCAGGTCAGTCGCTGGTATGGAGCCAGGCTGGTCTGCTGGTCCGTGCAGTCGGACCAGACTCTGTATTGCTGTCTGAATAACTTTAATATTTCCGTCTTGATATCCCCAAAATTATTTTATAGAAAGTTCCCAAAGTGGGGGATTGACAAGTCCATTTAAGAAGGCAGATGAATGGTTAAATGCTTAAGGCCAGGTTAAATCAATCCATTGTAAACTAACACTTGACATCTTATCTTACAAATTAGATCATTTGTTAAAGTGACATTATGCTCATATTTTCATTGTCAAGTTGTGATGAAATGGTTATATATTTCAAAGATATAATGGTGAATGACCAACAGTTGATATTGGCAAATGTTTAGGGTAAAAAGAATCTGCCTAATACATGTATAAATAGACTGTCCGCTCTTTTTTTATAAATTGAATGTTACAGGTAAATCCCAATGGATATTAACAGAAATTTCCTTTGGCCATGGAATTGACAGAAATTATAGCAAAAAGTAAACTTATTTTGACTTTCACCTGCTTACTCAATATTATCACTTTTAATCTTAATAAAGATTGGCACAATTCTGTGCATGCTGCTTGAAAACTGGGTAACTATATAAAATTTTAGAGAAAAGAAAAAAGAAAATTGTAATGTAAGTATGACAGAGAACAATCCTTGAAAAATCCATGATTATGTGAACAGTTTTGGTAATTGGTGATTAATTGTTGGAGATTATTTTGCTCATAACTTGTTTTTTATGTTTTTCGGTCTGTCTGTTTATTTATGTGTGTTTGTCACAAAATGTTAACCTTGAGCATAACATAAAAGTCCTTGCACCTACAGCCTGTAAACTTTACAGTTTATTGCACCTTGATCAGCACAACTAATCAGACTCACTAAGAGGTCTCAGAGTCGAAAGGTGAAGGTTACCATACCCCCACCTCCCCCTGGGGTATTGCATTATTTTGTTATTTGATTTTATCATTAAGTTGTGGATGGACAGACTTGTGTCTTGTTAAATTGCCATAATATATGTTAAACATGCCAAGTATTCATAGTGCTAAATATTCTTTGAAAGCCTGGTGTAAAGTTGTTCATATTTCTAAATAAGGGATGATGTGTAAAGCTTTTTTCTCTATGGCCATGTATTTTATGTATAATTAGGTGTATTTATGTGCATTGTGGTAGATTTATATATGAATTTTGGTAGATATATGAGATTGGTGGTAAATGTACTGGAATGCTTACTGTCATTGTTGAAATATTTTCATTAATAAAACATTACATGTACTAATTAAACAGTATAGAGTAGTAAACAGTATCTAGTACAACTTCATATGTCATGTGAAAAGTGATTTAAATGTTGAAATGTTTAAGAGTAATTTTCTGTTTTCACTGAAAACAAACCAATATTTCTCTTTCATTTCTAGCAGAGTTACACGTTCATGATGAATGATATTGAATATATCTTATTGGTGAATTTTTGTATTTCATTAATTATCATGATATCAGTGATTTTATTCACCTAGTAACATTTTCAGCATAATATGATAGTCAGATACAATAATTTACATGGTTACAGGGTGTATTTTGTCTCAAATGAAGACTTAAAAAGAAAGGATAGAAGTGAAAATGATAAGCTTTTGCCACCAGTATATAGCCAGATTATCTGTTATACCTGTGCAGTCTGACCAGGCCCTATACTGTTGGCAGTGTCCTATAACATTATGTTCCAGCATATATGCAGTGGAGAAAAAAAACTTACTTATACTCAGGCAATAGTTACTTGTATTCAGGAGCAAGTAAATAACCTTTTAAAGCCAAAACTTGGAATTTAAGATCTGGTTATTGTATTAATTTGTCTGTATGAACGTTGCTTGTTATTATTTTATAATATTTTAAATCTCGGTAGTTATTGTGTATAACTGTATGCATTCTCTTGTTTATATGTGTATATCTTTAATACAGAACTTATAATTTGCATATTTTTACCATCATTAAAGTTATTTAAATGAATACTGGTGTCACGATTTATGTTGTGTTTCATTTTACAATTTTAAATTAAGATACTTATATTCCGGTAAAATGTGTGGCCCAGTGGGTTCAGATAATTGACTTAAACACATTGGCCCCTTGGATTGTTTCAAGTAAAAAAAAGCTATCCAACAAGCTTATGGAAAGTCGCTGGTCCTACTCAGTTGATCACTTATGCCTTATATAGTGCAATAAGTGGCATCTGAGGTATATTTCCAACAGGAAAGTTAGATAGTCACGGCTGCATAGCGTCTTGAAACAAAATAGATTAACCCATTACTTTATGAGCATTTTGTGAAAATGGCTGTTTTCATTGAAAAGTCTTCCGTTACAAGTTCAAATTGCTATAAAACTATAAAAACTGCTTCAATACTAATCAAACTTGGCAGAAATGTTGACTGGAATATTACCTTTGCAACAACATGCTCAGGCTTAAATTTCCTGTTACCATGGCAACGAGGGGACATTTAAAAATCGCCAAAAATCACTATTTTGCGTTGATTTTCATCAAAATTGATTTCATTGTGCTGCAACTTCTCAATTGATTGAGATAGAGTCAAATGCTTTTCAGCGTTGGTTACACGTAACCTTATGATCGATCTGGGGTCATTTTAAGCCTCTCACAAGTCCAAAATTTTCTTGGCGATGAGGGGGACTGCCGCCCCCTTCAAACCCCCAAACAGAAGGGGGCACATCCCCTGTCTGGCAACTCCCTGATGTATCTTTTGGTTGGGGCCGCGCCGAAAAAGTGGTCACTTTTCTAAACAACATTTCTCAAACAAAAACAAGTGATGGGGGCCTTAATAAGGCATTTTTTAACCATTTGAGACAACAAAAAGGGGGATGAAAAAGGCGTGTATATCGCGTAATGGGTTAACACAAAATGATGTCTTGAAAATACTTGAAATTACACAAAATCGCGTTTTTCCATGTTCTAACATGGCCTAACATATAAGTTTGAAGAAAAATTGTTGTTTTGTAGATTTTTATGATTTTTTTCATTAAAAACAAGATTCCACACATACATATATATATATATATATATATATATATATATATATATATATATATATATATATATATATATATATATATATATATATATATATATATATATATATATACTTTAAATTTTTGCCACAAGTTCATATAGTATAAATTCTGGCCCAAAGTTAATAAAATATGGCCATGTGGTATTAAATTATGGTTGTATATAATATCTAGAAGCCTCTTTGCCACCATAGATAGACATTTCATTATTAATCTAAGCTAGGGTTCCCTCAATCAAGTATTTGTTAGAAGACCTAAAAGATGGTGGTTCTACACAGTGCCCGGTTATATCTAAAATACCGCACATAGTATTACCCGATCGAAACTATTCGACATTAAGGCTTCGCACGTTTCCATGTTTATCAAATGATCTTTATAAAAAAAATATTAAATATAATGGTTTGAATATAATTGTAATTTATCGACAAATGTTTAATTTTGATACCTAGCATAACAAGCTTCTTTAATAAAATTAACATTATAAGTAAGATTTAAAGTAATGTAAAGGAATTTTTAAAAAACTAATGTACTCGTGTGTCTTTTTTTTAAAGGCTGTATCATCAGTTCTGTTTTCTCAAAGAACTCCGTACGGCAATGTTCGCTTTTTCAGTCAGTACACATTTTGAGATTTTCCCAAACATGATCAATGGTTTTTATCCACATTAAGGTATGGACAAGTTCATTTTAGATATTAAGCGGTGTCAGAGTTAATTGATGCTTAATTTAGTCTTTGTTAAAATATCACCAGTTTAACTATCTCCTCATATTATGTAGATACATATGTATATAGTACTTAATTTAATGATACCTATAAGATTTTTTAATGTTTTTTTTTCTCTTTAAGTTTGAGATGAGATGAGATGAGAACATACTTTTATTATCTTCTTTCTTATCGAAATTCTTAAAACATAATGCCCGTGCTGTTACGTTTGTAATTGTGCACTGTATATTTAATATTTGCTTATTTTACATTTTGATTTCAACCTGAGATAGAAAGGCTATAAATCAAGCTACGCCTGTTCAAAAATATGATAATGTTCTGAATGCACTTAGAATATTTTAGGATTGTGTTATTTCATATAATAACTGCATTAAAGTGACTGTCGTACATTTCAGAAATGAATCATTTCCTCTCATAAGAATGATTTAATATTTTATAGATATAATAAGTTTGCTTTAAAATAAGTCAACACTAGTATCATTTTAATATACAGATACATTTTTAAGTGCAAGTATATTTCAAAGTAATCTAAACTTTCAATATCTTTAGCATGTTTTCAATAGCATCTTCTCTGCCCTTTCCGTCAGACTTCGGATATATATCGATAATAGCCGAGATGTCCGACGCAATGGCCGAAATGTAAGCATCAACTATAAAGAATCAAACCTGTGAAAACCTGGCCTAAGATTTGCCACTGCCGAAACAGCTGTCGTACGTCTTTTCAAATAGTTAACAGAAAAAAATACGTTTACTTGATATAAGTTTTAAAAAAATAAATTTAAATTCTTCTTTAAAGGAAATGGAGAGCGTTATAGTTGACAATTAAAGTGTTTTCCTTCGTGAAAACAATATATTAAACGCATTTATAAATACATCAAAGAGAGGCATAAAACTGTCTGTATGTTTAAAGAAGTTTATGCATTAACAAACTTACCACTTAAACCGCATAACAGCCTTGATCTAATTAAATTTCACGACAGTACACGAAATATATATATTTTGATATTATATATATCACTTTGTTTAGTAGAAATAAGTAGCCCTTTTTACAAAGTGGTCCTTCATTACTTTTCTTATTTTATTTTATTATTATTGATTATGTATTTATTCATTTTTATTTTCATTTTTTACATTGTTTAGTTGTCTTGGTAAAATAAATTTGTGGAAATATATGGTTTCTGAGAATATGCACTACAAATACGGACAGATTTACGTAACACGGATAATGTAGTATATTTATAATATTAGACTAGCTTGCTTTTAAAGCAGCATGCCTTCAGATTCAAGCTAATTTTTATGAAAATTTTGAAAATGTATTTAAAAGTAAAATATTGTCAGGTAAACAAAGAAAGTAATTTATACATTACAAACGGCACTTACAATCCATGTAAATTACCAAAAAAAGAGGTTAAATATACATAAATACCTCTTACTGCGTTAGTCACGCAGTAGAATTATAGTGATTGATACTGCAAAATCAGTCATTGATCGCACATAACATGTAAATAATTAATTAAATATTGAATCTTTTACTTTTCTTAAGATCTAAATACATTTTTCTAAAGATTGAATTTCTTGAAATATTTTGGCTCATCAGGTGGCGTGCAGCTTTAAGCTTACGGTACATCAGTGGTTCATTTCAGGTGCCTGCTCGTGCACGGATGTATACCAGAGGTCTCCCTCCACCCCAAAAAGCTGGAAAGTCACCATTTGACCTCTACAGTGTCTTTGTGACTTAAAACCTGACATTGACAAGTTATATCTTGTAAATCTGTTTGCTGATTATGTTTATTGACAGTTTATAATAAGCTTATTGGCTGATGATTTATATTGACAATTTATGATAAGCTTACCTATTGGCTAATCATATATATTGACCATAAATGATTAGTTGCCTATTGGTTGATTATATATATCCTGACAATATATATGACTATCTTACCTTTTAGAAAAACAAAAATACCTATACTCGCATTTAATGTTAACTTTCAGTAACGGCATAAAGTTTTTTTCCCTGTCACATGCTTTCACATCCTGTTTTATCTTATTTGATTAATGTCTCTTTTTTATAAACCACAAACATTTTACATTTTACCATGCATTTATTTTCTGTTAAAGTTTAAATTTAAAACACCACTGACAATTCAACACGACAGTGTTAGTTTAATTGTGATTTTTTTAGAATGACGTCTTTGATTTCAAGTTACAGGAAAATTTCTCTTCCGGGGATTTAAAATACTTGTGAAAAGTCGCCATAAAAGTGAGAGAAAAAAAATGTTTACTTAAATGCATCAGTCAGTTGAAGCCGTCTGGGAGAGTGCGACTGACAGCGAGGAAAATGTACTAAGTTTAACTATCAAGCCCCAACCCATCACCACAATGCCGTAGGTCAGTTTTTGGCGGGAAAATGTGGCATTTAAAAGGGCTATTTACCGATCGTTACAACTTGGCTTCCTCCGGGAGGCCCCGATTTATTTAAATCGCCTGATGTGTTCCGATTGAGAGGTCATGTGATGAAGTTACTTCAAGAGCATAACATGCATGGTAGGGAATCACGTTACTTTTTTTGGCAATGAGTACTGACAATACGGCGGATTGAAATCATGGAAATCGTCGAATCAAACATGTTTTTAGGTAATTCTATGGTGGCTGATTTGTGCCATTTGTGTTTTCGCCACGAATGGCACAAATCGGGCACCATATAATTCTATGTAAGGCAGTGAAAATTATAGATAATTTAATGAAGACTATATACACATATAATATAAATTACTGCTTCTATTCTGTTATACGACAATTTGAACATAAAGTTAACATATTCTATTCACTAATTAGGTAAACTGCGACACACAACCGTTGGTGATTCCCAAAATTAACGGACCATAATTATTTTGTTGATGCGGTATTTTTATATAATCTTTGCATATATTTATACCATACCATTAGCTATTCTGAGGCTGAAATACAACATAGGACACAATAAATTCTTTCATTTAAAGGGGTCCTACATGTATGTGGCCTAGACCATCTACCAGCTTCTATCTGTAATCTATGAGAAGAGACACGTAAACGGGAAAACGCTTGACAAAATTTTTGAACATTAAAACATTCTGAATATGGCTGAAATCTAAAACATGATATTGTATTATAAAATAAAGCCCTACTGGATTGATTTAGACTTGCGTTCAAGTTTTGAATAAAATGATCACTTAACCTTTGTTTTGTTATAGACAGAAACATATCAACATTTTCTACTCCTTGGTAAATCCAAGCGTCAACAAATCCAAGTGAACATAATAGATTTTTCAACGATGAGCACCAGTTTACTTGACTAGGATACATGTCTAGATCTGATTTGAGTAAATCGTAAACAATAACAATATATTTGTTGTTTTTTTTTCGTTTGTAAGTCATTCTGTGTAGTTTTCTTTACACCTAATAGTTTTTTACAAAATTGTAAATGATAAATCATTAGCGAAACAACATACCTCGGAACAATAATTCAATATTGGAGTTACAAGCTTATCAAACAATTCTAATTTATGTTTTATGGGGTATATAAGTAAACTTATACGAATATTTCTCTAATTTAAATGTTTAGTCTCATAATTCTTACAGAGTGGCAATATACGTGTATTTTACATAATGATATATATGAATGAGACTGGAATAAAAAAAAACAATACTGGTTACAAGGTTCTTATTCAAAGATAGTTTTTTCGGTTCTATACAAAGGTAATCCGACAAAAACATGGTGGATGCCGTGCCCATTTTGAGATTATGTGTCCTCTATATTGTTACTAGTTTGCTTCTTTAAAAAAGAAGCATGCGAGAGTTATTTTTGCAGCTGTGTAAGATCAGTTTTTTAATTGTTCAATGGCAGAAAAGTAAGAATTTTTGATGGGTCAAATTTGCTAACAATAGCCACATATCGGCTATATCCGTCAGTCTCCGAATAAGCTGTAATTAGGAATAATCGACAAGGTGTTCCGAAGTTAAAGGAGCAACAAAATTTCGGTACACGGTTCATTTGGTCATATAATAGTGATAGCTATATAGTGTTCACTGTAACAAGAAAAATAGTAAAACAACAATCATTTGACAGTTTAAAGGACTAAAATCTGTTCGTAGTGTTATGTAACGTAAATGATATGTTCCGATTTTTCCTTTTACCGATTTGTTCAACCCGACATGTAGACTTGATCTAATGATTTCAGGCTTACATTAAACGAGATTCATTAACTTCAATTTGATACGCAAAACCTGATGCCACCAGCAGTCGTTCGCGAGGTATCTGTGGGCAGAAATGTTAATTGTATAAAATGGCGACAATTACAGCGAAGAATATAAAATTTGCAATTCTCACATTGTTTACCTGGGAAACCTTAAACGGAAAAATTTGAAAAAGATAATAAAAATATAAATGAGTAACCAAGAAATAGATTCACAATCGTACCGATACTACCGATTTGGCGATTGGTATTCCATTTGAGTTCAAACGCGTTTAAACGCTTTGCATTTAAGGTCACATTGCACAATTAAAAATGGAGGAGGCGAATGACATGAAATTTTTGCACAATACCTAGCTCTATCAAATGGTACACAAATCTCATTATAATATATCCAGTCCCGTCATATCAGAGAGAAAAAACTAAACATATTTTTATATAAGAAATGATAAAAAGGTATATTTTTATACAAACGTTTTACGAAAAAAATAAAAACATTATATTTTGAACAAGTTCATGATATGACTTTTAACACAGACAGAAACGACGTAATGATAATGATTTTATCTTTGAAAGAAGAGCTGAACAAACAGCTGACTGATGTGTAGCAGTTCGTTTAGTGCTTCATATCATTTCTCCCTTTAGTCAAGACTTCGTCACATTGATCGCTTAATTAGACATATAAATAGAGCATCTGTCCTCGCGAGGTGTCAACTGCTAAATATGACCTAGATAACTCCCACAACACATTAAATCCCCTTTATCAGCAGTCTCACATGCCAACAACTGTCAAATTGTCATAGTTCGGCGTTCTGGAAACAAGTGTAATAAAACCTCAATGTTTGGCCTTGCGTTAACTCTATATAAAGACAACTAGTGATTTATGTATATGGTTAAACATGGTAATATTTTATTGCTTTAATAACAGGTTCAATGTCACATATGATGTTGAGACTGGTAGAAAGCAGTAAGGTCCTGACACCAACTAAACCAAGAAAACAACGAAACAACAATAAAAATATATTTATCTAAATCAGAAATTCACCATAGTGTGTCTAAATGGCAAGCAAGAACAATGCCACTAGGCTTTTACATTGTTCAATGTATTTTACATTTCCCTAGCACATAAAGTGAATCAAATTACACTGGCTTTATCAACAATGTCACCAGTTTTATTATCATAGACGTTTTTACAGTCAGCTGAAAAAGGAATATGCAAACTTAGTGAAATATGCAATAGGCTCTATGACATTATTCAAAGTTGATCTTCATATCAATAGTATGTTATTATCTGAAAAATATTTATCTCCTTATTGCTCAATGTTTGCATATGAACATCTGAATCATTATTTGTTCATTCTTTAGCGTTTTTTTAAACAAAAACATAAAGCTTACTTATATCTAAATTACAAGACTATAACAAACTCCTGTCAAAGTTTTAAGTTCTGTCTAATAGAGAAAAACGGAATCTCTAAAGAACGCCCAAAAAAGATAAAATTGAAAATGTTGCAGGCTTGGTTAAATTGAACATGTTCATATTACCGCGCGTCCTAAAGCACCATTTTAAGCAGAATTCAACATGTAATCATTGTAATCGTGAAATTTTGAATTTAGAAACATCCACAGATTTGTTCATACGGCGGTTATCATGGAACCTTAAATGTGACATGGTAGTGCCATTCCATGAAAATTAAGCGGTCTAAACCTACGAAAAATTGGTGAAAATACTAGTTGGAAAATATAACGTGCGCATTTCTTAGATATACAAATTAGATGTCACACAAATCATTTATGTTCATTTACAATAAACCAAGCATGTGAACTCTATATGACTTATCTTTCGTAACATGTTATTCTTAATGTATAATGTTAATCAATCTGTATATTGTAGAATAAATTAGCCGCGTCACGACAAAACCAACATAATGGGTTTGCGACCAGCATGGATCCAGACCAGCCTGCGCATCCGCGCAGTCATATCAGGATCCATGCTGTTCGCTTACCAACCCTATTACAAGTAGAGAAACTGATAGCGAACAGCATGGATCCAGATCAGACTGCGCGGATGCGCAGGCTGGTCTGGATCCATGCTGGTCGCAAACCCATTATGTTGGTTTTGTCGTGACGCGGCTCAAATTAGCTTGTAAACTATGAGATATAGATGATATATATCTACTGGAACTGCAGTATAAAATACTCTTAACTGTTAGCAGCTTATTTGTTTTTATTTTGATTTTGAAATACAAGAAACTGTTCTATTCTTCTTTCACAACAAGACATATATGCGATCACTCGTACCATTGCATGTATACTGTACACAATGTTGAAGTATAAATCCGATGTATTTTTACATAAAATAATAGTTTCATGAAATGTTTTGTATAAGTATATAATTAGAAGAAAAAGCGACAAAACTATGATTATTTTTCATTGAACCATTTTAGAAAAAAGACTTGCACCTACACGTTGTTCAGGTAACTTCGTTAAGTATTTCCCTTTAATCACGTGCATTTATCATTGTATAATATTATGAGACACAAGTTAAAATCCCGCGGTACAACATGACATTATGATTCATTATACATCACATTGTATGATTTAAGAGAAAGGAAATTATTGTCGACTTTGGTGCAGAGTACATATATCTATAAGAAACTTAAAAAGCATAGCGTTTTCTTTTGTTAATAATAAACATTGATAGTCTTTTTAAATAACAATTTTAAATCACTTCGGAAACAAATAATAGTTAATTGTTTAGCTTGCGAACTTGTATATTCCCCGACGTTTCAAGGGGTTAGACCCCTCTTTTTCAAGGAGCTTAATTGTAGTGTATTTGTTAACAATCTTAAATTATATGTTTTGCATAGCATTAACCTCAAATATTAGGAATGATTATAACTGATCAAATGTTATGAAAAAGAATAGATAATATGTGTTTGTAAAAAAAGAAAAGAAAAAATACAGCAAGCTCTTTGTAAAAAAGATGTTTGACACCGCAAAACGCCGAAGATTATATGAAATTATTTGGATATTAACCTTTCTACAATTTTCTCGTCGTCGGAAATTCTGAGTGAATAAGATTTGTACTTATACAGGATAGTGTTCGAATACATAGAACTTCCATTGCTGAAAAACAACAAGACGTTTGTTGTTGAGAAACACGCAAGTTTGTGTGCTATTTTCAGCACTGTTAACCGTATCGTGTGGACACCTGACCTTATATCCTTACTCGACGTTATTTACACCGAAAAAAGCATCTGTTACTGCAAAGTTCATCATAATTTTGATATACACTGTCGACTGGCGACAGAACTATGACGTATTCCTGTATACTAATTAACTCGTTAGCTAATTATCATAGCCTGTCACAAGTAAGCTAGGGCAGTAGGACGTATGACTCCGGTTGGTGGAAACAACTGTTTTCTCTTCACGAAACTTAAGTCGTTTATATTACCAGTTATTTCAATTGCCAGCTTCTGGACAAAGAGGATATAGGATTTAAAAAGAAAACGAATAAGGTACGTAATAATTTTTTTCATATAATTTATCATCTAATATTTAAACGAAGTACATGTTTAATTAAATCTGCTTTGTCAGCAAAGCATGCAATATGCATTTTATTAAGTTAATGTTATAATAAACTTAAAACAGAATGATGAATAAGCCTTGAACAGGATGTGAAAGAGATAAAATTTCGTTGTTTTTGCCTTTAAATTCTTATAGCCTGCCTTCAACCCATAACACCAGAATCAAACTTAAATTTTGTTTAGAAATTTTCTCCATTTAACATGGTATGGGTTAATTTCATTACAAATATCTAGTAAATGCATGTAATAAATAACTAGTAGGAGTGCAAAGGCATATTTAATTGATCTGCATCTTTTTTTGTATTTTCCATGAAATGTATCTTAAATCAGTTATATACTCATTAAAGGTTACTTAACAAGTTGTATCCTGAAACAAATTGAATTTATTAAGACAAAAACTCTTTTTGTTTTATAAAACGTTTATTTCTCGTTATAAAAAATCTGCTAGTTTTTTTCATGGTGCAAAACTGCAAATAAGTTTAGCATAATTAAGCAAAGTGAACATAGACAGGTTTTGTTTTATAAGTGTTTTACACACATAAAAACATGTTTAAAATATTTGGGTTTTATTAAATGCTCAATTTATAATGAACGAATGCCTGTTTTAAGTTTTAAAGTGTCCATTGTTACTTAGAATTTCATGAGTGAAAAAAAATGATGAGAATCTAACAGTAATGTGTACAAAGCGGTCTCACTGAAAATCGTCCCGAAGTTAGACATTATAAGGGTGTGCAAGTTTGGAAGGCTCTGTACTGGGCTACTGGCAACATAGGTCTTTAACCCATAGAGTGCTAGCGGAAACTGAATCTGTCCGAAGACCAGTTATAACAGTGCCGTCTGATCAAGATCTGCACAGTTCGCCTGTCAGCCTATACTTGTTTTGAAAATGTCTCTAACGGATGATATGCTTTGCTCGGATAGAAAGATGAACATGTGCATTTTATAAGTATATGAGCACTGCTTAATAGAATGAGATTATAAAGTAATAACTAGCAACTAATTAATGCTATGTTTTTATATACATGATGATTCTTTTATTTCGAAGAAAATAAACAGAAGCAATTAAACGTACATGTACTGTTTTTAAATTCTTGTTTAACCGCTTTTTTATTGATTGATTGATTGATTGATTGATTGATTGATTGATTGATTGATTGATTGATTGATTGATTGATTGATGATTGATTGATTGATTGAGATTAAACATATAGACATGGTATATAAATCCACAAGACCGTGAAAGGGGCAAAATAGTTCTTACTTTACAACCAAGCATACATACATCACTCATTAAAGACGTAGATAAATAATTGTGCTCCTACATATCCATGTGTACTATCTGAATGTTGTACTATTGGTGCTTTCTAAATGTTTTTCTATAAATAACTACATATACTCTGTATAAAATACAATGTTTACTTAATCTGAAGTCCACAAGGTCAACCTATACCAGATACTGGACGCAAAATTTGCTTCTGCTTTTTTAGACAAAATACATTTTTAACGACATCAAGCATCCTAGGGCCTTGTTGAATTTCTTCCCTCAGCAACAATAGTACCTCTGATTAACGTTGCAACAATGTCTTGTAAACGTGATCGCTTTGATGTTACATGTCGTGAATTAATTTCTTTTAGACATCATTGCAATCTTTTAATATACTACTGACTCATGCGTTAATTACAACGCCATAATACATAATATAACATGAGATGTACTGTTATAAATAAAATTTACATTGAAGTTGTGTCTTGTAACTCGCGTTGTTTAAACCGAGCATTTGCGTATATGAAGACAAATTACAGTTTCTTGTTGCTATATTTACATGCAGCCTTTTAATATACACATTGTCCTTTCATTGCAGTAGGAATGTGTTGATGAAACCATTAGCAGACGACATACTCCACTTGCAGAATGTCATACCATCCCGAGCTGTCCGATGATGAGCAATTGCTAGATCTTCTACGACTAATCGTTACCAGACATCCTAGCGCTACTTCTGCTATAGACAACGCCTTCAAGCACTCGCCACACCTGGCAACCACGTATCTGACCTTCAACTTCCGGGAAAATGGGTCAAGGACACAGCACGAATGCAGATGTCACTATGAGCACGAATATATGACGTACGTTAAAGAAAATGGATTTGACTTTGAAAGTTTCAGTCACATGGCCAAAAATGTAACCAGAGGTCATTGTAGGCATACAACCGACTCGCCGACATCCGCCTCACCTAGCCCAGGTATCTCATCCTTAAAAACGAGTTTTAGTCAAAGGAATTTACGTCGCTACTCCGTCGACTTTGACCTGGCTAATAATAACAAGATAGAGAAAAGGTTGACCAAAAGGCGATCTAGCAGCAGTCTGAAATCTCTAGAGCTAAATGAAAATCATCACGGATTGTCTAGTTTAAGTTCCAGTAGATCCTCTATAAGTCTGAGGTCACTTGCCCTCGAGATAGACGAAGTCGTAGGTCAAACACAAACCAGTTTGATGCATGCGGCTGCTGCTGTTGGAGATGGAGCTCTGCTGATGTTCTTGATGAAGCGGGCTAAAGTTTCACTGGAGCAGATTGGGAAGTTCCAGCTGTCACCATTACATATTGCTATCATAAAACAAAAAATGTGCTACTTAAAGAATATAATACTCCGTCCAGAAATATATCTGTCAAACCGATCTGGTGTATTCAAGCACGCAGAAATTGTCGCCGATAGTCATGGTCTAAAAAGTCTATCTGTAAACAAAATGTCTTTGGTTGGCCTGTGCGTAAAAGTTCGAGATTTAGACACAATGAAAGCAATCTTAAATGCCGGGGTCATGAGTGATATAGCTTTACAGAGAGGACTCAAAGAGGCGATTGAATGCGACAATCTAGAAGCTGTTGAAGTGCTCTTCAAAAACAATGCTCGCCCGGATTTAGACGTTATGAAACTAGCTTCATCAAAATCCGTACCCGTGTTTGAAAGTGTCTTTCGTAGATTTAGGAAAGATTTCAAAATCTACTCCATTCAACACCCAGAACATATAACTCGGGAACTCGTTATGCCCGCAATTCTTACACGAAACTATGGCGCCGTGAATGTGCTCGTCCAAAACGGTGCACCTGTCTCATGTAAAGGTTTTTACACGCCGTTGACCCTTGCTGTCTTAGAAAACCAACCGGATGTGACGAAACTTCTATTGGAATACCACGCCGAGAAAAGTCCAGAACTACAAGGCTGCAATCTCCTTGATATATCTACATGTATGGGATATTCAGAATGCGCAGGTTGGTATATAAGTGAAAATTATTAATACGTGTATATAGTTCTTCTGACATAAATAAGGTGATTTATAGATCTTAGCATATATAAGTTAAATCTTCTTAGAATTGAAGTACATGTAATTATATGCTTACAGTTGCGACTTACAGTAACTTTATAAAGACATTTAAAAATGATATTACACAAAGAACGCATCCACAAGGTTTCTTCGAACAATTTCTATTAAAAAAAAACTACTTGTAAATCTAATTTGATGAAGAAAATTCAATTCAGCATCTTCAAATTTTGCGCAAATGTAATTGTATGACTCTGTGCACTGTTTCGTTTAATATTTTTTCAGACGTGTTGCGACGTTTTGGTCTCAAGCGAAAAACAAAGAATATGAAAGTAACGATCCCTTGCAACCTACTCATTGGTATTGCTAAGAAACTAGAGCTGGCACAGGACATCGTCAAATTACGTCATCAGCTGGAACTGAAGCATCATGGTCATGACGATGGAACTGTTTTACACGTGGCAGTGAAATCAAAACTTAGTCGCCGCTTGTTGAGCGAACTCCTTCGAATGGGATCTAACGTCAACGCCAAAAACAAGAAACTCGAGACGCCATTAATGTGTGCCATTTCGAGTAACGTTAACGCTGATCCCGAGATAATACGAGAGTTGCTTTATTACAACCCCATTTTGGAACAGTGTGATAAATATGGTAAGACCACCTTAGCAATGGCAATGGCGCGTGATCACGCCGAGCGAAGAGAAACATCGCGCAACGGCAGTCCCGCGGAAGCTCTTGATTCTCTTGCAACACTTCTTCTTGACTGTGGATATAACGTGAAGTACGACGATGTTAAAAAGCCGCACCATACCGTTTTCGCGCTGAGGGCTGTTTGGAAAGATTTGGCTGCTACCATCGGGTGTGGGCGGGACGGTTTGTATGTTCAGCAGAACCCTAAGACTCTACAAATGCGATGCCGGGAAGTAGTAAGAAGATCTTACCCGGGTATAAGACTTCATAGATTTCTTGAGCATATGAAAGTGCCTCCTGATATCAATGATTTTGTATTAATGGTAGATTTATTAAGGATGTGATTTGATGCAAAGTAATTTGATATAACATTAACGTGACTTAAAAGTATACCCTAGAAAAAATTCCTCATACGCAAAAAGATATTCAAATTTCACTCAATTTGTACACCATCAAGCGTTTTGACGTTACAATTTTGTTAACCACCATTTAATCATCATTTAACTTACTTAATACGATGATGATATGTGAAATTCACTACTTCAGCTTGCGACCGGTCAAGTATCATTTATTGATAATGAGCGAGGCTTTCCGGATGCTGCAAATGAGAAATTAGTGCGTGAAATATGTAAACAATTATTAACAATGCAACAACGCGCTTTATGTTACATTTTTTTGCTTGTGTTATTGAATTAAGTTATTGAAATGTGCTTAAAACACCACCATTAATGTTGTGTTGTTATTCATAAATGCTTATGCATGTAACATAAATATGTGTTGTTTTTAATGGCAATTAAATCAACGTTGCAAGGTTCTCCGACTTAAGGAATTAATATAAGAAACAGTGCTTTCCTTCCATGTTATTTCCTGCATTTCATTCCTTTGCCTCGTGTCCATTAAGAAAAGGTCAGGATCAAATGATCTGATTTTATTTTCATTGTTTTATAAACTTAAATTGATCGTATTTTGCTAGAATTAAATGGTACATATTCAACATGTAAAAAGTTGATGATTTGCAAAGAAACCAACATATTTTTTGGGATAAAATCAACGAATAACAAAAGAAATACAAAAATATTTGGATAAAGAAAGATCAATTTTAGAATCAAGATCGATATTTGGATCAACTGTAAAATGCTCGTATCTTGCAAAAATAACAATAGATTCATTCTAAAATTTCATAAACATGCTATTTCAAAGTCAATGTCAAATATTTAATATACATTGTTATGAGGAAAAACAATTTGGAATATTTGTTTTTATTTGATCCTGATCCTTAAATCTTTGTGAACACGGATCCTGATGTCTTTCAACTGGCTCTTCGCATGGTTTTTGACAGTGGAGCGGAAACTTACTCTTATCTTTGACAGGAGTGGGTGTGGAATGGGTGTCCCCACGCATAGACTGAGACAATTTTGAAATGCCAGGCTTCTTATATTAGTACTTTTATGGAAGCAGTTTCGAAGAAATAACAACAGTATTTATAAATTATAATTTATATCATCGATTTGCGTTAACGTCTTTTTTTTTTCTTCTTCTTATTTTTTTTTTGTTGTTGTTATTGATCAGATAAACTATTTCAAATACTATTTTAAAAGAACTTTATAATTTTACTTAATTCTAGGCTAACATATAAGATTATTACAAATTTGTCAGTGTAATCAATCACTTCATCCTACAATCATAAGTTCGGAGAGTTCTCACAAAATCAACGCTTAAGGAACTTAAAATTAACCTATCATGTTAATGTTTACATAAAGACGAAAATGTCGAAAAATAATGAAGCTTTCGTTTCTTTATTTAAAATATAAATTATAACATACGCACATACCTGCTAAACGCAATGTTCGAATTCTTAAATAGTATCTTTATAAATTGTTTTCAGCCACGCCTTTCAAAATGGGACTTTGACTTAGGACTTATTCCTTCCCTGTTAATTTTTCGGGAAGTCAAAATGATGAAAGACGGACGGAAAATCTGAAAACAAAGTGATCCCTCGGAAGCATTAATAACAACAAAATTATATGAAAATTGCAGACTCGGTTTGATTTAGTCTGTACATGAGGGATTATGAAAAAGTGCAACATCCATCACGCCCCCTAGCACCGGCTTGAGAGGTACTCAATTCTCAACACTTAATAGTGCTGGCATCAATGATCCCGAAATACCAGAAAAATATAACAAAACTAAAGTAAAACGTGGCAACTTTTTACAGCTGCCACACGGCACTTGACACCTGCTGTTGTGGAGTATATAAATCTGGAAACAAAGTGATCCTCGGAAAGATTTATAACAACAAAATTATACATGAAAATTGCAGACTCAGCTTGATTGAGTCTGTACATGAGGGATAACGAAAAAGTGCAACATCCCTCACGCCCCCAGCACCGGCTTGAGCGGTACTCAATTCTCAACACTTAATAGTGCTGACATCAATTATCCCGAAATACCAGAAAAATGTAACAAAACTGAAGTGAAGTAAAATCAGTTTCTGATCAGGAATCAGAAAGTTACGTTTCCTCCTTGTATCAATTTTATTACAAAGTGAGGCAATGTGATCAGTAGTGCTACTCTTTTTCCTTAAGCCATTCTCTTCATCTACGAGTTAATCATTTCTTTCAACCCATTCTGACAGTCTTGTGTTCAAAACATAACAATAAATTTTGTGCAATGCACATGCTACAGCTATGCCTCTGTATGATAGTGGATCCCTGGGACTTTGGAATAAGATTGATAATCCTTTTACCCCATAAAAAAGAAAATATCCCACTGTCAAAACAAACATTTAATAAAACGTGTAAAAAGAATATTTTTAGTACATGTCCGACGGAATTTCATCGCTACCGACTACTATATCTAGCATTTGTAATTTCCAGAAGGTTAATAGGTAAATTGAAAGGTAATCCAGTAATATCTTCGTTCTCAACAGCTATAACTTATTCAACATGCAGATCATGATTCAACTTAGTACACAACTAAATGAAATCAGCTCTCCATTTACACAATATATCATTTACATTGTTAGATACACTTTCGTCAATAAATCATTGCTTAACTTATCAAATATAATTATATTATGTATAGCTACTGAATTTTATACATGAAATTTGTTAGGGAACGTTTACATATAATAATCAAAGCACAGAAGGCGCTGACTTTGTTTGGGTTATAAACCAATTTGTTTTTGTATAGTGCCACCAATGAGTTTCCAGTGTTATAACTGTAGTAAATTGGCTAATTGCAACTCAATGTTTATTTGGCTTAAACAATTCATACATATAAAAAAGTGAATTGCTTTAACTTGGATTTGAACACCAGACCTATCGCTTCCTAAAGAGCGTGTAACCCTCAACCAGATAACAGCCTGAAGAAAACCACACTATTCTGAATTAGGGTTTGTAACCCTTATTAATTTCGAGATATTTTGTTCACGGTAAACCTGTTGTTTAACACTGATGTAAATAATCATGCAGCTTAATATAAGCATTTATATCTGTAAAGAATTACACAATATTAGAAATCTTCGACCAATCGAGAACTATTTTTTCTTCCCCGGGAAGACTTGAAAATTAATGCGCCTGTCTTTTGACAATCTTTACGCAGTGATCACCCCTTAATTTTTTGGCGTTATATTGTACTTATAAAGGGAAGTAACCGCTTCGAGGAGTTCGGACTACTTTCGATTTTGCAAATAAGGGTCTGGAATTTAGCTGCCATATTATTTGTTTGGTCTGACGACCCAAACAAATAAAAACGATTTTCAAAGGGAATTCTACTCATGTCCAAAGGCCTGACAATATAAAAATTGCTCATTTCTTTTAAAGCATAGTTCATCAGTTACAACTTAATGCTCATTAAGACTTGGAAACAGAAAATATTTCCTTTTGTACTTTCCTTTTTGTTTGTTTTTTTATGGAACTGTACATGCATTATATAAGCATCTATTTTTTTGTAGTTTTTGGTATGTGTTTGATGTCTTACTCTTGTCATAATATGTGTCATATTTTATATAAACATGTACGTCCCGAAACTGGATGACTCCTCAAATACCTTTGTCTCGCATTGCTTATTTAGTCAAACTTACGTATATATGCTGTCAAGCGGACGTTAACACAAGGCCGCGCAACGGCTAGTGAGGGGAATACATTATTCAACACGGGGACATTGCGTGCAGATATAAATGATCGGGATACTTTTTTCGCTCATATTTTTAGCATTGTATGGTCTTTATAAGGAAATGCATTCATTTGAACGTGAAACATCCATAATTCTTTGCAGCACTTTTCAATAATTATGAAAAAAAAATATCAATTATTAAACACCAATAAAAAATAATAGTCTATTATTTTTTGGAATTTAATTTTTTTTTATAATTAGGATTGGCAAATCACTCAGTGAACAGGTAAAAATGAAAATGTTTAACATTTTGCCATATTTTTTATATTTTACCATGAAAAATAATCAATAATGCACGTGACCAGCGCAAATTTCTATCAGTATAATTTAGAATGTATCAACAACCCTCAATTCTTAAAAAGAGTGGGACAGTATTTTTATAATTTTGGGTAGTTTTGAAATTGTATTATAGATGGGCCTCCGTGGCCGAGTGGTTAAGGTCACTGACTTGAGATCACAGGTTCCTCACCGCTATCCAGCTGACTTACGGAAGGTCGGTGGTTCTACCCAGGTGCCCGCTCGTGCCTGAAATAATGCCCGAAGGGACACCTGGGGTCTTCCTCCACCAATAAAGCTGGAAAAAAATCGATGAAAAAATCTCGGCGGGACGCTCTAGGATAGCCCGACTTGAGTGTACGGTCGCCCATATGGGCTTTCCGGCGGCGACCTTAAATAAACGCATTAAAAAAAATTGTATTATAAACATTTTCCATTATCAACAATTAGTCAGTCACAATTATAATAAATCTTTTGAAGTTTGTTACTGGTTCAACTCAACTTGAAAGCGAAAAAAAAATGAGCATAATGTCCCTTAACTAAATCAGAAAGAAAACATTTTTAATGTCTATACGACAATCATTTCAAGAAAATAACAGTATTTTTGGCGTTTTATAAAGATACTACTATATAGTGTGCTCGTTAAACTACATACATGTACGCACAAATAATTAGTAAAGTTAGAATAAACTATCCGTGCGCAGCAAATTATAACCATCCTGCTAAAGACATATATTTCCTTCAACAGACATAAAGAGCCCAACATACTTATAAGAACATCCTAAATAAAGATGCAGGAAAAAATAGCACATATGATGACAATGAGATGCAATGTGCACATATTGTACATGTAATGTGTACATATTGTACATGTAATGTGTAAATATTGTACATGTAATGTGTAAATATTGTACATGTAATGTGTACATATTGTACAATGTAGTCACACACAGTTGTGAGTTAGCAGCTGCAAAACATATTATATGTTATCAATTTACAGAAAATTACAAACAATATTTATATTTTAAACATAGATTTTATAAAAACCACGAAGCATACTGGTTGGGGAGATAACTTCGGCTGGTTGATAAACTCGGCTTTTTATAATTAAATCGAGTACAAAACATGAAAAACTACAAACAGTTCAGTGTGCCATTATCAAATATTATTACATGCTTTTCGGTGGTTTATAAAAATATTTCAGTGAATTAAAACTGGTAATTTCATTGTTTTAAACAGTGAAATTATCAATTTGATAATTTCACTGTTTTGAATTTAAGCCCCTTTATATATTACGTTGTTTCAGTGAAATACCAGCGTGCACAATACTGGGAACAAACTTAATGACGTGACGTCGTAAATGACGTCACGTTGTATTATTATTTGGCGCGCTTTTCATTCAATATTAGGTTTAATGTCGTTTCTTTGCATATAATAAAAAGAAAATTAGTTTAGTTTAGTGTAAGATCGAAATATATTTCACCTTGTGAACACCAAAAGTTCATATTTCACTCGTGGCTGCGCCACTCGTGAAATATACCTTTTGGGGCTCACTCGGTGAAATATATTCCGATCTCACACTGAACTAAACAAATATCCTCTATATAATACGAAGAATGGTATAAAATGATAGCGCTATAGAAATAGTATATCAGTATGCCTATTATTATTCTGAAAAGTACATTGTAATAGTTTCCGGCGTTGAATATGAATATTCATATAATTTAATTAATAGTTAATAATTATTGCGCAGGAAATTATGATACAGTCCCGTGTGGAATTATGTATTGTAAATAAATTGAGACAAGAATTTCTAATTAGTATAGTTTATAAAGTTTGTAATATGATCAAGTAAATTTTCATACAATATTGACCACATGCAGTGTTCAGCTAGTTTATCTTCGGGAAACCCTCAAATTTTTGTACTGGCAGAATTTAAAAGAAAGAAGTCCGACAAGACACCAGTGAAAATATGTTTCACTGCAGTGAAAAATAAATTTCTACAGTGAAAATACGGAAAACGAAAATACGCATTTTATTTCATTAATATTTCGCAATTATTCATTTATAAGTATATAATAAATTAACTATATAATAGATTAAAGATAGATAATATCAATAGCTTACACAAATTTATTCACTAACAAAATAGAAAAGCAATACAACCGTCTGGGTCACATCATTACTGAAACATAGCAGCGATCGGCTGGCCGTAACAGTCAATGGTTAAATAAGGCGATGTTTAAAATAATTAAAATATTTTTTGAAAACTACAATGTAATTCTACATTGTTTTCTTAAAAAAGTCAAATATTTCATAAGTCTCTTGGATATCTTTTACTGGGATATTAACGTTTTAAAAACGCATAAAATTTAGTCAGTCCTGTGTTAAGCAGCAAAACTCGGGTTTCTAATTTGAAAATTTTGCAAAAACAAAATTACTATGTCATTTCAGAGCCATTTAAATTCTCCTCATGTAGGCCAGACTACTGTATTGTAACATGGTCAGTGATTGGCTGCAAAAAAATGTAGGGAAAATCGTAAAATTCAATGGGACAGCAGATGATTGGGTGAAAATGTGATGTTTACAAGTATGGAAATATTTAAGAAACTAAAACAACATTTTTTTAATGCACTGTTACTTAATTTAGTCTCTATGAAAACTTTTCACTTGTATATTTGCATTTAAAAAAGTATACGATTTGAAACCAGCAAGAAAACAACAAATGAAACTTATGGAACAAAAAATGTCATAAGCTATAACATATAGGTGTTTTCTGCTGTATGGCACAAGGAAACAACAATATATTCGATCAAAGTCAATTTTAATGGACCAAACGTAGGTCTACCATGTGTCGACCATTTTGAAAACAGTATGTCATCATTATACCCCCAAAAACGAAGTTTGGGGGGGGGGGTATATAGGAGTCACCCGGTGGTCGGTTGGTCGGTCGGTCGGTCGGGCGGTCGGTCGGTCGGTCGGTCCAGACGTCCGTTGCATTTTCCTTGTCCGGAGCATAACTTGAAGACTAATGGTTGGAATTCAATATAACTACATACAATGGTCAAGCACATTGAGAGGAAGTGCAGTGCACAAGAACCATAACTCTATCTTGACTAATTACAGAGTTATTGCCCTTTGTTTCTTTTCCTTGTCGGGGGCATAACTTGAAAACTACTGGTTGGAATTCAAAACAACTTCATACAATTGTCACACACAATAAGGGGAAGTGCAGTGCATAAGAACCATAACTCTATCTAAAGTAATTACAGAGTTATTGCCCTTTGTTGCTTTTCCATTGCTTTTTTTTGTCCAGACCATAACTTGAAGACTAATAGTTTGAATTCAATATAACTACATACAAAGGTCATGCACATTGAGAGGAAGTGCAGTGCACAAGAACCATAACTCTATCTTGACTAATTACAGAGTTATTGCCCTTTGTTTCTTTTCCTTGTCCGGGGCATAACTTGAAAACTACTGGTTGGAATTCAAAACAACTTCATACAATTGTCACACACAATAAGGGGAAGTGCAGTGCATAAGAACTATAACTCTATCTAAAGTTATTACAGAGTTATTGCCCTTTGTTTCTTTTCCATTGATTTTTTTGTCCGGACCATAACTTCAAGACTAATGGTTGGAATTCAATATAACTACATACAATGGTCAAGCACATTGAGAGGAAGTGCAGTGCATAAGAACCATAACTCTATCTTGACTTATTACAGAGTAATTGCCCTTTGTTACTTTTCCTTGTTCGGGACATAACTTGAAAAATTTTGGTTGGAATTCAAAACAACTTCATACAATTGTCAAACACAATAAGGGGAAGTGCAGTGCACAAGAACCATGACTCTATCTAAAGTAATTACAGATTTATTGCCCTTTGTTACTTTTCCATTGTCTTTTTTGTCCAGACCATAACTTGAACACTAATGGTTGGGATTCAATATAACTTCATGCAATGGTCAAGCACATGGAGAGAAAGTGCAGTGCACAAGAACCATAACTCCATCTTGACTTATTACAGAGTTATTGCCCTTTGTTACTTTCCCTTGTCCAGAGCATAACTTGAAAACTACTGTTTGGAATTCAATACAACTTCATACAGTTGTCAAGAACATTAAAAGGAAGTGCAGTGCACAAGAGCCATAACTCCATTTTGACAAAATACAGAGTTACTGCCCTTTGATACTTTTCCTTGACAGGAGCATAACTTAAAACATACTGGTTGGAGTTCAAAACAACTTCATACAATGGTCAAGCACAATAAGAGGAAGTGTAGTACACAAGAACTATAACTCTATCTTCAGTATTTATAGAGTTATTGCCCTTTGTTCCTTTTCTTTGTCTTTCTGGACTTATTACAGAGTAATTCAATTAAACTTCATCAATGGCCAACCACATTGAAAGGAAATGCAACACATAAGAACCACAACTATCTTTAATTGCCCACAACCACAACTATATTTCAATTCTTTTACAAGGAATTCTGTTACTAGTAACATCCTCATTTCCGAAGCAGTCTTGTGGGGGTATTAATCACATTTAGTGATAGTTCTAGTTTAAATCGCAGTAATCGTGTTACATACAAGTTTTTTTTTCATGTTTCAGTTACAATTTCTACATGTTAATTTGATTGATTTTAAATATTCAAATTATCCTTACTTTGTACATAACTCAAAATTTATTTTTTCAACAAACAAGGACATTTAGACAATGATGTTTGTTTCAAACATTCGCACAAATTTAATGGACTATTATTGCTTTTTGCAGAAATTTGTAAAATGTTGTTCTGTTTTACGTAAAAATCTAGAGATTTTAAAACTTTGTTGTATAGGTGTATGAATAAAAAATGTCAATTCTGACCAATTTTAACACTGGTCACATGAAAATATGCCATTAGGCCTACCGTGAAATAAGTGATGACGCGGAATTAGTGATGTTGAGTGTATATGTCAGTCCTGTGACCAGCAAAAAAGAGGGGTAATTTGGTCTGTCAACCCTATGTAACAAGATCACCAGAAATTTCACATCTTTAGCATGAATACCCATATACAGTAGTCTGACCGAAAGAAGCCGGACGATTATTTCTACGCATGCGCGTGTTTCCGCCATACCAGCATTCCAAGCGGGAACCAGTGTCGAAAAAGAAAGAAACGAACGTTGCCGTATAAGTTTTACTTAACTTAAGGAAACAAAATGAGCGAAAATGGGGTAAAAATATAATAAATAAAAACATTGAACGGAAGCCATTGCTTCATTATGCTTGTGTAACATGCCTTTGTTAGAATTGACAATTTTATATTTTATAACATGTTTTCGCGATGTATTTATGAACGGCGTTTCTTGTTTTATGGCATTTTCTAGTCATAATTATAAGACCTATACGTCACCTATTTCATATTTATCATTTATTAATCCTATATTTTTCATTTTCCATGTTACGTTAGGTCTTAACAGATCTTTGCAAAATCGTGTAGCAAAAAAATTGACATTAGACATCGATTTAGATCTAGTGCATTTAAACAATTAAGACAGCGTGTATTTACATTAATTTTGACCTATGTATGATCAAAACTAAAAGATAAATACCTTTTAACAAAATAACTAAACTGTCACATCCGAAAAGTCATGATTTAATCCTCTCATTTAATTAAATTCCTTGTACAGCGGATATACAAAAGGCCGCCATACAGTGCGCGAAATCAGATTGGCTAATTCAAATGCAAGCGTTTTAATGAGTCCAGAAGTTTCTAACGGAATATTTTTTCAACGAAATAATTGCCCATGCACCGTCAGTGTGTTCGAATATATTTTTCCGTTCAAAAACTTGGAAGCAATCTGTAAAACGCTTTACTTAACCAGTATGGCCGATAGGAGAAATAGATTGATGTTTATATTTTAATTTTAATTGATAAGTACATTGTTTGAGAGTTTTTGTTAATGATAGACCATGCAATTGAAAGAACAGAAGATAAGCTTTTGAATAAAGCTTGAAAGGCAAGTCAACAGACATTTTTTTAATTTTTCAAAATGCTATGCTTTTATGAGCAATAACTATTAGACGTCAGGCTTGACCAACATAAAACTATATAACAAGTCTGTAACGTCTAATATATTGGACTAGGCATTTTCCTGAAGTATCATGGATTATACTTACCTACCAGCCTTTAATAGACACACATACAGATACATCTTTTGATATGGACCAGGATCAGTTCAGGCAAAGGGTGTCGTGTCATGAGCATAAAGGGTGTTTTAAAACATATATTTTATTCTTTTATTAACACTATCCTCTTCTCTCTGTAGGATGTAGCATCAAGGTCACCTTCCCATCATGATTCACCGGCACCATCTGAAGGTTCAAGGAAAAAGAGATCCAGATCTAGATCAAAATCATACTCTAGGTCGAGGTCAAGGTCACACTCCCGTCATCATAGAAGGAGAAGATCATACTCAAAGTAAGTTTTGTAGGATAATGATATTTTTTTGAAAATTAAGAAAATAACTAGATGTGAAGAATTATACTGTTGAAATGCATTAACTATTTCACTTTACCAAATATACAGAGATTTTTCTTACTCAAATTATAGGTAGCAAAAATAGAATTTTTGGTATTAAGAATCTCTTTATGAACAGTAAATTCTATCTAATTTTGCATACTGCATCCAAAGTTTTGCTGGGATTGTGTATAAGTGGATAAAGATGACGAAGGTTTAAGTCACTCATTTTAAAGCATGCTGCCTTAAAAGCTGTTTAGAGAGACCTTTTGTTTTATCTTGTTTTATCATTCATTTTAGATCTAGGAGCAGGTCACGATCCAGGCGCCGTTCAAGAAGTCCAAAAAGGTCAAGACGGTATGTTTTCATATTTTACATCAAACTTACCATATTGACACAATACAAAAAAGTTTGAAGAAATTTACATTTGTTAAACATGATTGCTTGTGCTTTTTCTTATATTTATGATATGAAAGCTGTATATCACCTCTATAATGTTGATGTAACATAAAATTTACACAAAAAAAGATAGTATCGTTGGGCTACATGTAGTTGTTGAGGTTGCTGACTATGATATAGCCTTGTTCCTAAATGTACTAATTGTCGGTTGAAATTAGAAATGTCACTAAAATTGTTAAATTTTATGTTGATAATAGATAGATGATATAATTTTTTGTTGTTAACACCATTTATTATGTTTGCTTAAAGAATTTGATAATTGCAAGTTATTCAATACATGTTGGATTATCATTAATACTTTGCCATATAAGCATGACTTAAAGGAACTCCACTGAGGTCTAAAAACATAAAATTTAAATTTCTAACATCTGGGGCAGTTAAAACAGAAAGACATATGCGAAATATAGGTAATAAATATATAAGAAATGAAATTAAAGTTGTGTCTTTGTCTTTTCTTAATCGGATTTGAGTGACAAGAGTAAATCACTAAATTAGTATAATAATTCTGGAAAAAACATGGAGTGAATTCTCAAATTTTGCACACGCTATTGGTCTAGACTCTATGAGATGGAACATAAATCTCAGAAATATTATTGCTTGTCCCTTCATGTAAAAAGTGGAGTCCCTTTAAATGAGCATGATAATACTTTTAAATTCAGAGAAATATTGGTTTTAATATTTACCTTTGTCATATATATTAAATCATTTGTATTTGTTGCAGATCAAGAAGCAGGAGGTAAGTGGTATATTCATTTTGTTTTGTTCATTGTGACCTTGTTTTCATTAGTCAGTCGATTACATGTACTTACTGCAAACCAAAAAGCAGGTTAGCAGTGGTTTTAATTTCAATACACATCTAAGTTTATGATTATGTATTTTTAATTGAAACATCACATTAATATAAAAACAGACAAACGATAATTTTCATAAATATATTATGCTAATCTCTTAACATGTATTACATGGTCAAATGTATTCAATGATGATAATTGAGCAACTGTTTGCAGCCGTGACCGTCGCAGTAGAGACAGGCCTGGTCGTGGCCGACGTGATCGTACTAGAAGTAGATCACCCATGTCATCACGACGAAGACACGATGGAAACAGGGTAAGAATTCTTTCAAAAGGTATCTCTTAAAATTCTATATAATTTCTTATAAGAAATCATGAGATACTTTGGATTTTGTGGCAGTAAGAAGTGTGTAAATGACTGAGTAGCCCAGTGTAGCTGCATAATTTTCTTATTAAAAAAAAGATTTATAAAAAATTAATGATTAGTTTTGACTATGTTATATTTATGTATTTGTTGATATTTTACTTCAAGTACCAAAATTCCATGTATTTTTGCCTTCTATGTTTCACTGAACAAAGATAAACAGCATTGTATTGGAATAGAATATTGGATGTTATACACATTGTAATTTCATAGACTTGACAACAAGTCTTAAAGGCATACATGATCACAGTTTAACATTTTTTGGCACAAGTTTAATGTTGACAAGATTATAAAATACTGCTTTACCAAAAAGCAGCATCTTAGCATTAGACTCCTGTAGAATAATTTAGTTGTTGCAGCAAAGTTTTCACCAAAAATCTTTCCTTATCTATATACACTTTTGTTGTTTGTATTAAATATTAAAAAGAAAAGAAGGGTTTTATATGGTCCCTTACATTTTGACTTATATTGTTTTATAAAGGATGATCCGGAGCCTAGCAAATGTCTAGGAGTGTTTGGTTTGAGTCTGTACACACAGGAGCGGGACCTGCGGGAGGTGTTTGGACGGTACGGGGAAATGGAGGAGTGTAATGTTGTATACGACAGACAGAGTGGAAGATCGCGAGGATTTGCTTTTGTGTATTACAGGAATATTGATGACTCCATAGAGGTTTGTTTTAGAAATAAAGTACTGAAAGGTTTTGTACAGTCTTAAAAAAATACTTATAGTTGAGTTCTGCTCAGAAAATGCTTACAAACAGGAAAAGAAGTTTCTGATTTTTGTATTTGAAAAAAGTGTTTGAAAAGTGCTTAAATTTGTCTGAAAAATGTGCTTGAAATGATAAGGTCAGCACAGTGCATTATAAAAAAGTAGAGATTTTTCAACAAATGAGCTCATATCATATGTGAGAAAATCAATAAAACATTTAAATTTCAAGTGGTAACACTAAGCCATATTGTAAAATGTTACATTTAAAGGTGATAAAGCAGTCAAAGTAAAGTCGTCAATGTTTTATAATTATGACTGTTTTTAGTTACTCAATCATCATAAGTAACAAGTGACACATGTGCGTCAAAAAGTGACTGGAAAAATTGGATAAGATGCTTAAAGAATGCTTGCAGTTTAGTATTGAATTTCTGTTTGAACCCTGGCTGAAATTTAATTAATTTTCCATTGTGATGCACCTATATCCAGCAAGTCTGAGGATAGCGAGTGTTTCTTTTCTGGCAACAGGCTGCGATTTTTGGTCATCTTTACATATTAAAACTAAGACATGTCCATATGACCTCAAATGTGTTGGATGTGTTGTAAAATCCCCATTACTTACACACAAAAAATACATGTTTTTTCAACTCATTTTTTCAGGCGAAAGACAGATGTTCAGGATTGGAAATTGATGGAAGAAGGATACGTGTTGATTATTCAATAACAAGACGGGCTCATACCCCTACTCCTGGCATATATCTAGGCAAACCAACAAGGTGATTATATTTTTGAGAATATTTGTATCAGTAATTGATCAACTTGCATTTCATTAAAAAAATACCTGAAAAAAAGGATTTTTTTTCAAGAGAGGTCAATCCACAAGCATAAAAGCTCTTTAGGTCTCACAAGATATTAAAATTCAATAAAAAAGCATGCAATTCAGTATCAATATCAAACAGCAGAAAAAGTTATTGAGACAACTGATAAAATGGTATTTGATTTACTCAGGTACACAATGTAAGCAACTTGTGCTAATAGGCTATCCAGAACCCTGAGTGGGAACAAGAGAAACATTTTTTAACTAAAAAATTTTGTGGACATTTGTTTATCTTATTTAAGTATTGTGATTCTTTTTTACAGCCGAAGCGAGAGATATGAGGGCAGAGATCGCTATGACGACGGTTACCGAGGCAGCTACAGCAGACATCGCTCTCCATCTCCATATAGACGTCGTAGACATTCGTATTCCAGATCTAGATCGAGGTCATATTCACCACGTATGTATCAATGTTTTTTACACTTTTCAAACATTTCCATTATGAATTATAGTATTTTGTCCCTTGCTGCTGTGTTACAAAAATTGCTATTTCTTGTAGGATAAATGTTTAAGAAGAAAACTTTGCATATAGTTCCTACTTTCCTTCTATACAAGATTGATGAGGAGTTGAAGGATGTAGAACAGATTGGATAAAGGCACTGATTGTTGTATATTCTAATAACTTGCCCTTTTTGTAAAATATTTTTAAAACTAGCTTTTTTCGCAAATCTTCTAAGTTTCAACATCCAGATATGTGATATTACCAAAAATCAACCTCTTTTTTTTATCAGCGATGTAGAATTCAAAGATGCTTTGCAGCATAAAATTAAAGGAGTGTTTGTGTTTGTTTTACTCTACAGGTCGGTCTTATTACTGAAGGTATAGAATGAGGTCGTGGATCAACTCTTGTCATCATCATTGTCATCACTCATCATCACAGTTGTCATCAGCATAATACTTCATTTTATCATCTTTTGTTTGTGTTTGATCTTTTTTTTTTCAAGAATTTCTTGTTTTTTATATTTTGTTTTGATGATTTTTCATTGTGTCTATAACACAAAACTTGAACAAAAAGTAGCACATGTATAATATACACGTGTAATATGATCAATATTTGTAGTGTTTTACATTGTTTTAAATCTTGTTAATCATCATTTTGTTAGTCTGTACTAAAGGAGTTCTCAAGTCACTTTTTTTCTGTACTAAACAAATAGATTCCTTAGCACTTTGAAAATGCTCAGCATTGCACAGCCAATATTGACTGTCTTTATACAATTAAATAAGATCTTTATGACTGTTGAAATATATATCCATGGTTGTTAAAAAAACTAGCATTATTTGTCTGCATCAAGATTACAGGCTAACTTTTTTTCCACCGATTTTGTTACATTTTTTATTTAAATTAAGTATTTGGCAGAAATATGAAATTATTGAAAATTTTACAAGCAATCTGTATAAACTTATATAATGATGTTTTCATGACGGTAATCACATTAATGCTTTAATCAAGAGAGTAGTTTCTTGAAATGGATAAATTGTTTACCAGGATATGTTAAAAAATCAGCTCAAGTAGTGCATTTTTTATATTGCTTAACTGGTTTTATGATGTAAGTTAGTAGTTAAAGTCAATTTGTACATGGTCACAATATTTTGTTTACCTGGAAATTTATAATGAGGGTTTTAATTTTGTCCTTTGGATTAATTTTGATATTTGGCTTAATACTTTTTATGCCACCGCAGCATCTGCGATGCGGTGGCATATAGCGATTCACCTGTGTGTGTGTGTGTGTGTGTGTGTGTGTTTGTTTGTTTGTTTGTGTGTGTGTGTGTTATATAGATTATATAGTGAACTTAAAAAATCTTCTTGTGAAAAACCACTAGTCCAATTTCAACCAAACTTGGCAGGATTGATCCTTGGGTGAAGGGCTTCCAAAGTTGTTCAAAGAATTTAATTCCATGCAGAAATCTGGTTGCCATGGCAACCAAAAGGAATTATAAGAATAAATTTAAAAAATCTTCTTGTAAAGACCCAAAAGGCCTAGAGCTTAGATATTTTGCATAAGGCATTGTCTGGTAGACCTCTACCAAGATTGTTCAAATTATAGCCCTGGGGTCAAAATCGGCCCGGCCCCGGGGGTCATTGATTTTCACTATATGTACATATAGTAAAAACTTAAAATACCTTTTTGTAAAGACCCATAGGCCTAGAGCTTAGATATTTTGCATAAGGCATTGTCTGGTAGACCTCTACCAATATTGTTCAAATTATAGCTCTGGGGTCAAAATCAGCGATGCCCCGGGGGTCATGTATTTTCACTATATGTACATATAGTAAAAATTTAAAATACCTTCTTGTAAAGACCCAAAAGGCCTAGAGCTTAGATATTTTGCATAAGGCATTGTCTCATAGACCTCTACCCAGATTGTTCAAATTATAGCCCTGGGGTCAAAATCGGCCCGGCCCCGGGGGTCATTGATTTTCCTCATATTTACATAGTAAAAACTTATAGTAAAAACTTTAAAAAAATTTCTTCTAGCAATTGACAAATGCTAGAGGTTAGATACTTTGCATGAAACATTGTGAAGTGAACCTCTAGCAAGAATGTTCAAATAATAGCCCTGGGGTCAAAATTGCCCCCGTCCCGGGGTCATTGATTTTCAATATATACATATAGTAAAAAATCAAAAAAATCTTATTGTCTGAAGGTACAAGGCTTAGAGCTTTAATATTTGTTAAATGATATCATCTATAGGTACTCTACACAAAGTTGTTCAAATTTTGCCTCTAGTGTCAAAATTAAAAGTGAACTTTGATATCAGCTGACCTAGATTTTGACAAAGTGTATTACATGTTGTCCTTTGATACAGTCATGAAATTTTAGGCTGTGTGAAATATGACCTTCACCACCAAATTCACTAGACTCAAGTGCATTGATATATTCCTACTCTGATCTTTTATTGAGTTAACAATAGATTTAACCACTAATCTGATAATAAGAATTAGATATGCATTATGACAATCTTCAATTGTATAGAAACAAAAAAAATCTGTTCCTACACTACTATTTAGTGTTGTATTAATGCGGTGGCATAGCATTTTTCTCAAATGCAATCTTGTCTTTAGCTTAATTTTCTTACTAAAATGCTTCATATAATCTTGATCTCTTAAAGGTGGCCAGTGTAAATGTATTTTTCAAAGTGAAAAACTTTCATTCAATCCTGAACTAATTTTAAAGTTTAATAATTTAAGTCCGGAAATAAAGAAAAAAATTCCAACTGAAACTACTTTTGTAAAATGTTATGATTTGAGGTTTTCTATATTCGATGTTATGTTATTGAAATAGATTCAAATGTACATTCTTGTAATATTTTTCCAAATCAAAGTGTGTCTGTACGTAAAATATATTGGCCACCTTTAACTAACTTGCTGAAACCAAAATTATTAGCTCTGTCAACCAATTTAGAGTAGGACTAGTCTGCACATCCATGCAGTTTGACTGGGTCCTATACTATAAACAGCTGAATTTTTTTCGTGGTATTTTGATATGAAATCCTTTAAATTTTTAATGGATTAATCTAAACACAAGAAGCTGAGAAATTCATCATGTTGGTTTGTGAGACATGGTGTAGTAAAATTCTTCATATCTAACTAGAGAACAGTGTGTAATAGATGTATTTTTACTGAAGGCTTGAAGAAAGAAAATCGAAGAATAAAGCTTGAAGATTGAAAATTTGGAAAAGTTGTTTATTGATGATAAAAAATGGCCGAAATTCTGAGTTAGTGCAGATGTCATAAGTTTGAAGATATTGAAGAAATAAAGTTAAGTAGACGAAGAAAAGGGAGGGGCTGTGGAAGGCCATGAAGAGTGGTTTCTGGAATTTCATTTCTTGGTAAGATCCAGAAAAAAAAATCACAAATTATTTCTAGACAGTTTTTGAAGAAATAATTGTACTTCTGTCTCTTGGGTTTTTGGTATAAAAGTTCACTCTAAAAATGGGTAATGCATGCATTTTTAGCTCGACTTTTCTATGAAAAGGGGAGCTATCCTACTCGCCCCGGCGTCGGCGTTGGCGTCACACCTTGGTTAAGTTTTTCGTACCACCCCACTTTATTTCAGAAGTATTACAAGTATGGCTTTGAAACTTACCATACTTGTTCACCATCATAACCTCCATCTACAGACAAGAGTACATAACTCTGTCAAGGTTTTTGACAGAATTATGGCCCTTTTTTGACTTAGAAAGTGTATTGAGCTTGGTTAAGTTTTTTGTACCACCTCACTTTATTTCAAAACCATTGGAGGTATTGCTTTGAAACTGACCATACTTGTTTACCATCACGACCTTCATCAACAGACAAGAGGACATAACTCTGTCAAGGTTTTTGACAGAATTATGCCCCTTTTTGACTTAGAAAATACATTGAATATGGGTAAAATCCACTTATTGCCTTAACCCTTTGAGATATTGCTTTGAAACTTTTAATGCTATTTCACATCATTACCCCCATCTGTACGCAAGAGAAGGTAACTCTGTCAGGGATTTGTTTTAAAAATTAAGGCCTTTTATCGACTTAGAATCTTGGTTAAGTTTTTTGTACCAGTCAACTTTTTGACTGAACTGGTTGAGATATTAAATTGAAAGTTGGAATACTTGTTTACCATCATGGTCCCAAACATGGGCAGGAGAAGGTAATTCTGTTAAGGATTTTATTTGAATTATGGCCCTTTTTGACTTAGAAACTCAGTTAAAATTTTCATTCTTGTCCACTTGTTGACCTAACCATTTGAGATATTACTTTGGAAGTTGGAGTTCTTATGTGCCATCATGAGACCTATCTGTAAGCAAGAGAAGATAACTCTGTGAAAATGTTTCTTGATTTGTACTTAGAAATTCCTAGTTAAAGTCTTGTGTGCCCTTAACTGTCAAAGTTTTGTTTTATAGGCAAGCACTAAAAAAGTCGAGCGCGCTGTCCTTCTGACAGCTCTTGTTTTTATTGTAATTGCAAGAGGGCATAGCTTTTAGTAGAACCTTTTCTTAGAGTTTGTTTACGCAGCTCACTATTTTGTTTATATTGCAAAGGGTTTTGAAGAAAGAAAATTGAGAATATTTTGGATAGAAAGAAGGAAATAGAAAAATGAAGAGAAATAAGAAGAAAAATAGAATAGAAAGAAAAGGGAATGAAATAGAAGAAAGAAACAAAGAAGAAGATAAGATGGTAAAATATTCAAAACTGTCTGTCAACTTTATCATAAACTTTATGGTAATTTCTATTGCCAATAAATTTTTCATTATTAAGACCCAATTTGACAAAGATTGATAAAACTTCCAGTTCAAAGTGATGTACACTATTGCAGTGTAACAGTAAATGTTCATAAATAGAAATTAATTCTTTTATACATTTATGTTGACAGATAGATTTGAATATATGAAATAATATGTATAATTATGTGTCTGTCCGGGCAAAGAGGTTGATATTCTTGTTATGAAATTGATGGTAGTTATATTTTTCTTCTTCTGAAAAACTGCTTAAGAAACTACTGTTCTAGGATGATAACTTGGCAATTTGTTTACAAAGATCGCAAAAAAAAAAAAAAATTGTGTTGTTATCAACTCAAATTTCATTATGTGATTTCATTATTGGATAATAATGAAGATTTACCTTTTAACAGACTTTTTCAAGTTTATGTTAAAACCAAAATTATCATCCTAATACAGTAACCTTTTTGTAGGATTTAGAAATTCTTATTTAGATATTCTTGTGCAGTTAGCCAATTGAAGTGACCTGCTCTGTTTTTTTGGTAACTATTCCTCCAGTGACATGACAAAGTTCACCAATTGTGGGGGAATAAAAAAAATAGTTCTTTATTACAGGTTGATTGATTTAGAACGTTTTATATTGTTTAAATGTGACATCTTATGGGAACAATCTTATGAGAAAAAGAAATGTGCTGAGACTGACTTTATATCACCGTGTTAGTACATTTGTGGTTTTTTAACATACAGAATTGACTGTATCATGTAGCATACTGTTTTACAGGACAACATTGGCCAGTGTATACCCAGTGCTGGTATTCCTCCTGCCATAATCAACATTACATGTATTAATCTTGTTGTTCCATCGTATACTATTCTATGAATAAATAATGAATTCTGTGTAAAGCAAGCATATTGTTGTATTCTGTTTATCACTAAAGTTTTTTTTTATATTGTTTTTAAGCTAAATGCTTTGTCCATGTACGAATACACATGTTAGCCTACAGTTAAACCCCTTTTGTGGACCTTGTCATGAAAATTTCTTTGTAGACTTGTGAAATAATACACATAATGCACAATTGGGCACTTTGTCTCCCTCCACCAGTAAGCTGGAAAATCACCATATGACCTTTACTTTGGCTGTATGGCTTTAACGTCCAACAATAGAAGCAACTTTAACCAGAAGTTATACTGGTGTGGATTGAGGAATTTGAAATAAAATTCCACATAGGGGATTTGAAGACACAACCTCTTAACAAGAGCAATTGGTGATAACATGTTGCCTCATGATAGCCAATTGCATGTTGCAGCTACTGTGTAGCAGGACAAAAAAAATCATAAACTGGGCAACACCTGTTTCTGTGTCAAGGGCCATAGCTCTGCCAAAAACCATTCAATCAGAAAATACTTAAGGTACCCATCCGTGCTGTGAAGTTTCACTTAAATTGCATTAGTACTAAAAGGAGAAATCCAAACAAAACAAAATTTTTTTTATAAAGTCATGAAAGTGCCAGAACTCTGACGAAAATCATTGAACTGTAAAATGCTGATATGTATAACTAAACTTGGTACTGATAATTTCTGTCAAGTTAAAATGAAATTGCACTCGTAGTTTCTGAGTAGTTCTGACAAGCTTTTGTGTTGCTGGCAACACAAAAAAAAACAACCTTTCATTCAATGGCTATAATTTGGCATAAATCATACAAGCGGGAAACCCATGAAATATGCACAAGTTCTTTAGCTACTGATTAATATTGAAATTGCATTAATGGTATAAGAGAAGTCTTGGCAAACTGAAAATAAATGTATAAATAAGTGTAAGCCTAGATCTATCATTACTACAAAGATTATGATGATCAATAGTGTAAGTCTAGGTCTATCATTACTACAAAGATTATGATGATCAATAGTGTAAGCCTAGATCTATCATTACTACAAAGATTATGATGATCAATAGTGTAAGTCTAGGTCTATCATTATGGCAAAAGATTATGATGATCAATAGTGTAAGTCTAGATCTATCATTACTACAAAGATTATGATGATCAATAGTGTAACGATTATGATCAATAGTGTAAGCCTAGGTCTATCAATACTGCAACGATTATGATGATAAATAGTCGAAGCCTCAGTCAAGATAACATTATTGCCAAGCCACAATTATAAATGATTATCAATACAGGCTGTCCAGTACCTTCTGACAAAAAATTAGGGCAATTTTTAAAAAAATTTAGGGCTAAAATTAGGAATTTTAGGGTAAATAAAAGAAATTTTAGGGCTAAAATTTGGAATTTCATAACTAAATTATGGCCTCAAAGACAATGATATGGGATCAACTTTGCATATTTGACACAAAAGTAACTCACAAATAATGCTATAGTTCAGTTATATCAAAGGTGTTACCAGTGTTCCATGGTCACCAGTGAAGAAATGGATTCACTGGTTAACTGCCTTTAAAAAGAGCTGAAAAACTACATTAAAACATAACTAGAATGAAAACATTTTCAAAGTTATAAGTATCCTGGAACAACCAATATTCAATTAGTTAAGCTACGATTAGCCAATAATAAATGGAAGGGGAAATTATGCTTTAGATTTATTTTAGCTATAAAAGCATTTATTATCAACATTTATTCATTTTAAGGTTGGTACATTTTCAACAAGTCTTGATCTTTTTTAAAAAAACAATAAAAACAGTATGACCAACTCAAGTCATTCCCAGGAATATTAAAACTTAAATTCAAACAGCAGGGTATACACCTATGAAGAATTTGTTCAAGATAAATCAGGCTACTAAAAATTGTAGAAATTTCACAAGTGTCAGTTTTTTTTCCAGATTTTAAAAAAACTTACACTATATGTTATAACATATGTTCAGTACATGTTAATGTGTACAAAAAGGACAGCTGAATGTATCACTTCTTAGTACCCTAATTGGGAAGCAAAATGGTTAAAGCATCCAATCATTACTGCCAGCTTACCTTACCTACTTAGCAATGGAAACTAAGTCTTGTCTAGATCTGCCAGCTGGAATCACTTACCAAAGATCTGTTCTACAGTCGTCACTTGAAAATAACTTGATTACAAATTAAGATTTTATTAATAAGGACCCCTACATAAAGTTTGATGAAATTTAGTGGTTCATTATGTAAATAGTTGCTTTAAATACACGTACACCTAAGACTGAGGTAAATGGTTAAACTCTGTAGCCAATAAAAATGTAACTTCCTTGGAATTTTTTTCATCACAATTTTAAACTGGTGACTATTTTGATATAGTCAAAGTCGGACAATTTTCATTGTTCTACAATGGATTTAAAACAAACAGTTTCATATTATTTTTCTGATAACATCTGGTAATTAATCAAGTGTGCCATTTCTGCAGGAGTTGAAGTAAATACAACATGTGACTTTATGCAATTTAGTCAGACATGACATCAGCTCCACTGACTGTGTTCGAATTTAAGTTGTGATTGAAACATGGTTGTTTCGCAATATGTTTATCACAAAAGATAAAAACTAGAACTGTGTCCAAAGGACACGGATGCCCCCACTGACAATTTATATATGGTATATAGTGAAAAAATCAACAAAGGGCCATAATTCTGTTAAATTTGGTCGCAGCAAAAATTCCTTCCTTTACTACCATCTACACATTAAGGTTGATCATCCCTGGAAGTTTAAGCAAAATCTGCCATCCGGTTTAAGAGGAGTTGCGTTCACAAAATTTCTATATGGTATATAGTGAAAAAATCAACAAAGGGCCATAATTTAGTTAAATTTGGTCGCAGCAAAAATTCCTTCCTTTACTACCATCTACACATTAAGGTTGATCATCCCTGAAAGTTTAAGCAAAATCTGCCATCCGGTTTAAGAGGAGTTGCGTTCACAAAATTTCTATATGGTATATAGTGAAAAAATCAACAAAGGGCCATAATTCTGTTAAATTTGGTCGCAGCAAAAATTCCTTCCTTTACTACCATCTACACATTAAGGTTGATCATCCCTGGAAGTTTAAGCAAAATCTGCCATCCGGTTTAAGAGGAGTTGCGTTCACAAAATTTCTATATGGTCTATGGTGAAAAAATCAACAAAGGGCCATAATTCTGTTAAATTTGATCGCAGCAAAAATTCCTTCCTTTACTACCATCTACACATTAAGGTTGATCATCCCTGTAAGTTTAAGCAAAACATGCCATCCGGTTTAAGAGGAGTTGCGTTCACAAGATTTCTATATGGTCTATGATGAAAAAATCAACAAAGGGCCATAATTCTGTTAAATTTGATCGCAGCAAAAATTCCTTCCTTTACTACCATCTACACATTAAGGTTGATCATCCCTGTAAGTTTAAGCAAAATCTGCCATCCGGTTTAAGAGGAGTTGCGTTCACAAGATTTCGGGACGTACGGACGGACGGACAGACGTACGGACGGACAAGTGCAATGCTATATGCTCCCACTCTGTGGGGGCATAAAAATAGGAATTTAAGTGAAAAAATAGGGCTTTTTTAAGAATTCCCTTTGAATTTTTCATTTTTTTTTGGAATTTTAGCCAAACTGAAAAAAAAAAATTCCTAGGGACGCTGGACAGCCTGTCAATATTGACCGATTGTTTCACATTTTTTTTATTTAATATTTTTAGCTGTCAAAATAAACACTCAACTTCAAACTTTGCTCAAGAACAATTTATTTGTAACCCTCAACACTGTGGAGCAGCTCTTTTTTTTTCAATTAAATTCAAAAAAAAAATTGTCCATCTTTTTAGTATCTATCATTCAGTTTATTTGTCTGTAATTTATAAAATTCTGATGACATTCTGAGAAGACTTGTTAATTCTATCAATTGTCATTGTTTCTTTTCTTCTTTTTCTTCTTTAATTGTGCTGGCCTAGGTTTCTTCTCGCTAGCTTGGGCATCTGTAATGATAAAAGTCAAAATAAATTTCATATACATGTAATACACTATAATAATGAAACATATATATAGAATTACATGCCTAGAATATAAATGTAGCAGATTGTCTTAAAAAGGTAAATGTCAACCAAAAATAAAATAGAGATTCCCTGTCCAGGGAAAAAAACTAGATTTTATGTTGTCCATTAATCATATAGAATATTGCCCATGGTAAGCTGGGAAATTGATCCCTGCATGTAGGTCCTTATACATTCCTTTGACAGGTGTACAATATGATTTTAAACAGTTGGGGAAATTGTAAGAATATTGTTCAGTGTCATGAAAAGCTTATCACTAGGAACATAGAAAACTTTTCTTACAGAAATCAAAACTTTCTGAAAGCTATCAAACATAGGCAACATTCAAAATGTCAGAAGACATTTAAAATATTGTGATGTACATAATGAGAATTGAATACCTTTAGGTAAGAAAGTGCATGGGATGAAGTTCATTTTTCTTTGATGTGGTAACATTAAGTTTGGATTTATTGGTGTCCATTGTAATGGAGAAGGCGCGGTACACTTCATAATGCTAGAGTTGTTGAAGTGCAAGTCAAAACTGCCCCTGAAATTATAAACAATAGACCATCAAACGGAGAGCAGCATTCATGGAATGTCACACCTCACTATATCCTATTGCAAAGGGCTTAGCCTCAAATAAAATAAACATAAATGGTTTGTTATGTAACTTGAATGTAAAATTATCAAACAGAGGTAATATTATTATAAAATGAATGACAGTGATACCTTCTTGAGATCAGTCAGTTTACTTCCTAAATTTAAATTCTCTGCAATATAAATTGTATGCCCGTTTACATACAATTAAAACATTTCCATTTTTGTTACAAATATGGGAAAACAAGTTAAAAAACATGTATACATTATTGAGGCTTTCAACACTTCATAGAATAGAGTCAGAATCATATTTGAGCTGTGTCACGACAAAACCAACATAATGGGTTTGCGACCAGCATGGATCCAGACCAGCCTGCGCATCCGCGCAGTCTGATCAGGATCCATGCTGTTCGCTATCAGTTTCTTTACTTGTAATAGAGTTGGTAAGCGAACAGCATGGATCCTGATCAGACTGCGCGGATGCGGAGGCTGGTCTGGATCCATGCTGGTCGCAAACCCATTATGTTGGTTTTGTCCTGACGCGGCTCATTTATACCTTTCACCATGGTCTGTAGCCTTCAGGACAGTAAACTGATCTTTTCTAGGGTTGTTTTTCAGAAGGTACTGCCCTACAGGTAAACTGAAAGATGTAAATATAAACTGTACAAATGATGGAGGTTGCAGAAAACAAAATTGTTCGCAGATAAACAACAACTTGCCTTACGAGTTATGTACAAGTAAAAAAAGTTAAATTATTAAAGTGTCGATTTTATCATTTAATATATGCATGTCTGGATCAATAACTTGAACTTGCGTGAACAAAATGTCAGACAATTTGCTCACTAGATTTTTCCAGAATAATCATTTAAATTGTGAAAGATGATCCAAAAATTAAAGCATTTTAAACCCTTTTCAAACAAATTGGGCTATGAATTGACAAAAAAAAAAAAGATTTCAATTTAAATCTTTTTTTTTGTTTTGTTTTTGTTGGGTTATACATAGCAGCAACACATTATAGCTTTACTGGGGGAGAATTTAAGACCTCTGCACATTATTTCAGACACAACTGGGCACCGAGTAGAGCCACCGATGTTCTGTAAGCTAGCTGGATAGCTTTCTCACTTGTAGAATCTGACAATGTTTGCGTGCCTCAAACCTACAGGAGTAAGACTTAAGAGGTAGTGGTTTTATGTCAACCGCCTTTACCACTCGGCCACAGACTCTCCCCACATAATCATAACAGGGAAGACAAACCATAAATGTGCATACCTCTTTAACTTTTCCAAAATAACTTGAAGATCTGTGAAAGCTTGTTCTGGCCTGAAAAATGAAACATCTTTGTTACCTGTATCTTACAATGAATCCTCATGTTAAATATCTATGATTTCACATGTACCAGTATGATTTCAATATTAAACAAACAAACGTGGATTTAATGAATTTTATAAACTTTGCAAATTATATTATTTTTATAAAGTTCAAGGGTATGAAATATTTGTATAAAAGTTATTTACATTACAAAAACATTGTTCCAATCTTATGGCAGATTCTCGAAAGTGATATTACATAGAATGTCTCTATTATTTAAATATATGTGACCAGAATAACAAACTATTATGTTGCTATTTTAAGTAGGGATTGTACCATATACATGTAGCAGTGATTTTGTGTATGCCCCTTTCGCTCTTGAAGGAAATAAAAATTACTAACATATTTCTTTTATACAGGCATTTGGAAGGATTCAAAAATAATTTTTCAGCAGTTTAATAGTTGTAGATATTTTAACTATTGACAAATCATTGTATCACAAATCACAGGAGATGTTTTAAAAATATACCCCGCCAATAAATTTCAATGTATTCATTTAACTAAGAGCAATAGTGCCAAATCTGAAGACTACATGCCAGCTTTTTGTGGTGAAGTTGACCTGACCTCAACATTATAAGGGGTTATATCAACCTGTAGTGCCCAACCTTCAAAATGATTTCATGACTGCAGGCAAATTCATTCTATAGTTACTGATCAAACTTTTTTGACCATCAAGATTTTTAAAGACCTTCTGATTGAAGACTTTGTGAATGTAAATAAAGCAAAGAATAGAGTTATGACCAGCCTTCACACAAAATTGAAGGACTGTAGGCCAAAGCATTCACTTGTTATTAAACAGAATAGGTCTGATCTACATATAAACAGACTGGCACATGTGTAATCCAATATATTGGAAGGCATGCATAAGTGCAAATTTAAAAATTCATCACTGAACTACACTTACATTTGTATAATACAATTTTTACATCATAAATAGTTAGATATTTCTGCTCATCAAATTTGGTATTAAAGTTAAAGTGACTTAGTCTATAATCAATGGAAGGTCTGATGTACAATGAATAATTACGTTTTAAGTATTTGACATAGCAACAATACAGGAAAGAATTATATGTGGAAGTTGTTGACAATTGTGAGATACAGAATATTATAGCATAAAATCGGCTATTTTTCCCTCTTTTGCCCATGTTATAACGGGGCCAAAACCATGCGTTAACATAGTCACGCGCTCTTGTTATAGCCCGGTTTTACCTATGCGCAACACATAAAGGGCCAAGTAAACAAACAAACAAAAAATGACGATTTGGCCTGTTTGCCAAAGTGTTGTATTGAAATTATTGATTCGAGGGCCTCAATTGCATAACGGCAAGCAGCATTCAAGTAACTATGCCGAAATACGGCGTATAGACATCGCCGCTTATCTTGGTTGTCGCCCTTTCTAAGAAACGGACAGTTGTCAATGTAAACAAATATGAAATGTCATTCAGTTTAACCCTCAAATTAACTTACAAAACAAGATACATGTAACACAAAATGAATATGAGAAAATGTTGTTTTATTGATGCTAATATTGATAAATGTTATTTATATTTCTTTGAGAGAATAATGTTTAGTGCCTGATATTCTTTTATAAACTTGTGTGCTTGAAAAAAAAAACGATTCTGATGTCACTTACATCAATCTGAAATCATTTTAAGAATTTCTGAGGGTCATGTTTCATCTTGGGCAGAGTAATTTTATGTTGTTTTTTTTTCTTGAGTTAATAAATCTCTAATGATAAGCTTTGTTAAATCAATTAAATTCGAATTTTCAAACGGTTCTGAGCATTTGAATTTCCCAAGAAGTTGGCCCCGGAAAAATAAAACGCATACGTAAAACATGTAGAATTGGATAAATACCGTCCAAGCACAAGGATTTCATGTATGTGTTTTGTATTAAATATACATTATGAATCTTTTTAAAAATTTTATGCTATAATAGCGTCAACGCACGTTTATTTCGTGATATAAAGTCTACAGAGTCCCTCGGAACTGTTGGAGCCCTCGCCCTACCGGGCTCGGGCACCAACCGTTCCTCGGGACTCTGCAGACGTTATAACACGAAAAAACGTGCGTTAACCCTATATTATAGCATATATATATATACTAGTAGCAGATAATAAAATGTTCTAGAACAAAATATTTTATCATTCATCAAATATATGTTCATTCTGAATCACTGAACTTTTATCAACTTTTTTTGTTCAAGCAGTTTTTTATAAGAATATCCAAATGATAAAATTCTATTGTTTCTATCAGTATTTGAATTTTTTTTGTAAACAGTGCCCATTGTAGACCTATCTACTTTAAACATCATACAAGAGATGAATAAATTATTAATTGCCACCAAATGATATTATAGAAATATCTAGATGAATAAGTTTACAATTGTGTAAGGATTTATGAAATACTACATGGATTTGATGATGATTTTCTTTAACTGAGAGAAGGAAACTTAAAAAATGCCCATCTAATATTCTTGCCATCAGCAACTGATAATTACATAAAACCATCTACATTCTGTATACTGCTGGATAGATAGATCACAAGACGCATTTCACATTTAGGAAACCAGAAAACAGTAATGGCAGTAACGAGTTGAGAACATGTCACATGACGTCAGCAACCTTACAGGTATAGAAGGAAAATATTCATATTTGAGTATACATGAGAATTCTTACTTGAATAAAGAATCTGGTGGGATGAGATCGTTGTACGCTATGTTTTCAAACATCATTATTTCAGAGTTATATGGATTTATACGAGCTGAAAATATAAACAAAATTATCATTTTCTTCTCCAACCACAAAGTCATCATAGTATGTCATTTTCAGTAAAAAAATCTTATCTTAAAATAATATTTCATTATGAAAATTAAAGAGAATTTTACCTTTTTAAATAACAAGTTTATTGATCTAGCTTTTTACACCAATTTTAAGACTTTTTAGTTCAATTCATCAAAACTAAACCAACTTTTCTGGAGAACTAATTAGTAAGTACCGAAATCCTCCACAAGTGACCAACTACCAATTCAACAATATTTTCTGATTCAGCGGTGAGAGACAAATAAGTTTCATTGTCCAAGATCAATTGTCTTAGTGAAATATTGCCTTGCTTGAGGATCAAACCAGCATGGATAACTAATTCGTTGTTTCGATATTCTCCTAACTGAACTAAGCATATTGATCAATAATGTAAGAAAATGCAAGCAAGATTGGAATAAACTTATAAACGTCAACCACAGGTTTTCCACTTACGCTTCAATAATGTTGAGTTTGGCCGAACGTAAATAGAAATCCAGTTTTTGCAAATATCACTGACTGTATCCTGCTCGAAACCAAAGTTTGGTTGATATTCTATCTTTGGTGCTATGTGAACTAAACCCTAAAATAGAAATGCAAGTACATTAAGCATATTTATTGAATAAAAATGGTTATACACAAATAACTTAAAGGTGTAACTTAATTAAAAAGAGAAAAGTGTTAAAACCCTAAAAATTCAATATTTTCCTAATCATTATTGCTTAACGGTCCAAATTCAAGAGAATGACAATATTTCATTCAACATAACTAGAAACATATTTCAATTCTTTTTAAGCAAAAACATCCTAGTATTTGAGTCTCCACAGTCAACAAGGATAAACTTATCTTCTGTCTAAAAATATTAACATATTTTAAGGGTCAACTCAAAATATTAACATATTTTAAGGCTCAAATCAAAATATTAACATATTTCAAGGCTCAAATCAAAATGCATGTACATGTGTATTGACATGTACATGTGTATTAACATAATTTAAGACTCAACTCAATTTTAAGTCTTGAATAAAAATATTAACATACTTTAAGTCTCAAATCAAAATGCATGTACATGTGTATTAACATATTTTATGGCTTATGTATTAACATATTTATGGCTCCACTTCAAAGCTGAAATTGAAATATTAACATATTTCAACATAAAACATATCAACAAGCCAAAAAACTACAGACTTTAAATCAACAGGTAAACATGAACATATCTTAATGTTTGTTTTATTGTTCAAAGTCAAACCAACACTTTAACCATCATATGGCAACTTTCTAGCTTTACATTATTTCAGCCACCACTAGGCACCTGGGTAGAACCACCAACCTTCCATCAGCTAGATGGATAGATTCTTCACATGATAAGCTTCATAGTCCTTGCTAGGATTTGAACCTTTTGTCTTGAGGGGCAAGTGAATAGAAGGCAATGATCTTAGTCACTCAGCTGTGAAAGTCCCTAAGATGTCTGAAGCCTAAAAACAGAAATAAACATATGTCTAGTAAAAAAGCCACTTCATAAGATTAGCATACCTGTCCTGAAATGTAGCCATGATATTTACAGCGTATGAGAAGATTAGTTTCACCTAACTTCCACTGGTGATATGTGACATTACCTTCCACTGGGAACTTACAACATGATAGCCCATGCTTCTGTTTAAATACATCTGCCAAAAAATATTATAATATTTCTTTAATTAACCCTTTTGTTGCCTGATTCTAAGAAGTTATAAAGTGAATACTTTCAATAGCTAAGCACATTTACTTTCTTAATAAACCTTACCTTAAATTTACTTAACCTTATCTCAATTACCTTAAAGATATACTATGCCCATGACTTTAGGTAAAATACTTTAAATTGAAGAAATTTATTAAAAATCTAGGAAATTCTTAATGATTATGTGTAATTTAAATAAGAGAACAAGCAAAGTACATTCGGGAAGCTGCATGCCCTATGACTGGCCCTATGACTGGTTAGGTTAATTTAGTCCCTTAAATTACTGCCAGTTTTTTTTCAATGTTTTTACACTGTGTTTACCTAGAGTGTGTAGAGTTTAAGATATATTATATCTTCTTTGTGCGTAATCGTAAGATGTTTATTTTCATTTGAAGAGACTGTATAGCAATTTTCAGTATTTTCCAGTATCAAATTTGAGCATAATATATCTTTAATTATCTAACTGTACCAAACATTTAATTAACCTTGATTTTAATCTCTACTTATTTGAATATGTCAACATTTCATTTACTCTTCCCTTAACAAGCTAAACCTTTTTTTGAGCACAAATATATTTTCAACAAAATGAATGTAAAACTGCTTAAATGTACAATAGAAGAAAACTTATTAACAATTTTGCCTCACCTACAGCTGAACCTCTGACAGTGTTTGTACCATGACTCTTATCTTGAAGCTTCAATATATTGTCTAATCCTTTATCAAGTATTGATGATGTACTGCATTCTTGCTTTAAAGGTTCTTTGTCTTTACTGTCTGCTTTCAAATCTTTAACAATAGTCCCTGCTTCATTTGGTTCAAGTTTCCCTTCTCTTTCATCTTCATCTTTTTTATTTTCTTCACCCTCTTCCTTTTTCAATGTCTTTTCATTTTCTTTCTTATTTTTTGCTTCACTAATCTTTTTCTTCATAGCTGCAGCCATCTCTTTGATTTTTCTTGCTTCCAAATTAGTCAATTCTTTTTTTGATTCAGTCTTTTTGGAGCTAGAACCTTGTTTGTTATGTCCAGTATTTTCATGTTTTTCTCTAGAGCTATTGCTAGATTCATCATCACTGTCTATTCTTCTCACTGTTTTGTTCCTGGTAGGTGAAATATCCTCCTCATTATCAGAATCAATACCTTCTGTAATATTTACCAGTTCACTGTTAATAACATTATCCTTTTCTTCACCAATAGTTAAATTCTTTTCAGGCTCATCTTCAGGCACTTTAGTTACCTCATCTTTTACACCATTAATTCCACTAACAGTTGCATTTTTTCTTGGCCTCCCCCTACCTTTCTTCACAGGAACAGCTTGTGTGACTGATTCTTCTTTTGTACCTGACATTTTGAGTAATGAAAAAAAAACAAGTTTAAACTTATTCAAACACACTTACATATGAAACAAATTTTTGGACGTAATGTTAATCACTCTCTAGTCAACTTCCTGGACCTAACCAGTGCTGGTTTCATATAAGGGAACAGGGGAATGCTTGAAGTAGAGCTTAAACCAACAAACCCTGGGTTGGAAATGGAAAACAGACACCTTAACCAATAGCCCACTACTAGTCTACTACCAAAACATATTTTCTTTGTTGTCCCTTTTCTTAGTTTAAGGGAAAAAAGGTAAAGCCATTCTCTTACCAAGCAGGGAGTGCAATATTATATGTAAAATATTTTCTTTCATGAGTATGCATTACTTACAGGTTGCTGTACTTCGTCTGGTTAACCGTCTCCTGTTATTGATAGGGTTGGTTTCTGGCTCTATAACAACATTCTCTGCCGATGCTGACCTACTTCTGGTACTGAAATAATAAATGTAAATCTCACCTTAATTTTCTACATTCTTTTCATACAAAAATAAAAGAAATCATATAGATATATGACCTTTCAGACTAAATCTAACAAATGTTTAGGATTGATTTTAGCTCTTCTTGTACTTCAAAAGCACCATTTATACATAAAACACACAATGATAAAACAAGGACTTAAATTACACACAGTCAGTCTTTTTCAATTTACTACTCTTTAGGATGTAACTATCGGCACTTCATCATTAAAATTATATACAATGGTTTTGCGAGTCTTTGTATTACATTATACAAGACTTGAAAACTTAAAAATAATTATTGTTACAACATTTATTGGTGAAATTTCATAATATTTTATAACTTCAAACACATATTTATTAAAAAAAAATGAACTCTCAGGTTCGTATTCGTCCAGAAAATCTACAAAACAAAATGTGCAAAAAGTCTGAAAGTTAACATGGTGAGGCTATAGTGGGGTAAAATATGCATCCAAACAATGATATTATGTACAAAAAAACTGTGTTTCTCATGTACAAGGCTCATCAGCAAGAGAGATTCCAGCAACAATTTTGTAAGAAAAAACAGAGTACATATTCCAACTTTGCAAGTAATAATTGCTCAACAAAGACATTCAGGGATTTTGATTCTACCCATATTCAGTTAAGCCAGTAAGAGTGTCACATGTATAGGCCTTACACCTTACATCTGATGTCAAGGGCTCAAAACACGTCAATTATAAACCAATTAAATGATTTTTAACAAAAGATTAAGATTGTTTTTGTCTGATTAACAAAACAATTATTGATTTCCATAATTGATGTAGACAATAAACTGTGCCATTGAAGTATACCCAATCTACAGTGATTACACTGGTGTCGGCAATCAGTGGGTTGACTTTACAAATAAGCAGAAAAAGAACCATCAATTGTAACTTATAAACAAGAGGGCCATGATGGCCCTGAGGTCACTCACCTGTATTTAGGCCCCCGGAGCGGGGCTAGTTTAAACCCCAGGGCTGTTATTTGAACAAACTTAGAAGACACTCATTAGGAGATGTTTCAAGATGTTAAGTTTTTACAACACACATATAATAAAAAACAATGACCTCCACCCCCCCCTTTGGCAGGGCCAATTTTAACCCAAGGGCTTTTATTTGAACAAACTTGGTAGACACCCACAAAAAGATGTTTCCTGCAATCTAACCTCTAGCTCATTGGGTTTTTTAAAAGAAGATTTTTTAAGTTTTTACTATACACATATAGTTAAAAACAATGACACCTCTGGGGCGGGGCCAGTTTTAGCCCCAGGGCTGTTATTTGAACAAACTTTGTAGACACTTACTAGAAGATGTTTCATGCTTAATATCTAAACTCTAGCTATTTGGTTTTTTTCAAAGAAGATTTTTAAGTTTTTGCCATACACATATAAGGAAAATCAATGACCCCCAAGGCGGGGCCAATTTTGACCCCAGGGCTTTTATTTGAACAAACTTTGTAGACACTCACTAGAAGATGTTTCATGCTTAATATCTAAACTCTAGCTATTTGGGTTTTTTTCAAAGAAGATTTTTTAAGTTTTTGCTATACACATATAAGGAAAATCAATGACCCCCGGGGCGGGGCCAATTTTGACCCCAGGGCTTTTACTTGAACAAACTTTGTAGACACCCATTAGCACATGTTTCATGCTAAATATCTTAGCTCTAGCTCTTTGGTTCTTTAAAAGAAGATTTTTTAAGTTTTTACTATATGCATATAGGGAAAATCAATGACCCCCTGGGGCGGGGCCAATTTTGACCCCAGGGCTTTTATTTGAACAAACTTGGTAGACACTTATTAGAAGATGTTTCATGCTAAATATCTTAGCTCTAGCTCTATGGGTTCTTTAAAAGAAGATTTTTTAAGTTTTTACTATATGCATATAGGGAAAATCAATGACCCCCGACCACAGGGCTTTTATTTGAACAAACTTTGTAGACATCCATTAGAACATGTTTCATGCTAAATATCTTAGCTCTAGCTCTTTGGGTTCTTTAAAAGAAGATTTTTTGAGTTTTTACTATATGCATATAGGGAAAATCAATGACCCCCTGGGCCAAGCCAATTTTGACCCAAGGCTTTTATTTGAACAAACTTGGTAGACACTTATTAGAAGATGTTTCATGCTAGATATCTTAGCTCTAGCTCTATGGGTTCTTTAAAAGAAGATTTTTTAAGTTTTTACTATATGCATATAGGGAAAATCAATGACCCCCTGGGGCGGGGCCAATTTTGACCCCAGGGCTTTTATTTGAACAAACTTGGTAGACACTTACTAGATGATGTTTCATGCTAAATATCTTAGCTCTAGCTCCATGGGTTCTTTAAAAGAAGAATTTTTAAGTTTTTACTATATGTATATAGGGAAAATCAATGACCCCCTGGGGCGGGGCCAATTTTGACCCCAGGGCTTTGATTTGAAGAAACTTGGTAGACACTTATTAGAAGATGTTTCATGCTAGATATCTTAGCTCTAGCTCTATGGGTTCTTTAAAAGAAGATTTTTTAAGTTTTTACTATATGCATATAGGGAAAATCAATGACCCCCTGGGGCGGGGCCAATTTTGACCCCAGGGCTTTTATTTGAACAAACTTGGTAGACACTTACTAGATGATGTTTCATGCTAAATATCTTAGCTCTAGCTCCATGGGTTCTTTAAAAGAAGAATTTTTAAGTTTTTACTATATGTATATAGGGAAAATCAATGACCCCCTGGGGCGGGGCCAATTTTGACCCCAGGGCTTTTATTTGAACAAACTTGGTAGACACTTACTAGAAGATGTTTCATGCCAAATATCTAAGCTCTAGCTCTTTGGGTTTTTTAAAAGAAGATATTTAAAGTTTTTTCTTTCGGTTGCCATGGCAACCAGAGTTCTGCATGGAATTAAATTCTTTGAACAATTTTTAAAGGTGACCACCGAAGGAACATTCCTGTGAAGTTTGGATGAAATTGGCTTAGTGGTTTATGAGGAGATGTCATTTAAAGTAAAAGTTAACAGATGCCGGACAGACGCCGGACGAAAAGCGATCACAAAAGCTCACCCTGTCACTTTGTGACAGGTGAGCTAAAAATTGGTTGCTTTTCAATCTCTCATAGGCTTGTCAATAACACAGGCAATGCTGAAAACGTTAAGATTTTATATTGCTATTCATTAGTAATTGATGGTGATACTAATGACTTGACTTCATATAGCATCATTTCTTTTGTTTGTTTCTTTTATTGGGTTTTACGTTACACCGACACAATATAGGTCATATGGCAAGGCTCCAGCTTTACTGGTGGAGGAAGACCTAAGGTACTCTTCCGTGCATTATTTCAGGCACGAACGGGCACCCAAGTAGAATCACCAACATTCCGTAAACTAGCTGGATAGCTTCCTCACATGAAAGAATCCAAAGTCCCTGTGAGATTCGAACCCACAGTGGTGCCGGGCAAGTTGTATCATCATTTCTGAATGTACATGTGTTCCTTGAACTCATTAGTGTTTTGTACTTCCTGTCTCTTAACTACAGATACATTTACTATGGGACCATTCCCAATAAAAAAACTATTTATCACAGAATTATTTATTTGAAATGATTTGTAAAAAACAATATTTTAAGGAAATAAATATTTGGTTTTCTTAAGGTTACCTGACAGATTGGTTTTCCAGTTTCTTGCCTCTCCTTAATAGTGATGGTCTAGCATTTAAAACCTCATCCATGCCTTTTCTTTTTGGTTCATCTTTCCCACTTTCTAATGACTGGTTCCCAGCTTTAGAAGAATTAGATGATTCCTGGCTTAATGAAGACCTCAAAATTCTTTTAGATACCGTGACATTATCGGCAAAGTCATCAGTACTTCTCCTCTTTTTACCCTTAGTCTTGTCTTCAGCCTCTTCTACATCATCAATTGCTATAACTAAATGTGGTGATCCAAATTCACTTTCTGATGACACTGGTTGGTTCTCTTCCCTCATGGGAATGTCCGATATTCTTTCTAAATTTGGCATTTCAGGAGATTTAGGCATGTCTTTTATCCTAGATTGCTGAGCCTGTGGTAATTCCGATGGGACATCAATTACAAGTCCTTCACCTTCACTGTCACTATCAAAAGCATTTTCTGACAGTTTTTGTTGAGTTTTAATTATTTCATTGTCATTATCAGGACTGCTATTGACAGTTTTCGAGCCAATATTTAAGGAGGTTTCAATTGTTTCGAGAGATTTCGACCTACTTCTTGTTCTACTCATTACCACATTATCAGCGTCATCTGTACCTTTACTCATATGCATCAGTTTTGATTTGATTGTTGACATTTGCTTTAATCGTGTTGAAAATGAACTCATATTCATAACAGTTAAAATATCTTTCTTTGTTTTTCTTGGTATTTTACCTTCTTTCTTTGAAACATTGTCCCCTGTTTGTTCAGATTCCTTTTGTCTATCACAATCCTCCATTACTGTAGTCATTTCACCTTCATCATGTTTTAAATCAGTATTTTCACCATTATCTTGATTTGGTGCACAATGATCAACATCAGTCTGTCCCACTGTCGACTCATGAATTTTCATGTCATCCCCACAATCTTTACTAGTCTGTTGCATTTCAAAATGTTCTGTGTCAATTTTGTCTCCTTTACTATGAGAATCTTTGTACATTTCTAAATGCTTAGCACTTTCTTTTATTGCCTGGGTTTTGATTCCCATCAATTCATTCTTCAAAAATTCCAGGTCATCATCTGCAGATTTTCTGCCTTTTTTAGCATGTTTATTGCACACCTCAATCTCCTTGGTACACATGTTTATTTTTCCGTCTGGCAAATTTTTATTTCCATCAACATTCACCTTTGACCTTTCACCCATAAATGAATCCATTCCGAAAGTCTCAAGGTCATCAATGTCTTTTTCAAGGTCAAACATTCCACCTTGACCATGCTTTCTTTTTCTTTTCTTGGTATCTGCATGTCCTAAGTTTTCACCTGCATCCTGGAAATAATCATCATCTTTGTTAACAGTTTCCTTTATCTTTTCCTCATGAAGGTTTATTTCACGTTCCACTTCATCTAGAGTTGGTAATTTTACCAGTTCATGAACTGGCTTTATTCCGCAGAATACGCGCCCTCGTACATTAGTTCTGATGGCCAATGCCCTGATTGCATGCTTCTGATACAGTTGTATATGATCTTTTGGAACAAACTGTGACTGGCGGATAAATGGCTTGTCTATATACACAACTTTATGAATGATTGTTTTCTCACCTTCTGAAAATATAATATATAATGCATTCCTATGTCTAGATTAAGTTTTATTCATTTTGCAAAGGAATATGGGTATAAGCATGTATGTATCAATAAAATACTGTCAAGTATCAAGTTTTAAATTCCACTACGCTTCACTCTCTATCTGTAAAACTTGTGAAACGGATTGGACAATGGTTTAACTTGAAACAGTCCACTATATAAAAGACTAATTTGCATCAAAATAGAGTCAGTTAACATTACCTTGCATAGATCTATCAATTTTTCAGTATTTCAATAAAATTTGAAAAAGTCTGCTAGCAATAGAATCTACCCATGTGACCAGACCAGACCAACATCAGCAGCAGATCATGGTCTGCACTGTTTGCTGTCTGTTAAGTCAGTATTTATTTTGAAATTTTTCCTAAAAATGATGAATGATTTTGTCAAGAATGAAAGATGGGCAAATCCGTTTCAGATACTTACGGTATGGCAGGGATAAAATCCTACTATTCCAATTTCCAACTGATCCAAATTAAAAGTAAGATAAGTCCATCATTAAAAATTCAGTGTGAAAGGGGTTACATAATCAACCAGACTTTGGCATTAACTTACCCTTGATGTTGTACTCCCTCACAGTAAATGGCATGTCCCAATATTTGAATATCTTTCCTTGGTTATCAATTAGACGTCTGATAGCAGATGATGACATAACTACATCACACTTGTTTGGTACAGCTAATTGTTCTGCGTTTGCGTCCTGACTGCACATCTTCAAAAAAATAAAAACAATGAAAACTTAATTTATTTCTAATCTTATGAAGTTTTATTTTTTGTAATTTAAGATCAAATATCCATATCATTATGATTCTGACAGTTGATGGATAGAGGTTCAAATAAGAAGATGGAGTGACATATTAATTTCTTTGATGTAATGTAAAAAATTTAAGTAATGGTGGGCAGATTCCTGGATTCAGGACTAAGAGTTACATTTTTTTTTCTGCAAATAACTGCCAGTTTCTCCTTAATATTAGTAATTTTCAACATTCATAGTATGTTACTGTTTACTAGAAGTAGAAAAAATATGTAAATAAAAGATCAGGCAGAGCTGTGTTCGGACAGTCCCAGGGTTCGACTCCCTATCAGGCAGTGTATTTTCCTCACCATGTGACATCAGGCACCCAACATTGAGCCAAAACAATTAATTTATCACTCTGAGTCTATCAACATAGTTCTCAGAACCCATTATTAACAGGTTAATACATCACAACTTGTCCAATCAATATTCCTTAATCAAAAACACATTGTACTTTGTTTTCCTCTATTTTAACTTTGTTGTTCATCAAACAGCTTACCACTTTGTTCCATACAGGTACACTTGTTCCTTTATAAACAGTTTTCAATATCGGACTGATTTCGTTGATTTTGTTGAAATTTGTTGTAACACAAGGTTGTGGCATCCCATGAACAATGTTGGGTAACACCAGTTTACTCACTGTGCCCTGTTAATAAACAATTACACATGTATTTCTATCAACAATAGGACTGTCCAAGAGTAATTTGTCATTCCTGTTTGGCAATATTGAACCCGAAGATATTGAAATATTCAGTGACCTGTACCATATTGAAAACTCAATACAAAGGACTTTTCTTATACATTGTGTATTTACTTGGTTTCTTTCCTCTTCTCAATTATTGACAAAGTGCAATTACATGTATAATCATCCCAACCCTGTACTTGATTACATGTACACTAATGCATGACTAATGATACATTTCAGTACTTATGGCTTCTGATGATAGTATAATCTAAAGCATACTCATATCAAAGAGGGCTCAGAGATAGTTCTCAGAGTGTGCATATTTAAAATTAAGTAGGCGGAGCTATTCCCTAAATACTAATAACACTATATAACCTGTTGTCTAAAATTGTCAACTTTGAATATTGACTTAAAATAGTTACAAAATGTTAAATCCTTTATACTATTTTCATCACTATCTTTTTTATAAAATGCACTTAAATATGCATCTAATGATTTCTAGCCACATGGGTTCAAACCCTGTCAGGCGCAAGTCTTTGTTTCCATGAGCAAGAAACTTTACACTTATTGCTAAGTACTAGCTGGTTCCAGGAACAAATTCGAAAGTGTGTTTATAAGCTTATGGCTTCCTACACAATCGGATGAAAATAAATTCTGTGTAAATCAATATGCATCTTATTTATTTATTTACTCTTATGTTAAACAAAACTTTGTTGAAATTTATAAACAGGATAAAGCATTACAGCGGGCTAACATGGTCACCCTTAAAACAAAGTTAATCTGGACATATTTTTGTGATGACAGGTACAAAAATAAATAAAATTTGCATGAATACTCACACTTTCATATCAATGGCATAAGCTTTAAAAATGTGAATAATAAAATGATGAATTAAAGCATTTGAGCTTACCAGTTCTAGCAATGGTCTGACATATTGTAAAGTTGGCGGAGGGTTCGGCAGATCATCTGTGAGAATGACCCTACAGTCCACTAAACTGTAAAATCGTGGGTACTTAAAGCAGTCTTGTTTCTTCACCATGTGCCTGGTCTGTATGTAATACAGAAGATATATTATAGTCTATGATTGGAAAATTTTTATCAGTATATTGAAAGCTCAGTACATGTATTGAAGATATATTGAATTAATATCTAGTACAGTTTTTAAAACCATTTCAATATGTCATATATAAACTGTCATCATTGTGTTATGCATTTTCGGTTTAGTCATAACTAGTACAACATTCTAAAAATAAATTAAATTTTCTTGCTTATTTTTCACCTACTTCCGAGATAATAATTGAATGTAAGGTTCAAGCCAGCCATGAAAAAATTGTCAAGAGGTCACCTCTTTTCTCTTCACACAGAAATAATTGCATAAGACATATAGAAATGGGTTTTAAATTGTAATAATATTCTAAATTTTGAATCAAATGATGAATATCAATATTATATCAATATCTTGATATTCAATGACAGCCCTAGTAGATTATATAATATTATTATATAATATTTCTTTGTAAAATGGATCGAACTATATCCTGTTAACCCATTTTGATGACAATTTTTTTTAAAGTGACTGTGTTGGTTGATGTTAAATGTGTCTATCTTTTAAACCCAAAACTCTTAGATTTAAGCCTTACTTTGAGAAATATTAAAGCAGCATGCTTCCAGATTCACACTAATTTTATGAAAATTTAAAAATGTATTTAAACGTTAAATTTTGTGAAGGGAAGAAAATAATTTATATATAGTAAACGTTACTTACAATCCGTGTAAATTGCCGAATAGAGGTCAAAATATTTGTTAAATAAAATCTTACTGTAGCATATTTCTCCACCTCTGGATGTATGTAAGCGTAGTCTTTCTTACAGGAAAATGAGACACTTCTCAGATACTTCTGGAATAATTCTTGTTCCTTGTTCACAATGACTTTCATGGCCTAAAATTATACAACAGAAGAGAACTTACCATGCAAACAAAGACATTTTTTTTCAACTTCATGCTAGCATATGTCATTATTAAGAATAAATACATCATTTTTTAAAGGGATTCCACCAAGGTTTCTTTAAATGAGAGACTAAAAATATTTTTTCAAGGTTTTCATTCCTTATGATGTAGGTGTACACCAATAACTTGTGTTCATATTTCAGATCAAACGTTCGCTCTGTTTTTTTTTCCCCAGAATGTTCATTTTTATTGTGCAGAGACCTAACTCAACCGAACTCAATAAATATTGATTTTCAATTTAATTTTGAGTATATATTTTCATTTTTTTATCAAAAGTACCTCATTGGATCTATGTAAAATTTTCAATTTAATGTTTTTAGGCTGGTTGACCTCAATGCACCTCCTTTAAGAAAATATTATTACCATCAAATGCCAACAATACTAATTGCAATCACAATGTATTAAATTACATACATAACAATAGTATGGACATGTAATATTTTCAATTAACTGTGAGTGTGCACCGGGGAGCTAAAAATAACCATATTTCCTTACAATGTACTTTTTGAACTTGTCATCGAGTATTTCTTTTGAGTTATCACTCATTTTACCATAGCTACGGGCAAGGTCATTGTAAAGCTTTTGTTCCTGACAGGTCAGTTGAGATCTTCTATCTCTTGGTTTCCTTTTGTACACTACAGGGAAATACTTTGTAGCTTGTCTGAAAATAGATTAAAGGCATATTATCCCTAAGAAACTATTATTTAAAGTTTTACTCGTTCAGAAAGGGTAAACATGAGTTTTATAATGTTTTATTTATGGTTTAAGTGTATGTTAGATGCTTGTTACCTGAAAAAAGTAGCATTTAATGTAAAATTATTTGTCATAAATGTAGCAAAATGTAACACAGTAGAATTTTAACTTCCATACATAATACTATTTCGCTACAACTGTGCTTACTGTCAAAAGCAACAGAAGCAAAAGATGGCTCACATAATTGTCTAATGAACTTCTTGGAAACTACATGTATACATGTAAAGCACATGCAAAGCTGTTGAAAAATAACATTAAAATCATTTCTTGGGTATAATCGGCTTTTAAAATTCTAGTTAGTAACTGTACTGTTTAAAAAACCATCCAAGTAAAATCTAAATTTTAGGGAGGTGATATTAATAGTTGAAAGGGACATAATTTGAAAAAAAAATATCTTTGAGTATCAAGGTCAATGCATGGTGATTTTTCAAATATTTTTAAAGTTTCAACAAAATAACTTCACTAGTCTTAAGAAATGTTTAAGAAAAATTATCTTGATGTAAAAATGGGAATATTATATTGTCCAAGTAAAAGCTGTGAACTGAAGTGTTTCAAACATGTTCAATATTCAAATTAATATCTACACTGAAAACCAATCAGCACTTTTTGGACTATTATTCACTCCTATAGAACAAAATAAGAATTAATACAGTAACGGGTTAAATCCTATTAAATTATGTAAGGAGTTAACCTGTTACTGCACTAAGGTGACAATATGTGATAGAAGTATTACCTATCCTTCAAGTTAAAGAACATCTTATCATTCCTCATCAAATCTGCCTGCACTTTCCTTGCTTCCTCTTCTCTCTGTGCTTCTAATTCCTTCAGCTGTTCTTCAGACAACTCTACTTCTACATCCTCCTTTTCTGTTGCCACATCTGTTTGTAAACTACTGCTTGCAGTTTCTGTATAATTACTAGTTGCTGCTTCTGTACCATCATCTTCATCCGATTCTTCTGCTTTGTAATCCTCTTCAGTTCCTTCCTTGTAGAATGAGAATGGTCTTACATTGTCAGCAACTGTGTCAATGATTCTTTCACTTTCCTCTCCAAAGTGTTCCCCCGGTGATATAGCATTTTGCGTCTCTTTTATCTGTTCTACAGATACTTCAGTATCACCTATATTATCATTCTTGTGTTCAAGATCCTCCTTTACTTTAGTGATGTCTGTACCAGATTGCACAATGATGTTACTTTCATTTTTACCAGTATCAAGACTTGCTGTTGCTATCGCTTCTATGTGTTTACTTGGTTTATTAGAATATTTGAATGCTTGTGAACTGGAAAATTCTGACAGTGAACTATATGTTTGTACTTCAGATTTTATCTCTGCCTCTGTCCTCAGACTTGCATTATGGTCATCTGAACCTGTGACTGCAGCAGACTTTTTGGGTTTAACATTGCAGGGTTCAATTTTACATTTAATTGTTTCTCTGTCTCTGGGATCATTTGCAGATGTCTGGTGATGTAAGAGGATTGGGCCAGTCAGTCTTGGGGGTGGGATGATACCTAGTTTAGTTAACCTTTCTTCAAGTCTAGATTCATGTGTATCCGGACAAAGCCATTTGTTGAATGTTTCTTCAGTGAAGAATGTTGTCAGCCCATTCTTCGGTTTGGTATTCCTGAAAATTTAATATACATGTATATCAAATATGCAATACTTAAATTGTCAAGAATGTAAAATAATTTCAAGATTTAAAATAGCATACTGTGGACTATTGTACAACTGATAACTGATTGGAAAGGCTGTTCCAGAGGCAGATGGTGTGTGGCAATAATGACCACTGGTAGGACAGAATTCTAGCATTGGGTATGTTATATATCAGGTAGTGAAGTCCATGGCCTATTGTAGAACTGATGGCCTGAGAGTGGCTGTTTGCTTAATACATTTATATAAACCTTGAAAGGCAAGATAAGAGACATTTCTTGTTATTTGTATTTTGCTATGGGTTTATGAGAAATATTGTGTCATGTGGTCGATATTCGTGTTTTTGAATATCGTTTTTATGTATCATTTTGTCCTTGTATTTGTATATATATCTCTTGTATTTGTATGTTTCTTTACAGTCCGATATACAATCCATTATCCCATATCATTCCTATATCATTCCATTTCATCATCTCATTATAACAACTAATTTCTCATATTTCATTTGACATAATTTGCATGCCGGGCCTCAGTTTTTACAAACTTCCCGGAAAAACCACCTCACGCATGCGCACTTTGATATAAATATTTCTATTGGTTTGCGCCAGAAATTGTTTATCTTATTTATTTATTTATCAAGGCGTATGTTTTATGTCCTTACAGGTAATTGTTGTTATTCATTATGTTTCATTATCATGCATATTTCCATTGATCGTTTATGTATTTCGGATCTGTATTTATGCACTTTGATATAAATATTTCTATTGGTTTGCGCCAGAAATTGTTTATCTTATTTATTTATTTATCAAGGCGTATGTTTTATGTCCTTACAGGCATAAACAGACCATTCATACATTTGAAAAGGACCATACGACAATTGCTTTGGTGTTGCACTTGCCAAGTTTATTATGAATCTTTATGTAGCCTAGAACTAACTCTGTATTGCCAATATACCTGCATACTTATTGTTTGTCCCATGTCTGCACTTAGTCAATCTGTGAATCTTTCATTGCAATTTCAAATTTGTAACAGAGTTACCAACAACCAAATCATTGATAGATGAGAAAGTTATGAACTGGAAACAAAAAAAACCTATGACCGACCATATTAAGCTTTGACCCCAAAGTGTGACCTTGACCTTGGATGTAGAGGCCTGGTTGTTGTACACAACACATTGTCTTATTATTTTAAACATTTGTGCCAAGTGATTTCAAAATTCCTTGATCTATGAAGAAGTTATGGACCGGACACAAAATATACCCTATAACAGACCAAGTTAATCTTTGACCTCGAAGTGTGTCAAATGTGACCTTGACCTAGGAGGTTGGACTGTATGCAAATTTTCAGGTCATTCCCTTGCCCTATGGTTCCAGAATAATTTTTTTTTGTGCAAAATGCCCCAAAAAATGAAAAGCCTTAGAAAGCTTTTCACTCAAATTCGGCTAACTATAGCGCAAAAAGCTAAAAAGCCAATTTTCAATTTAATTCTGAGTACATTTTTTGTTATCCTTTGCACAGTTTTCCATTTGAGTGCTTCACTTGATATTTGTAAGATTTTCAAATTTTATGGTTTTAGGTGTTTTGATATCAGTGGAGTTCCTTTAATTTCTTATAAAATTTAAACTTTATAAAAAAGATAACTTGCCAGTATATGGCTATATTGGATTATAACATATTTTGATCGACTGTGTAAAAACAATGAATGGTTATTATAAGAAATCACATAATTATGAAGATTTTTATTAAAAAAATTCTTACCAGGAATGTATTCATTTAATAATTTTTCACAAAATTAATCTTATTGGCGGATTAAGTATATTATTGTGAGTTCTAATTTATCTGGTGTGACAGTTGTAAAAATACTAGCATTGGAAGATGTTAAAATTGATTTTACTTGCAGTCCCAGAAAATGTAAATACTGTGATATCATGCAACCTGTGATATCAAAGGAACAGAGGAATAATTGGTACCAAAGAAATTTAAGACCTGAGTGTTGAGATATAGTAGTAGTCACCTAGCTGACTTGAGCCTAAGACTGCAATGACTTAGACTGTGCAGTACCAAACTCCCCTTACAATAGGTGTTGGTGTTGGTAGTTTTCACTCCGGGTCACGGCAGTTACTCAGTTAGTCACACTGAATTTACCAGAGTACATTTCAACCACCGCATTTTTCCTGGGCAGGCTGTCAAGCAGTTTACCAGTTCAAATTTCACAAGGAACTGAAACATACCGGAGCAGAGGTACAGAGCAAACGACCAAACAACGTAGGTTTATGAACCATTTCTCATATGGATAGTCTATGTCAAAATCAATATAGTAGTCTGACCTAAATAATGTCAATTATTACGTCGCGAAATCCTATTACTTTTAATTTTTAAGCTAAAAATTATGATTTTTCCGGAGAGAATATGGCTATAAAGTAATGAATACACATATATTCAATTTATAAAATGCTTACCAAGGTATATTACTTCCAGCAGACATTTTAACAATAAGTTTTCCTCCACTTCTTTCACTTCACTTATGGTTATACACCACCAAATATTTTCCTTCTTGGTTAGTGCAAAACAATCATAAACTATATTATAATAGTTTGTAAAAAGCCTGTATCGTTTAATATATTGGACTAAACACTGGCATAGTTACATATACCGATGTTTACATGCAAAATTTGCCATTTTTGAAATTTGCAAACATACAATTAAATAAAGTGCTACTGTATGGTAAAATTGGCAGGTCTATCAATCATATGACAAAATGTAAAAGAAGTGCAGATATGCATGTAAACATACTTATGTTGTATACGATTTATTTATAACAATACAAATTACAAAAAAATGGAACAAACTATCGGCCAAATCACGGATTTATAATATAAATCCGTGGCCAAATTTATAGCTGGAGCACAACTGGTATCATTGGCATCAATGTTTATTATATTACCAATGACACAAATCCGCTCAAAGTATTGTCATCCAATGGTACCAATGGTAATAAATGTTACAAATTGTATTTTAGTATTGGTAACACTTGGAATACATGTAATCTGAACGTATTAAATGCCATGAAAATTTGAATTAGATTTTCGGGCATTTCAGACCTGATTATGGAAAACTTCAAACTATGACTTTGACACTTCGGGCCATGGTATAGGACATTTTTGCCTATTACAAAACACTAATTATAATGTATCATTTATTTGGACCAAATATTTTCAAAATGAAGGTTTCAAAATGCAAGTAAAACTTGTCTTGTTTTAATCACGGATTTATATAAATCCGTGTTTTAATTAAACCATTAAAGTTAAAACATGTCAGTTTATCCATCATATTATGTTCCTAGCAATACACTATGATCCACCAAATTAAGAAATTATTTACCGAATAAATTGCTGCAACAGTTCACTGCCAATAACTTTATACAGCCATTGTTTCTGCGGGATGTGACATTCGCAGGTTAATATGTTAGAAAAATACAGATTTGAACATTTTTATTAAAAATATTGTTTCTTTTATTTTAAATTTTATACATTTGCTTGAGAAATTAAGAAAATAGCCTGTTCTAACTATTTGAGTCTCCTGCTTAATGCTGGAGGGCCAATTGTTAATGTTGTAAAAACTTAGGCCAAACCTTAAAATTTTTGCTATTTCTTACTTGGAAATCAATTTGTTTCTCTGTAAAGTTACATGTGTATATTAGCAATAAAATATGATTAAACAACAAATCACCAAAGCAAACTAGAGACTTACATTAAAAATTATAGTGATAGTTAAGAAGCTCTTAAAATAGAAAATTTTCTTATCCTGACCATGGAGCTTAATATAGATATTGTGTAGCAGGTTTACTAACCTTGCAAACCCGGGTTAACTATAAACTCTAAGGTTTCAAACAAACAAAGATCATTCACAATTTAGATGACTTTTATTAAATTTACATTTCTCAAATATCGTTTATAACATTACAAAATCTACTACAATCTATACGTTGGTCATAATTTACAGTTTAATATGAAAGCAAAGTTAATTTAAGTTATTTAAGTAAATGGAAAACACTCCTGAGAAAATATAATAAAATAGATTTCTTATTAAAAATGAAAAAAAAAAAAACCCTAATTGGTAAAAATTGTGGCTTTTTTTACTAAAAGCTATCCTTGGGCCCTTGGGGGGAAAAGAAATTGAAAAGGGTCTTTTTTTAATCTAGTCTGACTAAAGAAAAACCCCAAAAAAAAATTCTAAATCCCCTAGAAAAAAGGAAATGGGGGTAGTTTAAAAATTAAAAACAATTATTAAGAAAAATAATAATAAATAAAAAACCAAAAAAAAGCGAAAATTTAAAATCATTAATCTTAAAATGCCCAAAAAATTTAAGAGGCCCAAATTTTACACTTGAAAAGTCAGGGAATTTAAGTGAATCTAAAATGTTTTAAAAACCGAAAACAGAAAAAATTTTGGAAATTAAAATTTTTAATGAAAAAAAATTTAAAATAAAATTTGGGTTTTAGAAATAATAAAACTGAAATTGAATAATATTGTGCCCTGAAAAAACCCAACCCTTCCCAAAGTTTTAAGGGCCTTAAAGTTGATTAATTTCTGGAAATCTTTTTTTAAACGTAAAAAAATTTTTTAAAACATTTTCTCTCTTACTGAAAAAAATTTACCTTCTTTTTTTAAACGAGTTTGGTTTTTAATGAGTTGAAAAAGGGAAAAACCCTTTTAGTGAGTTTTAAAAACCTTTTAATTAAAAAAGGGGGAAAAATATAAAGGGGCAAATTTCGCCCCTAAGGCAAATTTAGGAAAATAGGGGGGTTTATGGGTTTGTTCCCGGAATTTTCACTTTTTATTTATAAATTTAAAAAAATTTTTAATAGAATCCAAGACTTAAGTCACTGTGGAAAATGTCACAGGTAATTATTTGCCTACTGTTTTTTAACAACTACTACAGTATGAGGTGTATGTTTTTTTCAAAAATTTATTACGCAGCTGTTAAATTCGTACAAAATATTTTCGACCTTTTCTAGTGGATCCACTGGCTAGACTTTCGAATATGTCCGCAGTTATTTTTAACATTTTAGAAAAAAAAATCTTAAAAATGTAACATTTTAAGTTTCTCTTAAATCACTCAAATTGTTTCTAGGTTACGGTTAAGGGTTAGTGTGATGGAAAAGAGTCAACTCGGCCCTCTACGAACTCGGCACGGGTCAACTCGGCACGGGTCAACTCGGCCTACTTTACAAAAATATATAGGCCTATAACGTTTATTAACTATTGGCTTGCATGTTGTTAAGGGTAAAATGAATAATTAAGAAAATATCTTAAATTATTATTATTAATTATTTTAAAAACCGTTCCCAAAAATAAATTTATTTGAAAAAAGTTATTTTTTTTGGGTCTGCAGTTTTGATAAAAATTAAAATAAAAGCAAAAGGAAACGTCATGGGGAAAAAAAAAATATAACATTTGAAAAATAATTAATTTTTTTTTTCCTTTCCCCAGGTCCAAATATTTGGGTGCCTGGGGAATAAAAGAAAAAAAAAAAAATAAAAATTTAAAGGGGGGTTTTTTTTTTTCCTTAAAATGCATTTTTTTTTGAAAACCAGTAAATTTTTAAATAAAAAGGGAAAAAAAAAAAATTTTTTTTATAAAATAAGTTCAAATTTAAGGGGGGCAGGGGGGATTTATAAATTTTTGAGGGAATGAGTCAATTTTAGTTATCTCCAAAATTAACGGGGGGTATTTTTAAAAACATACACATTTGATTTTTAAAAATTTCCCGTGACAATAGGAGTCCTTTTATGTCTTTTACCCATTTTTAAAAGTGGGCCGAGTTGACCCGTGCCGAGTTGGAATAGGGCCGAGCTGACTCGGTGGCCGAGTATGTTTAAGGGCCGAGCTGACCCGGATTCAGTGTGATGGGTAAGGATTTGTGTTATGAGTTAGTCAGAAGGTTAGAGGGTGAGGGTTAGGATTATAAAACACGGATTTTACTGTGGACAAATATTAAAAGTGCTCCGATCCACTTTAGGGTGTTAACATGTTAAGACCAATTTTGATGGTCATCGCAAAATCGTTACTTTAGATATTATGAAAATCTTATCTCATGGACAGATGGAAGTAAAATCTTCGGTTCAACATGTTCAAGAGTAATCTAATCACTTATTCCAAGCAATGGTTTCATTTAACAGTTTAACTGTGTTTCAAATTAGTCAGGAATGTCCTATATATAAATTAAATAGAATGAGTATGGTATAAAGTGAGTGAAGTCTAACTACAGTACAGGACAAGCGAAACCAGCAAAGTTTGTATAATACTGCAACCACAGCTATTGTGACAAACTTAGTTTCTAAATTACAAATTTCAAACAAAGTCATGAAGTTAAAGGGTTAAAAAATGAAATATTTTGAAATCGACCGCACATCAGAGCATGGCTTTTGCCTTGATCCAAACAAGTGAAAACTGACTTAGGATGGTTTTAATCCAAACGCTTTTTTATTGATTATTGATTATTAATTTTTTCCCTTCAGATTTATCCCCAAAACAAGTTGTATTGATAATTAACTGTCATGGTTTTACTGACATGTATGTGTTGTTTTTCTTTCACAATCTCATGCCACAATTGTATGTTAATAAATTGTATGTTAATAATGTGAGAAAAATATTTTTGGGATTGTAAATATCTGGGGAGGTATTTCTTATGATGGTAAGATGCATCTGAAAACAGTGTGTGGTAGTTTTAATGCTGCCAGATGTTACACTGAAATAGTCATCCCTGCCATCCTAGCGAACATTGTGAAGGTAATGATGATGTTAAATACAGCAAGATAATGCCCATTTTATATTGCATACTTAAACAAGGATGTTATTGCGGGAAATATCATCAATCGCTTAAATTTAGCATAAAAACACTTTTTTTTTCCCCAAATAAAAACACATGGGGAACTGCCTTGGATGTGATTGCAGACGAATGACCTTTAAATTTTAAATAGCGGGACCGGGGTTTAGCATGAAAATGCCATGATAGCTTTAATTAAAAAAACATTTTAAATGACTCAAAAATTTTGCACCTTCTCGGGTTTGTTTTAAAAACAAATAAATTTTTTAGAAATTTAAAATTTACCCCTGTGTTGATTTAAAGGAGATATAAGCAAAATGATCTGATAAACTTTATTTATGGAAATGAAATGAATTTTATATTTTAAGGTTAGTTAATAATTTCTAATTATATTAATTATTATTAATTTAATAAAAGTATTGTACAAAAAATCAGTACTGACTAAATGTTTTCTTTTACATACAGTGCAACTTTTTTATGTTTTAGGGTGTGGACGACACTATTGTGTGTCTAATGTCAATGGGCTTTGACATACAGGACTGCCAGGATGCGATCAATTTTGGTAAAAATACAGTGGAATCTGCTGTTGAATGGTGAGCTGTGTTTTGCTGTCATTTTCAGCATTTAATTTAAGTCTGTAGACTTATTAGATAAAAATCATTAGGTATGTGTAAAATGAATCATCATAATCATAACAGCTGAAGGTTAATCCGATTATAAATGCATTTATTTTCACACTTTCAAAATATTTCAATGAATACTTTTGATATGCAATGATTTTTTTTTAGAGTCCAGGTCAAACTATTTTGGAAAATATCCAATGAAGTCTCAAAATCTTAAGAACAACCCATCTTTTTTTCAAGTTCATACATTCATGTACCTTTTCAGTGATGTATTTCAGGTGAGTGATACATGGCCATCGTGGTCCTCTTGGTTTCAAGTTTATACATGTATGCAAAATATCAGCGCTGGAAATTGCACATATGATAATATAGCTCAGCATCCATGGGTTTTTTGTTTTTTGTTGGGTTTTATTTCGCACCGACAATAGTAAACAGTAATGGTCATATTGGTAGCTTTCTAGCTATACTGCTCGAGGAAGACCTCAGGTGCCCGCTCTTGCACTCTTTCAGACACTAATAGAGTAGAATTGCTGATGTTCTGTAAGCTAGCTGGATAGCCTCGTCACTTGAAAGAACCCAATGTCCCTGATGGGATTTGAACCCACAGCAGTGAAGAGCAAGTGGTTTGAAGTCAGCAACCTTAACCATCCTGTCATAGATGCCCCTTCGTGGTGTTTAAGGTGTGCGTACATGTTCATTAGTCATGTACTGACTCATGTAGAGAGATCAAATAGACTGCAGTTTATTCTTTACAGGATAGTTGCTGGTAAGCCAGGACTCCGCCCAAATGCTGCAGTGGGAGAAGAGGCTGGACTGAGTCTTAAACTTAGATCTGTAAGCAAGTAATCAAGAGTTTTTATCAATTTTACCTAGGCATCAAGACTGGTTTAGAAATTGATATTCACAAGGTTGATATTAAATATATTGATTAATCACTGTCTCTTATAACTGATGATAAAAATTATATAACTGGTAAAATTTTTAATTTAAAAAAAAGAATTTAATATATCTTTTGGTCATGTCTGTTGAGCAAAGTCTTAATTTTTTTACCTTAGTTATTAAGTAAAAACATTTATGAAACTTGATTTGGCAAAACACTCTTGAAATTAAAGAGTAACTCGCTAAGTTTTAAACAGGTATATATTTTATTTGAATTACAGAAGTTTAGCCCTTTATGAAATTATGTTCTGTTTGTATTATCAAATATTACAGACAACGTCCACTTTTGGTACTGAATCTACACAGTCATCTTACCAGAAGCCTCATCCAATCCCAGAACCCACTTCTCAGCCTCAGTCTGATATCAACCAATCAAAACCCTCGGATGGTCAGTCCGGTGACTCTACAGCTGATCTGAGTCAACCAGAAGTTCATATTGTCAGCAGAATGCACATGAGTGACGCTCAGAGGAAATACAAAGAAAATTTTGAGCAGAAAAAAATGGATGAAGCCAAAAAACAGGCTGTTTTAGAAAAAAGGAGACAAAAAGAGGTAAGAATCGCTTAGATGTTAGCCATTGGTGGCATATGCCTTTGATACAAGCAATAGATAACATAATTTGCATAAGTTATTGTTGGCATGTTTGCCCTGTATAGGAGCCATCAACAACATATGCCTTTTAAAGGAGCCATTGCTGGCATGTGCCTTTTATGGCATGTGCCTTTTATAAGAGGTATTGATGGCATATGCCTTTAATAGGAGTCATTGATTACATACATGTATGCCTAAAATGCCTTGTATAGGAGCTATGGCTGGCATATGCCTTGTATAGGAGCCTTTGATGGCCTAATAAAAATTATGCCTTTGATAGGAGCTATTGCCGGCATATCCTTTGTATAGGAGCCTTTGATGACATATGCTTTAACAGGAGACATTGATGGCATTTGCCTTGTATAGGAGCTATTGAAGCCATATGTCTTGTATAGGAGCCTTTGATGGCATATGCCTTAAATAGAAGCTATTATTGGCATATGTCTTGTATAGGATTTATTGCTGGCATATGCCTGGTATAAGAGCTATTGCTGCCTTTTATAGGAACTATTAATCATTAATGGCATATATCTAACATAGGAGCCATTGATTGCATATGCCTTGTACATTGGCCATTGATGGCATATACCATTTATATGAGCTTTAGATAGAATATGCCTTTTATAGGAGCTATTGATGGCATATGCCTTGCACATTGGCCATTGATGGCATATGCCTTGTACATTGGCCATTGATGGCATATACCATTTATATGAGCTTTAGATAGAATATGCCTTTTATAGGAGCTATTGATGGCATATTGAATCAAGTCATAACTGATAATTGCCTTTGATAGGAGCTATATTTTTATTGTTGGTATATGCATTTGATGCAAACTATGGATGAAATATCCCTTTAGGGCCTATAAGCCAATGATACAATGGAGGGGGGTGGGGCTATTACAGAATCACTCTTTTGTTGACCTATCTTCATAATGTCAGCACTATAAATCCTATACCTTTTGAAGGTATTTCTTCAAAAATTGACTCAAATTTTCACCTCAACAAGGTAATGTGCAGAACCAATGCTGCCAATTTCTGTAAATGAAGATCATTTTGTATTTTGACTTTTTAGCGATGAACTGTCAATCATTGGACAGGCTATATCTCTGTCAAATTATTGTGTCTTGTTATCTATTTTGATTAAAAGATATACATGTACAGTTAGAAAGCAAGCATCATAACTATCTTAATTCTGAATTTTTTTATGTTTATTTTAGGAGCATGCTAGGATTCTGAAGGAGATAGCAGATGACAGAGAGAAGAAAAAACTTCTTCAGGCTACTCCAGGTCACTCAGAAGCTAAGAAGGTCTCCACTGAATCAGATGTAAAGAAAGATGTGAAAACTGAATCAGTGACACAGTCATCTAGTTCTAGTGGAACTTGTCTTCTTCAGGTAAAAGTTCAGCCAATTATGGCTTCTGAAAACTTCTCGTTTATTGCTTTAAGGTGATCCTCTTTAATTGTGAAATGGAATAGTCCTGCTATGCCAGAACAGCTCTATATATCAGTCCATACTCATAACTTATTCCAGTCCAGGCTGCAGTTTTAATGTAGTATTTACCAGGCTTTAGTTTCATGAAAGTCTATAACTGACTGAAATCTCATTTTTATTTTTAACTTTGTTTTTGTCACATTTGATCTCATATGATGCTGTAGTTGCATCATAATCTATAACGTCTGTGTCAGGCTGTAGTTACATTATAGTCTATACCAGTCTTTAGTCACATTGTACTCAAAATTCTCTATATTTTACAGATCAGATTACCAGATGGGAGATCCTTGCGTCATTCCTTCAGTCCTGCTTCAACATTACAACAAGTATGGGAGTTTACAGCTAGTCATCATCCAGATATGACTGGATATACCTTCATACAGGTACCTATTAACCATTGCTACTTAAAGCTTGAATACACAGTCATAGATTTATAGAATAATTTTGATAAAATTAGCAGCATTCTGAGTTATGTGGCTAATTAGAAGGGCCCTTTAATTCATGTTTAAGATGATCATGTTTGTAAAGATTCCATTAGGGACATTTATGATACTAGTATAGTTAAAAATAGGAAAATAAGAATCTCTGTGGCAGAGTGGTTAAGGCTGATGACTTGATCTTACCCCTGTGAGTGAGAATCCTATCTGTGACTTCAGATTCTACCATGTGAGGAAGATATCCAGCTGGTTTATGGAAGGTCAGTGGTTATACTAAGGTGCCAGCTTGTGCCTGAAACAATAAATAGAGTGGTTTTCCCCCACTTATAAAGCTGGAAGTAGCCAGTGTTTGTGTGACTTAAAAATCCAAAAACAAAAACAGTTGGAGAAAAAAAGAGAAGAAGTTGAACTAAGGTAATTGTTGCATAGCAGCACAGTAGTGGCAGTGTTAAATTGTTTAAAATTTGACTTGGATTTCATATGTGTGAAGAAAGTCGAATCTAATTATTATCATGTATATTTAAATTGTCAACATATTTTTTTTTTAGCCGTTCCCTAGACATGAGTTTACACCAGGTGACATGCCATTGACGCTGACTGTGCTTAAACTGACTCCCACAGGTTCTTTAGTATTACAGAAGAAACAAACGCCTTCAACATCGTCAGGTAAGTCCTCTTCCTGAACATTATTTACCTTATACTTTCCTTCCTGACTGTGATTAAAATGTAATAATAAGAAAATAAAAGGCCTTAATCACAGAAGGTAGGTTTAGCCTTACTGCTAACAGTTTATTAGATGGTAGGCAGAAGTTTATTTATTATACAGCCTGATACAAATGGCCCTCAAGTCTATATCCACATCCACAGGCACTAGACACAATTAATTTACCTCTATATGCTCATAATACTATATATAAAGAATATAATTATATTCTTTATATATAGTATTATGAGCATATAGAGGTAAATTAATTGTGTCTAGTGCCTGTGTCCACATCCAGGGAAAAAAATTAAATTCTGAGTGTTACACAATTTGTTGACAAGAACAAAATGTATTGTTACTATATCTGTAGCTGTCACTAAGTTATTAACAAATATTTGTTTTTATAGAGTCACATTCGTCTCATGAACCAATGGAAACATTGTCATCTCCGCCAATGGTTGAGGTCAACAGAGAGGTTAACAGAATTCCACCAAGTCATGTACATGATGCACCTAGAGGCCACAATTGGGGTCATGGTATTTCAATGGATAATGAGAATCAAAATGCCCCTCACCAAGGTATATATGCGTTATTTTTTCATGATAAGATATTGGTTTGATTTAAGCAATTGTCGTGACAATTTGTAATCTTAATAGTTTTTTGCCTATGAATATTTATGTAACTGTTATGATGAAATAAAAGTAAGAATAAAAAAATCATACAATTGCTATTCATAATTTTGGTTGCTAGGGGTGAAACATGACATGTCTATGATACCTGTATATAGCCTCGCCATCGCCATCTTGCACATTGGCGCTGTATTTCCAGACTATACTTTTTACTGCCCAATGTTTTCATTTTCAAATTGCAATCCCTCAAACAAACAATAGAAAGTACTAAATTTAAAAACATAACATGCCCAGTATACAAATTTAGTACAGCTAGGGTAATGATTTTACCGATACTAAAGTATTGCTGTAGATGCTCTAAAGATGAAAAGTAAATTCAAGTTAAAACAAGGCACTGCCTTAACCGGAAGCAGTACATTTAAATAATGATTATATGCAGAACATGTAAAAATGTTGTTTTCTTATCACAGATATACGATTGATATCATGTATAAATTTCTTGAAGAGTTTGGTCAGCCAGCCCAAGAAGAGATCATGGAAGAAGATGAGGAGGAGGAGCCTCATAGGGTAGTTCCAGGAGGTATGGGGCGTGGTAATCCCTGGGATGGACTCCAAATGCCTGGTGGTATTATTGGACAACGTATGCCTCCCCCACATGGAAATATCAGGGGTGAGTTTTCTTATTTGTGTCAGCAACAAACAATATGCATTATTAATTTCATAGAACTGTGCCTTGCTTTATCATTTACATGGACTCATCTATTTTTGATTCTTGACAAAACTGTCAATTTTTTTAGGTAAATTTGAGAATATTGGTGTGTAAACAAATACTTAGGGGCGTCTGTGGCCGAGTGGTTAAGGTCGTTGACTCCAAACCACTTGCCCCTCACCGCTGTGGGTTCGTCCTAGTTCTTTCATGTGAGGGAAGTATCCGCAAAATTTGGAAAGTGGGTTCTACACAGGTCCCCCAGCCCCGAAAAAAATCACAAAACTGGAACGTCGCGATATGACTTATACTGTGTTGATATGACATAAAACCCCAAACAAACAAAAAACAAATACTTTTAAGAGAAATTTGTTTGTATATTTTCATCAGAATATGATGTCTGTAAAATTTAAAATAAAACAGCCAGTATTGTATATTGTTCTCTAGGGCAAGGTCATGACATATTTGGGATGCAGATTGGTGACCAAGGTAATCAAGCTTTTGGAGGAGTTGGACAAAGATTGGTTGCTATGGGTGATCCGAGTCATAATGATGGTTACCAAAATAGACCTGCAAGGGAACTGGCATGTAAGTTGCTGGTTTATTATTTGTATCAATTATGAATTTTAATGCTGATTTTTATGGCCCCCAAATTAGGGAGATGTATAGTTTTTAGAGCACCGTTCATCCTTCTGTGTCAAGTTTGTGTCTGGTCTATAACTTTGTTGTTTATGGATGGAGTTAAATTTTGTATAAATATGTAACACAGTGAGAAGGTGTGCAAGATCTAGCTTAAATGTCTGTGATTTTGTTTTGATAGTGGAGAGAGCCCAGGCGCGTATGGCTCAACCTGTGCAGGAGCCCATGAAAACTCCAGGCACAAGTTCCGGAACATCTTTATCGGGAGCAAATCAGCCTGTACAGTCACTACTGATCCATTGTTTAAAACATATCACACACAGATTAAACGACCCTCGGCATCAACTTCTGAGTCTGGCTGGTATATCTGAGGATATGGCACAAGTGATTCTAGAATTCTTGCTGAAAGAGAAACAACTTAAACCCAAGACCCTCAATGCATTTATTCCATGGTAAAGTGCATACCATTTTTAGCTCACCTGTCACAGAGTGACAGGGTGAGCTTTTGTGATCGCTTTTCGTCCGGCGTCCGTCCGTCGTCCGTCCGTCGTCCGTCGTCCGTCCGTCCGTCCGTAAACTTTTGCTTTAAATGACATCTCCTCATAAACCACTGAGCCAATTTCATCCAAACTTCACAGGAATGTTCCTTTGGTGGTCACCTTTAAAAATTGTTCAAAGAATTTAATTCCATACAGAACTCTGGTTGCCATGGCAACCGAAAGAAAAATCTTTAAATATCTTCTTTTAAACAACCCTAAGAGCTAGAGCTTAGATATTTGGCATGAAACATCTTCTAATGAGTGTCTACCAAGTTTGTTCAAATAAAAGCCCTGGGGTCAAAATTGGCCCCGCCCCAGGGGGTCATTGATTTTCCCTATATGCATATAGTAAAAACTTAAAAAATCTTCTTTTAAAGAACCCAAAGAGTTAGAGGTAAGATATTTGGCATGAAACATCTTCTAGTGAGTGTCTACCAAGTTTGTTCAAATAAAAGCCCTGGGGTCAAAATTGGCCCCGCCCCGGGGGGTCATTGATTTTTGCATATAGTAAAAACTTAAAAAATCTTCTTTTAAAGAACTGTAAGAGCTAGAGCTTAGATATTTGGCATGAAACATCTTCTAGTGAATGTCTACCAAGTTTGTTCAAATAAAAACCCTGGGGTCAAAGTTGGCCCCGCCCCAGGAGGTCATTGATTTTCCCTATATGCATATAGTAAAAACTTAAAAAATCTTCTTTTAAAGAACTGTAAGAGCTAGAGCTAAGATATTTGGCATGAAACATCTTCTAGTGAGTGTCTACCAAGTTTGTTCAAATAAAAGCCCTGGGGTCAAAATTGGCCCCGCCCCGGGGGGTCATTGATTTTCCCTATATGCATATAGTAAAAACTTAAAAATCTTCTTTTAAAGAACTGTAAGAGCTAGAGCTTAGATATTTGGCATGAAACATCTTCTAGTGAATGTCTACCAAGTTTGTTCAAATAAAAGCTCTGGGGTCAAAATTGGCCCCGCTTCAGGGGGTCATTGATTTTCCCTATATGCATATAGTAAAAACTTAAAAAATCTTCTTTTAAAGAACCTTAAGAGCTAGAGCTTAGACATTTGGCATGAAACATCTTCTAGTGAATGTCTATCAAGTTTGTTCAAATAAAAGCCCTTGGGTCAAAATTGGCCCCGCCCCAGGGGGTCATTGATTTTCCCTATATGCATATAGTAAAAACTTAAAAAATCTTCTTTTAAAGAACCCAAAGAGCTAGAGCTAAGATATTTAGCATGAAACATGTTCTAATGGGTGTCTACCAAATATGTTCAAATAAAAGCCCTGGGGTCAAAACTGGCCCGCCCCGGGGGTCATTGATTTTCCTTATATGTGTATAGCAAAAACTTAAAAATCTTCTTTGAAAAAACCCAAATAGCTAGAGTTTAGATATTAAGCATAAAACATCTTTAAGTAAATATCTACAAAGTTTGTTCAAATAAAAGCCTGGGGGTCAAAACTGGCCCTGCCCCAGGGGTGTCATTGTTTTTAACTATATGTGTATAGTAAAACTTAAAAAATCTTCTTTTAAAAAACCCAATGAGCTAGAACTTAGATGTTTAGCATGAAACATCTTCTTATGGGTATCTACCAAGTTTGTTCAAATAAACAAATAAAAGCCCTTGGGTAAAAATTGGCCCGGGGGGGGGGGGGGGGGGGGGCTATATACCTATATACAGGTGAGCGACCTCAGGGCAATCATGGCCCTCTTGTATATAGATACTGTTTTAGCTTGACTATTCTACATAAGAATAAGGAGATGTCAGTTGGTATCTCAAAAACAACTGAATGGAATTGGTTGAAAGTCACACACTTATTTAAGAGCACAAAAGGTCACTGTCCAGGCTCTTGCTTTACTATCAAGCATTGAGAATTGTAAGGTGCTGTCCTACCAACAGCTCTTGTTTTAAAGGTAGTTGAGTAATATTTGAAATAATGAGCCTCAATTAGTTCATAACTTTCTTTTATGTTATAAGAAACAAGTTGAACTTTTTTCTATTGATTCATGAACTGCTGAAGTTGGGAAGTTCTAGAATCTTTTTAAACACAATTCTCTGCAACTGTTATTTAGAAGAAAAACAATCTCTTTTTCTGAGATATTTTGCAGTTTTGCACTTTATTTCTTAATAAAATAAATGGATTGAATTATGCATTGTATTAATATACAGGGTACAAATGCTTTGGATGATGTGCAGATTTTATTAACAATATTCTAAGAATATGTTGTTGTTTTTTCTTTCCAGTTATTTGAGAAAACTGATTTTAGACTGTTATCCGTATACAACTAATGATTTACTTCATTCTGTAAGGTAAGTTACTAACTATTACAGATTTATCATCCTGTAATTTAAAAGCATGCTGTTTCTCATTACTTCCATGATTTATTACAGAACTATTACTAACTATTAACATATTAAATAAGTAATTGAACAATGGGGTCTCTGTGGCAAAGTGTTTTAAGATGCTATCTTTCAATTGACCCTCTCAGTTGTGAATTCGATTTCCGTCAGGGGTTTTTAATTATTTCATGTGATAAAGCTATTCATCTAACTTGCAGAAGGTTGTGGTTTCACTTAGGTACATTCTTGTACCCGAGATAACGCTGAAATAACCATGAAATAACACAATCATGAAGGGTTTTTTCCAGTTAAGGAGAAGAGTCATTGTAGGACTTTTATTACAGTGTCTTTGTGGCTCGACATCTAACAAAAAGTGAATGTTTGAAATACTATCACAAACTGTGGGAGACATTAAACACTAACAATAAAATTATCGTTGTTTACTTTTTAGCTCGACTATTCGAAGAATATGAGAGCTATTGTAGTCGCCCCGGCGTCGGCGTCCGCGTCGGCGTCTGCGTTGGTTAAAGTTTTTTGTAAAGTCAAATATCTCAATTATTACTTGAGATATTCAATTGAAACTTACAATACTTATTTATAGTAACAAGGTACATAAGATTGACAAGTTGGATAACTCTGCCTACAATATTGACAGAATTATGCCCCTTTTTAACTTTGAAATTTTGGTTAAAGTTTTTTGTAAAGTCAAATATCTCAATTATTACTTGAGATATTCAATTGAAACTTACAATACTTATTTATAGTAACAAGGTACATCAGATTGACAAGTTGGATAACTCTGCCTACAATATTGACAGAATTATGCCCCTTTTTAACTTAGAAATTTTGGTTAAAGTTTTTTGTAAAGTCAAATATCTCAATTATTGCTGGAGATATTCAATTGAAACTTACAATACTTATTTATAGTAACAACGTACATCAGATTGACAAGTTGGATAACTCTGCCTACAATATTGACAGAATTATGCCCCTTTTTAACTTAGAAATTTTGATTAAAGTTTATTGTAAGTCAAATATCTCAATTATTGCTTGAGATATTCAATTGAAACTTACACTACTTATTTATAGTAACAAGGTACATCAGATTGACAAGTTGGATAACTGCCTACAATATTGACAGAATTATGCCCCTTTTTAACTTTGAAATTTTGGTTAAAGTTTTTTGTTAAGTCAAATATCTCAATTATTGCTTGAGATATTCAATTGAAATTTAAAATACTTTTTTAAAGTAACAATGTACATCAGTTTGCAAAATTGCATAACTCTGCCTGCAATATTTGCAGAATTATTTGCCCCTTTGAAACTTAGAAATTTTGGTTAAAGGCTAAAAGTCTTCAGAGATATTTACTTGAAACTTTACACATGCACTAAGGGTCATAATTGGAGGGTCATAAATGTATGTCACTGACTAAGTTCCATAACTCTATCTTGCATTAAGGCTGATTCATATCCCCTTTTCTACTTAGTCTCTTGGTTAATGTTTACATGCAAGTTTTACATATCTCAATAACTATTAAAGGTATTTATTTAAAACTTCACATATGCATTTAGGGTCATAATTGTAGGTCACTGACAAAGATCCATAATTCTATCTTGCATTTAGGCTGATTTTTCTCCCCTTTTTCAACTTAGAAATTCATGGTAAAGTTTTGCTTGTAAGCTGTTATCTCAATAAACTACTGAAGGGTTTGTGCCTTTTTGGGGACAATTTATGCATTCATAATAATAAAGTGATTTACTTGATAAAACATCTTAATAACAAGCCTTTGTACCTTTCTGTCAAATTTATGTATTCATAGGTAATTAGTATTATTACACTAAATAAAACACCCTTGTGACATTACCTTCCGAATAGTCAAGCCAAATACTGTATAATTAGAGTCTCTCTAAGGCCTATAACATGAATTTATAAAAAAAAATTAGCCCTTTTCGTTTGTGAACTTAAAAAATTTAACATTATCAAGGCTCTTTTACTATCAAGCACTTAGAATAGTCGAGCATGCTGTCCTACTGACAGCTCTTGTTTTACTTATAATGTATGGTAATTTTACTGTTTTCATTGAATGTTATCTGAATGTTTCCATGGTATTTTCAGGTTGCACACAAATTTGTCACACCTCAGTCTTAGTTCCTGTCCTCTTATAACTGATGCTGGAATTGACTTCCTTAAAAGTAAGTTCTGTTTTGTTGTTGTCTTTTAAATAATACATTATCAATTTATTTAATTAGCCCTAATGGCCTGTTGGGGGGTAACAAAGCAATCAAGGTACCCTTCAGAAGTTTTGCAGGTCTAACAAGAAGCTTAATCATATATATGAACAAATCTGTCATTTCATAAATCAATAGTGAAGTTATGGAATCAGCCTAGTTGTTTAACATAATTTGTCCTTGATATATTTTCTTTGACAAATAATTGTACCAAAACTGTAATGTCCCATTTTATTAAGCAAGTCATGCATCTTACTTCATATCTTGCTCTTGGATAGATACATTCATTTAGTTATAAATATATAATAATTATTGAATATTTACTCTCAAGTTAACAGACTTTGTGGCTAAGTAGATAAGGTGACTGACTTCCTAACAATTGCCTCTCATCACCTTGGGTTTGAATCTTGCCAGGGACTCTATGATAGTTTCACTCAGATGCCAACTCTTGCCTGAAGTCTTCATTCACCAGTATTGAGGGAAATCTACCATATAACCATAACAAAAGTTTTAAGTGAAAAATAAACAAGTATTCCTGTAAAAAAGAAAATCGGATACTTGTACAAGTCTTCTATGTTAGATTGAAAGATAGAATTTATCACACATTGATGTTTAACTTTAATTTATTTTCAGCACTTAAGAAATTGAAGAAACTTAATTTGAGCTGTTGTAAACAATTGTCAAACAAATGTGTGAGCACTTTATCAAGTAAGTATGACTTTTGTATGATACTTATAGAGTAATACTCTTCTTACAAAGTTTTCATGATAGATGTTTGTTTTTGTTTTATTTGGTTTTATGGCACACCAACACAATTTAGGTCATATGTCGCTGAAACAGGAAAGTTGAAGGATAACCTCAGATGTTAAAAACTTAAGCAATATTAGGGGTCAAAACTACCTCACCCGCTGGAGATAAGAAATGCATAAACTCAAAGCCATTTTTTTCATTTTTCTAACATTGAAATAATTGTGGTGTAATTTTCCTTCAAAAAAGTGATTATGAAAATTTTTCCTGAAAGTGCCCATCTGCTTCAAACTTCATAGGTTATAAAGGTTGCAGCATTTTTTAGCTTGACTATTCCAAGACTTGTATTCACATCAGTTTCAATTCAATGTCGCCATCCCAAATTAGTTAAGTTTTGGATGCAAGTTTGTATTTCCAAAACTATTGTTTAGTTCTACAAGTTTAAAATATGTATACTTACCCATCTTGGTACTTTGACATTAGGCATATTTCATTAATTCTTGACACACATGTTTGGTGATATAACCAGCTATAAAACACAAGATGAGGCATATTTCGCTTTAGAATGACAAAACATACACTCATACAAGTAGCTTATATACTAGTTTAGCCTGTACATGCTTGTGGAAATCCTTATTGATCTTTTATTTATTTCAGTCTGAATATGTATCCGAATTTTTCAGACATGATTTTTCAATTTTTTTTTATTTCCAGCGAAAAATTTCCTTTAATATTTCCTGAAGCATTTTGCATATATGAGCAAATCTTGTGTTTCTTTGATCAGTAACTTGATTTAAAACCATTATTTATCTCGAAAGTTAGGAAAGTTGTAAAAAAACATTTTTACTATTTTACATAGGAAGCCATATTATTCGCAGGCATTTTGTATTTTTTTATTTTAACTAAGTGCAGTTTAACCATGTACTGTAATAATGGATAATTTAAACCCCTAATGTACATGGGAAGTTTTAGATTTTACTTTAAACCATAGGTAACCTTGCGAGATGGCCATTTTTATTTTAAGCAGTCTCTGTTAATTCTCTAAACGCAACCCAATTTTACGGGGGACAACCATTCCTTTGGGTGCACTTTGGGTTTCAACAACAATTTTTGGGTGCATTTAAACCTGCAACCCTATTCTGGGGGGATCAGTCAGTTTTTGGGGGCATTTTGGTTTTGGGTTTCAATTTAGTATAAATAGGGGTGGGATTGCCGCATTTCGAGGTCAAAGTCAAAATTTTTAACGTAAAGCCGCTCGGTTTTAAAACTATATTTTATAAAAATAAATTTACATAAAAGTAAGGCTATTTAATCTAATAGACATTTTTTTTTCACTTTTGAGTTTTTATAAGCTTTCTTTTTTAAAAATATTAAATTTTTTTATTGTCAGAAATAAACATTTTATTTTGCCACGTTCACTAAGCGCCTTTTTGTTTCCGCGCTTTCTAACTGGGGAAAGTCTTTATTTGGGTTTGATAATTGGGGAAGCTTTTAATTATTTAAAGTTTAAGAACTTATTAAGAATTTTTAACAAAATTTTTTAAGTGATATTTCTATGCAAAGAAACTAGTAATTTTAAAAAAAGATCTACTTTTGGAATATAAAATAATTAAAGATGAATTTTATTTGTGTAATTTGAAAGATACATTCCCAATTGATTTTCTCTTGTGTGAATTGCATGTTTACATTATCAATCTTGAAAACATTAGAATTATATTAATGCTTGGAAATTTTTCATGTTTTACTGTTTATCTATAATCGTTGGTTTAGTCTTTATTAAAGTTATAAATTAATAAAAACTTTCCCCTTTGTGATTTTTACTATAAATAATAGATATTTAATAAAACCCCAATTATATTAAAACAAAGCAGCAGCGGGTTCACATTTTCAAATCGTGACATACTTTAAAAGTCTTAAATCAAGACTTAGTTTTTATTGATTAATTGGGAAACTTCACATCCCCAATTGTAAATATAGCAAAGTGTTATAACAATTATACGTGAAGACAGAACGTCACGTGCCTAATCTTTACACATGGGGGAAATGGGTTAAATTCATGTCAAACAACATGATTGACACGGTCTCATAATTCTAAGTTACTTTTCTTACAGTCATGTGCTTATAATAGTTGAGCAAGCTGAGGGACAGCCCTTGTTTAAAAAAAACTATGAGGAATCTTGATGTTATATATCCAATGTAGTTATTTGTATGTCAATACTTTATTTATACTAACATTTCTTCAAAATATTGTTTTTTCTTTGAATGTTTCTTTGTTTTTCTTCTATGAATTTCAAGATTGAAGTTTTACACTTGTACCATTCTGTAATGAAATATGAAATGGTTTAACCATAATTATATCTACCAGTACTTATAAATAAAGAAATGAGTTTTCTAAAGTGTATCAACATGTATTTTAAAGGCCTACAGAATTTGGTATCACTAAATGTTGAGGACACTGGACTGACAGACCAAGGTGTGATACAGTATTTATCTAGTCAACCAGAACATCTTCAGTTACTCAACTTGAACAGAACATCAGTTACCCATGCTATAATCCCTCATCTACAATCATCCACCAAACAACTGAGGTCCTTATACCTAGAGGGTACTAAAGTAAGGTTATTATATGCTTATATTGTGTTATATGTGTCACAGGGTGAGAGAAAACCGTTCAGCTTGACTGGGACTCGAACCCTTAAAAATCTCTTCCGCAGCTTTACTGGCGGAGTTACCCTGCTGCTAACACATTTTCTCCCAATCAATGAACAATTCTACATGTATATTGTCACTAATTGTTATGTTATAAATGATATACATGTAATTTTAGTCCCCTACCAGTTTAACCGGAGGGGACTTTAGGTTAACCCTCCGTCCGTCTGTCCGTCCGTCTGTCCGCACTACCGAAAAGGGATAGGGGGCCATCTAACTGTAAACAGAACAAAAGAGAACAATAGAGTTCATTCCGTAACAATAGAGTAAGGGGCCATTGGCCCTCTATTAAACAATAGAAAATAACAAAAGAAATGGCCCCTTATTCCATTTCGGCCGGACGTCCGTCCGTCTGTCTGTCTGTCAATCCGTCCGTCCACAAAACTGGATCCCGAGGTAACGCAAAAAGTACTGAAAATATTTTTATGAAACTTGAAATATGGGTAGATGGCAGTCTGGGGATTATGCACATCTTTTTCTTTTCTTCCTATGTTGAAAATTTTGGTTGCTATGGCAACAAATAGCCTGAATTTCAAGATTTCTGATTTAAATATTTCAGCTTTTTCACTATAAGTTCTTTATTTCTTAAGGTGTTAACTTCAAACTTTAAATATAATTTTCTGGTCATCAACCACATCATATGTGACAAGGTTTACAACTCTAGCACAAAAATTATCAGTATTACCTCCCTTGAACTTAGAATTTTTATGAGAAAAAAATGTTGTCTTTTTTAAAAAATTTCTTTATTTCCTAATGTATCTACCTCAAACTTCATATATATGTTTCTTATTATCACTCAACATTTTTGAGAAGGTTAAATACTCTAGCAAGACTATTTCCAGAATTACGTCCCCCTTGAACTTAGATTTTTTTCGAGAAATTGGTATTTTTTACTCCAACTTCTTCATTCCTTATAGGATTTACTTTAAAATCCCACATCATAATAATATGACAAGGTTGTATAAACATAATTTCCTTACTAGGCAGGGAAACTTAACATATTACTGTGAAATAGACAAACTAAGAACTCAAAAGATTCATTCATGTCATTCATTCACTGGTAAAATTGAAATCAGAATGTTGCTGGGGTTCTAACCGGTAGGGGACTTATGGATTGCTTGCAATACTATGATAATTGCTTGTTTTTTATTAAAGCTTTACATATTTAGATGATTGAAAATTTTTTCAAAATTTCAAGTAAAATTTTAGGAAAAGAGTATTAAGAGTTTAAAGATATATTTTAAATTCATGTCATATTTTGCTTGATTTATTAGAAATTTTCAGGTAAACTTGAACTAAACAAATAGACAACCCAGAATCTGCTGAATTTCTTAAATGGGCTTGTCAAGCTTCCATATTTGGATCTGTCCATTATCAATGTTGGGGTACTAGGTTATCAATACAAAGCTTTGAAGTTGATCAACCAACAGTATAGCACCACGTCTGTCTGCACTGATATTCAGGCTGGCCTGGCTCTATACTGGTGGCAAAGGCCTATCACTTTCAGATCAAGAAGGGAAAAGGGTTAATATGCATGTCTTTTATTTTATGTGACAGGTTGTGAGTTTATCTGGTATCAGAGAGTTGGAGCAGTTGGAGTGCCTCAGTGTAGCCAGGACTGGTATAGTGACAGAATCTTTGTACTGTCTTGCCGCTCATCCCGGTCTCAGGTCCCTTAATATTGCCAATACAGAAAATGTAAATGGAGATGAGGCTCTCAGACAACTCTCAGGTATTTATAGAATTTCATATATTCTGATTTTTAAAATTAATATTGATAAGCAAAGTCAATATTCTATTCACAGTGATAGGTCTTGTCATCATCTCAGATGATTTGATTTGATATATATTGGGCAATTCAAGCTGTAAACTGATTTACTATATAATCTAAAAATACCGTATAAGTGTTTTTTTCTGCGGGCTCCAAATTATGCGTTTTTTCCAAATTTTGGCATGTTTTTATTTTCTGCGGCACATTGTTTGGACAAACGGGATTTAAATTCTGCAACTCGTCTTATCAATGACTAAGTCACATTACCCTATCTATTATATTTGCATGTATACGTTCGCATTTGTTTATCGTTGTCACTGCAAAACTGTATAGTAATTACAAACAATTATATTGTTTTCTTGCAAACAAATATAATGTGCAATTATAGAAAGATCAGCGTGAAGTGACGTGTGAAAAATATACCCCGGTAGTATCTTTAATTTAATAAAATTGATAGAAGTTTACCGTAAATGAGATGACAATTAAAGTATACAACGATTATTTAGCAGTATAAGGGTTGGAATGGTTTGAAATATCTTTATTCTTAAATTAGCATAATTAACAATATGTACATCCTTACAAACACAGATTACATACTTAGCCGACAGCAATTTTATACAACTTGAAAACCCGCTAACCGTAATAATCTGTTAGTCGTTATTACTTTAGACGAAATGGGTCACAATGCAGGATACATATATCGTAGCAGGTAAGAGAAATATTCTGCGGCTTTTTTTTCTGCGGTGCCAAAACTGACCGCAGAAAACGCAGAAATAAAGTCACCGCAGAAAAAAACACTTATACCGTAGCTGCAATCTCATTGGGCTAAACAGTGGTCAACATAACAAATCATAAATCATATATACTATGTGATTAAGTGTTGAATATTTTTTTCAAAATTTGCTCAAATGTTCACTTTCAAAAACAATGATAAATGAAATTGTGTATCAGATAAATGTCACTTCTATTGCAGTACTACATATTCGAGATATTTCTGTGTCTTGTGTCAGACATATATTATATCTCTATTTTCAGATTTAAAGTTACATACATTGGTGCTTCCGTCAAGACATACAACAACTAATCTGGGAATAAAATACATATCAGGTACAAGTTACATGTTGGTTAACCAACTAACTACAACAGTGATTTTGATAACAGATTGAATTTTTCTTAACAATTAACACCTATTTCATTATGGTTTTAACATGTTTTTACTTTGGACAATAAATAACCAATTAATCAAGGACGCTGGACTTTCTTAAATCAGAAAAGTTTCCTGTTAGCTGTCTTTCAAGTTAATGACTGGGTAAACAAATGTCAGCAAGTGTCTAACTCCACCATTTAGTTTTGAAAGTTGTCATATGAGTTAAGACCTTGACAATATTGATGTGACCTTGAACCTGATTTATTAAAAAGAAGCACTCTGTTCTCAGTTCTTTCAATACTGTTGGTAATAAATTTAGACATTTGCCACCAGTCTAGTTAGAACAGACTGCATTACCTTGTGTTCTGACAATACACTTTAGGATACTGATATTGAATTCCCTTAATCTACATATGGACATTTACAAATTCAAAGTAGGAAAAAATCGTGAATTCAGCAGGATATCATGCAAGCAGCAACTAGATCTATCCATGCAATCATTACAAACAAAGATCAGCAGGTACATACATGCCTTCTGATCATGGTCGACACTGTTTGCTACTCAGTTCGTACTTTTTTAAAACTTTCCCTAAAAAAATAATGAATGGTTTTGTCCATATTGAAAGATGGACAAATCTGTTAAAGATATTTGACATGATAAGGGTTAAGTAAAATATAGCTTTGCAGACAAATGAAGGACTGAGATAATTATGTTTGTTAAAGTGCTTTTTGTTTCCATTGTTCTGATGAATTTTATTAACTACTGTTTGTTTGATTTTAGGTTTGTCTTTATCATCATTAGATTTAACCAACTATATCCTTGTGGGAGATGAAGCTATGGAGCATATCGGGAAAATGTCAAGGTATATGATGATTGTTTAAAGAGTTTTGCTTTGTTTTCTTATTTAAAGTCACTTAATTAGGGCCTGATATTCTACAATAATAAACTACCTAGTACAATTGGACAACATTTATAGATCTCATATACATGTATATAAATCTGTTATGTGTAATATCTAAGTGGACTGTTGGGTTACTTATTGTTAAATTTCAGAATCGTGCATTTATTCCTATATTGTTTGTAAGAAATTAATCTGCAACACAAACATGAAGCATTTAATCAGCAGATATATTATTAAACTATTTAAAGTTAAATTTACTAAAAGTTCAAATCCCAGTGTGATTGCACATATTTGCCATCTTGTATATTTTCTGCTTATTTAAGAGCAATTTAGCTAATTGTTATATCTTAGTTATGCTTTACAGTGTCACAGGAATACATCAAATTATTGTTTAACAATCTAACAGCAATATAGCTAATTGTTTCTCCAATAATGATTAACAGCCATACTTTATATCATTGTTGCTTTCTATACAAGACACAAAACTGTCAATATTAAAAATGTCAATATATAATCTGTAGATAAATTATATGTGTGTTTCAGTTTAAAACAGTTGATATTGAGTAACACAAAGGTATCTGATGTGGGCATGTTTTTCCTGGAAGGTTTAACGCAGCTAGAAGTTTTAAATATTGATAGAACATTAGTCACAGATGAAGGTGCTAAAATTATTGGTGGTAAGTAAAAGAATTTTTTTTAAATTAACAGAAAGAAAATAAAATATTTAAAAACACAGAATCTGATTGATTGTAAGGCAAGTTAACTTGGATTACTTTGCACACATGAACTGGTATGATTGTACTATGTATATTATTCAATTTTTGACTAGTGTGCCATTGAATATGATGTGATATTTGCCGGAAGAAAGAATTTTTTTTTTAAGTATAACCTTATACATGTACAACTTTTGCCTGCTTTGTCGAAGCATACACCGTCAGGTTTGCATCATCTACATACACATACAAAAGTAATTAAAGTTCATACTCTTCATTGAGGTATAGCCTTTAAGTATAAAAGTAAAGTAATGATGTTTTAATTGAGAAATATGCCATAAAGAACAAAACGCAACAAATATGTTTTAATGCACACTAGTAATTAACAGTCTAATGGTGTATGGTCATTGAATAAGAGTCTCAATCTATTTTTAAAACTGGGAAAATCCAATTCAGCCAGTGAATATGATACTACATCCAGTGAATATGATTTTATAAAAAGTTCTGTTGACTACTGTTTGGACCATATAATAAATATATTTATACAAGTTTAACCCTTTCAGTGACATTATCGATTTATAAAGAATGGAAAGAAAATTGAAATATTGCCCACAAATATTATATTTAAAGACACAATTTCTTTTTCAGCATTAACAAATCTTGTGGAATTGAGTCTGTCTTGTACAAAGTAAGAATATATTTACAGCTATTTCTTATTTTTAACTGCTATTTTATTGTATGCCATATAATATCTTGAGAGTTAAGATCAGTGAAATAAAATTAATATCACAGATGTTTATGTCTTATTTTCTCAAATTAAAAAAATATCCTCAATGAATTTTAGCCATGTGTAAGTAAAATTATTAGGGAAAAATGTAATCTATGTTAAACCTTGTCATGAATAGTAAAATGTAAGCAATGATGTAATAAATGTAATTAATTATCGGAGATGTCTTAATACAGAGAGTACCATTCTTTTTTCCTAGCGGTCATTTAGTGTCTGAATAACTTATATCAAATAGAACAGATGCATGATGCTTGTAAATGTTAGAGGACATCTCTACATGCAGATTGACTTTGTATCATTTAATATTAATATATTTTCTTCTTATTAAATTATTGCTTAATTTAAAAAATAAATATTGATTTATTACATGTACTGTAACCCAATTTATATTCGCGAATACAAATTTTCGCGTTTTGCCGAGGTCGGACATATTCGCGAATATTAATTTCCGCGTTCTCTTGATTTCCGAAAAGAAAATATTCGCGGATTGGAAAGTCCGATGGGGCTGTAAAATCCATTATCCGACTATTAATCTTCAATAATTGAGGTCATTATTGGTGTCTTTAATGGTATTAACAATACTCTAGCCGTATATTGTATAGGTAAGTAAATTGTGATCACAATTCAGCAAAACATTTTCTCTTTATATGCACATCTTATTTTCAAAACATATTTATATTTTGTACCCACAGTTTATCTAGAAAAGTCTTTAAGAAATTCAATTTAAGCGTTTCATAAAAAAAATACCTTCTCCAATCAGGGATCGAATCCACGCGAGAAAATTATGTTATATGAGTCCGCAATCTAACCAACTGAGCTATACAGGCTGTTAAGTTTGACGGGTAAAATTGATACTAGTATAAAACCATCTTGTATTTCACTGTTTGTAATTATGTACACGCAATACCCTTTTGTGATGCTGGATAGGTTTATACCACCTTTGTCTTAACAATTCACTCAAACAATTATTTTACAGGATCCAAAAAACATTAGCCTTTTGTGATCCACTTTTGTCAATATACTTAGTATAGAAGTGTAAATATGAAGAAACTTAAAACTGACACATGCTCCGTATAGTACCCTATACGTATCGTGATTGACAATAGGCCTACTAGTATTTCATAAACTGTATTAAAATGTGGATGTTTATTTTGATTGCTATATTGACATAGAGTTCTTTTGATATTCATAAAATAGTAGTAGTTTACTTAGTTTGTGTTTTTATTGCTTTATGGCAATATTCATAACAATTCATTACTTCCTAACAGGTGCCCGTAAAATTCGAATATATCCGGTCAAGTAGCTTTGCATGAACAACGTCTAAAATAAAAATTTCTCTCCAATTTATTCGCGAAATCGTGCGGACTTATTCGCGCAAACAAATATTCGCGCTTCGTGGCCATCCGCGAATAAAGCGAATATTAATTGGTCGCGAATATTCGTTGGGTTACAGTATATATAAAGAATTAGGCTTTAAATAAGTGTGATTTGCGTTTCTGAGAAATTTGATTGTGAAGCTGTCATATTATTGGTTTACTTTATTTTTGCAGTGTAACAACGAAGTTCCTGTTGTCTGGTGTCTTAAATAACTGTACTAACCTAGCAAAGCTGAATCTTAGTAAAACTATGGTCACTAAAAAAGGTAATTTCACTCATAATTTTTACATTTTGATTTTCATGTACATAATACATTCAATTCAAATTATTCAGAAAATTATGTGGTCATAGGCAGCTCATACAATTTGAAACTTAGTGGTAGAGTATTTTGTTATATGACCGAAAAGGTATAAAGCAAATGATATGTCTAATTACCTTGAAGTCTTAAACTTTTAAGTCTGTTTTGTTTTTAAAAAAAATGCATTTAATGCCACTTTTTTCAGTACTAAAGTTTGTAGTTTCTTAAAAGTGGTAGATGTTTTATCAAGGGAGATGTTTTATTAAGGGAGATGTTTTATTTAGGGCTTCTTGGGATACCGATCATTCTCCTCCTATGTATTAAGCCTAGCACACTAAATATTTTAATTGAACTTATTATTATCTTCAATCTAGACAAAACTGTTCATCATTTTTAAGGAAAATTTCAAAATAATAACTGATTGAATTATAAACATTGCAGACCATGATCAGACAGCATGGATATCTGGATATTTGATAAAATGGTCTTTTGAAAACAGCATAGGCTTACTCCAGTCTTTAAAATCTTGCTCAGGTCTATTTAATTATTTAATACTTGTGATTAAAAAATGGCTGAAATCTACTTATGTTTTTGAGACTGTCTATTGAAAATTGGGTCAAGCATGTTAAGATGCTAATGACAAAACCAAGAGTTGTATGATTTCTGACATTTGCCATTCTAAGGTAACAATATGTGTATAAACTTTACAACTATTCTTATGAATATGTATTCATAATTTTTTACTGTTAATTCGTTTCTTGAAAAAAAAGTTAAACTTGTTCTTTTTCCCCTTATTTTTAGGTGTTCTTAGTTTGTCATTACTGTTTCTTCAAATGATAAATCTGGATGGAACAAAGGTGACCCCTGACCTTAATATTGATATGATGCAGGAATGTCCTAAATTGACTCAGATGTCAATAAGAAATTTAGAACCATTCACCAGAGATGATGAAATTGAGGAAGCTGACATGGATATGTGACCTTCAAGTCTGACCTTGTAATTTGAACTTGGTATTATCCTGACCTCTATATGTTGCAAAGGAGGAGATGAGGAAAGAAGTTGACTTTTTGTATAATTTTAAAGCTGCAGTTATATGTTGATGTGAAGGAAGGGAGACAATTTTCAAATGAATAATTTAAGCATTGAAACAAAGAAATACAAATATCACAAAAATGAAGGGAGACTACTATCATAAAAATAAAGGGAGACAATTATCACAAAATAAAGGGAGACAATTACCAAAAAAAGCAAATGGAGACAACTATTATTAACATGCAATAATTGTGTGTAAATTAGCTTGTAAATAAGAATTAATCAAATGAATCCAGTTAAATATTATTAATTAAATTTAGAGATTAAATAAATTTAATATCACTAAGATTCTATCACAGTCTACATTTTTTTTCTTTTCTGTAATATATTATCTCGATGTGATTCTGAGAAGTTATTCAATAACTGAGCACAATTTTTACATTTTCTAATCTTTTTCACTTTATTCAAAACTGTTGTCTTTGATTTATTTTACTAATAGGATACGTCCAGGTTTAAGTAAAAAATGGCAATTATTTTGTGAAAATTTTTCTTATAACAAGTGTCTAGTTAAGGAATATACAATGCAATGACCATTCTTGTGTCTGTCTAGTGAATCTGACTATGCTATGTTATTCACATTGCATCTAAGATCAGCATTTCTTCTATAATAGTTTCCTTCTATTAATGTTGACATACATTTTTATTCCAATGTGCACAAGTGTCTTTTAACACAACATTATTCAGACTCATTCTTTGTTACTTATAGAACAAACAAAAGGATGTTTTGCAATCATTTGTCTTTTACTTCTGTGTTGTCAAACTTTTTTGTTTTCCACACAACTTTTTTTTTTGGTTCTGTTCATTTCCAAAGGACAAAAATGTATTTGAAATATAAACTTAAGCTTACCAGTTTTGAGTGACCTATTACTTTTTTGGTATCAAATAATTGAGGCTAATGGTCATTTGTGCCAACTGGCTGATTTAGAAATTATGTGGAATTACAATTTGGTCACTTGTAGATAAATTGGTAATCACTGGTTAGTTATCCAGGAAAGTCGGGTAGGCAGTAAGATTGTTGAGACATATGTTAGATTCAGCATAAATCAGACAAACAAACATGAATTGAATATATAATAGATACATTTGTACTGCATTGTCTTGAGAAATTTAAGAAGATATATATTTTTTTTATTTTACTTGAGGGTATATATCAAAGTTAAATGCTTTGTTTGATTTTTTGAAATGCTTGTATTCAAATAAATTATTTTAAACTTTCAGTTTTGCCAAAACTATTTATCATTTTATAGAAAATTTCAAAATAAGTACTGAATGAATAATAAACAGTGCAGACCATGATCAGACAGCACAAATGTGTGCACTGGTCACATGGGTAGATTCAATTGCCACCAGGTGGCTAAGGGATTGATATCCTTGTATTCCTATTCCAATTTAATTGATTAAAACAAATTTTGCCATTTGTATGAGCTTAATTCAGAAACAATTTTGTTGCAAATCAATATTAAGGCACACATTTATCATGTGTTAATTGTTTATATCGTTATGTTAAAGGGTTTGTTCATACACACCAAATTGTTGAATAAAGTACTTAGTTTAAACCCAGTTCAGTTATATTTTGATTTTGTCTGGTATAATTTTATTTATTGTTGCTAGTGTAGACTTGCACCAGAAGAATACTTGAACATTTTGATTTATTTTGGAGGATGGTGGTGTAACATATACAGAATAAGTCTAGCAACTAATTTTGTAAAATGCACCCTTGTCACCACTGTACCCGCCTTGCTATATTGTAAACAGAGCTCTGTTTATATTTATATAAATTACGAGAACTACTCCCAATAAGGAAGTGTGATTCTAGCCCAGATAATGTTCTTACAATGTTTAGGTGTACATCTAACCTTGTATCTAACCTATCTAGTGTTGAGACTTAATGACAATGGTCTCAAGAAGAGAAGTTTTTTGACAATCTTTTTTAATCATAGATCAAACTGTTTAGTGCATATCTGTAAGTGGTGAAAAGTTATAACCAGTAACTGGAAGTTGTGACATAACCAGGTTTTCTCAACTTTTCCACACATTAATACATGTGTGGAGAAGAAGACAAGGTGCCAAAATTCTACCAAACTGATAAAATCAGAGCACTTGTGAAAATCTTGTGAAAGTTTGGATGAAATCTGTTAAGAAATGTAGGAGCTGTGCGCAAAAGAAATCGTCCATGGCGGAGTGGTTAGCTCTGCGGGTTTGAATAACACCATGGAATTTGGATTCTTTCATGTAAGGGAGCTATCCAGCTAGCTTATAGAATGTTGGTGGTTCTACTCAGGTACCCGCTTGTGCCAGAAATAAAGCATGGAGGGTGATGGTGGTGTTGTTAGTTTACCCTCCAAATGACGACAATAAGCCACTGGTGAATTCACCAGAGCATAGCTTGTTCCTGGGCAGGCTGTCCAGCAGTCAACCAGTACCAGTATCTTGACTTTCCCAGAAATGATAACTTCTGTACCTGCCAGAGTATAGATACAGTGTGAATGACCACAGAAAGGATTTAATGATCAGTAACAACTAATGTGACCTGCATCGTCCGGGAATCAAACCTGGGTCACCTGATTCATTATCCAACATTCTACCTATTGAAATAACCGGACAGTTCAATGCACAGAGGAGAACACAAAACATAGGGTAGGGGGCTATACAGGAATCATTTTGTCCCATCCAATCCAATTCTGGTAACGGGTATAGATAGTTACTTGAAACTTGGCACATCAAAGCAATATCACAATGCAACTATCTTTGTAAAGTTTCATAAATATGATAGTTCATTTGAAAGAATTTGCTCTTTTTATTAACTTAGAAAATATCCCAAAAAATGTACCAAAGTGGTTATTGCTGTATTGTTAATGAATGAATTGTCTTCATAATTCAACATAACAATACTTTGGAATGTTCCTTCAAGATGACCAGACTAACTTGACCTTCCTGGTCAATTACTGAATTTTGCTAAAAAAATGTCTGTAACTGGCTAGAATTTTGTAATTTATGAATGGAATGTCTTCATATATTGACACAACATCTTTAAGGACAAGACCTTTATGGAGATAAAACTAAATTTATCCATGACTTTTAAATGACCTTGACCATGTAATTATTGAATTTTCACTGTTTTTTTTTTGCTATGATTTGTAATTAGTATATGGAAATCATGAATGTGTGGACAATCATGACATATCAATGTAAAGTTACATTGCATCCATGTGTGTCAAGTTTTACAACTCTGACAGTTTGACATAATTTTGTGTCTTTTCTAAATTAGGAAATATCACAAAAATGTACCAGTGGCTTTAGATTAGTAATTTATGAATGAATTGCCTTCACATACTTTGACACAACAACCCTTGAAGATAGACCTTCAAGTTGATTAGACTTACATTACTGAAGTCCTAAATGACCTTGACTTTCAAGTTCAAGTTATTGATATTTTTTTGTGCTGTAACTGGCTGTCCCTTCCCATCTCAGGAACCAGTGGAGATAATAACTTAAACTTAAAATATCCATGCAATATCACAATGAAACTGTGTGTTTAAAGTTTGATAACCTTGATAAGTAGTTTGATATAATTTTGTCCCTTTTTATTCGAATTGGCAGCAGGGGGCAATTTATTTAATTTGAAATCTCCCTTTCTTGCTATAGCTTTATTATGCTACTTATGATTGAATTGTCCTCTTACTTGGACACAGCAGTCCTTGGGGATAGATCTTTAAGTTGATTAGACTAACATTGATCTTGATTCATAAATGACCTTTACTTTCCAGTTGGGGCGTCCGTGGCCGAGTGGTTAAGGTCGTTGACTTCAAACCACTTGCCCCTCACCGCTGTGGGTTCAAATCCCGACAGGGACTTTGGATTCTTTCATGTGAGGAAGCTATCCAGCTAGCTTACGGAACGTCGGTGGTTCTACTCAGGTGCCCGTTCGTGCCTGAAATAATGCACGGAAGGGCACCCAAGGTCTTCCTCCACCAGTAAAGCTGGAATGTCACAATATGACCTATACTGTGTCGATGTGACGTAAAACCAAAAAAAACCAAAACTTTCCAGTTATTGATTAAAAAAATAAATTGATGTAATTGGCTATAACTTTATTATTATATATTCCATCTCATCTCAGGACCTGTTAGATATATTAACTTGAAATAACAATGCAATATTATAATGCACTGTAAGTTCGACGTCTCTGATAAGTAGTTTAACATAATTTAGTCCTTTTTATTCAAACTGGCTTCAGATGACTAATTTTTATTCTACTAAGCCGTCTTATTGTGATCCCCCACCCTCTGTCGTCATGCTGCTTATATAATCAACAGTGACTTTAAACAACAACTCCTCTGAAACCAATGACTGCACAGTAACCAAACTTTAAAGGAATGATCCTTGGGTGTCCCCTTCCAAAGTTATTTAAATGGTTTCGGTCTGTTTTCATAGTTAGCTTTTTGAAATACTGTACATGTCTCTAGACTCTATACATATATTCATATTTAAAATGGCAATAAAATAAATCCAAACTGTACGTAAAACAATATGAATATTTTAATTCATATAATGACCATATCCATAAAATCTACAGTAAAAGATCTGTGAAGTTTTAACAATAAACACTCAATAAATTGCGATAAAAATAGCATATCTTTACTTTAATAATAGAAGTATGTGTTGAAATAACATTGCACACGGACTATTTTAACTATTTCAATACTAGCAAGCATTATGGTGCCACCGGTACAGAATCCCAGGCCAGCCTGAGCCCCAGGCCAGCCTTTGTAGTACATGTATTTTATTATTGAAATCCCTGAACTTTACACTGGACTATGCCCAACTCAAAGCAGGACTAGGCCGTTCTACAAATTTTGCACAAAGGACTCAAGACACACAACATACACACATGCTGGATAATAAATATATGGTATATATAACCTATGCCAAAGATGGGACAAATTTGGCAATTTAAGCCAAAAATATTTAAAAAAACGCATATATGTGTGTATCTGACCCCTCTGATTTAGTAAAATTTTAGACAGTAAATTATATACATTGTATATCAGATCTAACATTTATATTTGGCATCTTTGCTAAATCTATGAACACATCTATCCACAAAACCTAGTATGATATGTATTTTAAGTATAGACATAAATATCAATAAAACAAGTAACTGAGACATAAACAAAGCATATTTGACTTAAATATTAAAAGAGAACTGATTTGATATAAATATGAAATGTGGATTTAACAGAACTAACATAAAGCAAAGCCTGCTATGTTTTTCTTGATGACAAATATCACATGAACAATACCAATCAGCATTGGACATACAAAGTTGCCTATGTAAATGATAAATGTTAAGTTGTATGCACTAAAACAAGGATTGGCACAAAAAATATATTAGAACTCGAGCACAGATCCAGAGCGGCATTAGGGGGTCACAGCACTGACAGTTTCCAAGATAGGAATAATGTATGATATGTTATGTTTAACTGTCTTTACTTGCCCTTTCTTAACAAAAATCAAGTCATCTATGTAAAATTCTATCTTGCATTCTTTAGTATATGAAATGTCACTTTTTATGGCTGTCATTCACTGTCATTAAGCACTAACATTTATGAAGCCCACCCATATACTTCTATATTACATTTTATATCACTCTTCATAAATAAATATAACTTTGATATTAACATAAAATATTTTGTTATCACAGGCGCTGTTTGTTGACAACGTAACCTCTATCTGTCCACTGAGAAGTAACCAACAATATTTCTGTAATTTCATCAACTGTTTTAAATATTTCGGTTACTGTGGTATTGAGAAAGTATCCTCCTTCATTTTTCTTTGATCATCATCCCCCTCCTATAACAATGGTTCCGTTCCATTCCAGTCAACTTCTGCTCCTTCCCACCTATAAATAAAATCATAGTATACATACATACTTAAATTTCTTAAAAAAACAATTTTCCCACCAGTAGATGTGAGCTCATTTCTTCCTGCCTATCTTATTACATCACATATTAGTTCCAAAGTTCAATCTTATAAACACTTACTGCCTGATTGCTAGTATTATTTGGAGAAATTATTTGAGCTACTGCTACAGTCATGGTGTTGTAGTTATGGCCCATGTCATTGCCAGTGCTGTTGGCATTGAATTTTTTTTATTTATTTCTTAACAGATTGTCTTCATACTTGTTACAATTATATATAAATTAAAAAGATAAATCTGATAATCAAGCATAAACAGTCAGTACTTGCATTTTGTTTTATTACTTCAGTTCATACACTGAGATATGAATCAACAAACATTGTAAGTTAAATGCCAATCATTTGTATCAAGCAAACTCTTGGCTGTTTAGGATCCTAAGTTATTACACTCTAAGCTGAAAGTGATTAGTCTCTGCCACCAGTATAGAGCCTGGGTCAGCCAGAACATCTGTGCAGTCTGACCAGGCTTTAAACTGTTGGTACCTCAATTTTTCTATTTTGATATTGAAATCCCTGAAACTTGGAATGGACTGTTCCAAATTCAAAGCAGGGCAAGTCTATTACACAAATTCAGTAGGTTAACTTTTACACAGCAGCATCAACATAACAATTTCAATAGTTATATTTAAATAGTTTCAACCTCTAATGAATGAATGTTTATATATATACATGTATAGTTGTGTTAAGTAAAATCTTACTTTGTTCTAATGCAGTGATCTATTGGAGGCACAAGTTCTTCATCTGATGGTTGAACAAATGATCTGCTGTTAGTCACTAAAAATATTGAATAACATACTGAGAATTCACTCAATTTCGTACACATGAAATTTCGTGGTTTTTACACAAAAACACACACATTTTCCTGGTTTCTCCACAAATTTTTGTGGACTGTTTATTTTTCCAAAAGATAAAATGTAAATAATGTGATGCAAAATAATCTTACAGCAGACAAAACTAAATTTCGTTAGATCTTAAATTCGTGGATTGACCTATCAAAACCAAAACCATGACAAAATTAGAGCCAAACAAATAGTAACAACATACAAGTCAATGACTGCCTGTTTTGATCTATATAAATTATATAGAGTTTTAACGTTTTGATCACTTAATTACCTTCTGCTAAGTATTTTTTGTTTTCACTGTTAACTGTCCTTTAAAAAATCTAAATGATAAGAAAGCAGTGTTCATAAATGACTAAATGTATTTTATTTATCTTCCAGTCATCCAGTGCCGTTGAGGTATGGGCTAACACTGTTGTGCATGATGCATGATGTACTATATTACTTAAATGCTGAGTATTCCAGTCTGAAACTGCCGGCAACTGACTTACATGATACATGATGTTCTTAATTCTATCACATTAATAAATCTCATTTCAAAAATAATTTCAACCTTTGTTAAAATATCATGATATACTGAAATGCCTGAACAGTTTATAGAAATTATGTGTAATACATGTACAATGTATTATAAACAACAACATACATATTGTCAGTTTTATTTCCTCTTGTTGTCTGGCAAGGCCGTCATAATAATAGAGATCAAATCGTTTCTCCGCTTTCCAGTCACTAGTTAATTCTTTCTTCGTGCAGAATAACACGCTGAAATGACTTTCACTACAAACAACCCAGATAGGATAACGGGGTGTCTTGAGGTATGTTCCAACCTAGAACAAACATGTTTTATTAAAGAATAGAATACATGTATATAAAACATTATCAGATAACACTTCACACAAGTCATAAACTGAATTAGAAGTATTCATCATACTGAGTGAGACTTAAAAATAAAAGCTATCTTTATTTTGTGAGACAAATATACTTGGAAAAGACATCATTTCTTTGGGTTTTATATCACACAGGCACTTTTTCATGTCAGAAGGCAACATTCCATCTTCAGTTAATAGACAGACCTCAGATAACCCTGTGACTCAAATTTAGAAATTATAATGATTGAGAAATATTTAGGCAAAGACATCAATATAACAATTATTGCTAAGCAATAAATACCTGGCAAGATTTATAATGTTCAAACAGAGACAAGAGACCAACATCACACCGGGACACAACGCCTTTTAGTATCATAATATTGCCTTCTCCCGAGTCTAGCTCCATCACATCATTAAACACGTTAGACACAGCACGTCCTGATATAAATAAATTCACCATTTCCTGAAATAATATAAGTGATTGTTTAAAACTGAATTTTTTAGGTCACAATGAACCAACATAGGGTACAACTCTTCATACTTCATTGATGTATTTCCTCCTTTTAAGTTATATAGCCACTTTGCTACTTCATTGATGAAGAGTGATTAACTTATCATTATTTCAGGCACAAAAGTGCACATTGGTATAATCAGTATCCTCTTGAAATTTCCCCCCCCAAAAATAAGAAATGGTTAAGTCCAGATTAAAAAGATGAACAAATCCATTTATGAAATTTAACACACTCATGTTTACAAATAGTTTGAGAAACAAGTCGAAGATCATAATAGTTACCTGAGTACAATAACCATGAGCTCCCATTAGTTTGTTTGTTGGCACATCCATGTCATCTTTAACACTGTAAATAACAGAAAATTAATTTAAGTTACACAACAGTAATATTATTTACCAACAAAACAAAAATATCTTTAAATACAGTACGCTCAGCGCGACTTTTTCAAAACCCGCGTGACCCCGCGGATGAGGTTTACTGCGGACGAAAATTTGCTCAGATATTGTCCGCGTGACCCCGCGGACAGAAAATTTTCACCACCGCGGACATAAATCGGCGGCTGAAACCGTTTCCCCGCGGAACGCAGCGGTAAATTGCGGAGGAACGCGGTGGTCAAACACCGGTCAACGCGGTGGAAACCTTAAATTTTAAAAATTAATTACTGTATTTAAACATCAGTATACGTGCGTACTGTAACATGTACTGTACATATAACTATATGTAAAATTTGTTTGTTTGTTTTCTGTTTTGTTGTTAAAGTACATGTACAAATGCAGTGTATTTCTTGTTCTTCTTCTTGTTATTGTGTTGGGTTATGTATAATATGTATTTGACATTAAGATAAATCATTGTCGTCGCAACTTCATGGTAGTGAGAAAGAATGAAAAATTCGGCATATGACATTTATAAAAAAAACATACTACAACAATTTATATGCCAGCTTTTGTTTCTTATTTAAAAACTTTGAAAACGTAACCCTCAGCAATTTATTCAGGCAATATTCCAGGACGTCTCTTTTAATTGTCAGATGCGTTTTACGGTTTCTGTTTATTTGCATGTTGATCATAAAGTCTTGTATTTTATTTGGAACTTTAAAAGAAAGCATTTATTTCACCAAAATATATATTAAATGATATTCTTGATTTATCTAATTACAGGTGTGAGCGTAATGTATATGTTTTGAAGTTTGTATCAACTGTTGAAGTTTATTTTCATTTTTGTTTTAGTAGTTTGTTTGTTTGTTCTTTTTTATTTTTTATTAGATTTTTTTTGCAGAATTTTGTTAAACTTGACATTATACTTTTTGTTATTTTATTATGAACAGTATGCATTTACATACATGTATATAAGGCAAACAAGCACATGGCAGTTATTTTCTAAGAACTTCGATCGACCGATTTTCAAGTTAAAAATATTTCATTTTATTTTTATCTTAAGATATTATTGTTCATAGGAATAATAGTATTTGTAGACAACATGTAGTTTTAAGTACATACAATTGAACGTATTTAGATGGTTTAAATATATTTTTCTTTTATTTCTAATATATGTACATGTATTTTATTTATGTCTTGTCTTGTATTCACACTCATCGACCTCTTACAGGACATGTACTGTAGCGTCAGTCATCATTGAGAAATCAGCACAAATGTCCTTTTTTTACTAAGTATCATATTTATGGCTCCCATATAGTTTAACAGCAATAATACTTTGAGAACCACAAGGAATGAAAAAGTAAAGATGACAGTGATAAATGACGATTTCAGTTGTAAAAATATTGGTATGTGGACGAATAGTTTTGTGGACGTTTATAATAAAAATATTAAAAACAACAACAAAAACAGGTACAGCTGTAATTATTTTTATTTCAAATTCCGTTCAAAAAATTTAACGTATACAGTAAACTCCGCTTATAACGAACTCATTTGGACATTCAAAATCTGTTCCTTATATCCGGAGTTCCTTGTAAGCATATAGCGAATTAGTTCCTTGTATCAGGAGTTTTTATAGCGAACAGATTTACATATAACGAACTGATTGTTAAACATCGTTCGCCATTTTTAAGAGCATTTGATTAAAGATCCTGTATGCTTTGTGATTGATATATTATTACTGTGTGAATACCACACTTGCAAAAATTATATATGTAAATAATTATGCAAATAAAACAATTTTCAAACATCAAAGGATATGTAAAATGTCTACTGCAAATATTTGTGCACATAAAATTTAATCAATCAATTACATGCATTCTTTTCTTATTGGAAAATTTGACTTAGAATTTATGGAAAATAAAATTCTAATTACCTCCCTTTATTTACATGAAATGTTAAATTGGGTAATATCTTTATAAATAATGCTTATTGGAACTTACAATATTGACAAATCTTAATTTGAGCATCATATTTATGAAATAAAACCATGAAAAAAATGTGTTACAGGATCTTTAAGAATAATAAGTCATTTATTTCTTTTTTAGACACAATACCCGAGAGCGTACATTTTGGAATTTGAAAATCCTTTGCTATTTCTGTTTTAGTTTTACTCCCTTTCTCAATTTTTCATAAAATATATTTTGTTTCTTCACAACTCAGTGCTTTTCGTTTTCTTTCAATGAATAAGAATAAACAAGATTTTCCATTTTTCTTCCTTTTATATTGAATATATTCTATTATATTTTAAGGGTGACTGTTACTTATGAAATATATAGATTTCTTTTCATTTCAATCAATCATACTTTGTAGTTTTCTATGGATTATGTTTGCAAGCATGCGTGATTATGTTGAAAACCGATTTTCATTTTACTCGAGCAAAACTATTAAAGAAAAGAAATTATAGAATAAAAGGAATTACCGTTTTATCTTTGTGACAAGAACTCATGCAAAAAATATACTAAATAGAAAACTATTACATACTTCTATATAAATTCATTTCATAGATATATTGAATTACATACAACAATAAACGGTACATTCCGCGAGTTTTATTCCGTGCCAATGAAAACGAAAGTTGAAAATGCGGGATATATTTACGAATAGCCGATATTTGGAGTTCGTTATAAAAGTGTAATTTTCTGCACTTTTAACTAGATTGGGACAAAGAAATGAGTTCCTTATAAGCGATAATTCCTTATAACCATGTTCGCTATAACCGTATATTTTTATATTAAATAAAGAAGGGTAAAATTCGGGCCAAAATAAATTGTTCCTTATAACCGGAAGTTCGCTATAACCGTGTTCGCTATAAGTGAAGTTTACTGTAATAACGTTTAAGGAGACGATTGTGGTCAATTTTCAAGTCATTGTGTAAAAAAGATGACGTTAAAAAATAATAATTATTATAACTATTATTTTGGAGGTTAATTTATACTGACCAACTGACCATGGCGTTCCCCCGCGGGAAACTGATTTTATCGACGAATGAAGAACGGTCGTCAGAATTTTGTCCGCGGTGGAAACAACTGAACACCGGGGATCGCGGGGGAAATTAGGCTTTCATCGCGGACGAACCCCCGCGTTTGTCCGCGATAAAAAAAAATTGTCCGCGGTGGTATCGCGGAAAAAGCAAAACCCGCGGTGAGCGTACTGTATTGACTGTTTTAGGATTTCTCAAGCTTTCATTTTTGCAATTGTCAGTTTTGGGAATATATAAATAACGTGGTTGTGCAGGCATGCCTGGCTCTATATTGGTGCCAAAGGCAAACCACTTTCAAGTCCAGGAGGGTAGGGGGTCAAGAAGAATATAAAAGTAGTATCTGAAGTGTGACTGAAGCCTATCTTATCATTATTTAATATAAGTAAAAAACACCATGTCCTTTTGAGTCTCAGTACTACAGGGAGTATTTATTACTTTATATTATATAATTTTTGACAGAAAAAAAGATGCATTTTACTTCTATTTAGTTATATTATTCTAAATGGCTGTACTAATACTATCAAAGTTTCAAGAACATTTTAACTCACCCTTCAACTTTCCTTGACAATATAACAGAATATAATGACAGAATCACGCCTCCTAAACCATCCAATTCAAACTGTAATAAATTAAACATTGAACTGTTATATGTAATCCTTAAAAACATAACCTTATTTTCATTATTACAGTTAAAACAATATGTTATACTGACGTGTAAGCTTTGCTCTCTTTCTCTGTTTTTTTTCTGTTATTTTTTGGATTTTTTTTACTAAATTAAAAAGTATCATTGTCACTGTTAAATACACATTGTATTTTCATCATGTTATATGTGACTATGATATTGTACAATTATATTTTATTTATATATGCATCTTCTGAAATAAAATATATAGTTGCGTGTCTGTCTGTTTTCCAACACATAACAAATATATAAATACCATGATAAAATGTTTTGACAAAAATAATCTTTATAATTAAGTCTAGTTTTGCCTTAATTTAGTATTGTTTGTTTCGCTTATTTGTCGGTTTTTTTTTTCTTTATATAAAAACGTAGAAAATCAGTAAAGGTATTTCATTTATCATTCAGAAATTAATTCTATTAATATTGATCATGAATTATTAAAGGGAAGTAAATGTTAAAATACTTGTTATATAAATTACTTAAGTTATTCCCCTTCATTTGTCACATTGACTATTCTAGTGGTTTTTTGTGTGGATTCATTAGCGAATTTCTCAAACATAAAAATGTATTGTAGCTTACTTTGATACTGTTAGGTAAAGATAGACAAATTCTTGTGTATTATATACATTTATACATATGCTTTTTAAGTAATTTCTTATCTCAGTAAACATTCTCACATTACATAAAACATTATTTTGCAATCATATATGTTCATTTCATGTGCCACATATGTATTTTATGTTGTATTTGTATATGTAATATCAGGTGATGAGCTTTTTATGCTTAAACCAAGAAATAAAGTTTCTGTTCTGTTCTGTTCAGTTATATAATAATAATGCAAAACAAAGAATTTTGTCTAAAAATATGCATTGAAAATGTTTGCTCATTATCTTGTTTGGACGAAAATACAGACCAAAAACTTAAAGCAGTAGGCCTCCAGATGAATGCTTATTTTCATGAAAAATTCAAAAATGTATTTAAATGTAAAATATTATAAGTAGAACAAAGAGAGTAAATAACACATCCCAAATGACACTTAAAATTCATATATATCACCCAATAGATCAACATATGCAAAACTCCTTTTAGTAAAACAGTAGAAATTTGGTTACAAAAACTGCAAATTAGTCATTAAATGACATATAACATGTAAATTATTACTTGAATCTTTACTTTTCTAACAATTTTAGTGCAATTTTCTCAGGTTTGCTTTTCTTAAAATATGTTGGCTCTCCTGGAGGTATGCAGCTTTAAGTTAAAATTATAAGAAGAACCTACCTGATTAGTTACTTGTTTCATAAAATTATTGAGATCATCAAAATCCACAAAAGTGTACAAAGATAACTGAAAAAAGAAAATCAATTTATGTTTGTTATATACTTAATTGCAAATGAAAAACAACACAGATTCCAAAGGTTAAAATCTACCAGCATCATAACTTTTTTTCATGCAAAATTTAAACTTTGTACATATTCTCATTTAAAATGATAAATTTCCATCAAAATTGGCAATAATTACACTGGATATAAAGGTTAAAGTTTACTTTATTGAACAGTTATAATTATTCCTGTTACTTTTTTTATTCTTGTTACTTGTATAGTAAGCATATTGTATAAGTAAAATTCTAAAATCCAGGCGTTTCTGAAGCAACAGCAAGAAATAAAATTTTAGTCTCCAATAAAGCCTGTTCAAGTACCATTCATGCATTATTACTAATATAAAACTATATACATGTAGATATACACAAAGATCACTTGATTAGAATAGCTGAAGAAATAATAATTAGGGAGACAGTGTAGAAATCATTAAAGCATAAAGCATAAAAGTTGAAGATTTACATGTACTGGTGATATGTAAATTGAAAAGAAATACCTTAAAATTTTTCAATATAAACATTATGAACTTACAGTTTCTATGAACTCATCAGCTTTGAACTTTCCACCACTGCCTATAACAGGCCGACTAGACGGTCTAAAAATGTATACGATAAAAAAATTCTACTAGATATATGCTCAAGTACATGTACAATAAAAAGTTGGTTTATCCCAATTTACATGTATATACTTATTCAAGTAACAGGTATGAAGTTTTAAATTTTTAGCTAATAAGAAATTAAATTGCTTGCAAAACCTCTACAAAGTTGTGCACCGACCATAATAATGTTGCTTCCAGGGTTAGTGTAATTGTTCCATTATTCTTTAACTCTAATGAAAACTTACTAAACTTCAATAATGAACCAAAATTCTTTCATGCCATTGGTTGCACAGTTATCCCAATATTGAACCATTTTTTTTGCATTTTCATGAAATTGGCTCAAATAAATGCTGTGTGTTTTTAATAACAAATCTTTATATAATGTTAGTATTTTTAGTTTTATACTTTAAGAGCCTCCAGAGTTGTCACAGTGTTATTTCTACATATTTGCAGGTTGAGTAAAGCTATCACACCTGCTTTTCTGCTTATTTCATAAGTTTTATCAAGTATCTTTTAACTTACAAACAAACAACTGCTTTTCTCTTCTCGCCAGCTCTCCAGAATATTTTGGCAAGGGCAATGGCTAATGCATCAGTTCTTTCTTCACAAGTTGGCTCATTACTGAACAAATAATAAAATCATTGTAAACATAAAAAAGTGTCTCAGATACATAAATTAAAACCAATGTCCTTTAAGTATTCAATATAAAAGTTTTTTTCATGATCAAACATAAAATAAGATGTTCTTAAATCAGCACAGAAAGAGGAAACTTCGGTATTTAAGTTAATAGAAAATATCAAAAGCAACAACAATTCAGCATCAAAAGATTCAGAAATCATGGCCCAGTCTGGCTAAAATATTATGAAAATTTAGATTTATCGATGTTATAATGAAGGAAAGCTAATAAAATAAAAAGTGTTTGTTTTTACATACTTTAAGCAATGAACTGTGCCTGGTATAAAATTTGGAGGTTTGAATTTGATAGCCACTTAACTGGTGTAGGATGGTTGCCCCCATTATATTATTTAAACTCAGCGTGCTCCATAATGGATAGAAACTCAAACCAATCACCAGATATTTTTCATGAAACAAATTACATTTACCTTTTTTGAGAATTAGCTCACAGTTATTAAACCAAAAGTTCAAATTAAACAACATTATTTCAGACAAACATTCAAATCCAAAAACCTAGAATTACCATGTCACAAAAAAAACCGAACTCAATTATAAAATCAAATAAAAGAAACAATCTGCGAGAAAAAATTTCTACTTACAATCTCTGAATTGCGACTTTCTTTTCCCCAAATAAAAGTTCTTGTAAAACACAAGCTTGAACACTGGCTAGAACACCACAAGGGCCTCCCTGTTGATGCAGAAAGTTTTTGTTCATAAGGCTTATCAAGAAAACAACATACATGTATAATCTTGATCAAATATTGCCAACATATTTGTCAATCAGATCTACTTATTTCTAAATGCTCTGTTATTTAGAGCTTATTTTAATAATTAATCAGATTGCATATTTGTTTAACTTGTTTGGACTTAAGTCATGTATTAGAATCATTGTGGTCAAGAGTTCCTGTTATAAAGAGTTCTTGGTTGTATCTTTGTATATAAATTTTTTTGCATGAGTTGGTAGCTCCCTGAATAGACCCATCTTCTTCCAGCAAGGTACTAAATATGCTTAATTAATCACTGAAATCCATCATTTATCATGATAATTAGACAATTAATGGTGATTTGTCTGAACACTGAAATGCTTGGCAAAAAATGTGAGTCAATATGAAAGTCATAATCAAATTAATTAATCAATACTGGTCAACAGAGATCAATTTTAGTCTTAGTGGGAAACAGACAGAAGATACAAACAAATGCTCCAACGCCATTTTTGTGGACAATATATTGATCCCAAAGTTTCTTTCTTTAAGTGAATCAAACTGTCAATTTCATGTCCTACAGGTTTTTTTTATAATTAGAAGCTATTGTAATTACCAGTTGATATATAACTTACCTTCTTCTGAACAATACCATATTTTAGTTTGGGCATATCACAGAAACTGTAACTTTGAAACTTCCATTCATCATTAAAACTCTGCATTGGTGTCCCAAATATCAAAGATTTTAGTGCCTATAATATACAGCAATAAGTCATATGATAACTTTGTTTTTCATAATAAACATGTGTTTTTTTTCTATTTTTTGGTATCAATATTAAGATATAAGATTTGGTAAACTGACACTTCTATGTAACATTATAAACCTGCATTAAGTACTATCATGCTCTAGGACAGACATCATAAAGTTTATCTTTTATGATTAAAGTTTCATGATTAGAGACTAATGATCACAAAATATGAATAGTGTAACTAACATAATATCTCATACAAAATGATTATTATAGAAAGAAATATTAGAGCTGTCATTGATATATGAGTGATACTGTTTATATTTTTTGACCTGTCAGAAATGGTGAAAATTCAGTCAAAATATAAACAGCAGCAGGTTCCCTGTCAATTGAACATGTCTTCAACTATGCCACTACTTAACTTTATTTGTTAATTTACATATTTAATAGCTGTGATGACAAAATATGTTCACATTTAACAATAAAACAAACAACTCCTCCCTTTGTAAAGATGTCAGATGCTTATAATACTAAAGAACAATACAAATACATTATTACATTTTTTTCTGTACACAAGAAAGGACATACCACAGCAGTTTTAACATCTATATGTTTACAATTGTGTTGGCTTTTATTAACCTTGGCCGACATGACACGAGGGCCGACATTCAGGTTGGCAATATCATCATCTAGACCATCTACTTCGCCCATCTCAAGATCACCCACCTTGATAGAACTTGAGGATGAAGTATTGCTGAAAGATCACATGTAATATGATGGGAGTGGTATACTTGCTTGCACATTATGCCTCAAAAAGAAACATGTTTTTTTTGTTAATGAAGAGTAAACATGAGTTTTATAACACTTTAAATAACACTTAAAATAATGGTTTTAGTGCATGTTACATGCTAATCACTTAAAGAGGGTAACACTGAATGATAGAATATTTGTCTAGTATGAAAGTATGAAATAATTTAATGTAAATAAGGATACATACTCTATCACTAGAACAGTACTAATTGTCAAAAAGCAACAGAAGCAAAAGATTATTTAATTGGCCAATGAGTAATTTTTTTGGAAACTATAACAGGACACCAAACATAAAATGCATTTCTGAAGCATAATGGGTCTTTAACCTACTAAATTTGTGCAAATTATTTGCCCTGTTCTAAGTCTGGACATTCCAGTATAAGCCTGGTCAGACTTCACATCAATGTAGGCTGGCCTGGCTCTACACTGAAACAATGGCTAGTCATTTTTGGTCCTAGCAGGTTGAGAGATCAAATTTAATCACTTGACATCACTAAACTTAAGTGTAATTTATTAACTGTGTACTTCTCAATATATCACTTAAATTCTACAAAAAAATCGGGCCTGTCAGATGTTGATTTTGCCATTATCAGGTGTTTTCTAGGTGTAAAAATCTATTTTCATTGTCATTTCGTATATACAATGTACTTACATTTTACTTGCCCCAGGCTCACTTTATAATACTTTCATAGAAACAGCATTGCTCCCCCACCCACCCTCAAACAATTATCTAAGAATTTAACAATGTTTTTAGCTGTATTTACCTGCCTAATCCGGAACTATTTTTCTTGCCTTTAGCAGCAATACTAGAAGTATCAACACTGTAATGCTTTGTTTCTTTTTCTACTGAAGACTGTCTCCGAGTGGCAGTTGGGGGTCTCTGACCATCACTCTCTATATCTAACACATCCTTTATTGGTTTCTTACGTTCACTTGATATAAGTGTCTCTATCTCCTTCACATGGGAACTATTTTTTTCTGAAGACAAGTCAGAATTATTACTCTGTAATGGTTTCGAGTTTATAACTGTAGGTTTTGGAACTGTTTTGGCATTTGCTGTAGAGTCTAGACTAGTTATTTTTGGTGAGTCATTTTGAAATAAATTCAGTCTTTGGTTTTTAGAGGCGGACAGTGGACGTGGTTTCTGAAATTTTCTTCTAGAAACTTCCTGAAATCAAGGTTATATTTTGTTAGTTGACAATTATTTTATAAAGGAAAGTTTAAACATGTTGAAATGCATTGCTTGAATGAAATTTATATGTAACTTAATCATTTCAGGTGACTGTAATACAGGCAACCTTAGCTGCAAATTAAAACACAACATGAAAATTTTTATTTTAACTTAAAATCAAATTTTTGTGCAAAATCGATATATTTTAAATCAAAATAGATTTAATATATTTCGTTTCATACATTAAATATTTAGTAATGAAATAATTGCAATAGTTTAAAAATGCACAACACAACATCTTTCCCTGGTCTAAAAACTAAAATTCCAATCCTTGGATATTATAATGAATAACTTTGTTTTTGTTTACTAAAATAGATTAAAATTCTGGAAACAAGGTAGGTAAATGTCTATTAAGCAATACTCTAAGTGGCGATAACACCTGCATAGAGCCAGGTATAAATATTTGATACAATTAAACCAGAATGAATATTGTTGGCAGCACAATTTCAATCTAGTGAAGTCCCTTAAACCTATAACGGACTGTTCAAAGTTGAAAGCAAGGCAAATCCTATATACAAATTAAGCTAGGTCAGGGCTAAAAAAAAGCATTAAATCTTAGCCTGCTGGCAGCAACAGATTCTGCTCCTGCCACCAGTGCAGACCAATATCAGCTGGAACATATGTGCTGATTAATTAATCATAAACTGTACTGTTTGCTATACAGTCAGTATATATTAGGAAAATTTCCCTAAAAATAATGAATGGTTTGATCCAGATTAACAGACGGACAAGTCCATTTAAGATATTTAGCATAGTTAGGATTAATAATGAAACTGCTCTCAATGTTCTAAAAGGATAAAAGTGAACAAAGGTTGAGATAGTCTGCTGAACTAACCACATTACTAGTGATTGGACCAGACATGCCTAGAGACATCGGTTTGGCAGCACTGCGGGGTCGTGACTGCATGGTCCGTGTAGGAAGTTGATCTTCCTCCTCCTCAAGCTGAAGTACTCCCGATTTGCCATCACCTAGCAAAGTCTCTCCCTCATGACTGTCCTCAATTACAAGGTCAGAGTTGTTTGATTTTGGTGGAACTGAAATAAATAATGTAATAAATAATTTTAATGGTATTTTATTGCATACCTGACCAAAAAAACCAATTACAGTTTTTCTACTGTATCAAGCATATTCTAAACCATAGGCATGTGGTTTTGGGATAAAAACCCTTTTGTTTTTTTAGTAACATTTAATGACCAATAGTTAAATTTTACCATACTGGGATCCTTCATATTTACCAGACAATCAGTTTACCGGACAAAATTCTATTCCTGTCATATTGTGCTTAACTTTTATCTCAATTCAAAAGTCATACAGTCTGAATCGCATACACACCTTCAATTTAAAAGTAAATAACAACAAAACCACTCTTGAGTTAATCTTGTCGATTCAGTTCTTTATTAACTTACATTCCCCATTGTTTACTATTTTATTTCATGACCAGGTCATGCGGGGGAATAATGTCTTTTGCGCATGCCCGAATATTGAGGCCCTTGATAGGTTTTACTTTTAAATCTTCTCTGCCTTATCAAAGCAGACCAATGTAACATATTTTAAGGCTAAAAAGTATATCTAGAATTAAATCAAATAGTATTTCAGTAGTTGTTTTTTTACAAGGAAATGCAAATAAAAAACCAAATAAGGAAACAGATCACTCCCAATTTTTAAATCATTGGAGGAAACTCTACAAGAAATGTAAATAAAATGTATTGTCTGGAGTTAACAGGCTTCATGATGACCAAAATAAAACTGATGACAAGGAACAGAATTCCATTTACATTTAATGATTTATGAAGAATCAAAACGATAATAGAGTTAATAATGTGAATTTTCATTAAACCCCATATATAGGTCCCTTTGTATCAAGCATGGCTGTCGTGTCTATTTTTAGTGACATCTTGGGTTTTTTCCAATATCTCAGCCTTGCCACGTGACAATCGTAGTTCCCTTGTTGAAAATTTAAAGATTAATTTCAATTCGCGACTTCAAAATACTTTGAAACACAATGTATGGTAAACTGAGTTGTCAACATGAATTTTTTCTCTTCTAATACCCTACTTTGAAGACACATTTTAATGGTCAAAACGTTAACTTTCGTGTTTGATAAGGTAAGTTTTATGTGAATAAGGAACCCAGAATCTCTTGGGTAAAATTTCATCGGTTTTCATGATTTTATATAAAAGTTGCAGTGAAAAAACATCATATTTTGTCTGGTAATATGAAGGACCCCAGTTTTCATTTTGAGCTTAAAGCATAAAACCATATCCTTTGTCAAATCACTTGGACAATATTTTATTACTAACCTTTACTTTCTACTGGTTTTTTACTATGCATTACTGGAGTATTCTTAGGTTTCCGTTTATGTACAGGGTATGAAAAATTTGGATCTGGTTTGAGTAAATCATCATCATCATCCTGCTGGGTGACTGGAAATCCATCAAATCCAATATCTGTATCTTCCTATATAACACAGACAAATATGTAGTATGCTAGCCTTCTATTGAAGAAATGGGCCTATGAGTGACAAAATTACCAGCAATGATGAAGCAGTCTTATATACAGTTTATTTTTAAATTAAATAAATTTCACAATATAGTTGAACAAAAAAAATTATTTCTTTCACTGAAGTTTAAACATATCATATGTATTGAAGTTAAAGAGCCATGTTCTTGCAATGTATATTAACAATATCAGAGTCTGCCTCCTAGAATTAACCAGTACTGGTGTCATAGAGAAGCATGGTTATGGCACATATAATAGGGCTTGTATCAACCTTAGATATAAGGACAACACTACCATTATGTTTGATATGATATTATATTAGAACAAATAAGAAATCAGCCTTTATCAAAATTTTCAATCACAGACCTCTTCCATTTTTAGGTCTCTTTCTTTTTTCAGTAGTAATAGAAATACCATACTGATACAATTGATGATAATTACATCAATTATTATATATTCATTCTAAATTTAGAATCATTTGTTTTCCTTCTGATATTTTCCTTGTAACTTAATTGGAAGCAAGTGTGGTCCAGGGATACCACAAACACTTAAAATCACTGAAAATACAACTATTAATTGTTCCATGAAACAAATAAACCTTACCTTAGCCATGGTTGGGTACTGAGTTCGTGAAGAATAACCAGAATGTAGAGATGACCTTGACCCACTTGCTGATTTTGGAACATCTATGTCTCCATTCTTCAATGTTTGATTATTCTTAGATGATAGCAGATATTGTGTTATAACTTCCAGCATAGCCTTCAATGGCTTTGGCTGTTCCTATAAACATCAATATTACAAGTACATTAATTTTGAAATAAAATATATTGTGAATAAATACCTCCTTTGTAAATCTAGTAATAATCACTTAGGCAAAGGTGAATCCTATGCAAACTTACCTACATTGCATTAAAAGAAATAATAACCTGTATATGCCCTATAACCAATACATTTTAGTACTTTGAATAATTGATGAGAAGCAAATATTCAGGTGGAAAAGATCAATATGATCATTATGGTAAAACTAGTACATGCTCATTGAATTAATATTGTATGATGTATGTATATGTGCAGTTTTGCTCCTGATACATCACTATTATAAAAGGAACAATCCTTTTTCAATAGACAACAATTAACTAAATCATAGTTTGCTTCTCTTGTTTTCTGAGAATTAGTAGTTTCAGTATTTTGTATGGAAGACAAAAACTACTTTGTTTACATTTTGTTTCTATATGACTAATAATTTCACATTCAGTGCTCCTTTCTTCAGGTAATGCTCTAAAACCATTATCTAAACATTTTAAAACTCATGTTTGCCATTTCTAAGGAAGGAAAAATTATTTGTTTCTGAGGCATATGTGCCTTTTAATTTTCACAAATTTCCCACAATTTCGAACATTTTTCCCCAATTTACGCCAGAGGCCTTTACCCAAAAATAGCCAGAAAAGGCCCTTAGATGTCTGTCAGTATGTATTTTATAATTTTCCCTAAAAATCATAATGGTTTCGTCCGCATTAAAAATGGATAAGTCCATTTAAGATATTTACTGCGACATAAGTTCAGAACCATAAGCAGATAATTGAGGTATGCTACAACTGTACCTTATTTTTCTTCATGATTTTCTCTATATGCAGCTCCTTCACAAGTTGTTGTCTGTTACTAATGCTACTCTCTTCTCTAGGATACTCTTCATCTAAAACTTGTAATGTAGTCTTAAGTCCCTGGAACAAGAAAAATTGTCAAATTGTTAATCAATAGAATGTGGTTGTACACTGTTCTATTCAAATGTTGCAGTATTTACTTATCCTACTTCATAATTTTGATAATTTTCATAAATACTTGGGCACTTATCTACCTATAAAGTCTCTAAAGACTTTTAGAGTTATGCTGCCGGCAACAGTGTTCGAAATTAGCAGTAGTCCGATAGCCCCTGACTACTAAATTTCTCCTCAGGCTACCAACTTTTCACAGTAACAAGCCCGACCAGGCTACTTTTTTTTCAGAGGCAATATAAACAACTGTTTTGTACAAATGAATCGTGCTAGTGAAATGTCTTTTGGGCTAGTGAATATTCCAATCTGGTAGTCTGACCAGCCTAGTCGATTCAAATCCTAATTTCTTACACTGTGGCAATAATGTGGTACAGATGGAGGTACAGTGACTTTATTAAAGACAATTACAACATTTTAATGTACATTTACAATTATTTTCCAGTGTCAATCAAATTAGCATAATGAATTTCCTTAAAGATAGAATAAGAACAATTTTTCATATTACAATACCATAATTAACATTTAATAAATATAGAAAGTTACAGATTAAATTGTGTCCATCTGCCTTTAAACCCTTCAAAATTAAGTAATAGTGAGCTCAAAGAGCTGGCCCAAAGGGCCTGCTCGCAAAGGGAGCTTTACGGTAACAGGAGTACCTGCTAGATAGTGAAGGTTTTGAAAACTTTCTTCGGAAGTACTGAATTGACACATTGCAACTTTTCGAATTGCAAGATTAAACGATAAAATGCAAGGAATTCTGATTGAAAATGGATGCATAGACTGGTGTCCTGCGCACTTTTAAAGGAACCACTATAGGACAGGGAACCAGAATAAATGGAAACAGGACAGGGAACCAGAATAAACGGAAACAGTGTATAAAATACCCAATGAATGTTTTAAAACGGAAAACGCAAATAAAAATAAACAATTATTTTATAGCAAGCTCGAAGAGAAGGGCCAAAGGGCCTGCTCGCAAAGGGAGCTTTACGGTAAAACAAATACCTGCTAAAAGTGATGGTTTTAAAAACTTTCGTCTGAAGTACTGAATTGACACATCGCAACATTTCGAATTACAAGATAATGATAAAAATCGAGGAATTCCGACTGAAAACGAATGTGTAGACTGGTCACCAGCGCACTTCTATGGGAACAATAATGGCACAGAGAACCAGAATAAGTAAAAGCAGAGTAAAAAATACTGATTGACAGTTTTAAAATGGAAAATGTAAAATGAAAATTGAACGATTATTTTATACTATTTCACGTTAAAAGGAATTGGAGCTCAATGCTTTGAGGCTTTGCCTTTTTCATATCACTATTTCATGGTATAAGTAAATAATGAGCACCATTTGAGGCTTTGCCTTTATCATATTATGAATATGAAGTTAGGTGCAACCTAAAACGTTGAAAGATCTTAGACTTATAATGATTTAATAACCGGCATAGTATTTTCAATCTTTGAACCAGGTCTTAAATTAATAATAAATTAAATATTTTGTACAGTTAAATAGATATGAATAATTATATGAATGAATTGGTGGCATTTAACCCAAAGGTGCTAGTCACATTGATTTACACCCGTACCTTTGTAGATGAGACTGAGATGGTGAACTTTGAAAGTTTGATAAATCCATCATTCTGATTAAAAATGATACAAAATTTCAGAAATTTGATGACGCACCTTTCTGCTAAGATATTCTCTTACAAGAGAAGCTGCAACGCTTTCTGAAAACTGAGCTGTCATGGTTGTGTGTTAATGCAAACGATCTTAAATCGTGAATCAATGCGAAAATTACACAAATGTTTACATGTCAGTCGCCATTTTGAAACATTCCGATGGTGATATCGTATAAACGAGATTTATATTTTTTACATTTTAAATCTATATATTTTTATCCTTTAATTCAAAAAGTATATTCCAATAATAATTTAATATATTATTCGTCTTGAAATTAATTTTTAGAAAAATATGAGAAAAAAACACCCTGGAGCAAGTGCCCGATCTTGTTTATAACTTTATATGGCGGGAAAGTTCAATTTGTAGCACGACACGCTAAAATAATCTGTGACAATTTACAATGTCAAGTCGGTCAGTGTTATTAGTGATCTGATTCATATATTTGTAAATAGGTTATTTTGTTGTTCTTTTTAATATACATTTTATGATATTTTTTTAATTGCGCAAAGTCAAGGACCCTGTTAAAAGCCATCATGCCATGAGAACATCATGAACACTGGTGAGAAGTGAGAGACAACAATTCCATTGGCATTAATTTTGCTAATGGGACACCTAGGAAAGCAATTGTATCTTACACATTAAATTGTGACTTCTGGTGCATTTCTAGATGCAAATTTTAAAGTACAAATTTTTACATTTTCTCATTAACCCATGCAAGGCTGTCAAATACCATTTCTTCCTTGGAAATTTCACTTTATATCCCTAGGATATTATATAAGAATAAGGTAATAAGAACGATATCTGTACAATGTGTATTTTAAGGCCTTTGAAATGCCCATTAGGTTATTTTTACATTTATGCTTTCATTATTATCAGGGGCTTGGAATTTTGGATTTTTTCCACCTGCCCACGGTAAAGTTGGACTAAAATTTCTACTTGCCCACAGCTTAAGTTCACTTGTCCAAATGAATAGTGAAAAACAGTTTTTTTTTAAAATTTATTTATTTAACCAAATTGGGTCCTTGTTAACTGTTTGCTAAAACTCGTATTTGGACACGCATGACACGTTTGGACAACATTTGATGCGATGTAAGAGTGTCCTTTCTTATTAATGATTTCATTACATAAAGGACCGAAGGCGTATCCGCAGTTCGGGAAATATTCTGCAAACATGACAATAAAGTTTGTCCGAATTATTTATTGTATTTTCTGAGCCAAGTAAAATCATTTAACACAAATTCGTCTGTGGTCATATTCTTTGTCTTTCTGCACATTTGATTTACGCTTTTCAGATTATTTTCAGACCAAATAAAAAAATTTGTCCATTTTGTATCAAAACAATTCACAACGAAGCAACGAATATATAATTCTGCGCATTATTTACTAATTAAGGCACTGGTCGGATGCCTCAATACGACCAATCGCATAGCTTGTTTCGCAATAGAAGCAAGAGGCCTCATACAGGGTGAAAAAGCATCGTATAGTATCGATTCATTCGTGCTGTACAAATAAAATTTACACATTTTTACATGGATTTTACAACATCAGGACAACTGCTGAGTAAAAATCAACTTGTCCGACGGCAAAAAGTCCTGAGTCGGGCAATTTAGTCATAGTAATTACGCACCCCTGTAAATATCTAAATAAAAGAACCATAATAAGGCACTACATTGCTGACCAATGAAAGCCCTAATAGCCTATGCAGTTAGTTATCTGAGATAATATGTAATTAGCACTTATCAAGGCTGTCTAGTAGACTGTAGTCAATATTTCCATTTTATCATTTTAACTGCTTTCAAGTGGCTAATAATAATTTTACAGTAATTCCCCAGAGGGGTTTTGCCATTGTCTTGAAATTTTTGTCTACATTAACCAAGAGTAAGTTATAAAGTTACTGAATGCACGCATCTTCATGACTCCTGAGTATAAAATCTAAATATAAGAATTGTTTAAAATCATTACCTTCAGAAAAAAAAAGACATCAGTTAAGCTAGTAACATATACTATGGATTGACTTCTGTGCAAGCTTACTGGTACAATAATTATAACAAAAGAAGATCAGAATTTTTTATTTTTGTAATATATGGATATTATTGTCACAGGGTGCAAGTAGAAGACATGGAAGGAAATGATGAGCATGAGCTGAAAGAGTATAGCAACACTGACGAAGATAATAAGATAATATCTCCAATACAATTTCATAGTTCAGATTTGTCTGATAATTTATATGATCAGGTGTGAGATTTTAACTTCTTGTTTTGTTGTTATGTGTCAACCATTTCCCTGCTACTAATTAAATACTGTATATTCATCATTATGTACTAGGCTAGGTACTTTTTCACAAAAGAGCTAGGAAAAGGCCTTCAAATGTATTCAAATGAAACAATTTGTCATTCTAGCCATTATTAGATATTATATATGCAAGAATAATACAAAAAAATAATGTAAGTGAACAATTATTTTTTAACAAGACATTAAATTTGCATTATCATGCGCAAGAAGTTAATCATATGTCCCTTGCACAAACTAAAACACAAACCTAAAATTGTGCATGTTTCACTGTCCAAATTCACTTGGGAAGACAGATAACCTATGCAGTGACAAGTTATTAACTTCAGTTATTTACCATTCTTGTTTAAATGTGACTGTGAAAAAATGTTTGTAAATTTTTTGGTCGCACATTTTCACATGTCATTAATGTAGTCCGATTTTATGCTTTAGGAAAATCCAGTTCCTCTACATAGGAAAAATTCACTTGCAGCATCCCTGACTGAAGTGTTGATGAAAGGAAGACATCCACAAAAACTATCTTCAGGTATATGAACATATACACTATATACAGTATTCTAAATATTCCTACATATGCGATCTCCCACTCCAAAATAGCTCTATGTTTGTAATGTTGCATTATGAATGGTATATAAATATTACTAATATGGTTAAAACTAAATCGAGAAAAACGTAGTATCAGTGGGAACACTGAGCTCAAAAATTAATATGTTGATATTAAGTTGAACTCACAGAAGATGACAGAGCACTGTACAGATTTTCTGTGTTCCTGACCCAGGACTACTTCTTTTTAACAGGACAGCTGCACATACAAAGGACCACTTAAACTCATCACAGTAATTTGGTATGAATAAAGTTTGATCTGCTGTATCATTAAAGTGACATTATGCTCGTCCAAGGGTATAAATGAGTAAACAAGTGAATGTTATAAAAAGTTTTCATTTTGCCAAAATTTCTTTAAATATAAATGTTTATTTCACACTAACAATAAACAATGCATGGATTCAAACGAAATTTCCATAAATATCCACTAGAATTTACCTGTTACTAAACGTTCATTTCATAAAAAGAGTGGGGCAGTCTTTTTATATTTTAGGCAGATTTAGATTTTATCCTTAACATTTTCTTATATGAACTGTTCGTCAATCATCATTTTAACAGTCAATATTTTGAAATATATAGTCAGTTCAGCTAAAATTGACTATAAAAATATGAGCATTTATTTATTCAGTTGCTGAAAATCAAGTTTCAGTATGGAGACCCCGCAAAAAATCTACAATGGGCTTCCAAAATTCCTAGAATGACTATTTTGATGAGTTCATACCGCTTTACTTCACTATTGTTGAATGCATCATCGTTTGAATACTTTTGTTTTACTTTTATGCTTGGAAAATTATCCAGTGAACATTTGGTCCTTATGGTCATAAACAACCAACTTTGTTATAACATACTTATAAAGGTGATAATATGCATGTCATTAGGCAAATTAACCTGCTTCTGTTGTTTTATTCATAGCTTACAATGTTTTTTTTGTTTGTTTCAGGAATATTAGAATTTTACTTTTATATTTGCAGGTTTATCCTTACAAGAGCAAAACAATTTGAATGAGTATGAGGAATCAGAAGTAAAAGTTGAAGACTTGTTCAAAAGTAGCAAACAAAAACAGTAGATATATTTTTCTCAATTCAACAATGTTTTAAAGTCACATTTATTATCAGTAACATATTTTTTTCTTTATTTGCAAAGAGTATTCATAGTACATTTCTTGATTATTTAATGCAGCATGGAACCTTTGTGTTGCCAATGTATTTAACAGTTCCTACAAATGCATGTCTGTTATTCAAATTTAATTATGATCTTAATAATTTATATTTTGTGTCATGAGTAAAGAAATTGAACATAAACATTGCATTTCTTGTTTAACTGGTTTAAAGATGATAAGTTCAACATATGCATGACCACACATTACAAAGAATCTGAATTTAGAATACACTGGTAATAGAACTGCACGAATAATACAAACTTTAAGTAAATATTGCTTGGGTAAACACATTTGATATGCCAAAGATCATTAGATGTGCAGTGATTTTTTTTACCTATATATTTGTATTTTACAGTCAAATAAAGGCTGTTTCCCCGAAAATGATACATGAATATTTTCTCCTGAAATGCCCTATGCATATTCTTCACCAGAACCATGACTTAATAGCAGCTGACTTATATCATCTGGTTGATAAATTAACTTAAATTTAATTGACTGAATTTAGACACAAAACTGTAGCTTTCGATAGCCCCTGCTATATACCATGTATATTAAGTTAAACTGATGTTGAAAGTGGGTAAATTCCATTCTCAATTGTTGCTGGGACTTGATTTCAGGACAGGTTTTACCCCCTTTTCTCATTTATCATGATAATTTATTTTCCCCCTTGGTTGTCTTGAAAATTGGAAAAAAATGTCACTGATGTGTAAATAATTATTAGCACAACACTGGTTATTGTTTATTAAATATATTCTGAATCAGTGAATGTTTAAGAAGTGTTGCAGAGTGACTAAAAAAGATATCATATGGAACTAGGTAATTATCAAATATTATATTCAGTATATTGTGCTTGATTTAATGATTAGCAGGGCATGATATTGGTAAATAAGTGAATAAAATATTAAATAGATCTCACACTTCTTATCATTTCTTACTTGCAATGATATCATTTATTCTCTTTCCCTTTTAAAGCTGAAACAGACAGTCGCCAATACATAAATCTGATATTGCCTGTATTTTAGGAAAACTCAAACCAATATCAGAGCTACTATGGGATATTGGAAGTTGATTTGGTCAGATTTTAAGGTATGCATCTTGTTACACACTGAAGTCTTACAAACTTAATACATGTACATACATTCTGAATATGAATTGTAAATACAAATCATTTATTTAACCTTAAAAGGCTTTAGATTTTGAGCTGAATGGTTGTGGTCACAGTGAGCAGTATTTTACTAGCCTCTATCTGGAGAACACTAAGATCATAGATCAAGTATGGCAGGTTGGTCATGAAATCTATGGATTTTCAGGTGATCTTCAACACAAATCTTACCTATTACATTCTTCATTGGTAATGTTAATGGTTAACATGTATCATCAGTTGCCATTGATAAGTGGGCATACCTGGTCAACAAACATCTTTATTTGTTTTCCAATCTGCTTGTCTCGTTCCATTTTTTGTATTATTCCATTTCTATATACATGTATTTTATTCAACCATTTGTATTGTAATGTTATTTCTTTCTAGAGCTGGTATAGAAGATGGAGAGTAAAGAACCAAGAGACTGTTATATTCAAGACATACATTAAAAACATGGAAGGTAAAGCATTTTGATATTGAAGTTCATTCACTTTAACAATAGAATAAGTCCATTACATAAGTCAGCAGGGTATCGTATCTGTTATACCTGATGGTATGTCTGTCAGTGTTGTATAAAAACCCTCAATTAAAACCACTGGTCTTAATCGCGGGGTTGTCTTAATAATGGACATTCATATCTGATTGCTTTCTTTGGTCTGATTTCAATTAGGGAGGGCCTTAAATGTCCGCCTTGTCATTTTTGTAGGGGGGGGGGGGGCTTTTTTCTGGGAGGTCTTTTGTCCTACACTCTGTAAAATCAAGTGTCATGCCTAAGAGCGTTCAAGCAGATAATAACAACAAATATGTGATCTTGGTATACCTTAAAATTAGTGGTCTCAATAGTGAGTTCAAATAAAGAATAATTCAAAGATTAAGGACTGAATCTGGTGGTCTTAAAAGTGGATGACCGGGATGGTCTTAATTCTGGAGCATGTAACTATTGACATAAAGAAAAGAAAATTCCGTTCTTTTAAAAATTTGTCTTAATAGTGGGGTGGTCTTAAATCTGAGTTGGTCTTAAGTAGGGATTCTACTAACTATAACAAACACAAAACAGGATGGTTTAATATAGCTTTATGGCATTCATAAAGATAAACTCACATCAAAGACTCAACAATAACTGAAATATAAACATACATGCATGGGCTAGCCAGAGGTGGTCTTATCAGTACACAGGCTGTCTTATCATCACACAGAGGCAGGATTATCAATACACAGATGCGGGCTTATCAGTACACAGAGGCAGGATTACACTTAGGCTCTGTTTGGCCACTACACCTGATATCATGTTTAACTCTTTAACAATTTCTTCAGATTCAGTTTCATTAGCATATATATATAAAGGAATATATTTATAAGGAAATCACAAAGATGATCTAAATGTTTGTTAGTCAATAGTTATCAAATTACAGAGCATTATTGTGGGTCACATTTCTATCAATGTCAGTAATGTGAAGGTTGAATACCTGATAGTTTTACCTATGTACTATATGTCAGGTAACATAATAATGAATCATTTTTTTTTTTTTATGCGTTTGTTTAAGGTCGCCGACGGAAAGCCCATATGAGTGACCGTACACTCAAGTCGGGCCATCCTAGAGCGTCCCGCCGAGATTTTTTTGCGATTTTTTTTCCAGCTTTATTGGTGGAGGAAGACCCCAGGTGCCCCTCTGAGCATTATTTCAGGCACGAGCGGGCACCTGGGTAGAACCACCGACCTTCCGTAAGCCAGCTGGATGGCTTCCTCACATGAAAGATTTCGACCCGAGTGAGGATCGAACCTACAGCGGTGAGGGACCTGTGATCTCGAGTCAGCGACCTTAACCACTCGGCCACGGAGGCCCCAATAATGGATCAGAAATTGGCTCATTATATTTATAGGTAACTATTTGGATCAGCAATCAGCTCATTTTTTGTATTAAAGGGGATATTATAGACCAGCAATTGGTTTGTTACTTGTATTTAGAGGTAATTATGGATCAGAAATGGGCTCATTGTATTTAAGGGTGAAGTTATATATCAGGAACCCGCTTATAATGTTTGTATTTATAAATAATTAAGTATTAGAAATTGGCTCATTTGTTGTATTAAGAGGTAATAATGGATCAGTAATTTGCTTTTTGTTTATAATTATTTAAAGGGGAATTATAGATCAGCAATTGGCTTATTATTTGTATTTACAATATATGTGGCAATTGGCTAATTGTTTATATCAATAGGTCAGCAATTGGCTTATTTTTTGTATTTTTAGGTAACTATGGGTCAGCAATTGGCTCTTTGTTTGTATTTACAAGATGGATCATGTTCCTGAATGTTCTACTTGCTGTCATGTGGTTGTGTCTGGTCATCTTTCCCTCAGCCATCTCCTTTAACTATCATAAGATTCAAGGACATTTTGCTTTTAAAAATCTGTTGGATGGGAAGGTATGTTTACTGTTAATCTTTTAGAGAAAAATTGTAAGCAATCTTCAAATATTAGGTGTAAATATTTTACCACTGAATGTAAAAAAAAGGAGAAGGGATGTATTGGAATGTTTTAGGTTTTGACGTTGACAGAATACCAAATATTTTTAATAATTACCACTGTCTATGTTGCTTGAAAATATAACACAAAATAAATTGTTTTGTGTCCGGCTTCTCTTCTCAACCTTTTGTTTTTCATATACTTCTTCATGTTCCATATCTTGTTCTAATTAATTAAGGTTAAAATAAATATTTTTTAATTTGCTTAGATTATTATTGTGCCCATAAAGCTAGCTAAAGTCATGAAGTAAGAAGTAGGGTTTTGGACAATAATCTAGGCCTAACTTCTTCTTGATCTTCGTGTATATTTCAATATCAGAAAATTCAATATGAAGTACATGTATCTTAGATGTCAAAAAATAACACAGGTTTTTCACCTTAAATTTAAAGTATTCAAATGTTGTGGGAACACTGGTTAAACTTTTTTTATTTCTTGCTAATTTTGAAATAATCTATTATGTTAGCGTTTGGTGACAGAACAGAGATTTTTAAAGAAAAACAACGGAGAAAGGGCCCTTAACTTTGGGGTAAACAACAGAGTATTTTTACAAAAGGGGAAGAAATAACTTGATATAAATTTAATTTTGGAGTAGAATTTTAGGTATTTACCTCAGAAAACAGCCTCTGCTATAGCAGAAGAAAATGCCTTGCAAATGCATAAAAATGCCATACATTACTTATAAGTACATAAACATAAAAACTTGTTTATAAAAGGGGACATTTATCCTTGATTAAAGGTACAGTATTATAGCTAGAACTGAATAAACACTGAGGTGTGAAACGGGTCAGATAGGATGCTGCACACACCCTCACAAAAATCTTTTTGGTTTAGAATGATTTCCTACATTCTGAAGTCTTTTTATTTGAACAAATATAATGACAAGAATAGTTAATGTTGAAAGGAAGATTCTCTTTGCTATCCTTGCAAGAAGACTTACATCTTACCTCACATCCAACAAGTACATCAACACTTCTAGATGGCGCAGCAGGTTGGAACATGATGGTGGATCTTGGCAAGAAGCTTGTTTTCCCAAGTATTGTCCAGACCAACTTAAGACTAGATATTGTACTGTGGTCTGAAAAAGGAAAGAAACTCATCATGATCGAGTTAACAGTACCTTGGGAGACAAGATGTGAAGAGGCCTACGAGAGGAAGAAAGCAAAGTATACAGAGCTACTCAACCAATGTAGACAGAGAGGCTGGCATACATGGCTGTTTCCTATTGAAGTAGGTGTGCGAGGGTCTGTTCGCAATCTGTGTGCTGACAGATGACAGCGATAGGAACTACTGGAAAGGATAGACGTAGGACAATCCAGAGACTGAGCCAAGCTGTCGAGCGTGCGTCTAGCTGGCTGTGGCTATGACGAAAGGAGAAGAGCTGGAAGTAATCAACCTCCACACCGTAAGACGGTGGGCCCACTCACCAGCAGATATACATGGATAAGGGCCGAAATATCAATGATGGCGAGCACCATGCTGATGATGGAGGTCGATCAGCAATCTAGAAGCACCACAGACAGGAGATCTACAAAAGACCTACATGAGGTGCATTCCAGATTGTATCTTACTCATCAATAAAATACCCTAGAAATGTATTTGATAGAGTATGTTTGTATGTTTTCAGGGAGTATTGGCTCAGGTTTGGTTTTTCTATGGCTCGTATGAAGGCACAATGGATGGTTACCACATTGATCTGGCTTACCTCTTCATGATGCTTGTTACTTACTTTGGAAGCCTCTTTGTCATTCTAGGCAGGTAATATATCTTCATTTTTCATTGTTATACTAGGCAGGATATATGACTGAATAAACCAGTTTTGTTTATGATCATCACAGTTTTCCAGAAAGTAAAAATTGAACTATTGAAATTTCACACGATAGATCAGTGAAAGTTAAGTAATTAATTATTGCACTCTTGAAACCATTGACATGAATAATTGATGGAAAAGTAAATTACTTTTACACGTGCAGTACACACAAACACAAAAAGGAGAGAATTTCTGAAAAAGCTTCTAGCTTTCTACTCAATCCTTTTTGCATTTATTAATATTTAGTAATTATATTGTGTATATATATTTGATTGAAATAAAATATTGTTTAAACCAAACACAAAATCTTTAGGACTTTTTCACACATTACCTAACAAAACAGATTTGTAAAAAACAATGTATTAACAACAACCAGCTTTACTAGATAAAGACCTCCAGTGCCCTTCAATGCATTATTTTAACGGGTCCAGCATAAATGTACTGTAATAGAATATTGTGAATTATGTCAGTTTTGCTACATAATGTCAAGGAAGTACATGTTTTAATTGAGAATCAGTTTTACATTAAATTTTTACATGTTTGACTATAGTCCTTCCTTATTACGGAAGGAATATCTATTTCATTTCAGTATTAACCAGACTGACATATCAAAGTCAACATCAGCAGTCAGTTCACGGTACAGATTTGCTTTAATGATGTGGACTTCTTGGGACCATTCTATCACATCTGCTGAAGCCTCAGTCAATCTGTCTAAAGGAATTACAAGTGCTTTTAAGGTGACAAACCACTTGACATATTTTATACATGTTATAGGTGAAATTTTTAAATGAATATTGACTGAATAGTGAACAGTGAGACCATGATCCATGCCAGCTGATCTTTTCTGCGCTGGTTGTGTGGGTAGATAATAAATGAGTTGTCACCAGGTTAATAAACAAAATTATGCACCAGTCAGTTTTAACACAGTCTTAAACAATTATGCTATTGTTATATCTTTTATTGGCATGTCTTAAATCTTTTCATTTCTTTGATTCCCATGGATTGCTGTTCTGTTATTTCTTCTTTTAAGGACATTCATCAAATTCTTTGTACAAATTTTAATTGTTCTGGTTTTAGGACAACCTTTATGAAGCCAAAGCGTCGCAAACTGCTAAAGATAGAAGTACTAAAGAGAAAGTTAAAGTTTACTCTCTCAGAATACTGGCCTGGTTTATAACAATGTACCTAGCATCTTGTTGGTGTACCTGTTCTTTTTTTTTAACTCACCTGTCACAAAGGTGAGCTTTGTGATCGCAATCTGTCATCCGTCCATAATTAAACTTGTACTTTCAATGACATCTCCTCAGAAACTGCTTAGCCAATTTCATCCAAAATACATAGGAATGTTCTTTTGGTGGTCACCTTTGAAAATTTTTAAAAGAAGTGAATTCCATGCTTAACTCTGGTTACCATGGCAACCAAATGAAAAAAACATTAAAAGATCTTCTTTTAAAAAACCCAGAGCTAAAGCTTAGATATTTAGCATAAAACATCTTCTTTTGGGTGTCTACCAAGTTTGTTTAAATAAAAGCCTGGGGGTCAAAATTGGTCCCGCCAAGGGATCATTGATTTTCCTTATACATTTGCATGTTCAGTAGATCTACAGTTAAGTCGAAATTGAAGGCCTTCAAACTTTGACACATTGGGACTTCGACTCATGAATTGTTCTCATTTTAGTGACAAAATTTCAAAACGTCAACGTTAACAAGTGAGTTACAAAAGGGGTAAGAAACAGAAATAGAGATAACTTAACCAGCTAATAGTAATTATACCTTTGAATTATCAATTATTATTGTAACTAAAGTACTCAAATGAAACTAGTTTGTACTGTTTACTTTCAAATACAATAATGGCAATTTGAATGGTAACAATCGGAGCATTTTATCACACATTTGAACGTATACAAAGGCTGTTAGAACATCCAACTGAGTAATTAACACCTGTCATACAGGTTTGATTGTAAATCATCTTCAAGGCCAGAAGAAAAATGTCTCAAGATTAAATGTGTCAAAATAATCAAAGGACTCTGACTTATTTTGTGTATTTATGGTAAATAGTACTTCATTTATTTTATACGGACAATGAAAAAACTTCTACACATTGAAAAATTTGACACATAAAATTTCGATATATAGGTTTTTAAAAAGAATATATAGGGGAGAGAGGATCGGTACTTTTATTTTACTTTGACACATCTAGAAATCAACTAATTGAAATTAGAATCTAGTCTCATCGAAATTCTACTGCTTAAAGTAAAATTTAAAAAACAAAAAAAATCTTCTTCTAAAATAGCTTGAGCTTAGATATTTAGCATGAAACATCTTCTAGTGGATGGCTACCAAGTTTGTTTAAAGAAAGCCCTGAGTAGAAATTGGGGCCACACCAGGGGGGATTTTCCTAATATATGTACATGTATATAGTAAAACCACAAAATATTCTTCTATTATACTATAGAGACTTTAGCTTATATATTTGATATATTGTCTGATGGAATTCTACAAAAATTGTTCAAATTATAGCCTCCAACCAGGGGGAACATAGATTTTCCTTATATGTATATGGTAAAAACTTTAAAACAATTTCTTCTCTCAAACTACAAGACCTAAAGCTTAGTTTTTTTACATGAAACATCTAGTAGGGGGTGATGGCTTTTCCTTATATATAGTAAATATTTCAAAAATCTTGAAAACTGCAAGGGTTTCTTACGATATTTAACATAAAAACAGTCATATGAGCCTCAACAAAAATTATTCAAAAATAGATTTTCTTATATCATAGCAACCAGTGACATTCCATAGATAAGCCACCGACACCCATAGTGACCTTTTACTTTCGATAGCAACCATACATTTCATTAGCAACCATTGACTTTCCATAACAACCAGTGTCTTTGCATGGCAACCATTAACTTTCCATAGCAACCATGGACTTTCAATAGCAACCATTGTCTTTCCATAGACTTCCGTAGCAACCAGTGACTTTCCATAGCAACCAGTGACTTCTATAGCAACCATTGACTATAGCAAGCCAACAAAATACTTCTATGGCATTCATCAACTTTCAATACCAACTATTCACTTCCGTATATAGCAACCAGTTACTTCTAAAGCAACCAGTAGCCAATTTTGCAACCATTGACTTTCCATAGCAACCATGGACTTTCCATAGCAACCATTGTCTTTCCATAGCAACCATAGACTTCCGTAGCAACCAGTGACTTTCCATAGCAACCAGTGACTTCTATAGCAACCATTGACTATAGCAACAAAATACTTCTATGGCAATCATCAACTTTCAATAGCAACTATTCACTTCCATATATAGCAACCAGTTACTTCTAAAGCAACCAGTAGCCAATTTTGCAACCATTGACTTCCTATAGCAACCAGTGACTTTCCATAGCAACCATGGACTTCAAAAGCAAAAACTATTCACTTCCAAAGCAACCAGTGACTTTCCATAGCAACCATGGACTCCTTTAGCACCCTGTGACTTTATAACATCCAGTGATTTGCCATAGCAACCATTGACTTTCCATAACCACAAGTGACTTCTATAGAGACCATTGACTTTCCATAGCAACCATTGACTTCTATAGCAACCACGGAATTTCCATAGCAACCATAGACTTTAATAACAATCGGTGACATCTTTACAGCAACCATTGACTTCCATAGCAAACATTGACTTAAAATAGCAATTGGTGACTCTCATAGCAACCATTTACTTTCCATAGCAACCAGTGACTTTCCATAAGAACCATTTACTTTCCAAAGCATCGGCTTGCTGTGGCAAGCAGTGACTTTCCATAGCAACCATTGACTTCTATAGTAACCAGTGACTTCATAACAGCCATTGATTTTTCATAGCAAACTATAATTTTTCATAGCAACTAGTGACTTACATGGAAAACATTTATTTTTTTTTACATAGCAACCAGTGACTATCATAGCATACATAGTCTTGGCAACATTTTAGTCTACCATTGAATTTCATAGTATTCAGTGAGTTCCAAGGAAACCACTGATTTGTATAGCAACCAGTGACTTCGTTAGTAACTATTGTTTCCCGTTAGCAAAAGCAACAAGTAATATTTTTACACATGCACCATTTCAGATACAAATATGAACTTTATGATATCAGTTTAAGATTTAGATTTTATATCTGCTTTCACTTATAGTCTTACTTGTTTCTTGTCATTAAGAGTATTTATATTCAGGTGAGCGATATTATGGCTCTCTTGTTATGTGTTGTTTCTCTGAGTTACATGTAACTGACTTCTGAGTGTTCAGTTAAAGTTTTATCATTATTAATTTATCAGTTTAGAAAAAGTTGTCTTTTATCAAAGTTCTTTTATTAGACCTAAAAAAAATGTGTTGTTTTTGTGATACCCATTTCTACCTGAAAAATATGTCTGGCCTGACACTACCAGTTTTAAGATCTGTAAAATAAATTGTCATTTCATTTTGACACACCCAAATTTAGAATGGAATGTGTACAGTAAAAGAAAGGGTTTCATCATGCTCACTTATTATAATTATAATGGTGGCTTATGCTGAACAGTTATCAATGTTCTTAATAAAACACTTTATCATAGGAGTTTTATATTATAAAGCTGTTTAATAAAAATGATATTACACATATTAGTGTAACAACACTGATGTGACATCATAAAATTGTGTTCTATACAACATAGCCTTAAGGTACTTAAGTTAGAGTTGCACTCATAATATTTGTCAATGAAAAATTACTCTTTTAAACTGTAAATTGTAGTTATTTTTACAAGTGATAACCTTATAATCATATTTCTATAGACTCTATACTAAATTTATTGAACTTGTTGAATAAAACAATTATGCTTGCCAGAGGCTTGCATAATATCTCATTCAATATCCTCTGTGATCTCCAACACACTTGCAGTGCCAGGAATTTTGAAAGAATTAAGCACAGTGATTAAGCCCAGAATTATCAAATGTATAAAGCTATACATTTGTATGGAAATGACCTTGAGTATACGAATGAAAACTATCTGATAAATTAAAACAGACCAAACCAAAACAAAATTTGTAACATAGAAGAAAGATGTGATGTAAATCTACCCTACCTATTCATGGAGAACATGTTACTTGAACAACACAATTTATTTTCTTAGGCCTTATTGAAAACACAGTTGTTTCATTTACATTTTTTTAAATTATGATTAGTGTTCTTTGTCAAAAATGGGTTTAGCATCTTTTGTAAATATGTTAGGTTTAAAAACCTAGAGTATTTCTTATTAAATAATGATCTAATCATATAAATTTGTCAAATATCTTACAAAATGAAATTATACATGTATATATGTAAACATTATGGAGACAAAATTTAGTGTTTTTTTTCTCTGTAACAATTGATTTTGGACATTGAGTCTTAAATATGGTCAATCCGTCATTAAGTGTCTCTCATCTCTGATTCAGAATCTTGTGGAATTTGTAGTCTGACCTGTAATTTTTGGAGAAATTCAGGGTAAAATTGAATGGTAAATTACTGCAGAGATTATGATAAAAAATGTAATAAATGATTGGCGTAAAAATGTAATTTTTCTTAATTTTTTTTTCTTTACAGAATTCTGATTGGTGGAGGATGTACAGCTATTGTATATTTGGTCATATTTGTAAGCTTTGAAGAAGTTGTACCAAATATGGTTTGTTGATGCACATTCTCTATTGTTACTTATTTATTTATGTATGCAAAACAAAGCTGGTCAATTTTATTGTTTGCTTTGTACACTCTGTATGAAGGAAATTTTAAAAAAAAAGGTGTAAAAGTAATCATAAACTGTGAAATAATTTCAAAACCTGGACAGTCATGCTTATAATTTCTCTATTATACTTTATACAATCTTTTTTAGAAACAGTTCTAACAAAAAGAATGTCTGCAATAGATATCTTACATAAATTAAATACAATTCTGTATAAAAACAGAGTAAAAATGTTTGCAAACAAAATATTCAAGTTCTTTTTACAGATGAGGTTCAGGGATGATTTGATGAATGCTCCATCCACTTTATCCATCATATTAATGTATTACAAACATCATTTGCTCAATTTAAGTGATTTGTTATCATTTTTATCAAGAAACAGATATTCCACAGACAGTTTAATATAGCTTTAGATTTCATGTTATTTATAAATAGCATAATCTGTAGTATTTGAAATCACTTTCATTATAAATAATTATTTGTAATTTTATTTATTTTATGTAACAGGGCAGCGATAATGTTGAGGAATCTGACAATACAGACTTTATTGGTGTTTATGGAACAACTATTGTATTCAGTCTGATTAACTCTCTTGTACCCATGTGTGTTGAACTGGTAAGCACCATGTTTATATCTCATTTTTTATTAAACATTATGTTTTTAATAGCCTGACTATTTCAAGAATAGTAGGGCTATCCTACTTACCCAATCACCAACTTCCGTGTTAAATTGTTAACTCTAGCATGAATTTTGACAGAATTCAAAAGGTAATAAATCCATACCATGCTAAATATCTTGAATGGACATCATTCAATCAGGAAGCCATTCATCATTTTTTAAGGGAAAATTTAAAGAAAAATGTACTGACTGAATACATGATTTTGGTTTGCACTGGTCACATGGGTGATATACTGTTGAATCAGAAGACTAAGGGTTAATGATAAACATGTATATGTTAGTTTTGTTTATTTATTAAATCATAAATGGCTCACCTGAATCTGTTGCATGCTATAAAAGACTTAGGGTTAATGAAATATGTTAGTTTTGTTAATATTATGGTTAACCTGATCTATTTGTAGCTACCAAAGATAGAGCAGTATGAGAGTGGTAAAGATGAGCTGAATGTGACATTGGCACGAGTATTTGTCTTGCGAATGTGCAACTTGTTTGCTCTTATAACTCCCTGTATAAAACTTAAAAACAAGGTAAATAATTTTTCTTATAACTTTTAAAACAAATTGTGTTATTATGGATTTCATATGCAAAAATTAAACCTAACAAAAAAAATTTAGGGTTAACGGGATCTGGTTGAGTTTTGACATGATTCAGAATTTTGGTTACTATTAGTTTAAATAAAGGGGGGTACAAATTATTATTGTAAGAGTACCTTGGCCCATGGATTTCATTAACCTGGTCCATGGATTTCATTAACCTGGTCCATGGATTTCACCAGAGCTTGGCCCATGGATTTCACTAGCTTGACCTCCGTGGCGAGGGGTCAATGACTTCTAATCCAGTTACCTCTTCTGGTGAAAAAGGGTTCGATCCCGGGGGAGATGCTTGGTAGTTTAGGCGGGAGGACGGTAGTATCTAAATACTGGTGTAAACTCTCCAGGAAACGATGGTTTAAAAAAAACTACCCGCTATATGACTGAAAAGAAAAAAAGTAAAATGAAAACAAACAAAAAAATACTAAACTAACTTGGTCCATGGATTTCAGTTAGCCTTAGCTCAGGGGTATTTCACTAGGCTTTGGCCAATGGAATTCACTTAGAGCTTCTGTTAAACCAAATGATTCGGACTAGTCAAATATATACCATTCTTGTAAGGTTACTAATTAACAATAAACACAATAATTTATCAGCCATAAATTCAAAAAGTTGGGTAGAATTTGTTGTTGAAGGTTGACAATCACTGAAATGCAAAAAAGTAATGACGAATTCCTGAAACTTCAGTGCTGGTAAGTTCAGGCTAAGTTTTGATTAAACTATAATCTTCAAACTTTTCCTGTCAAAATACATTCAATTTCAATTTGCAAGTTGCAAAACTTTAAGTTGGTTTATTAATGTTTGCTTATTTCATTTCTTAGAAATGTAATTCTCTTGACTAAAATCATTATGCAAAGCAATGATTTTTTTATTTCGACTATGAAGCACTGCTTAATTTATATTTGATTTATTTCAGACAGTTCATGGATGTGCAGGAACTGTGTTAGGACAAGAAATGTACAAGCTGGTTATAATGGACACATTGCTTCATGTACTTGTTTATTTTATATCTACTTATTTATATATATTATCTTATCATGCAAAACCTGTGTGCATTGTTCACGCCTTGATGCTTTGATTCTTAACAAAGTCAAATTGTTGTAAAAATGTAATTTTCATTTTCAAGAAAAAACTTTCAGTGTAGGACCAATATTTTGAGCCTTATCTAACTACATGTCTGAGGACTTGCAAATTTTCAAAATGTCTATGGATATTGAAATTTGCCAGTACATTTTGTTTTTAAAATTCACATATTGTTGCAAGTTAGGACTGACATGGTATTTAGTTTCAATATCATTTTGGATAAGTTTTTATTAAAGATAAAAATAAACATCAATAAAGTTTTTTTTTTAAAGATGTGTAGAATACTAATTGCTAACTACAAGTAGATTTTGTGAGCTACAATTGCTTGTCCTGGCATGAATTTATGATACAAAAATAAGTCCTGCATGAACATGCAGGCTAACTGACACTACTACAATGTAGTTACAAAGGTATGCTGTTAGTGCCACTAGGATTGACTCGTACATAACTTTTTTTTATTTCACAATGTTTTGCAACTACATTGTGTAGCTGTGTTTGTTGTATACCAATATTAAGGGAATAACCCATATAAAAAAACATTTGTAATAAGAAAGAAAACAATGGCAGCGACTGTCATTAATTAAGAATAATCAGTTAATTAATCAGAATTAAGAAATGCTTTTTAAACACACTTATTTAACTTCAATGATATGAACATTTTTGTATTTTCAGGCAACAATTCAGCTTGGTATAAAGTTTAGCAAGTATTACTGGACAAATGAGAAGTCAGAATTCAAGATCTCTTCAGCTGTTCTTGCACTACTGTATCGACAAGCTCTTGTCTGGGTAAGTACAGGAATATAACTGAGATTCAAATAAATATCATGCCCTACCATTTTGATAGAATACTTTTAGCTTGACTTTTTTCCCGGGGAAGAAAGAGGTATTGTTACAGTCATGTCCGCATTCCTGTTGCTTATATTATTGCCGTGGCGGACTTTAACCTTGATCGTAACTTTTTAAGTTCTTGGGTGTATCAATGTCTTCATATTTGGCCACAACAACCCTTTGGACAAGACATTTAAGTAATCCAGACTAAACTATTAGTGGCTATAACTTTGTTATTGTGCCCCACTATTGGAGGGGCATTTAGATTTACCCTTGTCTGTCTGTCTATGTGCTCGTCCGTTCTTATGTTTTGTCACACATATCTCCATAAGTTAACTGACCTAGTCATGAAACTTTACAGGAATGTTGGTCAGCATGTGTAGTTGTGCACCTGGGGGTTTTCTAGTAGAGTTTTTCAATATTTATAGTTATTGAACTTGACTTTGAGTAAAAATTTGAATATTCAACTTGTTTCGTGCATAAATAAAAAAATATTTGACCTAAGGTCATGAAACTTTACAGGAATGTTGGTCAGCATGTGTAGTTGTGCACCTGGGGGTTTTCTAGTAGAGTTTTTCAATATTTATAGTTATTGAACTTGACTTTGAGTAAAAATTTGAATATTCAACTTGTTTCGTGCATAGCTAAAAAAATATTTGACCTAAGGTCATGAAACTTTACAGGAATGTTGGTCAGCATGTGTAGTTGTGCACCTGGGGGTTTGCTAGTTGATATATTATATATTTGTAGAGTTATTGCCCTTGACTTAGTAAAAATTAATATGTTTACAACTTCTGTGTTGTGTAGCTCAAAAATATCTGACCAAAAGTCATGAAACTGTACAGGAATGTTGATCAGCAACTGGTGTTTTGCTTGTGGAATTTTTTTCTGTTTTGTTCGAGTTCTTGTCCTTGACTTACTAACAATTTTCAATTTGTGTCGCACATAGTTCATAAAGTATTTGACCTAAAGTCATTAAACTATAGGAATGTTGGTCAGCATGTGTAGTTGCACACTAGGCTTTCGGTTGTGGATTAATATTCAGTATTTCTAGAGTTATTGCCCCTTTCTTTTGTCTCAGGTAAAACTTTTATTCATTTCAGTTTAGAAATGTTCTTTTATGAGAACTGACATTTATATCACAAGATATTGGGACATGACTATTTTTCTTTTAATTCTATACTTGCTTATGCAATAATACTTCCATATTGTTTCTGCCAAAATTAATGATATTAGACAAACTAGAGGTAAAAAAAGTTGAAAATATGTCACATTTATATTATTAACTAGGTATGTGACCACATGTAATGCAGTTTTGGCCCTTTAATCTTACTTTTAAACCATATATTAGCCTTTTTATTGCTGTTTGATTACAGGTTGGTACCCTAGCTTGCCCAGTGATGCCAATAGTTGGTCTGGTTTCCACACTTATATTCTTCATGGTCAACTATCTGATAGTGATGTTTACATGTAGACCTCCAATAAAACGCTGGAACCAGTCTAGAAACACATCATTCTTCTCAGTATTTCTGCTAGCCACTATAGTCATGTTGATACCACCTGCTTCTGTTATTATGGGAAGGTATGTGCTACTGCAGATTGTTAGTATTAGTGTTATTAAAGTGGCATTTAATGCTCATTTTTGTCATTGCCAAGTTCAGCAGCATTGACTATGTATTGCAAAAGATTGACTGCCATAATGATGATTGCTTAAAACAGTTGACATTGGAAAATGTTTTGGATAAAATATAAATCTTCCTAAAATATAAAAAGGCTGCCATACTCTTTTTATAAATTGAACATTACAGTTAAATATGTACTAATGGATATTTACAGAAATTTTCTTGGGCCATGCCAGTTATTTAATCGTTCATGTGAAGTTAATTATATAAATGAAAGAAATTATGGCAAAATGAAAACTTATTTTGACTTTCACCTGGTCACACACCAATTATACCCTTAGGCTTAAGGCTCACAATTTAAAACCATGTAGAGTTATTATTATAATATTATACAATTTTATGCTTCAGAAGTGCTAGTTATTTTATTTCTCAAAAACTTTTAATTTTTAACATTTCATTACATTTTTCAAGGTAATATATACATGGAATATCTTTTGCAATTATTTAGCTCCTTTCGCAACTACATGTTAATCATAGTGAATTAGTCTTTTGTATGGAAGTCAAAATACTACTTTGTTTACATTTTGCTACCTATATAACACATAACTTCATGTTCAGTGCTACTATCTTCAGTATTTAAACATTAAACATGCTCTTATTTCATTATTGAAACTATTAAACACAGGCTTGATATTTTAATTTTCAACAGAATATAATAAATAGACTTTGGAGGCATAATGTGCCTTTAAGATTTTTTGTTTTGTTTTTAATGTTCATTTTCACATTAGTTAATGGTGTATTTACCTACAAAGGTAATAGCAATTAACCCTTTCCCTGCCAGAGGGTTATTGTTTTATTGATCACCTATTTGCCAGACGTTTTTTTCTAAGAAATTACTAATATTATTATTAATTAATATAATTACTATTATTTGTTATTGGTATTAAAATAATTATATGTTTCCAAATCTGTGAGTGTAATAATAATTATTGTCGATGGTATAATTTTCTTTATATTTATTATTGTCCCCCGCCTTTTCGAAGAAAAAAGGGGGATATAGAAATAGGCTCCGTCTGTACGTATGTCCGTCCGTCCGTCACACTTTCGTGTCCGGTCCATAACTTTGTCATTTATGAAAGGAATTTGAAATAACTTTGCACAAATGTTAAGTATAATAAGACGATGTGTCATGCGCAACAACCAGACCCCTACCTCCAGGGTCAAGGTCACACTTGCTCATTCAAGGTCAACATTGCCTATTTGAGGGTATATGTTGTGTCCGGTCCATAACTTTCTTATCTATGAAGGGATTTTGTAAATACTTGCCCTAATTGTTCACAATAATCAGACGATGTGTCATGCGCAACAACCAGTCACCTACCTTCAAGGTCAAGGTCACACTTGGAGGTCAAATATTAACATAGTCTGTTACAGGGTATATTTCGTATCCGGTCCATAACTTTGTCATTTATCAAAGGAATTTGAAATTACTTGGCACAAATGTTTGTTATAATAAGACTATGTGTCATGCGCAACAACCAGACCCTTACCTTCAGGGTCAAGGTCGTACTTGCTCATTCAAGGTTAACATTGTCTATTTGAGGGTATATGTCGTGTCCGGTCCATAACTTTCTTATCTATGAAGGGATTTTGTAAATACTTGCCATAATTGTTCACAATAATCAGACGATGTGTCATGCGCAAAAAACAGTCACCTACCTTCAAGGTCAAGGTCACACTTGGAGGTCAAATATTAACATAGTCTGTTACAGGGTATATTTGGTGTCCGGTCCATAACTTTGTCATTTATCAAAGGAATTTGAGATAACTTGGCACAAATGTTTGTTATAATAAGACGATGTGTCATGTGCAACAACCAGACCCGTACCTTTGGGGTCAAGGTCGTACTTGCTCATTCAAGGTCAACTTGTCTAATTGAGGGTATATGTCGTGTCCGGTCCATAACTTTCTTATCTATGAAGGACTTTTGTAAATACTTGCCATAATTGTGCACAATAATCAGATGATGTGTCATGCGCAAAAACCCGTCACCTACCTCCAAGGTCAAGGTCACACTTGGAGGTCAAATACTTACATAGTCTGTTACAGGGTATATTTTGTGTCCGGTCTATAACTTTTTCATAGATCAAAGGATTTTGAAAATACTTCGCACAAATAGTCACTATAATAAGAGGATGTGTCATGCGCAACACCTGCATCCCTACCTCCAAGGTCAAGGTCACACTTAGAGGTCAAAGATTTACGTAGTCTGTTATAGGGTATATTTTGTGTCCAATCTATAACTTCTTCATAGTTCAAGGGATTTTGAAAATACTTGGCACAAATAGTCTCAATAATAAGACGTTATGTCATGCACAACACCTGCTCCCCTACCTCCAAGGTCAAGGTCACACTTAGAGGTCAAAGCTTAACATGATAGATTTTTAAATTCCGTGTTTCATTTTATTTTTTTTAACAAATTTATTGTTACATTTGCAGATCTAGCATTGATCATAATTTTGGACTGAATGTCCTGAGATCCATACCTCAATCTTTTGAAATAGCACAATTTAATGCTTCATATAAAACTCCCAGGGCGGGGGACGTTGGTAACTCTGTTACAAATTCTTGTTATTTTTATTATTAATAATTTATTATTATTAGTATTATTATTATAGAAACGGCTAAAGCCGTCCATATGGCAAATACGCCAAAAATAACAGGGACGGCATAAGCCGTCCCTATGGCAGTGAAATGGTTAATATGGGTTACACTAAGAAACAAAATACATGTATTTATCGTAAATATCTGTTCCTATGCATTGTTTTCATTTGACAGCTCAGACAATTGTCTGTCAGAAACTTAAGGATTAATGTACAGATGTTGATTACATAATTGGAACTTTTAGTGAAAAATAAACAGATAATTGTGAGATTTAAGGTACTTGTAAAATAAATTTGTTTTTTTAGTGAAATATTTCCTTAAATAAATTTATGATTTCAGTTCAGATATAGTCAATCTAGGACAGACTGCCAAGCCTGGTGCCTATTGTGGTCCATTTGGCTCAGAGAAACCTACCAGAGCATACACAAGGTTCAAGTCTCACCAGTCGGCCTGGATGACATCGCTACTAGGATACCTGGTCTCAGAACCCGTTCTAATTACAACATTTATGATACTTTTGTAAGTAATGTTGAATCTAGCTATCACTGTACATACATTCAAAAAAATCAGTGAATCTTAATTCCAAGTTTTGTTATGAAATTACATAACCACTTTCGCTGCCCAATTTTGAATAAAAAGCTTGATTTTTTTCATGCACCCCAAAAAGGGGAGGCACATAGTTTTTTGTAAATTCCGTCCTTCCATCCATCTGGTCCATCACTTTGTCCTTTATGGATGGATTTTAAATAATTTTGTATAAATTTGTAGCACATTGAGGCAATGTGTCATGAGCAAGATCTTGGTCTGAAGCTCAAGGGTCAAAGTCACACTCTGTCTTCAAAGGAAATTTGTGATAAAAAATGCCCCGATGTTCGTGTCTTATCAACAATTCTGTCATTCCCAGTTGGATTGAAAAATAATTATGCATAAATGTGTTAGTCATAATGATGAAGTGCCCCATACAAGAATAAGGTTCCTGCCTCAAAGCTAAAGGTCTAACTCATGATATGAGCCGTGTCATGACAAAACCAACATAATGGGTTTGCGACCAGCATGGATCCAGACCAGCCTGCGCATCCGTGCAGTTTGATCAGGATCCATGCTGTTCGCTATCAGTTTCTCTACTAGAGTTGGTAAGTGAACAGCATGGATCCTGATCAGACTGCGTGGATGCGCAGGCTGGTCTGGATCCATGCTGGTTGCAGACGCACTATGTTGGTTTTGTCATGACACGACTCATATGAATTTTTATATAAGTACACTGATGTTTGTGTCTGACCAACAAATCTGTCATTCCTGGATGGATTAAAAAATTATGATGCACAAATGTGTTAGACATATTATGACCATGTGGAGGATCAGGTCTCTACCTCAAACGTCAAGGTCACACTTGTATACTATTCATGTTATGAATTTTTTCATAAAATTGCAATTCTGTCTTTTCTTGATAGATTTCAAATTAATTTGGCATACATATGTATGACATGATGATGTGTCACAAATAGGGGTAAAGTATCCAGGTTAAAGTTCAAGGTCACTCTTGTATGTCAAACATGATGTGTCTTCTTTTGTGCTTCATGGAAAATTATGCATAAATATGCTGCCTATTAAGATTATATATGTAATGAACAAAATTTAGCTCAGCAGCCCAAAGGTCAGGTTCATACTTCAAAAGTCATGATAGGTCATTTTTTGTGTCGCCTCTACGGAGTAGTGGTGACATATAGGGATCACTTCTCTGTCGTCCGTCTGTCCGTCCGTCACAAAACTTGTCCGGACTACTCCAATCAACCAGTGAAGCAACCATTCAGGACATAAATAAGATAATAACTCACAATAAAACACAGACAAAAGAAGCTGATATAATCGTCCTACACACAGGCATAAAAAACATCTCAAATGCGAACTCTCCTCAGTCCATATGTGAAGATTTTACTGACCTAGCTACTTCCATACAATCAGCAAACCACAATGTGAAAATAGCTGTATCATCCATTCTGCCAAAAAGGAGAGATTTATTATCAAGAAAAAATATTGATGAAGCAAATAATCTACTAGAAAAGCTTTGCAAGAACAAAGGATTCCTCTTCCTAGATAATACAAGCGCATTCATGAAATATGATAAGGTAAATCAGAATCTCTACTATGATGAAGTACAACTGAATAAAGAAGGTTCAGCTATATTGGGAAGGCAAATTAATGCAGGCATTAGAAAAATCCTTGGGATTAATACCAACAATTCCGGAAAACAAGAAAACAATTTCTCTAGAGAAAGTGTAAATTTTCGGAATGCCAACATCTGGCATGGAAATGCTCGGCGACATCAACATCCCCATCAAAGATTCCGAATGTATCAGGGACCATGGAATCCCTGGCCAAGGACAACATGGATGAGACCACACCAGTTTTATTAAATGAAAACCGTGATGAAACTGTACTGAACATTACAAATCAAAATGAAAGGATAACAAAACATATTAAAACTATTTCTGAAAATCAAAATTCTATGGATTATGATGAAAGAACAGATTTGCCTCTTCAAACTTTGAGTGAAGTAATATTCGACAAAAAAGGAATTAACTTTTTTCATTTAAACATTCACTACCTGTATCCTAAAATAAATGAAATCAAAAATTTAGTTGACAAATATCCAGACATTGACATACTAGGCCTACAAGAAACTTTCCTAAGTGATGTTTTTGATGACTCAGAGATATCTTTAAATAATTATCAACTCTTTAGACGTGACAGAAAATCAAATGGTGGTGGACTTGTTTTGTTTGTTAAAAATTCATTGCCATGTGAACTAAGATCTGATTTACAATCTGAAAATACTGAATCAATATGGCTCGAAATGAAACTTGAAAAGCAAAAACCCTTTTTGATAGGCTACATTTATAGGCCACCTTCGTCATTAACTTCATGGAATGATAACATTGAAGAAATTCTTGAAAAAATATTTGTTGAAAACAAAGAAATAATTCTTTTTGGAGATTTTAACTATAATTTTGGAACTACAGGTTCAAATAACTCAGCATGGAATAATATTATTAATACATTTAATCTGTCACAACTTATAACACAACCTACAAGAGTTACATCAACATCATCAACTATTATTGATCATGTCTATAGTAATCAATCACAAAATATATCATACATTACTGTCCCTATACTTTCTATTAGTGACCACTTTCCAATAATTTTCACAAAACAAACTATCAAAAATGTTAATAAAGGTCCAATTCATTTTACAATCAAATACAGGTACTTAAAGAACTTCAACGCTGATAAATTTCTAGATGATCTGTCAAAACAACCATGGTCCCTTATTGATATGTTTAATGATCCAGATGACGCTTTAGACACTTTTAATAAATTATTTTTGGAAACTCTCAATATACATGCTCCATACAAACAAAAACGAGTTAAGCATAAAAACCAAGCTGATTGGTTCAATGAGGATATAGCTAATGCAATACATAACAGGGACTATGCAAAAAAGAAAAATAATGTTGATGACTTCAAATATTGGAAATTAAAAGTGAAAAAACTTATTCATACAGCAAAAAAAGATTTCTTTCATTATGAAATAAACTCAAATAAGAAAAATCCTAAAAAACTTTGGAAAAACTTGAAAAACCTATCAGGCAAAACAAATGTTCAACAAAATTCTTACATAAATGATGAGAATGGTTTACCGATAACTGATCCCAAATTAACAGCAGAAACCTTTAATACTTTCTTTGCAAGTGTATTTGAAAAAGCTGAAAATGTATCAGAAGGATTATCATATGAATTGAAAACTGCTTTACAAGAATCTGTTAAATCCAAAATTTCAAATCAGTCAAATAAATATGAAATACCCTTTGTTGACTTAAGCTATGTAAATCAGAAACTCAATAGTCTAGACGCCACAAAAGCAACAGGCCTAGATGGTATTGGTGCAAAATTCCTAAAAACAGCAGCTGATGTCATAAGTAAACCTCTATGTAGTATTATAAATCTAAGCATAAAAAGTGGAAAATTTCCAACTCAGCTAAAACAGTCAAAGGTAACACCAATTTACAAAAAAGGACCAAAGGGAGACAAAAATAATTACAGACCAATTTCAGTACTTCCCCTTATCTCTAAAATAATTGAAAAACATGTATCAGACCACTTAAAGCTCTATTTAGAAACAAACCATTTACTTTACACTGCTCAATCAGGTTTCAGGGCACATCATTCATGTGAGACAGCTCTTACAAATATAATTGATAATTGGATCAGTGCTCTGAATGATGGCAAACTTGTCGGAACTGTTTTTCTAGACTTATCAAAAGCCTTTGATTTAGTAAACCACCAAATTTTTCTAGAAAAACTACTTTTCTATAATTTCTCTTCACATACTATAGATTGGATAAGATCTTATCTATCAGACAGGTCACAAAAAGTAAATGTGTCTGGTGTTTTATCTGAACCAGCTGAAGTTGTCTCAGGAGTGCCTCAGGGCTCAGTCCTTGGGCCCCTACTATTTTTGATATACATAAATGACATCCATCTTCATGTTAAACAGTCAACTACCGATATGTTTGCAGACGACACTTCCCTTACTTCTACTGGAAGTACTTTAACGGAAATGAATTATAATCTTCAAACTGATCTTGATAGTGTTAGCACATGGTGTAGGCAAAATGCAATGATATTAAATGCACAAAAAACTAAGGCCATAAATTTCTCTTTAAAAAATACTAAATCAAAAAATACTGCTTCATCTACTCTGCACCTTCAAAACAAAGAGATAGAATTTACAGACACTGAAAAACTGCTAGGAGTCCAGGTTGACAAAAATCTTAAATGGAAAACACAAATTCAAAATATTATTAAAAAATGCAATTCACAGCTCTATTTGCTTCTTAGAATCAAACAGTACCTTGATCTCCACTCCAGAAAACTCTTTTTTTAATGCTTATATTTTGCCACATATTGACTACTGTTGCACTATTTGGGGAAACTGCAGTAGTGAATTACTTTCGCAAATTGTGAACTTTCAAAAAAGAGCTGCAAGAATTATTTTAGACAAAAGTTTTGATACCCCATCAAATATTCTATTTAAAGAATTAAATTGGATGTCCTTTGATCAAAGAATTATGTACAAAAAGGCAATCCTCATGTATAAATCTATAAATGAACCATCCTTTCCTATTTATATGAAAAATAAATTCCAAACAATAAATGACAAACATGACTTTAACTTAAGATCTATACAAAATGAAAAACTAACTGTACCCAAACCAAAAACAGAATTTTTTAGAAAATCATTTAATTACTCTGGTCCTGTGGTATGGAACAGCATACCAATCCATATTCGAAATTCTGATACCCTGAGGAAATTTCAATCCTCCTATATCCAGTGGCAATTTTCTAACTAATTGTTTGTACATATTGTTTCAAAAACATATACTTTCCATGCTGAAGTTATGAAAATGTCACTTCTCTATGTAAGAAGAAAAAAGTGTTTACTTATTTATTGTATTGATATGATGTTTAATGTACATATTATGTTGTCTAAATGTTGATTGTGATTGTATTTTATGTTGTTTTGTATATACTGAGGCCCGCATGGAAGATCGGGAAACTGAATGTGTTAGCCTCATAAAATAAAGTCGTTACTTACTTACTTACTTACTTACTTACTTACTCCTCATAAACTACTGGTGCAATTTCATCCAAACTTTACAGGAATAATCAGTACCAAGTCTAGTTGTGCATATTGTCAGCATTTTCAGGTTCAATGATTTTTGTCAGAGTTATGGCCCTTTAATAATTTTTATTTTTAAAGTTTGTCCGGACTACTTCTCTTATACCACTATTGCAATTACAATGAAACTTTACAGGATTGATCTGTAGCTCAAGTTCTTGCGCATATTGCACGGGTTTTACGGTTGAATGCTTTTTGGCTGAGTTATGGCCCTTTGATAAAAAGGTGTTTTTTGTGTGTTGCCAGATACACAAAAGCTTGTCCTGACTTCTCATAAACTACTGGTGCAATTTTATCCAAACTTTACAGGAATGATCAGTACCAAGTCTAGTTGTGCACTGTCTGTCTATCTGTCCGTCTGTCACAAATCTTGTCCCAACATGAAATTGGCCATCATGAGGCGACACATGTGATCACTGATCGCTCTTGTTTTGTCATTCAGTGACAGATTTTGTAGTAACTTGGCTTAAATATCTGGTATGTTAAAACAATTTGTGATGAGTCTGTAGCTTAAAGATCAAGGTCACACTAAATAGTACATTGATGGTTATATCCAGTCATCAATTCTGTCATTTATGAATGGATATTGAAATAACTAGGCATTCTGTGGCACATTAGTAAAACATGTGGGTCGACAATTTATAAAGTTTAAAAGGTGAAGGTTTTACTTGAAAATAGTACATTGATCTGGCCATATCTTTGTCACTCAATAATGGATGCTTTTTTAAATAATTGGACTCACTGAAAATATGAGAAAGTATGTTAATGTTTTCATATTCTTGTAACATCCTTTCTATAGTAACCAAACCATGCCTTTGATGCAAGTCAAAGTTCATGGTTTCTCATGGTTTGCAACAACAGTTTTTTTTGTTTGTCTTTTTTAAAAGAGAGTTTATTTAAAACATTCTGCTCAACAATAATTACCCTAGAATTAAAGACAGGAATGCCTCGTATGTTTAATATTTCAAAATTGTTACTGTAAGTGTGGTATTAACTATTATGAAAAAGCTTTACATATGGTAAACAAATCTTTTTCGGCATTGTTACTTTAAAACTGGTCAAAATCTTTGAAGTTGACACTTGTGTAATTATTTGTTGGTGTTGTTTTTCAGCTCTTTAACGATTCATCAGAAAAGAAGACTAGGTACTGCAAAGAAAGACATGGTTGTCCTACAAGCTGAATTAAGTCAGGTTAAAATTTATACACCATTTTTTAGATAGATTTTCAAGCTGTTCTTAATGGTAGCTTTGTAAAAGGCAGGTTTTGCACATGAGAAAGTTTATCAAATTTTGTTTTAAGAGTTTGTCTTCCTGTTATATTCATAAATGTAAACATGCTTGTTTGTTTGTTGGGGGTGGGGTGGATAAAGAAATTAAATGTATGAAGTGTTAGCAGGTTATCTCTCCAACAAGTTTTAAGTTTTGTATTTTTAGCTCACCTGTCAAAGTGACAGGGTGAGCTTTTGTGATCGCTTTTCGTCCGGTGTCCGTCGTCCGTCCGTCCGTCGTCCGTAAACTTTCTCTTTAAATGACATCTCCTCATAAACCACTAAGCCAATTTCATCCAAACTTCACAGGAATGTTCCTTTGGTGGTCACCTTTAAAAATTGTTCAAAGAATTTAATTCCATGCAGAACTCTGGTTGCCATGGCAACCGAAAGAAAAAACTTTGAATATCTTCTTTTAAAAAACCGTAAGAGCTAGAGCTTAGATATTTGGCATGAAACATCTTCTAGTGAGTGTCTACCAAGTTTGTTCAAATAAAAGCCCTGGGGTCAAAATTGGCCCCGCCCCGGGGGGTCATTGATTTTCCCTATATGCATATAGTAAAAAGTTAAAAAATCTTCTTTTAAAGAACCCAAAGAGCTAGAGCTAATATATTTAGCATGAAACATGTTCTAATGGGTGTCTATCAAGTTTGTTCAAATAAAAGCCCTGGGGTCAAAATTGGCCCCGCCCCGGGGGTCATTGATTTTCCCTATATGCATATAGTAAAAACTTAAAAAATCTTTTTTTAAAGAACACAAAGAGCTATAGCTAAGATATTGAGCATTAAACATGTTCTAATGGGTGTCTACCAAATTTGTTCAAATAAAAGCCCTGGGGTCAAAATTGGCACCGCCCCAGGGGGTCATTGATTTTCCCTATATGCATATAGTAAAAACTTAAAAAATCTTCTTTTAAAGAACCAAAAGAGTTAGAGCTAAGATATTTAGCATGAAACATGTTCTAATAAGTGTCTACCAAGTTTGTTCAAATAAAAGCCCTGGGGTCAAAATTGGCCCTGCGCCGGGGGGTCATTGATTTTCCCTATATGCATATAGTAAAAACTTAAAAAATCTTCTTTTAAAGAACTCAAAGAGCTATGGCTAAGATATTTAGCATCAAACATGTTCTAATAGGTGTCTACCAAGTTTGTTGAAATAAAAGCCCGGGGGTCAAAATTGGCACCGCCCGGGGGGTCATTGATTTTCCTTATATGTGTATTATAGCAAAAACTTAAAAAATCTTCTTTGAAAAAACCCAAATAGCTAGAGTTAAGATATTAAGCATGAAACATCTTTTAGTGAGTGTCTACAAAGTTTGTTTAAATAAAAGACCTGGGGTCAAAATTGGCCCCGCCCCGGGGGTCATTGATTTTCTTTATAATGTTAGCAAAAACTTAAAATCTTCTTTGAAAAAACTCAAATAGTTAGAGTTTAGATATTAAGCATGAAACATCTTCTAGTAAGTGTCTACAAAGTTTGTTCAAATAAAAGCCCTGGGGTCAAAACTGGCCCGGCCTCAGGGGTGTCATGTTTTTAACTATATGTGTATAGTAAAAACTTTAAAAAAATCTTCTTTTAAAAAGCCCAATGAGCTAGAGCTTAGATGTTTAGCATGAAACATCTTCTTATGGGTGTCTACCAAGTTTGTGCAAATAAAAGGCCTTGGGTTAAATTGGCCCTGCAACATTGGGGGGGTTGGGGGGGGGGGCCTATATACAGGTGAGCGACCTCAGGGCCATCATGGCCCTCTTGTTATTTTTAAATATTCATCTTAAACAACTAAGAGACTGTTCCCATTATAAGAATGGTGAGTACATGACTAAAAGATTTAGCAGGTTCAGCATAGTATCGGTTAAGTTAATTTGATGTGCTCTTTGTTTCAGGAGAGAGAAGAAAATGAAAAGTTGATTAAAAAGTTACATATTATGGGTGTAGGATTTGACAGACACTGATATAACCACATGCTCGTTTTCAGAAGTCTTCTATTAGTCTGAAGAAGTTTTTAATAATTTTTTTTTAAAGGCAGTTCCATGTGTTTAAAGATCTACCGAAGATTACTTGAGGATATCTACCAAGGCATTATTGACTAAAAGTACAGTTGTATTAATTTTACTTGCATAGTGTTAATTTGAGCCAGAAATTAATAAGATTGTTTTGTATGACCAGTATTCATTCAGCCAAGTTTTGTGAGAACTTCACTACATGTTGTTTGTAAACAAGATATCTGCAGGCCAATTTTTTTGTTTTAAGATGTTTTGAAACAAATACAATTAATTAGGATGAAGTTAAAGAAGAAAAAGAAAAGAACATTGCATTTGTTTCTTAAAATATTATGTACTTCTTATTATCATTGTTAGTAGTGTTAATTTATCTAAAAACAAAGACTAAGCTCTCCAGTGCTTTATATATAACATTGATAAAAATGTTGCAATATGCAACTAGAGTACAAAACTAGAGCTTGTCACAAATGCCAAATACCCCAGACACTGGCTTGTCAGAAAATGGCTTTTGCACTGCACTTTTTCTCACTCAGATGTATCTACCTACAAAGTTTCAAGCTGATACCTTTTATAGTTCACAAGTTATGTCCTGGACAAAGTTCAAAGTGTAAAAATGAACAAAGGGCAATAACTCCAAAATTAGGGAAGGGAGAGTTGCAGTTCTCCACCTCACTTCTACTTTCAAATCTAATCCATGTGTCAAAAGACCATATAAGTACTTGAATTAACCACCTTAGTCATATTACAACCCTTAAAATAATACTGGACAGAACAAAGTCATGAAAGGGTTTAGAAAAAGGAACCAAAGTAAACATTTACATTTTATCAAGACTATAAATTCATAAACAGAAAAATCATAAACATAATAAATAAATAAATTTAATACATAACATCAATGTAAATCAATAAATAAAAATTAGTCTTCACAAAAAAGTCAACAATGGCACTGTCACACAACATTATTTCATACCTAACACAAACAATACATGTGTCCCAAAACAAACAAACTGATAGACACATTTTTTTTGCAGTTGATAATGGAACACTGAATTTTTTCCAATCTAAATTGTAGCTACAAACCTAAATTCAATTTCTTTGAAAAAATATACAGTGTAACAAAGGATTTTTTTTTGGCAAAGGAAAGCGTAACACAAAATTAAATGCTTGTTTTCAAAGTCATTTTTTTTTACTGGAATCCAGTACATGTTCTTTATCTACTTTGAAAACTTCCATTTCATTGGAACCACAAATATTTCTTAGTCTAATGTATATATTGTTCAATTGAAAATAAAACTTGTGTAATTGTTAAGTTATCATAAAACACAATGAAACCTTATTCTATCACTTCCATGCAGTCATTAAGACATGCTGTAATGTCCTTTTCTTTCCCTTAAGCAATACTTCTTTTTTCTTCAAGATGAATAAAGACACAATCATAGAGTTGTGTTGAAAACAAAAGGTGGTATTTTCTAAACTTTGCATTCCTACAGCTACTCAAAGAGCAAGTTCAGCTTACAATACAGTTAATTTTATGGCAAGTCAAATGCTGGAAACTTGGCATTCTTTGGATGAAGTAAATCAGCTAGAAAGTAGATAGTTCCAGCTAGACCTGAAAATAAATTAAATTGATGCAGATATATAAAAACATAATGGGATGTTACTGTGTTTAGTATCAATATTTCAGTGCTTATACCAGTCTGGTGTACCCAACATGTGTTCTGACAGTTCATGGTTTCTGTAAAAGTACTTGCCCTGTTTTCACTGTTCACATGATGTGTTTTAAGAATTTTCAATGTCTTTTTTTAATTGATCAGTTGCAGTCACATCATTAAAAAAAATGTACACTGTGTATGATAAAAGACTGATCCACCAGTAAAGAACATGCTGATGTTTTTCTACCAATTAACAATGTTTCTACCACATTATTTTTGTCATATCTTGACTGTCTATCCTTAAAACCAGCTTCCTTATAAAACTAACCAGGAATTATCAATTTCTATGTAAGTGACTGACTACTGATCCCACATGATTTCTAAATCAGTGTTGGGAGACAAATAAACATTAGACTAGATGTCCGAGATTATATATTGAGGAAGCAAGTAAAACGTTACCTTCAAATAGCGAGTAAGGATGATCAGGAACTCTAACTCTTACATTTCTTTCCATCATCACCGTTGCAAACTGCCAGCATAAATAAGGAAAAAAACTTGAAAATTTGCCTCATTAGAGAAACATAGATACATTGACAAGACAGGACAACAACAAGTTTTTACTTAAGCATTTTGCAAAAAGAATAAAGAATAATAATGAACTGGATGTGATAATTAATAATGTTTCCTCCTGCAGTGGCAAAGTTAAGTACACTATATATGGATATGAAATATAAATATTTCCTCTTGTATATACACAATACTATTTGAACATCTAAATTTGTATTCACTGAATTGTTACCCTTTCTATTTATCAGGCTAACAAGTATTAAAACTTGCCATGTTTAGCATGGTTCTTGTTATAATTTTATAATAAAAATGATGAGAAAAAGTTTAGGAAGTCACATCACGATGTAATAAATCTATCTGAGCTGGTACGAACCTTATAAGCCTTGTAGAGATAAGCCTGATCATCGGTAAGTTTATACATGGCAAGAAAAGCGTAGGCATTGCCCGAAATCCCGTGACAAAGCCCAAACCCCTTCTTTAACAGTCCACGTGACCAGATCACATCAGCACAAGCTTTCGCTGCTTGTAGGTATCTGTCTTCTCCAAACAACTGAAAATATTTTCCATATCATAAAAGAACTGTGAAATTTAAATATACCCTTGAAGAACCGACATATTTTGAACACTTTACAAATAGAATATATATCCAAAATATACCTGGGATATGCTCATTGTAAGTACCCATCATACATGTTTTTAAAATTACAATCTAGAATGGTAAATTACAAAAGTAAATGTAGTACTTGTAAAATACATAATATCTGTAGCTTCTTATCAAATAATAACTGTTTTATAAACAATCATGATGAGTTTCATTACAATCTAGCCGGCTAGTTCTAAAATATGACTCAAAATAGAAATTTTAAAAAATGAAGCATTGTCACCCCAAAACTGATGGGTAGCTTTTGACAGTATTTTAGAGTCTGATTTCAATACACATTCATGCAACATTTGATTAAAACTGGATTATCCAGATCTAAGATAAGGATCTGGGACGAAAAGACTGACGGACAATATAAATTAAATATCCTACTTACGATTTATCAGCTGGGGGAAAACAGTTTTGAACTTTACCTTGTAAGCTGAGATAAACATGTGTATCCAGCCTGGTGCACCATGACACCAATGTACAAGTTTATCACCAGTGGAACTTCCAATAGATGATGGACAATTTCCAGATGGAAATCTGAGTGTGAGCATATACTCTATACTGGGTCGAATCAGATCTTCTACATGTTTCTTCAGAGATTCATCTTGCACCTATTTTTATGGTAATTTTAATATGTTCTTTAAAATCATTAATTAGCATAAACAACATATATACGTTACATTCAAGCTTTATGTACCTTAAAGCCCCTAAATGTATCTTTTTTATACGCCCGTTTGAAAAACGGGACATATTATGGGAACGCCCCTGGCGGGCGGGCGGGCGGGCGGCGTCCAATTTTGTCCGGAGCATATCTCGTACATGTATGGAGGGATTTTAATGAAACTTCATAGAAATGTTCACCACTATGAGGAGCAGTGTCGCGCACATGAACCAGGTCAAAGGTCAAGGTCACACTTAGAGGTCATCGAAAAATGCTTGTCCGGAGCAAAACTTCCACATGTATAGAGGGATTTCAATATTACTTGGCACAAATGTTCACCATTGTGAGGCGGAGTGTCGCGTGCAAGATTCAGGTCCTTGTGGCCAAGGTCAAGGTCACACATAGAGGTCAAAGTTCAGATAAAAATATGAAGATGTGTATATGGACCATTTAGTCATCATTTATTGAGGGATTGTAACACAAATGGTCATTATCAAGACTATGGCTGTGATACATATAATTTAGGTCAATATATACAAGGTCAAGGTCACTAAAGATGATGAAATATCCAGATTTTGTAAATAGAATTTAATCAAAGGGCAACAACAAAGTTATTACTTTTTTCATAAATGACTTACACAATTACTCCCCTTGATCTACTTTCACTTTCAATTCTAAAAATAGAATTTAATCAAAGGGCATAAAATAATCCTCTTTCTTGGACTTGAGTATGTTCTAAAGAATGTAACATTTATTTACACATGTTTCATTCATTGGTCAAGATTCTTAACTGTGATAACTATGGTGTTCTGTAGACTTGGTATTTGTTCATAAAGATCATACAGTAATTACCTTATCAAATGTAAATACTTTCTCATAGAAATTTAATTACATTTTAATTTTCAAGTAAATATCAGTTCAGCTCATTCAAAGATTAAGAATTGTAATGAAATGTATTTCCCTAGAATAAAATCTTAAATCAGAATTTTTTAGTTATTAAATTACAATTACATGTACTTTTTATCTTCCCTACTGATTTGTTTTAAGGTTCATTTAACAACACAGTGCCAAGGATAAAAACTTGCTTGCTAGATAACACTTATCCATAATGCCCCCATCTCCATCTAAAGCTTTCGTAAACGGGCGTATTTTGTGACTATGGCACCCTTGTTTCCTATATCGAGTATATTGTCACTAGATTTTAAATGAAAATATTTAGTTCTTATAAACACCAAGTTTGCTCATAAGCCGCTTTTATTGTCTTTGCGTACTCTGATATAGAAATTTGGCCACAACCACTTAATAATGTCATGACGCAACTGACATGCTATACCAAAAATAGATAAAAACATAACAGCCTAGTAGCTGTAATTGGAAGGCCAAGGTACTACTTCGATGACTGTAAATTTATTAAACATATAAGATTTATTTTCCATAAGTCAATATAATAAATCTTAAAAGAAATTTTAATTTTTGCTATTAAGTTTGTACATTTGTATTTTAATCAAAACAGACCGATTGCATAATATATTGTATTTCATACATAGTCAAAATGTTTATAAAAATATATATCTAAAGAATTAAGAATAAACATGTATTAAACATATTCATTGACTTAAATTTATATATTTTCATACAAAATGACCACTGGTCTATTCTATAGAACATGTTTTTTTTTTATCTCTTTATTTAAATTAAAAATACTGATAATATAAGAATATTACTATTTTAAATATCAATGTTCTAAAATTTCCCATGAAGGTACATGTATATTACAAATTGTATCAGAATAAGTGAGAATGTTTTATCATTAGAAATATAATAAATGATAGTTACAAGCATAAGAACATAGAAGATTCCTGCAAGGCCATGAGCTGCCCCAAGATAATGTTTCTCGTGCCAGGCATACATCAATGGATGTTGCCAACGCTCCTGTTGTGACATACTGATTCCAGAATCTATAATACATTTGTAAACCTGAAATAAAAATAAAAAAGACGTCTGTTTATATTGCAAAAAATTACACTTTCAATGGATAGGGACAGTTCTACATTACATCAAAAAACTTCCAGCCAATCTGTTCACTGAACATACAAATAGTGAATATAAACCATTACTTTATCATTAAAGTAGACAATATCTTAGTTTCAACTTTTTTTAGCACTATTGTGAAACCCTTCCTTATTTACATCCTGAATCTAGTCAAAGTACCGTAAGTGTAATATGATAAAACATTCATTGATAAAACATTGTTATAACCCCAGTGTGTCTCAAACTCATGATTCCTGAGATAAGAGGCAAACACCACTTTTCCTAGTTCTGTACATAGTCTTCATTAAAAATAAAATTATACTGCATTAGTTCACTAAAAGCCACAATTACGGGCCTTGTTATGTGGCCAAGTGGTTAAAGCATCAGACTAGTAATCTAAGGATTGCTGGTCCCAGTCAGGTTTTTAGCTCAAGCTGGGAACTTACACTCAGTGCTTAAAACTGGTTGCTTCCAAGAACAGTTTTGAGAACGTATCTCTTAAGGATCCTCTTTTATTGAAATACAATAAATTCTGTATATATTAATAACATGGCTATGTCACAAGTATAGAGTAAAGCCATGCAGTCTGACCAGACTCTTCTTTGCTTATTTTTTTTCAGTAATTTTATATTGTAACTCTTTAAGATTACAATGGACAGTTCTAAATGCACAGCAGGGTAAGTCCATTACAAAAATTTAGGTGAGTATTGATACAGCCTTACAAATCTATCAAGAAGGACAAGCTGATTCGTCACACAAATGAATGAATTGCCTACCCTGTGAATCACATCGGTATTAATACTGTCATTGCCTAGATGTGTTCTTACAAACAGCAAGGCATACAGGTAGCCTGCACGACCATACAGTAACTCATCTGGTAGGGACGGATCTGTACACACAGCATTCTGTAATCCTATCAGCCTATAAATAAATCAACATGCAAGTGCATTTACCTATGTATTAAATGTATTAAACTAGTATTATCTAATTTAAAACAAGAGCCCGGTTTGAGCCGGGTGATGCTCCCCGAATAGGTTTTGGACACAGGAAAATACACCTCTTGTAGTTCAGAGTAATGTCCTTGGAAAAAGTTCAAAGTGCAATAATTCCAAAATTAGGAAAGGCAGAGTTACTGTTCTTTCCACTGCACTTCTAATCACTGTTATCTATCAACTTACAAAGTTTCTTGTTGATATCTCTTATGGTTTCCGAGTTATGTTCCGGACAAATTAAAAAAGTAAAAATAAACAAATGGTTTCCGAGTTATGTTCCGGACAAATTAAAAAAGTAAAAATAAACAAATGGCAATAACTCCAGAATTAGGCAAGGCAGAGTTATGATTCTCATGCACTGCACATCTACCCATTGAGATACATCTAAATACAAAGTTTCATGTTGATATCTCTTATAGTTTTACAGCTATGTCCAGTACAAGATTTTTCTAAAAGGGGAGATAATTCAAAAATGAGGCTTAACAGAGTTATAATTTTTTGCACTGCACTTCTACTCAATGAGATCTATCTACCTACAATGTTTCATCTTGATATCTCTTATAATTTTAGAGTTATGTTCCGGACAAAGTTCAGTGTTAAAATTAACAAAGGGCAATAACTCCAAAATTAGGACAAAAAGAGTTATTGTTCTTATGCACTGCACATCTACCCATTGAGATCTATTCACCTACAAAGTTTCGTGTTGATATCTCTTATAGTTTTAGAGTTATGCCCCGGACAAGATTTTTCTATAAGGGGAGATAATTCAAAAATGAGGCTTAACAGAGTTATGGTTCTTTTGCACAGCACTTTTACTCAATGAGATCTATCTACCTACAATGTTTCATCTTGATATCTCTTATAGTTTTAGAGTTATGTTCCGGACAAAGTTCAAAGTGTTGAAATTAGCAAAGGGCAGTCACTCCAAAATTAGGACAAAAAGAGTTATTGTTCTTATGCACTGCACATCTACCCATTGAGATCTATTCACCTACAAAGTTTCATGTTGATATCTCTTATAGTTTTAGAGTTATGCCCCGGACAAGATTTTTCTATAAGGGGAGATAATTCAAAAACCGGGCAAAATAGAGTTATGGTTCTTTGACACTGCACTCCCCCCTCAATGCCCTCTACCACTGTATGAAGTTTAAACAAATTATCTCCAAGGGTTTTCAAGTTATGCTCCGGACAAGAAAACAGACGGATGTTCTCACAGGACAGCAATTATGTGGCTACTCTATTGTTCTCTCTATTGTTCTTTTTAGCCACACAAAAGAAAATAGCCACATAAAAGCATTACGGAATGAATGACATCAAAGAGAAAGAACAGTTACCTATTGTCCCTCTAGCCACATAATTACTCTCCTGTGAGTGCGGACGGACGGACAGACGGACAAGGCGCCGACTATATGCTCCCCCGAAATTTTTCGGGGAGCATAAAAAAACAGCATCAAAATGCATAGATATTCAAAAAAAAATCATAAAATTTTCAGTTTCATGTGACTGTGGTGTAACTGTCGCAGACACTGTTTGTCATATGACCACTTTCCAGTTGTTTCTGTACAGGTAAATCTGGGTAAATAATCCATGACAGTTAGCACCTAAGTAGAACCACACAATAACTTCCTCATATAAAGAATTTGAAGCTCTGGTGGGGTTTGAGTATACAGGGTTGAGAGGCAAATGATTCCAAATGGATATATTACTTTAATCACTTGGTCAAATTGACCCCTTATAGAGATTCATTGCAGTATAAGGAAGAAGTTATGCATAAAGTGTAAGCAGATAATAAACCTTTACCAGCTAGTGGTAACAGATTTTACCCATGCATGCAGTGCTGACCAAGATAAGAGCCCGCATCCTCCAGGCTGTCTAATCAGGGTCTGTACTGCTAGCTGTTCTATAAGTAAGCAGATATTAAGTAACTGCATGAATTGGGTTTGAAGAACAAAGATTATAGTTGGCTATACCAGCATAATTTTGAGAAAATAAAAGCTAAAGTAATGAATTTTTAGTCCCATATCATCTAATGATGTTGTCAACATTCAAAAGCATATTTAGACTTATGTTGTAGATTTTGAGAAAGTTTACAATCTTGAACTACTTCAAAATTTCAAAGGGGAGCGGTGGCCTAGTGGTTAAGGTGTCTGCCTCTCAACCCAGAGATCATGGGTTCGAGCCCTACTCGGGTCACGACCATGTTTCTCCATATGACACCAGTACTGGTTGGTTCCAGGAAGCGGACTCGAAAGTGATTAATATAAGTTGCAAGAACTTGTTTCGCAATCGAGCTTAAATAAATATGTTTAAACCAAAATTTCAAAAGCTAAGAAAGTAAAATCCTTTGTCCTAGGAGGCTATCTCGGGAATCCAAGTTAGCCTTGACACATAGGCATTTCGCTATTCTTCTGATAAAAAGCTCTATTATTTATCTATTATCAAAAATCCTGTAAAGACTGTCATAAATACATAAACAAGAGCAATTAGCGATCATATGTGTCTCCTGACTATAGCCAATTTAGCAGTTGTATTGAAAGGTGATTGATAGCTTCTGTGTAGCAGGAGACACAAAAATCATTATCAGGCCAAATAGTTGTTTTTTTTAAGGGCCATAATTCGGTCAAAATTCATCAACTGGAAAATCTATTGATTATAAACAATTACTTAAGAAATCGATCAATCATGTTTTATTCAAATTGCATTAGTAGTATGAGAAGAAGTCTGGACAAAACTTTAAAAAAAACGAACATAATTAAAGGGCCATAACTCTAACAAAATTCATAGAACTGGAAAATGAAAACGATATGCACAACTAGACTTGATAATGATCATTCCTGTAAAGTTAGGATGAAATTGTACCATTAGTTGTTGAAAAGCTAGTAGTTTGTACAAATTTTCAGACAAATCGACAAAGAACTTAGAAGTGACCTTTATAAGTCGCGGCTTATTTGTAGCATGTATCAGCTATTGTATAACAGGAAACACAAAATTCTGAATGCAAAGAAAAAACAACAATAACAAGTTTACACCTTTTCAGACAGTCTTCTGAAGCAGCTCTGTTACCAAGTTTGTTATAAATAACCGCTCCTAGAGCCAATGGTCCAGCATCACCACACAAAAATGAGATTCTGTGTCCTTTCAGCTTGCGTAGAGGTTGTCTAATACAGTCTAAAGCACATTCTAACTGCCCAAAATCTTGTTTCAGTGTAGAATAAAGATGAAGGTGCAAAAGAGCAACACCTGCGAGACAGCAAACAAAAACATGGAAATACTTGTTATTCCAAAAGCAATTCTTGTTTACCCAAAGGCAATACATATATAAACCAAATGGCAATACCAAAAACAAAGGCAATACCAATAAACCAAATGGCAATACCAATAAACCAAATGGCAATACCAATAAACCAAAAGGTAATAACAGTTTAATTTGGGGAAATGATCCATGTCCTATCTAATTGGGGAAAATTGTGTGGTGTCTGAAAGTGGGATATTTTTTAAATTGGGATTTTATTTTTAAAAAGTAAACACATTGATATCATATTTGTTTTTGTTTTATATCTTTATCAATAAAATTTTTAATTTTAATTAAGATTTTTGTAGGAAATATATATGTTAAATATATCTCAAGCTTATATATTCTGTAATTTTTGGGTTTTGAAACGGGAAAAAAATGTCTGTATTTTTTATTGGGAAGAGTTCTTTTACCAGACCCAAAATAAAGAAGGAAAAAATCACTGCCAGTACACCTAAGGCAATATCAGTATGCCAAAGGTACTTGTATCACCAGTACATGTACACTTAATACATGTATCTAGGTGTATCTTCTATCTCAAATCAGTAGATTGCAAACCTTTTGTTTTGATATCATGTAATTACATGCTTAATAGGGAATTGATCAATTGATGAAGTTCTTGTTATAAAGTGAAACTCAAAATTCCTGAAATTAATCATAAATAATATAAAAAATTCATTGCAAATAAAAAGCAAATAGTGATTTAGTGTCAATTTAGCACTAAGTCTAATGGACATGTTGCTTTATTCAGCTTTTCAGAAACTATTTAGCAGAAAGGCATTCATAAGCAAACAGATATTTACTCTATACCTTTAGTCCTGCAAAAAACTTGATACTATAGGGTCGGCAAAATCTGATTTTCACTTACTTGTTTTTTATCTAAAGCATTTCTTACCTGTGTAATTGATATGTATAAGTAACCCAGCTTGTTTGCATGATGTGTATTCTCAATTTAAATTCTGGAAAATTTTGACTTGTCTATACTATAACCTTGGCAATATGAACAGCTGATTTTGCCCCCACCCCTAGTATTGTATATTATATATAATTTTATGAGGACTCAAGATCTAAACTTGAACAGCCAACATTATAGGGTCAGGTCAGATTGCACATAGATTGACTGACAATTGGCTATATAATTGTGATTTAGACAAAAGTCATTATTTCTGCTAGCCACAAATGTTCAAAGCAAAGGGGTAGGCTAGTGGTTAAGGTGTTTGCCTCTAAACCCAGGGAACATGGGTTTGAGACCTATTTCAGTCATGACCAAAAAACTAATATGTTTCCTTGCATGACATCAGAACTTAAAAGTTCCAGAAAGCAGACTTGAAAGTGGTAAATAACTTTTCGAAGCTTTTACCATAATCATGCTAAAAATAAATATGTTTAAATTAATTTAAACTAAAACTTAAATGTTAAATCTGGGTTCACCTCCCATTCCAGTATATACAGATACACTATCTTCATCTTCATCACCTAGGCCCCTGTACAACCTCTCCAACAATCTCTCTATTTCAGCCTCTATTTTTTTGCTCAATGAATCCTTCAGCTGGAATGTTTCATCAAAAAAGACATTATCAATTATCAATCACTAGTAAAGGTGATAATAATGCACCTCTAGAGACATTGAAAAAATTAGAAATGCTTAAATAAAGAAGGTAAGGTTTGAATCTTTTAAGAATTTTCAATAGTGTATACACAAAATGTATTATAACCATCAAAATAATGTGTCTTTACCACAGTTCTAAAGCATCAATTATATGACATTTGTCGTTAAGTGTAGTGATGTTTTGCAAGGTAATAATGTATTTATAAATGAATGCCTGGGTTATAAAATTAATTGAAACTTTCCAGATTTTTAAATTGCCACGCTGAATTTAAGAGAATTTCCCACAATATAAATAAAAGTCTTTGACCAAACATTATGATTTAAAGAATTGATTTCACAATGGTACACTACATCTGTTAAAGTGTAAACTTAGGAAAAAACTAGAAATCTACTAATGGATAGGACATTTTATAATATATTTACATATATAATTTTTTAAAGTCAAGTGTTATATTGACCTTTAAATACTGACCTCCGATCAATAGCTCTTGGTCATCTACTAGTCATAACCAATCTCCACAACAAATCTTAGGACTGTAGGATTAAGCTACATGTATATATAGTTATAATGGTCAGTTAAGCTTGAAGTGGTAAAGGCCACAGTGTATTTGACCTTTGATCTACTGACCTCAAAATCAATAGGAGTCATCTACAAAAATGTACCAGTCATGATCAATCTCCACAACAAATCTTAGGACTGTAGGCTTAAGCTATCTATAGTTATAATGATCAGGTAAGCTTTAAGTGTTCTTGACCTAAATATAATGATCTATTGACCTCAAAATCAACAGGGGTGGATCTACAAGTCATGATCAACCTGACTCCACAACAAATCCTATGACTGTAAGCCACAAGTTATTGGCTGGACTTGTAAGCTTTTAGAAATCAAGGTTGTGGTGACCTTGGACCTAACCATAGGTGTTATCTGCGTATGTTGTCTACTGTCCATGGGTTATGTCCCTACCAAGTTACTGCAGGGCTTATTCCTTCTCAAGCTACATGTATTGATTGGACAAGGACATTAATATGTACAGACAACTCCATCACAGTAATTGCTCCAACTCATTTAGTGGGGGCATATTTATAATATAATTGATAGAAAGTACAGCCATTTTTAGTTAAAGGTTAAAGGTGAAATGATTTAAAATGGGACAAAATAATTATTTTAAAGGCCTGTTTGCATTCCTTTGACAAGATGATGTAATATGTATCTCTATAATGACAAAAAAGACAATATAAATCTACAACTATTTATTGTATCATAGTTTGGGGACTTTTCTGTTGAAAATGTGTCAGAGATAAATCGTATACATATACATGCACAGTGCCTTTACTGGAGTACAGGTATTAGTTACCCGCACTCCAGAGGATGCCCATTGATTGGTTCATATTGTCTGGGGTTTACATACATGTATTGACGACAGAGAAAGGGATAGTGATAGAAATATCATATTCAGATGCTTGTTCATTGGTTACTTTTTTCTTGGGTTTCATATTGTGACATCAGGGAACGTGATTTTATTTTTGACCATGATACAAAAGAGAAAGAACATCAAAACACTCGGCAATCAAATTTATACTCAGGGCTACGCCCTCTCGTACAAATCAGATAGCCTCGTGTTTCGATGTTCTTTCTATTACTTTCACTCAAAGTATTTTAATAGTCATAAAAAAATCTGTATATCTAATGATGACCTCTGTGCATTTTAGTTAACATTTCAAAACACTTAAAAGATTTCTCACCTGAGATCTGTAGACAAGTACCTAAAAATCATTAAAATTATCAATAATAATCTGTTAATAAGAATAAAATTTTGAGGAACAGTCAGCAAATATGTAGGTTATTCTTCTCAGAAACAGGGAGTGAGCTGTCAGTGAAGTAACATCAAGGAGGAATTGTTAATCTCTAGAATAGTCTGACTCCTATCCAAAACTGGTTCTAGTTGACTACTGTCCCACTTAGGTAAAAACTTCGCAATTAATGTTTTGCAAAAAGCATGCTTACCCTTCCATCTTCTCTTAGCATATGTTCACCATTATATTCTTGGAAAGTGTTGGAAAAACACCTGTCATCATGTACACTTTCCATCTTTCTGATTTTTAATTTTAAAATTCAATAATTTACTTTGATACTTCGAGTACTTTGATATTTAATTATTAAACGAAATTTAATTTCACTTTTTTTCATTTTAATTGATATTCAATTTAAAAGTTGATAAAATTTATATGATATACCCTGTTTATTATAAAAGTGCTAATAATTCATCAACATTAATAACTACCTTTGCTGTATGAATTTGAAAATAATTCGTTTGAATTTATTTATTATAATCATTGCTGAACAGGGTGAAAATCGAGAAGTGCTTCCGTATTTTAAGGAGTTTTTAAGTTTGTTTTACATAGTACAAACAAAACGATAATGGCCTTAACACTGTACAAATAAAACTTAAACATAATCCCCTTTTTTGCTAGACTGTAAACGAAAATCATGACAAAACCAGTTTGCAAATACGGTTTGTGTAAAAATACATGTGCACCTGTCAAAATAAAAAAATTGTCAACAAGCTTCCGTGTCACATATTTGCGTTAATTTACATTTTCCTATTATGTAAAAGCAATTCTTTAATATCGGAACGAGGAACAAAGATATATTGAAGTAATTCCATTGATGTACAGATTTCTAGGTTCTTGAAATTTGCATAAAAATGGCTGCACTAGATGAACCTGCTACCAACTTCACTGCTGATAATTTCCGTAGAGTGAAAGTCCTATATGATTATGACTATCATGACGATCATTCTGATGTATGGATGAAAACTGATGAGATTTTTTATCTGTTGAATTCTGATGGCAACGAATGGTGGCAGGTCTGTAGACCGGACTCCCCGGAAAGCCCCTTTTATGTTCCGTCCACTTATGTCGAGATACTATCAAATGTAAGTGGCTCCTCGACTTCACAACAACTAGGACATGTAGGCAATAACATTCACATAAAAACACATAGTCTCTTAAATGAAACTGTTAAAAACAACATGATGTCAACATTCAAAGGTTCGGTTGACTCAGATGATAATGAGTCGGATTATGTAAATGTTAATGCTCCTGAAAATACAGAAGCAGAAAATTCTGATTCACAGTCACAGGATATAAAAGTGCAATATGTTTCGAGTAATGTAAATAGGCCAACACAATTAAGTGTAGATGATAATAATGATGATTATGTTAATCTTGAACAGTTTAGAGAAGCTGCTGGTATACCGTCAATAAATTCTTCAGAATCACATACTCCTCCGAGTCCAAAGGTATGTAGCTTTTGAATTTTATTTCTGATTTACTTTTTTCTATTCTAATAATAGACAGTTTCATATTGATGAGGATAGATAAGATTGTTAAAATATTTGAAAATTTAGCATGCCCCATGAATAATATTATCAAACTTCTTGATGGCAAATTAATTATTTTCCAAAGGTTATGGAGTAGTACTGCAGAATAATAAACTACTACATGTATTTCACTTTCTGGTATGAATTCTCAAATAAATATGATGATGTGCATGATATGGAAGGGTAATCACAACAGGATTTACCAGGGCGTTCGTTAGTAGGTGTTTGGGGGTAATTTTCTCCTAGAGTCTGCAAATATTTACCAGGGGTTAGTAGGAGTTTGGGGGTAATTTACTCCTAGAGTCAGCTAATATTTACCAGGGGTTAGTAGGAGTTTGGGGGTAATTTACTCCTAGAGTCAGCTAATATTTACCAGGGCGTCCGCTAGTAGGAGTTTGGGGGTAATTTTCTCCTAGAGTCTGCAAATATTTACCAGGGGTTAGTAGGAGTTTGGGGGTAATTTACTCCTAGAGTCAGCTAATATTTACCAGGGCGTCCGCTAGTAGGAGTTTGGGGGTAGTTTACTCCTAAAGCCAGCAAATATTTAGTAAATTTTACATTTGTGGCAGATTGTTTCTTCCATTAAGGTTTTTGGCTTTTATCATTGCATTCAGTTTACATCACATGCTTTATTAATATTGTGGAATTCAAAGACTTAACTTGTGCAACTTATTCAATATTCTTAACAATTCTGAATGGTTCCTTTAGGCTTTTATGTTATAAAACTATGAATCACATATTTTTATTGTTTGAATTCAAGGCACTTTAAAACCTTGCTTAGTTTAAATTTTAAAAAATCTGAAGATTACACTTTGTTATTTCTATCCCTTTTGAACTTCCATTGCAGGAAATGTTACTAAATATTATATATTGTTACTGTTTCAGTCCTTTGAGAGTGATTCATTGTTAATGAAGATTTGATTACTAACAGAACACCTACCATCATAGCCCATTGTTACTAGCATGATTAAATTCATATTTGTTTGAAATTAAATATGCCAATTTGAATACTTATTTCAGATTTCATGGATAAAGGTTTTATTTCAAAGAAAGGTAGAAACAATGGTTGTTGTACAAGCATGTTGTTTTAAATTTCTGTTTTATTTTCACAGGAACATAATTTTGTTGATAAACTTTAATTTCTTTTTACAAAATTGCATGAAGTTTAGTTTATACTGGGTTAATTGCATCACCTTGGTTGTTTGTAGATACAGTTTCAAGTTTGTAGTTTAGAAATTACATGTAGAACTTTCTGATTTCAATTTATCAGAAATGTTTTATTGTAAATTAATGAAATCGAGGTAAAGCTTTCCTTTTTGTAATGCTGTAAAACATTGAACAATATATATTCGCAATAGCATTTGCTGAATTCAAAGGGTTGGGGTTACATGTATATATTAATATTTTTGGATATTGGATGCCTAAAGTAGTGAAGATTACATTTATAAAGTTGTATCATGATGGTTTTGTTTGTAACACTTACATGTATATCTGTAAACAATACTGCAAAAACTAAAAACATTTCTGAGAAGGGAAGTAACTCCTCTGAGACATGTAAAAGAAAAGCTTTAACTGAATTCAAAAAATGTAAGTACGCAATCGCCACAGATGTTATGATGCAGCAATTTTCCTCAATTTTGTTGAAGGATGTGTTGAATATATGTTGTACTTAAAGCATGATTTTTTTTTGTTGCTACTCCAATTTTAAAGGGGCTCCACTGTGGTTTTAAATCCTGAAAACATAAAATTTTGAATTTTTACATCTTTATAGATAGATAACAAGGGCACTTATAACAAAAAAAAGTACATTAAAAGTAAATTGAAAATATTTTTTTGCTCGATTCTTGGTACATGTAATTTAATTTTTAGTTAGAAGTGTTTAAAATTTAAATGCTTTGGGTCATTTTGCACAATAAAAATGATTTTTCTGGGGAAAAAAACAGTCTTAAGTAAGCACATGATTTGAAATTTTGTACACATTACAAATATGTCATATTTAAATTTTTTTTACTGCATGGATGTGCATGGTACAAAGTCTAGATTTATTCCTGAATATGGTATATATAATTGATAATACTGCAGCTTGGTTTGTAGATACATGTAGCTATTGATGAAAGGTCAAGGCCTTTAAATGCATCATGGCAAGAAGTGTTACATGTACATGTATGATGCAGATTTATAATTTAGTGTTTTTTATTTTTATATGTTCAGTATTATTGCCTTACTCCAAGTTAATTATATTGTCATAGATAAAATGTGCAGGGAGTTGGTATGACCAAGTGGTTGGTTAAGTTCCACTGCAATATGTTACTGGCCACATGGCTACTTTTGTAATATATATTTTGCCTAGCTTTCTTTTACGGTCCAATTGGTGCTTAATACACTGTACGTACACTCATTGTCAGAACTTTAAAAAATGACCCAGCTTCTTATAAATTCAAACAATTTGAAACCCAATGTCATAACAAAAGTCATTACCAATATTTGTTTTATTCACTGGAAATCAAAAGTGATCAGCCTTTACCCATCAGTATAAAGCAAGGCAAACTTGCAAATTGGTGCACTCTGACTTGACTCTATACTATTGGTTGATAAATTTGTGTTGTTTTATGATTACATTGTGTATTGATATCCCTTAAAATTTTAATTGACTATTCCAAATTTAAATCAGGGCAAGTCCATTACTCAAATTCAGCAGGTTAAGGGTTAGTTATTGTTGAACTAAGGAAGAGGAAACTTGTATTGATGGGGGAAGCTGTAACATTGATTGTTATATCTACTGAGTATCAGTCTGTATGATAGTATAATATACATGTTGAGGGGAGTAAGTTTACACTTCATGAATGAAGTGGTTCAGTATAAAACATACTTTACATAGTGTTGTAAATACAGCTTTTTAACAGTAGTGATAACAGTTGTATTAATAGGGAGATACAAGTTTTGTTATCAGTATCTACTTGTGATATTTGTTTAAAGGGAAATTAATTACCAAGAGATATGAAAATGAAAGTACAGAATACAAATGTTACAGTATATTCACATTATCACCAAATACAGATAACATATAACTTATTGTGTGACCAAAATGATTTAGTATTATGTCATTAACATTAATAAATATGTCCTTATAAAACATAATTTGCTTCATGCTAAATTTTTCCTTAAATTATATAGTTACCATTTTCTCCTTCTTTCAATTTGGAACAGTTGTAAATTATAAGGGATGTTTTAATAGCTCATGGAGTGCACAGAGGGCTTTGTGTAATGATTTGTCTATAAATGTCAGTGTAGCCAGGTCAGACTCTATGTTGTCAACAAAATTACCTTTGTCAGCAATATCTCCTTTATGTCAGCAATGTTACTTTTGTCAACAATATCACCATTGCCAGCAACATTACCTTTCTCAACAACATTAACTTTGTCAGCAACATTACCATTGTCAGCAGCATTACCATTGCCAGCAGCATCACCTTTCTCAACAACATCAACTTTGTCAGCAACATCAACTTTGTCAGCAACATCACCATTGCCAGTTACATCACCTTTGTCAACAACATCAACTTGTCAGCAACATCCCTTTTGTAACAACATCACATTTGTCAGCAACATAACCTCTGTTAACAACATCATTTTTTACAGCAACATAATTAACCTGTGTCAGCAACATCAGGTTTCTCAACAACATCTCCTTTGTCAGCAACATAACCTCTGTTAACAACATCATTTTTGTCAGCAACATAATTAATCTTTGTCAGCCACATAAGGTTTGTCAACAACATCTCCTTTTTTAGCAACATAATGTTTATCGGCAACATAATCTTTCCTTACAATGTAACATTCGTTAGTCAGCAACATAAGAACATCAATAGCATTGAGCAGTGGCAGTTTAAGCTCGGCTTAAAAAACAATCAGAACAGCAAAAAATTGTAGAGAAGAATAGGGGAAAACAATACTTTGTTGTAAAACAATCTTACATGAGCAATTTACTAGTAATAATCAAGGTCAAAAGTTAAGCACTTAAAAATACAAAATGTAGGTGCCTGTATGTACAAATATATCATATATATATATATACGTCATTTCTTAATCACGATTTCATTGTTGGATTGAGTGTTTCTTGAAGAAGGACTATTTTGTATTGTCTTTATAGGGAGTTAGATTATTATTCAGTCAGGGAAGTTAATCCTTGTGATGCATGCCGAGTTAGATAGTGTTCAGGTTTCATAAAATTTTATATTCTTGTCTTTCTTTTTTAAAAAAAAAATTCTTATATTGGGTTCTTTATTTCTCAAATATTGTAAAATTTACATTAATCCGGGTATTTCAAGAAAGCGATACATGCTCGATTTCATTTTATGCCTTATTTAATGCTAAATCTATGTGTAACATAATCATCAAAAGATATTGTTGTTTTATGATAGTATATTGTATGTAAAAAAAAGTGGATATTTAATACTGAAAAATGTGGCCTGTAAAAATGAATGTAGGCTAAAAAGTTGAAATACATGTATCTAAGTTTATTATATGACTGACAAATAACCATGTGAAAACTAGCAATAATTCTTTTATAGAAAATATTTGTTTGTTTTTAGTGAATATGCTATAGATATGACATAGAGAAGTGAGAAAATTGCAGTGTTTTCAGGAGCATGTTCGAATGAAAATGTGGATATTTTCTCGTATAAAAGTAGTATAAGTAGCATATTCACTCAAAGTAAGCAAATTATCCTTTTATTTCATTCCTTAATGATAAAATACATTTTATTCCTTAATGATAAAATACATTTTATTCCTTAATAACAAAATACAGCAATTTATGTATATAAGGTTAAAGTTTATTAGTATATAATAATCGCTGACCAATTTAATTTTGTAAATATGTACTAATAAATTTTAACCAGCTTAGTGATTTCATTTTTTTTATAAAAAGTCGATTTACTAGATATCATAGATTACAGTTTGCGGATTTACCAAAGTAAATGTGTTACGATTCATTTGAAATACTGCAATCCTATTGGACAAAAATTAATTTCAAATTTAACTCTATGAAAAAATGTATATAATTTAAACTTGAAGTTATAGTTGTGGTAAAGCTGATGACTATTTTAATGAGGTTATAATATTTGAATCAAGAAATATGCCAAAAGATCAAATTGCAACAATTATTTTCATGTTAATTTACAAATTAACGGAATTCTACAACTGAAAATGTGCACTGAAAAAATGTTCCACAAAGCTGCATGTACATCAGTCACAGTGTGAGTGATATACTGTGAATTATATGAAATATAATATTTTATATGTAAATATGAATTTTATTTCACATAAAAAACCTTAGTTCTAACCTGTACATTTTTGTCTGTAAAACATCTCAATTTTTTGATGTCAAAATCTTTAACATAAGTAAGTCTCAAATTTAAAATAGAGCAAATTAATTTAAATAACATGAAATTTTAGAGTAAAGGTTACAGTGTGAAGTTTTGATGACCCAAAAATATATTCAGGGTTCTCGGGGACGCTTATTTCGGCGTCCCGGTACGCATGTTTATTACAGCTGGACGCAAATAGAGAACCCTGTATATATATAAAATTTCCTTTGTTTTTCTTAATCAAGTTAAGTCAGGAATACTTCCCCCTGCAATGTAGGTTCAAATAGCTTACGTTTTGGCAATTATACACAAGACTTCTGTCATAACCCCCCAAAGTTTTGACATGGCAACTTTGATTTGATCCAGTCCTTGAAATATACATTAAATGACATACAGTAATCTTTGAAGTATTTAGTACACTGTAATTTCTATTAATTGTATTGTTATTTAACCCTTATCATGTTAAATCTGTTTAAAAGATCTGCCTTGCTTTGAATAAAATTGAAAATATCCATTTAATATGATAGATTTTGATATCAATATATTAAAATATAGCAGGGAGTGAAAATTCAACTTGACTTTGATTGCGAGAGTTTAGTTTGCCTGCACATCCTTCAATGAGGATAAATTAATATTGTTGTCTAATTTGTTTATCAATTAGTTTTGAAAGAGGGAATACACAACAGTGTTTAAAAGAACATGATCTGTGTTTATGTACATGTATATAGAGTAGCTGCAGTATGAAGTATAATTATATGACTAACAATTTCCCCATGTTGCTTTTCATTGATATTGACCATGACTGTTGGTAATATTGACTTAAACAAACACATGTCATAAAGGCTTAAGCATGGTGATAAATTTAACTGTCTATCATTAGAAACCAATTGTTTATCAACAGGTTATAGAGACTACTAGACAACCAATCAAAAACAATTTTACATAAATATTACATAAAGCAAACTTGTAAATTACACATGTATTCAGATATTGTTCTTTCTGTCTAAAATATTACAATCTTTTGCATTCTTTGAAAGGGATACATTGTAATGCCAAAAACGGCAAGCCAACTTCTGACATTTTGTCGGTTAATTTATTTAGGGCTCAGATCAATATGCCTGAAGATTTCAGTGAATATCCAAGTCTCGGGACCTGACAAATGTGATATTCACTTTGGCTTTGCTGAATATATCACAATACACATTGGCCAGGGCCTGGGCCATAGACTGGGATATTGACCTCATTGTCCTACAATAATTGTATATGATAGATTTTAAGGTCTCTGACTTATCTCATTGAAGACATTATACAGAATCTCTGTAAGAGTATATAGATAAATAAAAGTAAAACAATTGTACTCTTATTACTTAATAATTATTTTCATGTATAGACAATGATATAAGAATTGTTATTAATACATACAAGTGAGCAGAAAATACTAATAACAAGTTGACAACATTAAATTTACATACTAGCTACAAGTATTGGTTGACTTGTCTGTTTATATTTAATATTTAAGGCATGCTAAATTCTAAATTTATTTTCTCTTAGACTCCTGAAGTTGAGAGTGACTATGCAAATCTACAAAGCTTGGAAATATCAGAACCCAACACCCCGGATATTGAGCATAGTGAGTTCCAGAAGACACTCTTAGACACCTGGGATGTGTACCGGGATCCAGCCAGTAATCGGCTATTTTATGTGAATAAATACAGTCAAGAAAAGCAGTGGAAACCTCCACGAGGACAGTACCATGAAGAACTTCATAAAAAGGTAAAAGTTCATGTACCATTTTGATTTGTGAACAACAGCATTGTTGTATAAACAGTTTTGCTTGGTACAGCTGTTAAGGCTTTGAGTAAATTGTATTTCATATGTTGAAGACAGGTTTAAAAGAAAGACTTAGCTTTTTCGAATATCTTCCTTGCAATATGGACAGCTTGTCTAACCAGTAACTTGTATATATAACACTTTGATTGCCAGTCTCGGCCTAAGGTTTGATTCAGAGGCTGGTCACAATTAGAAGATAACCTTAATATTGATTTTGGGGTAATTGAGACTAGTTCACAATGTTGTATGGCATACTTGTCTAATAGAAAAAAAGTTTCATTAGTCATAGGTTTGTGAAACATATTAGTTATAATACTATTATTATACATACATGTATTGTGTATTTATTTTTACAGAATATTCACACAAGTACATATATGTACATTATGTAATTGACAGGAAATGATGTGAGTGCATAAATGTCCTATGAACATACATTTGTTTTTCTAGTTATTACTTTTACGCATCTTTAACTTAAAAAATATTTTAAATAGTTAGCAAATAATGCCCTTAACGTAAACAAATTTCAATCCATCTCGGTGTCAGATCATGACATAAAAAATGATCTTTCTTCCTCGCATTATTGTCATTGTTAATTTTGTAAACAGAGAAGTAGATCATCTGGCGAGTATGAAGAAGTGATTTTAACTTCGTATGCTAATAACCGAGGTAACCGGAAAAGTCGCTCTCTTGACTACGGCAAACCTCATATTGTTATACAATCGGAAGTTCCCGATGGTTGGACATACAATGTGAAAGACACAGGGGAAGATGTGTTTATAAATAATGATACTAAACAAGAGGTTTGTGTGTAAGGTCTACATGTAGCTCTATAATGTAGAAGTTACAATAGCATGCAAGCATCTCATGTACAGTGAACACTTTTGCCTTGATATATGTCTCTAACTGACAGCTTAGGAGGTCTTCACAATTTTATAGAACATGTTTCAAATTCATCTGTGTTAGATACACTTAATTTACTTTTATATGATAAATTGTTGTTGAAACAATGGTTTCATGGGATTTCCATGGTTACAGAGATATTGATACATCTTTTGAAGTAAGCTTATAGGGTTATTTCATGTGACATCCTCATATATAGTTCTCATTATGAAAGTGTTACTCTCTAAATAAGCTAAGGGAGGTAATAACAAAAAAGCTTAAATGATTAAAAAATGAAGAGTTGTCTTTCATGTGATAAAAACTATGTTCCAGTGTAAAATAAAATTTGTTATTTATGTATTTCATAGTGAACTCTGGGTAAAAGTTAAATATGTAGTTTATGGACAGTGCAATAATTACAGATATGTATTTATTTGTTTGACATTTAGTAAAGAATTTCATGAAAAGAACAACGTGTTTCCATTGAGGTTTCATTCATAGTATTTTTGGTAAAACATGAAAGGGGCAACACAAAGGATGAATGCAATGAACAGTGCAAAATGTAAATAAATGTGGAACAGAGCTTAGTTATTAGATTTTGGAAAATTGGTGTGGAAGTTACTACTCTGTCACCCTTATATTATTAAAGTATAAAATTGCACAGATTGCTTTGCTTCATAGCTTTTAATTATATTCCCAATAAAAAAGAGTCTTTTCTTTATGCCATTGATAAAAACAATGTTGTTGTTTTTTTTTTATTTTGGTTCATTATTTATTGCCATGGCACTTTAATATTCTTCTGATGCAATAATGGATGAAGATATTTAATAACTTGGATATATTTCACTATAATAATTATTATAATTATCTTATATCTTAAGTATCATTGTATTAAAGGAACTTAATTGAGGTCCAAAAACATAAATACATTAGATTCAAATTTCTAACATGGAATGATTAAGGCATTTAAACCAGAAAGATATACAAAAGATAATAATGAGATATACGAAGAACTAAATTCAAAATCATATTCTTATGCTTTTCTTAGAAAAGCATTTATAAACACTGTTCAAATTTTCTGGTTGTTTTTCACAGTGGAAATAATCAATCTGGGAAAATGGATTGAGGTTTTGCACGTCCAAGCCCTCGTCAGAAAGTACACAAATCTCAGTGGAGTTCCTGTACACTATTTGGATATTATGGAATGGTGTTCTGAAGTTTTTCAAAATATTTTATGTTTTCGTTTCTGTCTTGTTTTAAAACTACTCTATCATGTTTTTATCCTGTATTTATTAAAGATGTTCTGTTTCTGTTATTCTGTTTCATCAAATTAACTAGTTCATATATCACTATTTTATCATGTTTATATTTATCATGTTATTATTCTGTTGTTGTTTTACTCTATTCTGTGTCATTTCTACCAAGTTATTATTACATTCTATCTTGTTTATATACTACAATGTTTCTAGTTATATCATTGAAACAGTCCTGTTTCTATTCTATGAGCGTTTTTATCATCAATTTAGATACAAAATGATTCAGTTAAGATACGTTTTCATATAAGTTATATAATAAAAGCAAAGATGTTGATGAATTATTAAATAAATCATACATGTATATGATTACATTGTACATGTGAAATAAAAAATGTATGTAATCAGATAGTTTGAATAAGATTTACTGATGATTTATTTATCTGCAACACTTCCTGATTTTACTGCGGTATTCAGATTGGGAGAATAATTACATGAATCATAATCATATATATTTATATTGATTTATATTGATTTATTCAAATTAATCTTTGATTTTTACCAGAGCATAGAAGGTACAACTGTGCTCTATAATAGTATAGGTATGATATTTATATGTAAAACACAGTGTCTCTACTAAAATGTTTATGAATAACTCAAATCTTAGCCAATATAGCCAATATGATATAGTTTTTGAAATTCTAATACTTGTAAAAGGTATTTTAATACTACTATTCCTTTATCAAAATAATTTATTTTCTGTAGTGAATATGAAAAATATTAATTTAAAATGTCAAAGTGGATAATGTCTTAAAAACTCTTATCAGAGATAGTGGATTTATACTTAGTTATTGATTTTGATAAGAAAAAATATTTGAAATGTTTTGTCTTTCAGTAATATAATTATAGATGTTCTTTATCCATTTGAAGAAAAAAATTATATTCCTATTTATTCTGTAAAATCATTTGATAGAACAATGCAAGGAAAGAATTTGTTATTGTTATAAGGGTTGTGTACCTCTTGAGTTAGTAATCTTGACAGAATTACATTAAATTATACAAACTATATATGTTTTTGCAGTGGTATCGAGCCCACGATACATATGGGCGGAGCTATTATTACAGACAGTCTCGAGATATTGTTCATAGCCAATGGCAACTGCCGGTTTGTATCATTATTAAAACAGTGCTCTTCTGGTATATTGGATCTTGTATAAGCAGTTTCTGACCAGGAAATATTCTATGGTCAAGTCTTAAATGTCTATACGAGGAACTTCTTTTTTTCTTGGGAAACGGTGTAAAATGGTAAAATGTTGCATGATTCAGGAACAAGTTCGGTCAAGTCGTTCCTCCATTTGTGTCGGAAAAGTATAATAAATGGTGTCAGATATTGGTCTGTTTCTAACTAAACATCTACAGAAAACTTTAGTTTGAACAAACACAATTATAGCACAATTATAGCAAATAACTTGTAATTTAATTCAAATATATTTTTTACAAAATTTATACAGTCATATTAATTTGGTGGTAGATTTTAAGAATAAATTCCAAGGAAAATGTATGTGTTTATACATAACACAGGTGGTAATTTTAAAACCATATCACCATCATGGACAGTTGTGTTTGATACAATGACTCAAAGTTTACTGTAGGAACATTTTCATTTTATATACTTGTGACTTGAAATGGAAGGAAGTAAGTTTATAAATTTTGTTACAAGTGACTCGTCAATTGTACATGTGTAGTTTGTGTATATGACGACTGTCTGAGTGACTGGTCAGTAGCTGGTCAGTAGCAGTTTACTGTGATATCAGATAATCTGTTGTGGTTTATATATGACTATGCATGGTGAGTCTTTCCCTTTCTTTTGCAATTTCAGCATTACTTACAGTTACTTGTGTTACTTTAATTATAATGTAAATTGACAAGTATATCAATTCTCTTCAGTAATAATTAAAGCACTATGTCAGCATGTACATGTATACTGTGACAGGGGGAAGTAAGTAGGTAGAGGGTGGCTAACAGAACATTGTAGTCTTTTCTCTTTAATGTTATGGGTAATTTGTTTAATTAAACCAGCCTTTATATTGTCACTGAAAATCAGAAAACCTTGGGGTAATAACATAGGTAAGGAGCCCCAGGGGAGGTAATTCATTGTACATTGTAATCAGCAAAGTGGGAGGGGTAATTTCACACCATTTACGAGAACAATGTCATTAGACTTGAGATTGAAGGCACATTAAGAAATTTGAAGTTGAATGAAAGCTGATTAATTATACATGGTGTATCAGAGTTAAGTGGTGGAGAATTGTAATATGATAACTGTGGAGTGATACTGTTAATGGAGTCTTTGTATATATGAAATTTAAAAATCATATATTCCTGGTTCTATATTTAGATATGGTTAACTTACTGTGATAAAAATGGGGCATGATTAAAATTGGTTTTCACTATTGTTCACTAACTAATGTTAAGAAATAACCTTAAAATAGAAATAACCTATAAAATTGTTTTTATAAAAAGAAACATATCTGTATATGACATAAAAAACCAATCAAGTCTCTAGTAAATATGAAAGGAAGGGGCATAGCTTGTACTTTCATGTAAGTAGGGGGAATTAAATACTCCCATTGGAATCCTACATGCAAATTTATTGCATTTTAGAGTATTTCAAGATCATAGGCCTGTATCTTTACAGATTGCTGGAAATATTCCAATTTAAGCATTTTGGTGGAAAAAAGTAAATAATAACATCCCAGGTTGGATAATATCAGTCACAGAAAGTCTAATGTGTATTACTGTTCAACGTCTGTTTTATTTTTGAGTTTGCATGTTCCTATCTTTACAAAGGGAGAAAAACAAGTTTCTTTCAAACTATTCTATGTATGAGTTGCCTCTCTTGAATTATTAGTCTGACATTTAAGAAGTGTTGTTCAAGATACAGTAGGACCTGTGTGCTAAGGCCAGTTATAGGAAAGCGGTCATTGTTGACAAAAATCTACTTGATTATATACATTTAAATAATTAAAATAGGGAGCTCAAAATGATGATTTTCAGGTTTTTCTACATGCTTTCAAAGACCATTCATGTATTACGAGGAGTGTTCATTTAAATTTAGAAATGTGATTCTTCAACCAGGTTATGAAGTGCAGTCATATCCTTTTTTATTTTAATCGTTTTAAGTATTCACCTTTAGCAGAATCAAATTTTTCTGGCCTAGAAATCCACTTGGTGAAGGCAGAAAAGTACGCTTCTTTGGGCACACACTGTAGACACTGGAAAATTGCACTATCTTAAAGTGACATTATGGTCATATTTTCATAGTCAAATTGAGCTGAATTGACTTGATATTTCAAAAGATTGACTGTTTAATTGATGTTGTACCAACTGTTTATATTGGAAAATGTTTAGGATAAAATTTAAAATCTAGCTAAAATATAAAAAGACTGCCCCACTCTTTAAATTCTAAAAATTCTAAATGATATTTACAGAAATTTCATTTGGATCAGGTCGCTATTTATTGTTTATTTGAAGTAATATATTAAATCCAAAGAAATTATGGCAAAATGAAAATTTATTTTGACTCTCACCAGTCCTGTTCACTCACTATGTACCATGAGATGGGCATACTGTCACTTTAAGCGCTTTCAGATATCAACATCCAGATAGAGCTTTCTTCAGTAAGGGAAACAAGAAAAATATCACAGGGACTAAGGACTATAGAATAATCAGAATGGAAAAATATGGCATTAAGAACTACAAAGATATGACAAAGTTGTTATCACAATTCCACATTTCAGGGGCACAAAAAAGCCTTCAATATGGCATTGCGTAAATCAGCCACCATAGATAAATGTATAGACTAAGGTAAATGTTTGTAATGAAAGCAAACTAGGCTAATTTACGGATGTATAGATGGACCAGGATATATATAGACATGGTACTATTAGCATGATGAGCAAGGAAGTTTTATTAGGACCAATGTCAGTGAGTCTTCATTAGAAAATTACGATTACTTAACTAGACAATGAATTTGATTTGAACAAGAGGTCAAGTTCTTTAAAGCTCTTCAAAATTAATTGTTGTTGTAAGTTTTTGTAAACGGTTTTATAACAATTGATAGATATGCACAAGTATATCCACGAAAATGAGATAGTAATTTAAAATAAGGGTTTAATTCCTTTTGATAACAAAGGAAATCAACGTAAAAGGAAATCAACTTAAAGTTGAATGCTGTCATACAGTTATGTTCTCGCGGAAAAAAATCATATAACTTGAAGGGTAAGATAAATAAATTGAGTTTAATATATGCTTCCCCTTTCCTTTTTGAAAACAGCTTACCACTTCTGTGAAAAAGACCCTTTTTCTTAAAATTGTCAAAATTATAAGATTAAATCTCATTGAGATTCAGTGAGATTACCGAGTAAAATGAAGAAGAGCTATTGACTTGAGTTGGCTCTTCTGCCCCTTACACGGAAATTAATGTTCTCTTAAATATCCTGTAACTCAATTTTTTAATTGTTTTTTATCATGAATATAATGCTCAAATGAAGATTTATCAATATTGTAAGTTCCAAAAAGCATTATTTGTAAAGATATTACCGAATTTACATCTCATGTAAATTAAGGGAGGTTATTAGAAATTATTTTCTTATAAGTCTAAGTCAAATTTTTCAATAAGAAATGAATGCATATATCTTAATGATTACATTATAATGTGGACAAATATTTGCAGTACATATTTTACATATTCTTCGATGTTTGAAAATTGTTTTAAAAGCATAATTATATACATATATAAAATTTCAGTGTTGTTACAACCTTAAGTATAACATACAGGGTCTTTAAATTGTTTATGAAATTTGTTTGTCGCTGATAAAGGGGATTTGAACTCTAAGCCTGCCTCGAAACTGTTTTTACCTGTGTGGCCAGTGCAGACCAGGATGAGCCCACACTGTTGAAACTAATGGTTAGGTCTGGCTATCATTTGTGTCATAGTCAGTTGTGTAAAAACTCAGGTTAGTTGTGACAGTAAGTTGTGGAGAAACTGGTTTTGAGCTCTGGTGGTCAATTTGGGAAAAACTGTTTTTGACTGCCAGTTCTTGCAGTTAATTAGGAAAAAACTGGTATTGAGTTCTGAGAGTCATTTTAGCCGAAAACTGTTTATTATTTCTGGCAGTCAATTTGGGCCAAAACTTATTAGTTGTAACAATTGTGTAACTGTTAAATTGTTCTGGTAGTTATTTTTGGAAATAAAGAGTTGGTTCTAATTACGAATTCAGGAAAGTTTATTAGGTAGTTGACTGGGATATTGTTTAAACTCAACAAAAGAAATAATTGTGTATGACATGAATATAGGCAGACATATTGTATATTGAGGATTATTTTGATAAATATTAGAGGTTACGCTATATGCAATTGTTTGAAGTGTCTTACTTCCTTTCCCATCTCTTTCCCAAGCTTTTCTTACAGCCTGAGTACTTAACAAAATGTGTTTTAAGATGGCTATATAAGGGGGCACACATCTTCGTAATTTTATGAACAATATTTTTCCCCCGTTATTAACAGCATAAGGATGTTACTATCTGAATTTACATGCAGACAGTGTTAATTATAAGTTATCAGGGTTGAATTATTTTGTTTTCTTAAAGTCTTCCTCTGAGTTTGTGGTCAGTGTATAAAGTGACTTTGTTGAATATAATCAGCTAGGTGATTACATGGTTTGAATTTGAAATGAGATGTATCTAGTAATTGTGGTCAGTTAGTGCTCCAATTAGGGTAAATCGTTAATAATCGTGTTCATCTTAAATTGTCAGTTATTTTTGGTGTAGAGGAAGGACGGGTGACAAGGTTCAGTGTTGTTGTTGTGATAAAACTTTTAATACATTTCTGGGAAAAAAATATTAAAAAAGAAATGGGTGGAGGCATATTGAAGTGATGTTGAGATTAGTAATTTAAAGATTATTTGATTTTATAATATGCAGAGATAAATTACTTTTTTGACACAGCTGTGCTTTATTGATTTAATATAACACTGGAGGCAGGTCTATATAAAGATGTTCCGATAATCAGATGTTTATTTTCTTGATGTTAGTTTGGTAAAGTCATCTTGGATTGTGGTTTATTTTTTCTCAGAAAGTTTTGGGAAATTTGCACTTTGTGTTATCTTTGAAGGAATTTTTGTATTATGTTTTTCTATTCTCACATAAATAAAGGAAATTATAGAAAGTAAATATATTGTAACATAGACAAAAAAAAATTGTTGTGTTAATAAAAATAAGGTTGAAAAAGAGACATATTGGTTGTTTTGGGATTATACCGGAGATAATTGTCATAATGGCACAGTCAAGGGTTGTTGTAGCTTTGCCTAAGTCTCAAATACCATGGATACATGTTGACTTGGCTGAGTTAAGGTTAGTGCAAAGTAGGCTGCAGAGCAAGGACTCATATACATGTAGGGATGACAATGATGGATCTGATAGAGATGAAAGCTCTGATAGCAGTAGTGATGATCAGTATGATGAAGAGGTAGGAAGACTTGTTATGGTATTAAAATTACTTTTTAAAGGTGGGTGGTGAGTTGGACCAATGGTGTGGTGGCGACATATTAGATCTAAACAAAGTTAACTGTGTGAAAGATTGCCTCATGATATGTTTAACACATAGCCTGTTAAGCGTCAACAGATTCTACTCCTTATGTGACTAGTGCAAACCAAGATCAGAATTTGCACATCCGTGATTTATTTAGGGCGTTAATTTATATTTTGACAATAAAACCCTTATAACGAAACCCATTAGTTGAATGATTCAATAATTATGACTTTACCCTTTCTTGACCCTATCAGTCAAAGTCTAATATCAGTAATTATAATTTTGACAATAAACCCTTATACGAAACCCATTAGTTGAATGATTCAATAATTTCATAAAGAGAAACAGCATGTTTGGACAATCAGAAATTCTCACTTTTTCATTTAAGGACAAAAATATTCATCCCCCCCCACCATCCCCCCGCCCTTAAGAAAATTCTATGTTTGGGTTTCTCACTTCAATGAGTTGGCTCTTCACTTTATTCCATATTAAATAAGGAATTTTAAAAACAATTTGAGGAAGAGAAATTCTTGACTGACTTTTTGTCCCATGCAGATTACAATATTGAATAAGTCATGTGGTAGTGAGAAAGGAAGGGAATTGGATATCACATTGAATATATGATCAATTTTGAGGTCACATGTTTTCAGGGTGTATATAGGTCGTGATTAAACAATTATTGTATTAATTTGAAAGTATTAGATGCTTTGATAATCTATATGTTCCTGTTATTATGTATATATTTAAAATAGAAATAAACATAGAGAAAAAAAGATTTGTGGTTTTTGACATGAAAATAAATGTTACTGAACATTTTAAAGAAATTTCTTTCATAAAAAGTTGTAAAAAAATAGATGAACATATAAAAAACACTTAAGGTTGCTGATGCCACATCTATTTATAAAAGGAAAGCTAGCCTACAATTTTATGCTTAGTCTAACCACGAGACACACTAATATTGTCAGATGCTGAGATCCCTTTGTATAACTGGGACAGCAGAAATAGTTGGTTTACCATGACAGTAACTAGTGCAGATGATTCAATGTCTGCCACCATCATCACTCAGACATTATAAAGACTACCTTTAATATCACAACCCCGAAACTGCAGGAGCCCGAAATGAGCAGCCTTTGATACCAGTTATGAGTCAGACCAACCCCACACATCAGTGCTGAATCAACATTGGCTTTCTGTGGCAAAGTGGTTAAGGCAGCTGACTTCAAATCACTTGTCCATCACGGTTATCAGCAGGTTTGAATCCCCCTTGGGGCCTTTGGATTCTCTTTGTGGAAGGTATCCAGCTAGCTAATGAAAGGTCAGTGGTTCTACTCGGTATCTGCTTGTGCCTGAAATAATACAAAAAGTCCCACCTGAGATCTTTCTCTAGCAGTATAAAGCTTGAAAATCACATATGCAGGGTGAGGTAATAGACTGTTCCAACCAAAACAACCTATTTGGTCAAGGGGGATATTTTAAACAAGTAGGCTGTAAATATAAGTGATTTCAGCGTTTCAGCGTTTCAACTGATGATTATGGATCGCCATTCTGTTAATAATGAAAACCCTGCTTATGACATTGTCAATGTGTCTTAAAAATCTAACAAAACGAACAAAGAAATAATAGTAATACTGTCGATAGCTCAGTTTTTGTATTTTGATATTGAAATCCCTTTAATTTTGAATGAACTGTCCCAAGTTTGATGCAGGGCAAATCCATTACATAAATATAGTAGGTTAACTTAGCTGCTATAAGACAATCATAGCAGCATGGAAAGAATGTCACAACACTAGATTGGTTGTTCCTGTATGTTGTTTTGAGTAATATTTCATATCATGAATCAATAAAGTAATCTATGTAATAATTATGAATCAATAATAGTGTTGAGCTCAGCATACAGTATAAATTAATAATATATAAATCTATGTTATGACGTATAAGTAAATGTTTATCTTATGGAGAATTTATAATGTAGATTCCTAATTAGGTTAATTAATATTCAGGAAGTGGTATTTAATATTGTCAGTGAGTCAACCATGTTCCATGTCTAAACTATGTTCCTGCTCTAATCATTGTGATTGAAGCCTTTGCCACGAGTGTAGAGCCCCGGGCCAGCCTTCACATCAATGCACTGTTTGCAGTCTGATCAGACGCTGTTGGCAGCTCGAAAATTTGAATTGTGAATTTGAAATCCCATAGCCTTTGAATGAACTGTCTTCTAAATTGAAAACTGGGCAAAATCATTACTCAGATTCAGCATGTGCAGGCTGGTTTGTCTCTATAATTGTGACAGGTTTGTAATTTTAATGGTCAAGGTGTCAAAGACTATGATATATTGTATTGTAAAACCATGCACTTTTTAAATTCTTATACATGTTTTTTTAAATCAGTGTGTATATAATTGTTATGCACTTCTTCACATGTCTAGTTGATATTTTATTTAGATCTGACATATAAACAAACAAGTATAATTATGAAGTGTTGTTGCACAGCCTCTTATTATATTATAAGATTTGTTGAGTGGATTTGATGCCATTACTTGAAATACTTCTTTGGATGTGGTTTTGTCAAGGAAAAACATCAGATTTGAATAACTCAATTAGGTGAACTCTGCTCTTTATGTTTATATCAAAGTGTTTACAAAATACCATATATTTATGTCGCTTTCATTAGATAATCATATTAACTTGTGTGTTGATGTAAACAAATTTTTGTAGCAAAGGAAAGATTCCACATTAAGTTTTTTGTGAAGCAAAATTTAAGTGACAAACAGCAAAATTAAAGCCTGAGGTAAAAAATATTTGATGCAGTTAAATTTATATACAACCTGTATGCAGTAAAAATTAAACAACAAACTGACTCAAAAAATATGATTATGCAAAATGCCATCGTGTTATCTTTTAACAAGTCTGTAACTGTTCTTGAGACACGTGTATGCATGTAAAGTAGATATTAGATAAACAAACCCATAACCTTGATTGGAAGATGTAAAGCTATATAACACTGTAAAGGCAAGCCAGGCCACATTGTATGAATGCAAGGCTCTTCTATTGGCAGTTTGGCAGCTCAAAGTTTTTGGATATTGCAATCCCTTAAACCTTGACTGTTGCAGAGTAAATTCATTATGTACATTCAGCAGCAGATTAAGGTATAAGAATGTATATCTCTGTCACTGAACATATATAATTATGTATTATGTAATGCAGCAAAATACTTTGAGCAAATTATGTTAAATTTGAAATATTAGATATTAAAATTAAGTTTGTGTTATGATTGTTTCAAAACATTACTTAGGACATGCACATTCTTTGAAGATATGTCAGCAGATTTTGATAATTATTCAGGTATTATGGTAATTAATATATTGCCATCTTCAGTGTTTATTTTTGTAATGGAGTTAATCATCATTTGCTTTATGTTTTGTCATGCTTGAAAAAACATGTAGTAATGACCAATTGTCTACCATGATTTAAAGCTAATGATAATTACTTTTTCTTTCAGATCAGTACCGAGTGTTATAAATTTTGAAGATCACAATTTATGGACAAACTTTTAATTATTGAAAACAAACAATGCATCTTCTGTCTTTTTCAGAGGAGTGGTAACAACAGTCCAACGAAGTCACCCCCTGCCGACAGTGAAAATAAATCCGAGTTTCCTGTTGCACCAAGTGGCCTGGTGCAGGGTCCACGGCCTGGGGACAGGTCTCAGGTATCTGACAGATTTGCAAAATCTCGCTCTGTCATGATAGAAAATTTGCATTTCAATGCTCCGCCCGTCAACACAGGACCGCCTCCTCCAAAATCGGCAACTTTGCCACCAAATTTCACGGCACCTATACCTGAAGATCTTGTAAGTTTTATTATCAGTAGCCAAGTCTGTATAGTACAAATGTATCACCTAATCCCTGGGGAAAGTCTTTCTTAAAGTGTGTAGCATCTAGCAGTTTGTAGAAATTTTAGGTTTTCAAAACTTTTTTTTCTTTATGGCTAATATTATATTCATCAAGCAAACCTTTGTTTCCAGCATTAATGCCCTGCTGGTATGCTCATCAGAATATGATTACTTTCATATAAAAGATCCCCTTCAATTAAATTTCCTGTAAATTAAGTTAATTGATAGTATAATCATTCTAAGAGGATATTATGTAAGAAATTACATTCCTCATACATCTCTTGATACTAAAATTTGTATAAAAAGTATTAAATTTTACTTTGAATTTGTAATAGTTTTCAGTTAATTGTAAATGTAACAAATCTTGATATCATATAATATTAAAACCAAGCAATATTGTGCCTCATCAGACAACATGATTGTGCAGTCTAGTCCCAGGCTTTACTGAATGTCTTACTGCTATTACTCTGCCCTCTTTTACGCTTAAATCTTCTGGATTTATGTAATTTATATAATGGATTTGTCTGTTAATTCCACTGCTGTGAATTTGGAACAGTTCATTCATAGTTTCAGGGATTTCAATATCAAAATATAACAAAAAGAGCATCTAGCAGTAAATAACCTGGTCAGACTGTGTATAATATATATTCAGACTGGACTTGCCCTATACTGATGGCAAAGGCTGATCACTTTTGTTTGTTTTGATCTGTTTAGGTTCTTAAAAAGGTTAAGTGTTAATTAGGTAATATACCTGGTACTCAAAATGAGAAAATTGTTACTAACTACCATCAATGGCCTTCATGTACATGATATGAAATATTTGGTCAGGTTATAATGTCCAGGTAATAATAATAAATTAATAACTGCACACTGTAAGAAAGAGTTTCACATGTATTTTGTAGTCTGCATAATAAAACACCTTTCATCTTTCCATTACACCTTTTATATTAAATAGATTATTTTATCCCTTTATATAGATATAATATATTCACCTTGCCACTTTTATATAACCTCTTTAACAGAAAACATAAGGGAATAGGTTTGTTTAGGAAAGGTGGGGTTAAGCTCAAGTTACAATTACCGTAATAGAGGTTAATTGGGGGAAAATAAGTAGTGACGTAATGGCAAAATAGTGAATTTTGAAAAAAAAAATTGACCCCATCTTTTGACAAAAATAGGGATTTTTTTTTTGCATTTAGATGAATGCAATTAAATTTGTGCTGTGAGATTTGTTTCAGGAAAATAAGAGGCAGTTCTGTAAGAGATTTGCTTTTGTTTGGCTAAGTTTGGCATACAACTTTCTTCTTCAAATCTTTCTCCCTGTAATAGGGGCTTTGACATTAGGTTGTAGTACTTACATTGGTGATTGCTTTTGGTTCATTTTTTGAAAATCTTTATAATGTTTGGGGGGAAAATTATTTATTTGAAAATTTTAATCCTCCGTATTGCTATATATAATGGGACAGTTTATCGGGGGTGGGGGTGTTTGATAGAGAATAATGCATTATTTGATATTAAAACATGTCAAGTAAAGATAAAAGGAAGTAGATAAAAAGAACTTATGGTATATGATAACAAGAATGGTACCGGGAGGTAGGGGATGTTCCGAATTTTAAAGAAGTTTACGAAGTTTAAGTTTACATATCAAATCTAAAATGAGAAGAGAGATACATAAACTTACTGAAATTGTTTATCTGGAAAGATAAGTCTTCATTTCAAAAGTAGAATTGAAAATAACATGGCTGAAAGAAGAAATGGTTAGAAAAAGAAAGATTTTTAAGTAAAATTAAACTTTCATACAGTGCCTTCAGAATACATTTCTGTAGTAAGGGACTTCTCACAGGAACCCAAATATCAATACACAGGAATTTTTTAGACTGTGCATTGTCAATTTAGGTATGACTTTAAGTGTGATTTCTACCAACTAGTTCTTTCTGCCACCTAGCAACCAGAATTATCTGTGCCTAGCAACTTGCAAATTCTGACTGTGTGAAATCTGAATGTCCTTGTCTGAACTAGCAAGTCTTAGAGCATGTCAACCAGCATGTACTGCACATCTCACCACAACCTTTCATTGATTACCTTAGTTTGACACCCAAAATTAGTGAAATCATTTTAAGCACACTTACCATTAAACATACACTGATTGAATGAAAATAATCCCATTGTTGAATCCATGCAATATTATGTTGAGTGATGTTTATTTTGTTGGGTGGTTTCTTTTCATCCTAATTTATTTATATATTAAGAATTTGTTTCTGCCATATTAGAACAGTATTTTCTTTAGATTTGTTATAATTTGGCATTGTTTACTTTACTGAAAATGGGATAAAGTACAGATTTAGATAAAATAAAAACTTGTTTTTGGTATGGAAACTTACAAGTATTTGAATTAAAAACAAGAAGAGATCAGCACATCTATGAATCTTTTACTTTGTCATTATTAGCTCACCTGTCACAAAGTGACAGGGTGAGCTTTTGTGATCGCTTTTCGTCCGGCGTCCGTCCGTCGTCCGGGCGTCGTCCGTCCGTAAACTTTCACTTTAAATGACATCTCCTCATAAACCACTAAGCCAATTTCATCCAACAGGAATGTCCCTTTGGTGGTCACCTTTAAAAATTGTTCAAAGAATTTAATTCCATGCAGAACTCTGGTTGCCATGGCAACCGAAAGAAAAAACTTTAAATATCTTCTTTTAAAAAACCCAAAGAGCTAGAGCTAAGATATTTGGCATGAAGCATCTTCCAGTGAGTGTCTACCAAGTTTGTTCAAATAAAAGCCCTGGGGTCAAAATTGGTCCCGCCCCAGGGGGTCATTGATTTTCCCTATATGCATATAGTAAAAACTTAAAAAATCTTCTTTTAAAGAACCCAAAGAGCTAGAGCTAAGATATTTAGCATGAAATATCTTCTAATGAGTGACTACCAAGTTTGTTCAAATAAAAGCCCTGGGGTCAAAATTGGCCCCGTCCCAGGGGGTCATTGATTTTCCCTATATGCATATAGTAAAAACTTAAAAAATCTTCTTTTAAAGAACTCAAAGAGCTAGAGCTAAGATATTTAGCATGAAACGTGTTCTAATGGGTGTCTACCAAGGTTGTTCAAAAAAATGCCCTGGGGTCAAAATTGGCCCCGCCCCAGGGGTCATTGATTTTCCTTATATGTGTATAGCAAAAACTTCAAAAATCTTCTATGAAAAAACCCAAATAGCTAGAGTTTAGATATTAAGCATGAAACATTTTCTAGTGAGTGTCTACAAAGTTTGTTCAAATAAAAGCCCTGGGGTCAAAATTGGCCCCGCCCCGGTGTCATTGATTTTCCTTATATGTGTATAGTAAGAACATAAAAAATCTTCTTTAAAAAACCCCAATGAGCTAGAGCTTAGATATTTAGCATGAAACATCTTCTTATTGGTGTCTACCAAGTTGTTTCAAATAAAATCCCTTGGGTTAAAATTGGCCTGCCGGAGGGGGGGGGGGGGGGCAGGTCATTGTTTTCATTATATGTGTGTAGTAAAAACTAAACATCATGAAACATCTTCTAATGGGGTGTCTTCCAAGTTTGTTCAAATAAAAGCCCTGGGGTTTAAAAACTGGCCCCACTCCGGGGGCCTCTATACAGGTGAGCGACCTCAGGACCATCATGGCCCCTCTTGTTTTTATACATTCGGAAAAAAAAAATTAAAAAGAACAAAAATATCACTACAGTCCTATACCAAAGGCATGGTAATGGAAAAAAAAATGTTTACTGAAAAATTGAATGATATATTACAAACTCAGGCTTTTCAGTTCTTTATTTAATTTCAAGACATATACATGCATCTCTTCTTTAATTACAAATGTATCATACATTTTGTCACCTCATGTCAAAGTTTGTGTATTAGCTTCCTAGTTTTATTTAGCACCGGGCAATTTATAATGCATATGTTTATGCACAAGCACATTAAGTTTATGGACAAGTACACTGTACACTAAGTTTATGGACAAGTACACTGTAGCGTAAGTTTATGGACAAGTACAATGTACACTAAGGTTATGGACAAGTACACTGTAGAGTAAGTTAATGGACAAGTACAATGTATACTTAGGTTATGGACAAGTTCATTGTACACTAAGAATGGACAAGTGCACTGTACATAAAGTTTATTGACATGTGCACTGTACACAAGTTTATGGACACGTACACTGTACACTAAGTGTATGGACAAGTACAATGTACACTAAGTTTATGGACATGTACAATATAAACTAAGTTTATGGACATGTGCACTGTACAGTAAGTTTATGGACAAGTACAATGTACACTAAGTTTATGGACAAGTACACTGTATACCAAATTTATGGACAAGTACACTATGCAGTAAGTTTACAGACATGTACAAGTCACACTAAGTTTATGGACAACTACACTGTACACAAAGTTTATGGACAACTACACTGTACACTAAGTTTATAGACAAGTACACTGTTTACTAAGTTTATGGATTACTACATTGTATACTTAGTTTATGGACAAGTCCACTGTACACTAAGTTTATGGACAAGTCCACTGTACACTAAGTTTATGGACAACTACACTGAACACTAAGTATATGGACAAGTCCACTGTACACTAAGTTTATGGACAACTACACTGAACACTAAGTTTATGGACAAGTCCACTGTACACTAAGTTTATGGACAACTACACTGAACACTAAGTTTATGGACAACTACACTGTACACTAAGTTTATTTACAAGTACACTGTACACTAAGTTTATGGACAAGTACACTGTACACTAAGTTTATGGACAACTACACTGTACACTAAGTTCATGGACAAGTACACTGTACAGTAAGTTTATGGAGAGGTACACTGTACAGTAAGTTTATGGACAAGATTTTGTACACTACGAGTATGGACAACTTCACTGTACAATAAGTTTATAAACAACAGAATTTATGGACAGTAAGGTTTATTGAAAAAAATGATTTAGTTTATGGACAAGAAAATGACACTTGAACAAACAATAGCGTTATTAACATGACTACTAGTGTAAGATTTACCAGCAAGAACAAAAATTTTATAAAGAAAGACTAAATGTATGTTTTACTGACAGTGACAAAAGGGTTATGAACAAGACTTTTTAGATTAACTGGCAAGAACAAATAGTTCATAATCAGTCTTTAAGATTTACTGGCAAATTAAGAAGACTGTAAGATTTACTGGCATGAACAAAATGTTCATGAACAAGACTACTGGTCAATATTAGGGTTATGAACAAGTCAAGATTTACTGGCAATGACAAAATGTTTATAAACAAGTCAGTTGACTTTAAGATTTTTCTGAAAATACAAAAAGTTTCAGGCCATACATTCATATATTGACAATTACTTGAAGTATTGTTACTCAATCAGGACCAAAAATTACTAGTTCAAGTCAGCTACTAATACCTGTATATTGCAAAAATCAAATTATGAAATATGTATAAAACAGTTTGGCTCAAAGGGAGGCTAAACTAGCAGCCATCAATTAAACCAGCTTGTGAATAATAATGCATTCTTGGACTTCATTATATTACATTCTGGCCAAGATTTATTGTTTAATTAAGACAAGATTTTGAAGTTGAGGTGACAATATGTTTGAAGGTATACTAACTTATATACATTAATGATAATCTTTATTTACTAATCAGACTGCTCAGTATATAACCTGTAAGCAAATATAGCATTTTGTGTATAACATTTATTCTAGTCTGTAGAAGGCGTGGTTACAGGCCACTCCCACTTCCATACAGGCCACTCCCAACTCCATCATGACAATCATCACCCGCAGGCCGTATTTCAAACTGTTAATATTAACGTAAGTCTCTTCTTTCTTTTTTCTCACAAGTTTTTCACGTTCTTACAATTTGTTGGGTTTATGTTGGTATGATGGGGTGAGGTTTAACTAACATTTTTAGCTCGACTATTCGATTAGAATAAGTAGAGCTATTGCAGTCACCCGAGCGTCGGCGTAACCACTTATGTTTAAGTTTTTGTAATAGTTCAAATATTTTCAAAGTCCATTGACATATGGCTTTGAAACTTTGCACACTTGTTCACCATCATGACCCCAACTTGTAGACAAGAGGAGGTAACTCTATCAAGCATTTTGACAGAATTATGCCCCTTTTTCGACTTAGAATTTACGTTAAAGTTTTTGTAATAGTTCAAATATTTTCAAAGTCCATTGACATATGGCTTTGAAACTTTGCACACTTGTTCAACATCATGACCCCAACCTGTAAACAGGAGGAGGTAACTCTTTCAAGCATTTTGACAGAATTATGCCCCTTTTTCGACTTAGAATTTACGTTAAAGTTTTTGTAATAGTTCAAATATTTTCAAAGTCCATTGACATATGGCTTTGAAACTTTGCACACTTGTTCACCATCATGACATCAACCTGTAAACAGGAGGAGGTAACTGTATCAAGCATTTTTTTTACTATCAAGCACTAAGAATAGTCGAGCGTTGCTGTCCTACCGACAGCTCTTGTTAGGGGGTGTTGTTGTTTTTTTCCATAGCTGATTTAGGCTGATTTTAACTGTAATATTCCCTAACAACTTATTCATAAGATACTCAGATTTTATTGATAAGTTAATATCCTAATCTAGATTTAAATGTAATAAAAAAAAAGTTTTGGACAAATAGGTAGAACGATATTGCAGAGACATAGTAATTTTCAAAATGAGCTAATTTGCTTTTATGGAAATGATTTGATGTGGTGTATTGATTTTGTTTAACGCTTGGGATATGTATACAAACAAATCAGCACTGGAAATGAGCATGCTAATAATATAAAACTTGAATTTAATACATAATAAGAATGTGTGCATTAGAGCTTGCCTCAGTATCATGTATTATGTTTACATCAGATTTTATGATAACACTTTTGTTAATGGTTTTTAGATTTAGATTATTTATTGTAATTTGTTTGCAGTGACAGCAGACTAGCTTATTTGAGTCATCTTCCTGTATAAACCAGTACTGGTTGTATCAGGGAACCATGGTTACTAGGCAACAGTACTGAGGGCTAAGAATTATAAGCCCTTAGTTTAGCAGCTGAATCCTGAACTACTTATGATGCCATTTAGTTCCCTTTTTATTACCTTGATATATACCTAATGTACTTTCCCTGGCTTTGCCGCCCCATTTGGGTTAAGTTATTGCCATTGGTATCTTAAAAACTAATAAAGGGAACAGGTTGAAAGTTCACAACACTGTTCTCATAATGGGCACAGGTCAAATAACTCTTGAGTAAACTTTTTGCAGAGTTTTGTTCCTTTTCTAACTATCAAGCACTGAATATATTTGAGCGCATTCACGGTCTTATGGCTAGCTCTTGTTTGATGTGAAGTGTGAATTAGATTCATCAATCAAAATAGACCGCTTGTAATTGAAATTTGTTTATTAATTACATTATACACTAAGTGTTCTGTACATGTGTTAAATTGATGTTTATTTTCCTTGTACTTTTTTGCTGACAAGAGTGTCACACTTAACCCATACCCTACTGAATTGGTGTAGTGGACTCACCCTGCTTTGAGTTTGAAACAATCCATTAGTAGTTAAGGGGTTTCAGGGTATGATTATTGAAATACAGCAGTCTACAATAAAGTCAGAACATTTTTAAAAAAATGAGCATTCTGACTTGGTTTTATAATTATTGTGGCAAAGGTGCATTATTACGGCAACCGGTTCGTGCTCAATGTGTTTTAACCATCACCACACCACACTTTAAGCCTTAAATAGAATTGTCCATCTTTAAATCTGGACAAAACCATTTATAATTTTTGTGAAAAGTTTTGAAATATGTACATTGTATATGACTGAATAGTGAACATTGTAGACCATTATTAGACGGTACCTGTATGAAATTTTACTCCTGTAATTTTGCCTAAAATACACTTGTTTTTCTGTTAAAAATTACAGCTGTATTTTTCTTCAGTTTTGATAAACATATAGCAAATTACACCTGTTTTTTCAAAAATACACCTGTTTTACACCTGTACTATGAACGAAATATGTAAATTAACTGTTTTTTTTCTACGGGTCGAAAATACAGTTGTACTGTTTTACAACTGTTTAAAATACAGGTGTAAAATTTTACAGGTCTAAAAATACAGGTGTAAAATTTTACAGGTCTAAAAATACAGGTGTAAAATTTTCAGCTCAAAAATACAGATGTAAAAATTTACAGGTCAAAAATAAAATACAGGTGCCTGGAAAGTGCCAGCTGATCTTGGTCCGCACTGTTTAGATCCAGTCACCCCCAACAGGCTTTGTATATGACAATGTAAGAAGAGGACCTTGACATTTATCTCATAATTACATTATTATGTAATTGCAAATCAAATTAACTGTTATAGGATATGCTCTGAATTAATGATTACTCATTAATATACATATGCCCTTTTATCTAAAAGGTCAAATTGGAATCTATTACAGTCATGATTATTACTCCTTAACATCCTTCAGCAAGACATTTATTAAAATGTTGTGTGTGAGTTTAATTTCACTCTTATTTTATTGTTTTTGCTGGTCACTTCACATTTTTAACATGAGAACTTTTTGCACAATGTATGTTTTTTGGTCTGAAAATAGTCCCTAACAAAATAATCAAATACCGGTATCATAATTAGAAATTACTAATGCTAAATATAGAAAATGACTATGTAAAGCTACAGGAGATATACATGTACAAGTCTGTACATGTTTACAGCACTGATCAGGATTTATGTTATTTTATCAAATGTAATATCATATGATGTCTTAAAATGACAGATTCAGTCTCTTTATAAATAGACATTTCTAATGTTCATCATGACAAAATCATATGATATTGATAGGATTTATTTAAAGAGACAGTACCAGCTGGTGTTTATATAGAATTTACAGTATGTATGAATGATAGTTCCTCCCTCCTATAGTGACCTATCTGATAAAAAGTTCACATATCTCATGTTTGTGTGATTCACATACATAAGTACAATGTATATCAAGATTTAGGAGTGTCTAACCTTTAGCCTGCTGAATTACCCAAATGGACTTGTCCGGGGTACCTTTTTGACCTGTCCATTATCAATTTTAGTGTTATTCAGATAAAAAATTTGTGAAGGTGTTCAGACGCCAGTTACTGTCTGATCATACTGAATGGATTTGTAGGCTGGCTTCTGGCACTAAACGGATCTCACAAAGATTAATCACTTTTGGTTCTAGTAGGTTAAGGATTTTAAAGTTGTTCCAATGACAATATTTTATATTGACTGTTCCGACTCTACGGATGTACAGGCAGACCATGGCTCTATAATGGATCAAAGCCTCAGCTGCTTCCAATGCATGAATGTAATATTTTGATAAGACTTGTTACTATTTATATGTAAAATTATAACAACGTAAATGAATTTAGCTTTATCTATAGTGAAATGACAATTAAAATGATCTAAGAATATATGTTGAAACAATAAAAATCTGTATAGAAAAGAAAATCTCTAAGATAAGAAACCAAAATAATATTAATATTATTTTATGATAATGTTTATTGTATTTTGAAGGCATGAATTATTGTGATGATATGTATTTAATTTTATATTTCTGTTTTCAGGAACCTATAGAAGGCTTCTTGAATAAATGTAAATTTATAAATGGCAAGAAACCATCGTAAGTCTGTGATTCACATTTTTTTCTTATTCATTTATAAATAGTCCCCTTGTGGCTGAGGAGTTACGTTTAATTTAAGGGATGAGGCATAAGAATTACAGCCAATGTTTATCCCTGCGTTATCGTAAGAGGCTACTAAAGGGTTTGATTAACTGGAGTCAAAGCTTCTCTTAGCGCCAGCAGGTGAGGTGGTTTTGACCCCTGGTGTTGCTTTGAAGTTTGTAACACCCGAGGTTAGCAAAAATCATCTTTCCTGTTTCAGAGCCATTATAACCAATACTGTTTTGGTACATCGTAAAAAAAACCCAAATAAACCAATTTATAAATATTAAAATAAATGAGTTACGTAAATAAGTACATAGGATTTTAAATGAGCTGCAATTTTGTACAGACTTGCTTGTCAAGGAAATTTTCTGGAACAAGTTTAATGTAAAACTGTATAAATAAATAAACACATTGCCTGTCAGTCACAGAAAGCTAAAGAATATATTATTATTTATAATACATCTACAGAAAAAAGTGGGCCATGACATATGTGAAGCTCGGAGGCTCTAACCTAGTATTCTACAAAGACCAGAAATCCTCTCAACCTAAAGCAGGAGCACCTCATGGGAAATATGACCAGCTTGTTACCTTGGCAACGTGTACAGTTGATAAAGATACAGAAAAATACACCAGCAAGAAAAATACCATTGGGGTGAGTACAAATTTTGTTATGTTATCTGACAGGAAAGCAAAGTTAGTTTTGTTGAAATTTAACTGGGAAATGTTTTTTTAAATGTACATACTGGTAATTAAATTTTGTTGCAATTGTTAAGAAAATTTCTTTCAATTTCTTGCTTTCTTAGATTTTCACCTTGCTGCTGTTGGTTTGAATCTTGCTAGTGACTTTGGAATTTCATGTATTAACCCTACCACACTAAATATCGAAAACTGACATATCCAACTTACAATCTGGGCATAATCATTCATCACTTTTAGGGAAAAATTCAAATTTAGTATTGACTGAATAGCAATCAGTGCAGTTCATGGTCAGATAATACAGTTGGTTAAGGTCGCCAACTTCAAACCACTTGCCCCATCATCGCTGTGGGTTCGAATCTCAACAGGGACTTTTGAGTCTTTTATGTGAGGAAGATATCTAGTTAGCTTACGGGAAATCGGTGGTTCTTCTGAGGTTCTCATTCGTGCCTGAAGTCATTTACGGAAGGGCACTTGAGGTCTTCCTCCACCAGTAAAGCTGGAACGTCGCCAAATGACCTATACTGTGTCGGTGGGACATAAAATCCAATCAAACAAACAAACAAAACACTGGTAACATGGGTATATTCAGTTCCCACCAGCAGGGTAACGGTTTAAGGTAATCAGCCAGATTCTCTGAAGGTTGATAATCTACTCATGCAGGTTTCTACTTCTAACTGAAATAATGCAGGAAGGGGCAAGCACCTGAAGGTTCCTTCTACAAGGTATTTTGGAATGTAAGGGTAATGACCTTTACATAACCAGAATTTATGAAATATGAACCTTCAAAGATTTACCCATGTCACATTGTGTATTAGTATAACATGTTATTATTTGTGGTAACCTTAAGTTATATAGCCTGTGGCTCATCCATATAAACCTACTGTCTTTCTTATAAGTTGTGTTTGAAATGTGTTAGTATTGTGTAATTAACTTGAGAGCTAAACTAGGTTCTAGATCACTTGTCCTGCAATATGGATTTTGTTCAATAATTTGTTCTTGACCCTTATCAAGCTAATTATCTGAAATGAACATGCACATTTTTTAATCTGTCAATTATAGGGAAAATGTCAGACTATGTTCTGACTGAGTTCGGGAACAGTGCAGACCATGATCAGATGGTTCACACGTGTTGACTGATCTAGGTCTGTACTTATCCCATTTGTAGAATTCTGCTGCTGACAGCAGGCTTTTGGTTAAATATGGATTTTGTTCAATATTTTGTATGGATTTTAAAAATGTTATATTTTGGTAACGGGGATGTTTGAAAAATTTACTTTAGAGTGTCCTTCAGTCTATTTGTTCATAAAAACTGTTTCCTGTGATCACTTTTAAAGAACTTTTCCAACAAATTTTCTTTAAAAAAAAGAGAAAAATTGAAACATTAGTGAATGGCCAATGGCCCTTCAGAATGTTGCTGGGGTTCTAACTGGTAGGGGACTTATGGATTGATTTCAATACTATGATAATTGCTTGTTTTATATGGATTTTGTTTAATATTTTATATGGATTTTGTTCAATATTTTATATGGATTTTGTTCAATATTTTATATGGATTTTGTTCAATATTTTATATGGATTTTGTTCAATATTTTATATGGATTTTGTTCAATATTTTATATGGATTTTGTTCAATATTTTATATGGATTTTGTTTAATATTTTATATGGATTTTGTTCAATATTTTATATAGATTTTGTTCAATATTCTATATGGATTTTGTTCAATATTTTATATGGATTTTGTTCAATATTCTATATGGATTTTGTTCAATATTTTATATGGATTTTGTTCAATATTTTATATGGATTTTGTTAAATATGGATTTTGTTCAATATTCTATATGGATTTTGTTCAATATTCTATATGGATTTTGTTTAATATTTTATATGGATTTTGTTCAATATTTTATATGGATTTTGTTTAATATTTTATATCGATTTTGTTCAATATTTTCAGATAACTTGTCCTGATTGTCAGATATTATTGCAAGCTGATGATGAATTAAAAATGCAGGAATGGTTTATGAAAATACATACACGGATAAAAGAACTGGTAAGCAAATATCTGTCTATAATAAACGCACATTAAGCCTCGGATATTAGTATTTTTCTTGTGTCAGTGGAATAATGTTTCACCTGAAAAATAGCACTAAATGTGGAAAAGAAATTAAAATGTAAACAAAGTAGTATTTTGATTTCCATACAATATACTAAATTACTATAATGGTACTACATTGTAATTGCTATAAAGCAAAGAAGTAAAAGATGGCTCGGCTTTGTATCCAATAAGTAACTGTCTGGACACCAAATATAAGAAGCTTTTGAAGAAGAAAAAATATAAGCCAATTTTAAGATTTAATATGAAGGTAGAACAGTCAATTTGGAAAGAAATATGTTATATTCTGAAAAATCATTATTATACAGTCATTAATTTTCGTGGGTAGGTCAATCCTAACAGATTTCATTCTTTGGCTGTAAAATCGTTACATTATTTGCATTTCTTTTGAGAAATATACAATCCTCGAGTTTAAGAAGCCAACAAAATGACTTTTGTGACAAAACCAGGAAACTTCATCCCAAAGAAATCAAATAAATACACTGAATATATTTAAATTCTTTTGTTGAGAATACTATCAATACATCATTGTTTTGATGTACTTTAAGAATCACTTATCAACACAGCTGTTACAATTTAAACAGGATATATATATATATAAGAGAGATAGAGAGAGAAAAAAGGCTGCACTTTTACTTCTCTTTATTTGCTCTATTATGTTAAATGCTGCATTGTGAAATCAGGACAGAGTATAATTTTTGTATAACTCAAGTGTAATAAAGCTAAATGACGATGTTGTTTTTGAATTATACAAATTTATTCTTCCTTTAAAGAACACCACAGTTATATAGTACTTTTTATATTTATTATAATTTATTTTTAATTTATTTGTTTTTGCATTGATGATAAGGACAGGTCAGGTTTGCCCCAGTTTGCGGTGTTATATGTTTTAGGAATAAAAGGTGTTTGCAGGTTTTTTTTATCACATTCAATGATAAGTTTATTTTCTTGATGCTCCTGTTGGATCACAATTTGGTGGGAACTCGGTGATGAGTTTTAGTATAGGGAGGTATTTGAGTGATCCAAGTTCATGCAAACAAAATTTAACTGTATATGAAGAAAGTAGTTGGCGCAGACTTTGGTTCTTTGATTCCTTTACCAGTACCAGGAAGTCACCATCTTAGCTAAATTTTCCTGATGCCTTTTTAACCAACCAAAGGAAAAAAGGAAACAATCAATGTTGTGTTTTGTTATAAGGTGAAGTTTATATTTCAGGGTGGTTCTCCTGACACTCCAGGCTCCAGTCAACCTAGTATGTCAACACTCACACCAGAACCTGAAAAAGTTTCCAGGAAACCTTCATTTAAAGGTATATATCATTAAAACTAAATCATGAGTGTTGTTAAATTTTGTACCTTTGGGTTAATTGATAATAATACATATAAAGATGGTCCAGAGGGTGCTTGGGAACATGAGAGATATTGCACTTTGCATTTTCTGTCATGAAGATACTCAATGAAACCAAGTCTGTGATTTTCAACTTCTTGTAAGTTTTTGATTTTATTGCTGTCAAAAATTTCCCGTCCCCTGAATTTTTGTACAGCATTATACTTATAAATCTTCTATTTGTATGACCTTAGTGGCTTTGAGCTTAACAGGGGTCATATTCTCAAGAAAAATGACATTTTCAGCTTTTGCAGAAAGTCCATGGTTCTTCTTGAGTGCCAAATTATGTTCAAAGTAAAGATTAGATGAGCACGTGCTTAAGATTAGAACCAAACACATCATCTGCAGTAAAAACAAGATATATAGTAATTTATCATACATTTATTTAATTGAAAAAAAGTTTTACTTGGCTAGACTGAAGAAACATTATTATTGAGGTGCTAACATCAATGTAACAATTTTAATGTGTCAGTTCCAACAGTATAGAGCTAGATAAGCTTTCACATGCGTATGGTCTGACCAGGTTCAATACTTTAGCTGCTTCAGGGTAAGTATTTTAAAATCCAAATATCTTAAACTTACTATGGACTTTCCCAAAAGTCATCCAGAATAAATCTTAAAGGGACACCACTGAGAGTTTTTGACATGATGAGACCTGAAATAATTTTTAGAGATTTTTGAGAATTTTTGAGAATTTCGAGATTAATGTTACATTTGATGTAAATAAGTGTTGCAATGCTTTTCACTCCTATTGGAAAAGGAATAGCACAAAAATACAATTTTCAATTTATTTCAAAGTAAGTTTCTTATTTATCTTTTTTAAGAACACAGCTGATATACTGTATACTGTACAAATTCAAATTTTATGCTTTTTGGCTACTAGGCCTCAGTGGATTTCCTTTAAAAAAAAAATATGAAAATCAAAGGTATTTGTTTAGAGTGGTTATTCATGCGTGTTATGATTTTCTGATAAAGGTCACAGTAGAAAACCGTCTGACTCTGGAACATTAGAAAGAAAAGGGAAAATTAAGAATGTGTTGGAAAGGTTTATGAGCAACAGAAGTGAGAAGGAGAAACTTATCAAAAAGGGTATATATAAAGGTATGTGTATATAAAGGTATGTGTTAATGAAATATGCAATTTTGAGCTGTTTTTACATCAGTTTGGCACCTCCCCTAACACACCCTGGAATTGTCACAAAATGTGATTTTTTGGGGGTAAATAATGTTAATTTTTATAGATGTGTTTATAAATAAGTATTTATATATATGTTACTTCAGATCTTTTAAACTGTTTTATGACTGCCGCCAACATATCATCAACTTCTGTGGTGACAAGATAATGGCCATTGTTTCAAACTAGGAGTTAACCTGTTGCTGCACTATGGGGTTACAACATTGGGAATTGGGAAAAGTGTTGCAAATTGCATCAGTATGAAATTATAGAAAATGTTGAGCAATTTATTTAGTGTAAAAGAACTGGCTGTGTAACTTTGATTGCACATTCTCAAAAACTTCACATCAAATTTAATTTTATGTCCAGTGTTGATTTTCTTAAGAATTTGCAATTTCAAAAATTGGTTATTGATTATGTTTCTTAAAGCCCAACAATCAATATTTTACCAGTGAGAAAATAAATCAGTTTTGTAACATGCTAATATTTCCTGTATATTTTGTTTTCTTCAGATGCTGTGTTTGGTTCAGATATCAAGCAGTTATGTGCCAAAGAAAAAATGAAAGTGCCAATGTTTGTTATAAAGTCAATAGAAGCTATTGAAAGAAGAGGTACAGACAGTTTTTGCTGCTTTAAAATATTTATTTTGATACATATCTGAATTCATAATGTAAATATAAAGAAAGGCTATTTGTTTGCCAATATTGCATTTATAACTGTCCCTGATTTCTTGCCACTCACTTATTTTATTTCATGAAAGAGGCAAATTATTTTTGCCACTTTAGGAGGCCTTTTTTACTAGCTTCTACTCAAGTAACACTGTTAATTTATTCCTGAAATAATGCAACCAATGTTATCCTGTTGAAGTTTGAAAGTTGTCACCTGTTGTGTTTCACTTAAGGTCCATCTTGATAATGGAGGCCTAAAAGAAAACAGGCATTAATGTTGTTTTGCTGTGTAGACAATTCATGTTCCCCTCAACATTGTGCTTCCGAATCCTGACATGGAGTTTAATTTGTTTTCATGTAAGGCAGCTATCTTGCTAGCTTTCAAGTGGTATATGAACATTACAGTGTTGGTGTAACTTGGAACAAAAAGTGACATAAAAATAATTTAAAAAAAAACAAAACTTAATATAAAGTAATATTTGTAAGTCGATATGGCCTCTGGGTATTTTATGAAAGGTTAGTTAGACATGTAGGAGTTATAGATATCTCATCCTTTCACTTTAATGTTTGAATTATGTAAAAAAGAAAATAATACTACAATTTACATGGTTATATAATGTCTGTAAAATATTGTAAAATATACCTTGTAACCTCCCACATCCATTTGTTTCTATTTCATTAAAATTATATCATAAATTGTAGCCAATTAACAATACAAATGATATACAATATACATGTGTAATATATTTTGTATTTCAGGTTTAGAACATGAAGGTATATATAGAATAGGTGGAAATATATCTCAGATACAGAAATTACGATGTATGGTAGATCAAGGTTTGTATAACTTACTTTTTAGCTCACCTGTCACAAAGTGACAGGGTGAGCTTTTGTGATCGCTTTTCGTCCGTCATCCGTCCGTAAACTTGTACTTTAAATGACATCTCCTCATAAACCACTAAGCCAATTTCATCCAAACTTCACAGGAATGTAGCTTTGGTGGTCACCTTTAAAATTTGTTCAAAGAATTTAATTCCATGCAGAACTCTGGTTGCCATGGCAACCGAAAGAAAAAACTTTAAATATCTTCTTTTAAAAAACTAGAGCTTAGATATTTGGCATGGAACATTTTCTAGTGAGTGTCTACCAAGTTTGTTCAAATAAAAGCCCTGGGGTCAAAATTGGCCCCGCCCCGGGGGTCATTGATTTTCCCTATATGCATATAGTAAAAACTTAAAAAATCTTCTTTTAAAGAACTCAAAGAGCTAGAGCTAAGATATTTAGCATGAAACATGTTCTAATGGGTGTCTACAAAGTTTGTTCAAATAAAAGCCCTGGGGTCAAAATTGGCCCCGCCCCGGGGGTCATTGATTTTCCTTATATGTGTATAGCAAAAACTCTAAAAATCTTCTTTGAAAAAACCCAAATAGCTAGAGTTTAGATATTAAGCATGAAACATTTTCTAGTGAGTGTCTACAAAGTTTGTTCAAATAAAAGCCCTGGGGTCAAAATTGGCCCCGCACCGGGGGTCATTGATTTTCCTTATATGTGTATTGCAAAAACTTAAAACTCTTCTGTGAAAAAACCTGAATAGCTAGAGTTTAGATATTAAGCATGAAACATCTTCTAGTAAGTGTCTACAAAGTTTGTTCAAATAAAAGCCCTGGGGTCAAAACTGGCCCCGCCCAGGGGTGTCATTTTTTTAACTATATGTGTATAGTAAAAACTTCTTTGAAAAAACTCAATG